AGAAACTGAGGTGTAGAAGAGTGAAAGAAGTAGCGAAGAATATTACAGAAAAGGGGAAAGAAACATCGAGAATACGTTTTGAAAAGCCGGCTAAAAAAAATTGAATAAAATAAATAAAAAATAAAAAAAAAACGATTATCTCACTATATTTTTTTTTTATTTTTTATTTATTTTTTTTAGTGCGTGTGTGTTTTGTATATATATTTTATAGAGTAAAAATGTATTATAATGTGTGTGCGTGTGTTCGACCCAGAATGGTACTCCCCGACGCCTTCCATTTCGTTCGATCCTTCTATTTTACTATATTTGTATTTCTTAAATTATAATTTGCAAACCTAATTATTTTGAATTATTATTTTATCTATGCTTGAATGATTTTCCTTTGTATATGTGTGTATATAAAAAGCTTGATATCTAACAGGGAGGTCAGAAGCCGTCTTTTTTTTTTGTATTATTCTTTTGAATATATAATATATATAAATAGTATAATACATACTCATTTGTATTTGGGGGAAAGGACAGATGTTTGATCAAAAATAAAATACAAAAAAAAAATACTCAAAATACAGAGCGGGTAATATATATATTTATATACAATTTTTATTTTATTTTATTTTAAAATTAAAATAAAATAGAACTAATAATTTGAAAGAACTCACGTTTATCAATACCTCTCTCTCTCCCCCCCCCCCCCCCTCTTTCACCAAGAGCACAGTTTGCGGTGTGCACTTGTCTATACAATGATAACGATAACTATAATAATAATATATATATACAGGTATCTATGTATCTATGTATCTATGTAACTATGCAACTATGTAACTATGTATTCTTCTCTTGAAAGGAATAATTATATATACAGATATTTATATTTTGTATTTATATTTATATTCGTAAATATTTTTGGCGTAACGTCCACCAAGCATATTTAAGGACCTATATATCTTGTACTCTATATATATTTCTTTTTTGATTTCTGTATCCTACGCCTTGAGACGGCATTTGGAAACCACAAAGAAAAAGAAAAATAGCACGAACTGTATGAGAACCAAATCTACGGTATACAATCAAAATAAAATCATAAAAATCAAAAAGATCAAAAAGATCAAAAAGATCAAAATCTAATAATTACATATTCATTTGTTCCAGTTATCTGGAACAGACTGTGAATTATCCTAAACTCACCTTTACATTCCGAATTATTGTTTTTTTTTTTAAAAAAAAAAAAAAAACTTATACAATATAATACCTATATCTCTCTCTCTCTGTGTGTGTGTGTGCGTTTAACGAATATTATTTATATCACAAAATTTTGTACCTTTTGTTCACCTGAGATGATTAATATATTTTTTTTCTTTAATACAGAAAAAAATAATATTTTTAAGTATAATTTAAAAAAAGTAAGTTATTCGACATGGCTATTATAATATATATATACATTTTATTTTAATAAGATTGTGCATGCCAACTCCGAATTTTAGTGTTATATTTCGTTTGCTCTTCTTTACTCTATAAATACAAGTAGTATATTATTTCTGTATAAAAAGGTACCAAATTGAAAATGCTATACTAAATACCTCTGCACTAGAACATTATACGATATTATATTAAAGTCGCGGAAAGAAAAAGAAACCTACTGGAATGGCCGTAAGACTTGCAAACCTTCTGTAATCAATCTGTTGTACGATATCTTGTACGATGGATTCTGGTTTTATTTTTATTTTTATTTTTATTTAGAAGAAAAAATATACATAAATACCTACATAAAATACATAGATACGTATGCCTGTACGTATATTTTTATACCTATATAAATGTGCACAAAATGATAGGTTATTTACAGAAAATAATCTAATGAATATCCAAAACATTGGTTTCTGGCAGCCTAAATAGTATGTATATACATTATATATGTGGCTCTGTAGGAATCGATTCCATATAATAATATTCTATCAGTTTGTTAAAGTCACACTGACCATCCTATTATTATAATAAAAAGCAAAAACTCTTATCTTTTATTAGTCAATACTTCAATATTCTTTTTTATTTTATTTTATTTTATACAAATAAAATATGTGATATTTCAATGTGCATCTATGTATGTATGTATTAATTGAATCATCATCTCCAATGCATTGATCAAATTAATAATGAAAAGAATGTCAATTTGTTTCAAATATCACTGTTGATAATTATATATAATTTGTTAATAATTGTCTCCTTGCAATCTTTGTCTCTCTTGCTCTTTTAGAAAATCAGTAGAAAAGTACTTGATATTTTATTGCTTGGGAATGTAATTAATATTTTTTTATAAATTGATTTAATATACACCATAAGCCTTCTCTTTGTCATAAAACATAAACTACTAATATCAACTACAGGACTGATCAATTTATATATATATATATATATAAAGGATCTTGTACGTGTAGGTTTACGTGTGTTTTTCTCTCTCTCTCTCTCTTTTTATTACTTTGCTGTATCGTTATATTAACCTCAAAGTCGTGTTACTGTCTCTCTTCAGGATAACAAGGATTATCGGAGAAATCTATAATACTAAGAGAAATAATTCATTTCTGTGTAGCTAAATGTCTTGTTAATTTGATTTTGATCAAATCAAAGCAATTCGACCAAAATGTGCTTAGGTTCTTATTTTATTTGGTTAATACCAATACAACTTCATGAGAATAATGATTATCACTGGTAGTATATATTGATGTGCAACCACTATATCTTTCCCTTTTTTTTTTAATAATCATGTTTGATTATATTTCCTCTTTGGACAAGAGAGTTTGTCTAAATAAACATTTGAAAAAAAAATTACTGAATATATATATATATATATGTGTGTGTGTGAGTGTATTGATATACAAGAAATTGAATAGAATAAAGAACGTTCCACGCCCACATTATTCAAACCGGTGTGTTTTATGTATATATGTGAACCTTGATTTATTTATTTATTTAAGCTGTAACTTTCTATGGGGGTTTTGTCCATGTGCGTGTGTATATGCGTATGAATATGTATGTTTGTGAGAGTGTGGGAGAGTTTTGGTGTGTGAATATTACAGGGTTCTTTTTTTCTTTTTCTTTTCTTTGTTGATATTCCTAAATATTACCACCCAACAAACGTATTGATTGTTGCCCAAAATATATAAATACATATATAAGCTTAAATAGCCTTCTACTCGTGCTACCATCTTAATTGTTTATCTCACAGTCTGGTTTCTTTTTGGGTGGGTGTTTAAAACGGAATGCGTATTCCGACTAAAGATATCGTTCTGTCTAGTAATACTATATCTCCACTCATTAATATTCTTCCTCTTAGTTGACATAATATAATATAGCACTCTATAGTATACTAAACAAAGCCTGGTTTATGATGCATAACGTGTGTGTATTTATGCAAGTAAAGATATTTCCAGGCTAGCTTTGTAGTTTGATAGACGATGGTCTTTAGAGAGAGAAATATGTGAATTAATAGTAATCATATTGTTTATTCAGCGTTTTATCGTTATATTTTTATTTATCTATATATATATATCTTACAATTAATATAACAAGTAGATACTTTTCCCCTGTTATTTTCTTTGCCTTGTGAACATAAAATACAATAAATAAGCCTGTTTCTTTTTTGATGCTACAGGAAATAATGGAGATTGTAAGCGTTCCTACTACTTTCTGGTCCACTCCGCTGTACCACCCTGGATTGCATCTTTTATGATTATCTTACAAGCAATATTTTTCTTTGTAGTATATCATAGACTTTATTAATCAGCAATCAAAGCAAAATAGGCATGGTATTTTAAACCGTCTTGTGGTTAAAAATAAATCAAACCAATTTTTTTTTGATAATTTCAAGGTGTCGAGACTATGTGGATAAACGGAGATTGGTTGAAATAAGTACCATTTTAAGAATAAAATAAAAAGGTAACGAAAAAGAAAAGAAAAAAAAAGGAGGATAAGAATATTCAGCCTCTTCAGATCAACAAATTGCTATAATAATAATAAAATATGTTTATATAGCCTCGCAAGACTTTCTTTTTATTGGCTTTATATGTATTTATTTTTGTTTTACAAAAAAAAAAAGAGAAAGATAGTTTTCCTTTGGACGAATAAGAAATAAAGGGGACGGAGAGAGAGAGAGAGAGAGACAGGAGAGACAGTAGGGGAAGGGTGAGGAAGATGAAAAAAAAGGCAAAAGGCAAGGATTAAGTGAATATAGGAGATATGGAGAAGTAAAGGATATAAAGCTTTGACATTGTTTTTATTCTCTTATTTGGTTACAAAAGCCTCCATTCTTCTGTTACACTTGGCTGATAAAGAAGTACAGGCGTTTATTTTGTCAAATATTGAATTTTCAAAATGTCCCTAAAACTTAAATAATCGCATATTCTTTTTTTTTTTAGAAAATAAAATAAAACAAAAAATAAGCATCTTTGCGCATCAAATCCTTATTTAGATGTTTTGCCTTTAGTAAACAAAGGGTCTCTATGCAACTTTAGATTATACTGTCTATTAGGGACAGGGGAAGGTTAGCAAAAAGAAGAAAAATTCCACCATATTTGTACACCATTAAAAACACAAGTGTAATATTGGTACCAATTATCATCATTCTCATAAAAAAAAACTTCTTTAGGAGGAAAAGACCAATAAGTAAATAAGTAAAGTTCAATTAGACGTTAATTATTGCTGCTTACTTGCTTTATTTATTTATTCACGAGAATCTAAACTTACATTCACGCACTTCTTTACAATATGTGTATTTTACAAGGTTTAAATAAAGGAAGCAAGTGACCAAAGAGAAACAAAGAAAGAAAAGAAAAGAAAGAAAGAAACTGGCGCGTCTGTCGAACAGAATGGATAAATCGGAAAACTACATCTCGGTACATGAATACTGAAACAAAAAAGGAAACATTTGTATAAAAAAAACCGTGAAACAAAGAAATATATTATTGGCCAAAATGTACTCAACTATTAGATACAATTCCCATAAATATATACATATACACAAAAATAAAAGCAAGGTCCACAAGTTGTAGGATATAACTGCTATAATTTTCTAGACTTCTTTAAAGTAAAATAAAAATATATACGTTTTTTTAAAAAAAAAACAAAAAAGGTAAAATGGATAAACTCTTTATAAACGGCTTAGTTTTTTTTTAAAGAAAAAAAGTTAAAGAAATAATTCTGGGTAACTTGATATATATTTTGCCGTATCTTAAAGCGCCTCTATGTAAAGAATCAGCGAGAAGTCGTTTTTTTTCTGGTACCTGGATACTTAGCAAGCACACGATAGGCCGTTTACGATAAGCTAGTTTTACATGTACATATTACTTTTTTTTTTGAATGAGAACAAAGCGTATGAAACTAGTTAAAATTACACACAGTATTAGGATTGTACGCTAGCCATTAAGCGCGCTTCCTTGTGAAACCACTATAACGTAGCCGAAGTAGCATTGAACCGTTAAATAATAATACCAATACTCATAATAATAGTAATAATTATTGATGCAATAAAACGACCTTTAAACTGTTAACGCCTTGAAAATACTAGTATGTGCAAAAAAAAAAAGGCAGTTTGGTTTCTTTTTCTTCTAAGTCGTTAAATAGTAGCTAATGAGCCGTTACTTTCTGCTACATTTTATAAAGAAATACGGAGATAAAGAAGTTGAAAATATATGTACTATCTGGCAATCTTTCTTATGAGCTGTTTTTTTCCTTACAAGCCTAACTATATACATATTTATACAAATGCTCCTTTGCTATGGCCTCTTCTGAGAAGAAATAAAGAACAATACACACACACACACACACACACATTTCAGTATTTAAATATTACGTGCTAAAAATCAAGAAAATATTACATTTTTTTTACGCGCTATTTTTTTTTTGTAATCAATGATGCAGCTATATAGAATAATAATAATTACATAGCTGTAAATACTACAGCCAAGAGACTGCAATTCTTTAGAAAATGAGAAAAGAAGTATATATACACATATTGTGTTCAGAGACGCTTGAATCGATGAGTAGCTTTTTGTGGAAAGGTGATTTTTTGCGCGCTTTTTGTAAAAAGTAAACCACTAATAGTAATACTTTATAGTTTAATTACTAAAATAAGTTTGATCTGAACCTCAATAAATACTCCTATATCGTACAAAGAAGAGAAAGAAGAACGAAAAAAAAAAAAGATCAAATAAACCCGACCCAATAAGTCGGGACGTGCAATAGAAATATACTCTTTGACCAATAGAAATACTTTTTTTTTGTTTGTATTTTTCGGTTCTGTGATTTATATTTTAGACTAGTATTACACAGGTACAATATATATACATATATATATATATATATAATAGGTAGTCTGTTTACAAGCTAACTTTAAATTCCCACCAGCCCTTCTTTGATACTATTAACACTATTCGACTCAAATACAGTAACTCGAAAGATACAGAGAAGAAGAAGAAGTAAAAAATTTTCCCTTTCCTCCACAGACACGACGTTTTGTTTAAACCCCGGGTTAATATTTACTGCGATATCGAAATGTGACTTTAATTATGGTGCCTATTAATCGGATCTGGTCCCTAACTATCTATAATACTTTATATGTAAATATAGACAAACAATCTAATATAATAGCAGTATTAGCACTGCGTTGTCTGTTGTATGGTGTGTTTGAGCTTATATATAAATATTACAGTCAAGTAACCATTAATACTATCAAATTAAGGATTTTCAATGTCCTTGTACACGTACAACTTGTATTAATACACAGCTATAGCTATCTGTAGCTTGGAAATTGTGAAACCCATCACACAACGGAAGCCACCCATATAATCCATATAATAGTACTTGGCAATTACATCTGTGATTAACAAAAAAGAAAAAGAAAAATGTTCTCAATAATCCTTGTACAAGAATAATTAAAACATTCATTCGCCATGTGTGTCATACAATGCTGCCTGTTCTTTATTGATTGCACTTGTAATTATTATTATTATAATGATGATGATGATGCTATTTCTTGTTGAAAAGATCGATCGAGATAATTGCAGGCCGTTTTAAATACAATTTTAGAGTCTTACTATTAGTGTAGCCAAAAGACAGAAAAGAAAAGAAAAATATATATATGGCAGACCAAAAAATCTTCCAAAACTGCTGCAGCAAAAAGAAAAGAGATTATACATATATTTGATCTGTTCTATTTATAGGTATAAATATATGTGTGTATTACAGTTCATTATTATTGCTGTTTATCTTTATACTAAGGTTATTGATGAAGAGCAATTTATGCTGCTACAAGTTGATAGGAGTAACAAGATTCCTATTGATTTGTAGGTTTAGTTATAAGATCTTTAATATATAGATATATATATATATATTTATAACAAGTACAGTGGCATATAAGGCTGGCAATATATATGTAATATATAAATAAATCTAATAAACATAAGTAAAATGAGATGTCTAACTCAAAAACGCAACACAACATGTTATAATACATTTTATCCTGCTTTAATACGCTTGTAAAATGTATATATTTTTTATAAACGTATATATGCACAAATGAATTAATCTAAGTTACATATATAAAAAGGTTATTTTATTCCTATTAAGCCATATATATATATATATATATATGTCCAAATATCCAAAGAGAGAGAAAAATGTAAGAAAACTTATACTTTATTTACAATATGAACTCCTTGACCAGGATTGAAACTTTTGGAAGAACTATCTGGCATTGAACAGAATATCCTACAAAAAGTAACTCAGAGACAATCCCCTATTCCTTATATATATATAGGCTTGGTAATGCTGACAGATCCTTAGTTACATTTATCAGTAAGGTTAAAAGCTATGGATTTTGTGTTGTTGTGTGCTATTTTAAACAGTAAGAAGAAAAAATGAATTAAAAGTCATTCACATATGAATCACTTTTTTATACATTTCAATATCAAGTCGCGTATAATATTATGTAATAACTCTCCCTTTTACATTATAACTTTCCAGAAAGAAAGAATATATATATACTTTTTAGAGTATGATTAAAATCGATAAGTTGTTGATTGGCACTAAATTACAGTGGTAAAAAAAAAATAGAAAATAAAAAGGGCGCTTTTAGTAGGAGATATTTGCAAGACTTTCTGAGGTTTAAGGGGATTTCTCAAGGTTGAATTTTCGATTAAGCATTGAGGGTGGACAATTGCGACCTTTATTTGCTTAACCAATAAAATTACTTTAAAGAATCGGGTCATCGAAAATGCCCTGTTTTTGCTGGTTCATTTTTTAAAATAAAAAAAAAAGATTTGTCCAAAAAGAGATCAAGTATGGTTTATCGCTCTGATAGGCCCGTTATTTACATTTACCATATTTTTTTTTAATCTATTTAAACTTCGACAAAGAGAACCAAAAGCATCTGTTTTGTTTTGTTTGTTTTTTATTATTATTGAAAAGAAAAAGAGCTTTCAATTGACCACCCCTTTAATTTTCATCCTTTTTGATATATATATATACGCTTCAATTGCACATTTTCTTATTTTATCTTGCTATGATTGTAACTCAAAATGAATAACATGGATAAATATATTAGGAAAAAGTACTATGATGTCTCAATTGGTCAAGTTTATCCCCGAAGTTCAAGACAGTGACAAGATCTTGATTCCACAAAAGATGCTTCAAACGTAACAAGTTCATATTCGCCAAACGGTTTGAATTGGTACAGCTGAAATGGTTTATAAGAATAAGAATAAATGAAAGCTAATTATAATATTCACCTTAAAAGACCATGACAGGCTAAGTTTTGGTATCTGAATGTGGTGATATGGTCGAGGGTTGATGAATTGCTTGAACGTTTAAAGGGATAGCTGAGAGCACGGAGAACAATGCTTAAAAATACAAAGCTCATCAATCAATCAAACTCCAAATCTGTGTTTACAAAGAAGCTTTCTCACTCCTACATACATGTATTGTCTCGTGGTACTCGCTAGGAGGTTCAGATCCGTCTACCATGATCAAGAGGCAAACTGGACAAGCTGAACAAACAAAAAGTGGATGAGTAGAGCCAAGGTTTGCAGAATAAAGGTTGATGACTGGCTTGAATTTTGGGTATTTTGCATAAAAGAAGCTTAGGATGGAAATACGAGGGCTAATATTCTTGAATTGATCCTCTGAACCTCGTCAAAATATGTTCTTAATTTTGGAAATCCTTGCCGTTTAAATCGACAGTTGGTTTATAATTGATTTCCAAGCTCTCCCAAAAATATGTTTGTACAGGATTTTAGTATCGATTTTCATGTAATACAGAGACCAAGATTGGCAAAAAAAGGGAAGTAGTTAAAGGATCGATGCCCAAGTTGCTCCAGGAGCTAAGACATACAAAAGAATATAAAGGAGTGGTTGTGAGGAGATGGTTTGGCGTCAAGATAGACAGAATTGTCTTGAAAAATTAATTATGGCTAAAGACAGGTATTGTACGGTAATTACAATATAATAAAGTATATGTTATATTATAACAAACAATAAAATAGCCTTTAGAAACATGTAACCATATAATAATGAATGCCTATTATCCAATAAAAGTTTGAAATACATAAAGTAGATACAAATATGCATTAATTAACAGAGTATTACTTTAAATATAAGGATTTCCCTGTATATGAAGCAAATCTTATATCCACAGGAGAGCAGACATACATGGTTATCCATAAAAGTTAAAGGTCAAAAAAAAATTAACGCGAAGCATCCTCTAGAGTCGCCTTTGAAATTGCCCTATTTATTTTTTATTTCCGTAGTGGTAGTTTACGTCATATCCATTTTTTTGTAAGTGAGATATACTACCTACTTTCTCTTGGCACTTGGCTAATTTTTTTATTTCAGTACGCAAAATCTGGAAACTCTTTTTTTTTACCCTAGTAACTATACATTTAACCACGTATTTAACTTTACTAGCTGGTACATTTGTTTTTATTGTTAGCTTTTGCTTATAAGCTCTTGTTTTCCAGAGCTAAAAAGAGAAAGAAGAAGAAGAGAGAATGTTTTTGTCATACATTGTTTCAACATGCGCAAGTAACACAATAGTTTTGTATGTATATTCTTTAAAAAAAAAGCAAATGTTAACACCAATACGACATAAATTTTATTGCTGATTACATTTACATTTTTTATTTTTCATTTAAAATGAAAACAAATCTCTCATTTCGGATGAGCAATCAAATCATCAATTTTATAAAAGCAGAGCAATTACTTTATGGCTCGATATTCAGGTGCTCTTCTTTTAAGTATGATGTGTGTGTGTGTGTATTAGAAAGTAAAGGGAAGGTTATTATTTTCAAAAACAAAGACTATGTTTCATGGTGTGTATTTTGTTGATACAATACACTTTATAATAGTAACCAAATATTGTTCTGTGGATTTCTTTAAAACAAGAATGAATAGAGTACTATGCAAAGAAGGAATTGATAGAGATCAGATTGAGTATGTGTTATATCAAAGAAAGAAATAAATAAAGAAGCAAAGGAAGATGGTAGAAGGCTTGGTAATAAAGACCATTGAGTTGCTCTTTATTTATTTATTTTTAAAAAATAATAATAATAATCTCAAACCCCCCAAGAAAAGACAGATATTCTCATGATTTAATCGTAGCAACTCATGTTTAAGTAATAAACATGTGCAATATATAATTATTTACTCGTATTATTGCTCACCGGAAAAGGGTAACAAAGTACCGGATTTTGGGGTTTTGGATTCATGGCAACCAAAAAATTAAAATCTCATGACTGCAAATCGCACCACTGAAAATTAATGGGCAACAATGATAGCTCACCCTTATCCTTGTTTAATTAAGCACCCACATATACGGATATATATATATATATATGTGTGTGTGTGTGTGGAAGAGAAAAATAAAGAAATATATACATATTGAAAGGGAGAGCGAGAAAAAGAAAACTGTTAAAGTATTCTTGGATCAAGATCATTGTCCGTCTTTGCACTTGCACGTGATCTTCAATACTCATCTTTACACATACTTTATAGAGTTTAGGCCTTTTTCTTCTTATTCTTCTTCTTTACAACCTACCCTTTTCCCCCCTTCTTCCAATCCCTTCCTTTGCAACCACACAATGGGAGCTACGGGAAACAAAATATACTTTGGTCTGTCAACCATCATATCAGCCCTACCGTCACTATTTGGATACCACCTTTACCAAAAAGGCCGCAAATATGTTGCATACCTACTTTACTCTTCTTCATTCTTTGTGTTTGGACTATTCATCGCCATCTTTATAAGTTACCAAACCTTGCGGCATGGTACTCCTTATGTATTCTCATTCCTCACAAAGATCAACCATTTACTCGCCCCGATCGCCAAAAATCTTGCCGCCAGCAGAATACTCGGTCCCTGTATTTCTCTAGTCGTCCGATCGATTTTTTTCGTGTGTTTTATGTTCATTATCATGAGCGATCGTCTGGTCCGTACCTTTCTCGGTAGATTTGTTGGAAAACATGCATCGGAACGATATATATGTAAGGGGTACACGCACGCAAATAATAATAATATTTACTTATATTTATGTATCCATGTTTCAACACACATACACATACACACACACATATATATATATATATATTTCTACCTACAGCCGTTTGCAATGCTGCCGATCCCAACTTTGACATGTTTGATTCTACAATTCCTCAGGCACCGTGTTTAGAGAATAGTGAGCAATTTGCTCTCAAGAAACGTACCTCGGTGCAACCAGGTGACCAAAAAGGGTTCTTGACGGATCAAATGCAACGTCCAAAATATTCTCAGCCTCTTGCATACACATTGGCTGTTGCTTGCAAGTTGGTTTATGAAGATATCGCGCTTATTAAATACGAGCTCAGTCGAGCTGGATTTGACGTTGAGAATACATTTAAGCCCATGGCCTACAAGGTAAATGACAATTACTATTTTTTTAAAAATAATAATAATAATAATAATGAACTGTTGACACACCTAAACATACATATACATATATGTATACAAGAGCGCATGAGTGATCAAGAAGAGCTAATTGGAGATTTTTTATGTATTGAAAGAATATCTGTGCATTTATTGTGGAAAAAGAAGATGATATTATTCTGGTTTTTAGAGGGTGAGTTATTTATTGCTACCAAGATAGTAATAACTATAGCAATTGACTTTTCTTTTGGTTTTTGCTTCTATTTAGAACCAATCCTCTCAATATGCAGAACTTTGTTACCAACTTAAACATTAATATGAAACCCATCAGCTCGCCAACTGCTAGTATGGGTAAAGTACACGAAGGATTCTGGAATGCAATGGGAGACCCCGCACCTCGCGTGAAACCAGAAGAAGGATCCACGACAGCTGTAGTCAATGATACAGGAATTACCCTTCACATCGAATTGAGTGGTGCTTCGTTGTACAGGACCATCTCGTCTGCTGTCACGGCATTAAAAAAGATTCTGGGATTCATGACCCTTCACATGTTCAAGCATGTTGTAGACCCTATTGACAGCAGCTGGATGGGACACGACACAGATATCACAAGTCACAGCATGTATTCTCAAGCAGAGAATTGGATCATGGATCTATGTGAGCGTCCTGGATTGAGAAAGGATGAGTTGGGTGACAGACTTTCTCCGTTTATTGGGCTCGACAATACTGGCACGCTCAGAAAGCCTGGAAAGAAGAGATTCTACATCACTGGTCACTCTCTAGGAGGTGCCCTTGCAACAAGTAAGAAAGAAAAAAAAAGATAAAGGATCTTTTGAAAAATTTAAACTAGATACATGTGTATGTGTGTATTTGAACTTGTCACCAGCTAAATTCATATTACTATTCTTGCTGTTGTTGATAGCTTTCTTGGCAAAGATGATGCAGTCTGAAAGTCCTCTTCTTGAAATATTCTCTGGTCTCTACACTTATGGACAACCCCGTGTAGGAGATGCTGAATTCTCTCGAGTATTTACCCCCCAAATGTCAAGCAAGATTTTCCATCATGCTTACAATAATGGTGTGTAGTACATCTTCTACTTGTGTCTTTGTGTAGCATGAAACACATCACTAATCATACTTTTTGTTATTGTTTGTAGATGTTGTGGCCCGTATCCCAGGATGGAATGGTTACTAGTAAAGTATCTCCCACCAAAAAAAAAGAAGAAGAAATGACAAGCATACAATGATGTGCCCTGTTTGTTCCACACACACACACATATATATATATCTAACTCAAACTTTTTTTTGTATGCGTCCGATAATTATAATCGTATAGTACTCCTCCTGGTACACTTGTTTTCATCAGTGCAAGCTACAATATTACCTTCTACCCACCGAACCCACAAACAAACGAGCCAGTTTCTGTTAGACCCATTTCGTTCCTTCATCTCTCCGGTCTCTTGAATTCGCATGTGATCCGAAGACTTCCCAAAGAATCGTTTCTAAAGGTCGCCTTCCGTGTCTTGTTCCCCTTTTTCATCAATGATCACTTTCCTGCAAATTATTGTGACGGTCTGCGGTCCGGAAGAGTAAAAAGAATCGTAATGACCGAAGGCAATTTCCAAGGTGGCCAAGACAATGAGGAAGAAGAAGGCGAAGAAGCCAAGCTTATGGCACAGAACCAACGGTACAGCACAATCAATGTCCAGGCAGTACCTTGAGACGGATAATTAAAATTCATATACTTCTTGGATCTTGACTGCCTTGCTTTGCTTTGCCTTGCTTTGCCTTGTTTATATATTTATTTCCTTATTGTTATTCCTTGTTATATTCCTTGCTTTCATTGTATGATTTTTCTTGTTCTTTTTTTTTCCTCTTGTTCTTTAAAAATAAAACAAAGACAAACCAAGCCAAACCAAACTATTTACTCACTCACCCACTCACTCACTCACTCACAAGGATCTTATGCATATATTAAGATAGACCATGCAATATCTCTACTCTTTTGGGTTTGGACGGTGCATTGTTAACTGTGTATATATGTATATATTTTATCACTTTATATATTATAAAGAAAGCATGATATGACCTCTTTAGAAGAAGAATGGCCTATTTATCTCTTGAAAACAAAACAAAGAAATGAAATTAAGGGAAAAAAATAGAAGCAAAATTAGGCAAGCACAAAAACAAAAAAAAAGGAATAAAGAAAGCGACATGCAAAAAAAAGAAAAGAAAAAAAAAGGTTATCTCGAATCGAAAGCAACTATAACAAAGAAGAGAAGATAATAGTAGTAAATAATAAAAAGAAATTATAATGTAAGAATAAACTTCTACGAAAAGAAAAAATGATAAAATAAAGAAAGAAAGAAAGAAAGATGGCATAGTACAAGCTCTAAATGAACTGTTAAATAAAATAAAAAGAAGAATAAGAAGAAGAAGAGTGTTCATAAATTAGTGTAGAATTGATTTACTGAGGTAGACTTCTGCGACGTCTGTCAGCTTCTTGTGTTCTGTCTTGTAACACTTCCCAGTCAATCGTACAGGTCTCGTCGTCGTATCCAAGTAGAAATTCCATGTGCGTTGAATGTGGATAGGGGATGACTTGACGAATTGGATAGTCGATAGGGAACTGGCGATCCATTTCTCGATTAGTGAACACGAGTCTTTTTCCACTGGGAATTCTGGCGTCGGTGCCCTGAAGCTGCTTCAGTAGATCGCGAAAGGTAAAGTGAGCATTGATTGCCAAGTTGTGCACCAGCAGGCCAATGTATGTGTCTCCTAGAGCGGATGGAATTGGGTGCAGTCGAAGGACATGAGGAGGGGAATGAAGTGGGATGTTGCGGAGGGTCACGGTTTGGATCTGGAGGGGGCTCAGGGCTGGCTGGTGTGGTGGGAGGAACGGGTGGTTATCTAGACTAGGAAGGCGCAGAGCTCGGGCGGCTGTTTCGTGAATAGCGAGATTTTGGCTTGGTTGGATGTAGTCCAGGTCTGGATAACTCACACACAGTTTCTTGTTAGTATTCAGTTGCGGAATCACGGCTGGAGAGAAGAGGAAGGGCAGCTGTGGGGATTCGGGAGAAAACTCGGGTCGGAATACTTGGTTGTATGCAGAGCTTGACTGAAAGTGAGAGTGAGAGTGAGGATGAGAGTGAGGATGAGAGTGGGAGTGGGAATGGTCAAAGTGACCGACTTGCTGAGGATTGTAGATGTACTGATGGTTCTCGTCCGAGTCATGTCTCCTTGGAGACACAGTTTCCGAGTCATGCGACAGGACAGTGTCGAGATAACCATGCTGCGGACGTTCAACAATGGTGTCATAGTTTTGTTCGATGGACGGCATACTGAAGACGGCTGACATTGGTTGTTCATCTGTGTGTCTCTGCCAGACGGTGGCACCATGAAACCCATTGTCTGACTGATTGAGGGTCGGAAAGGAGTGAACAGGCTGGATACAGTTTGGACTGGCGTGGAGCTCCTTGAAGACACGACCTCTTGGTTTTTGAGACGATTTCCACTTTTTCTGGACGCGATAGAATGCACTAGAGTGTTTTTTGCAGAGAGGTACTTCATTGGTGGAATAGAATATGGTCGTCTTTGAGTTTCTGTTTTCGTTGGTGTGCAGGTGTCGATGATGGGCTTGTCGAGACAGCCACCTGGTAGCATAGGCCCGTTCCACGCTATTCATTTTGTTGAGCTTTACTGACCTGGAGTCTATTCCAGGCACAGGAATGCTTTTTCCTCGGCGAGGTTTCTGTGCCTGACATGTACACTTGGGGGTACCATAAGTCTATAGAGTTATTAAAATTATAATTATGATTATTTAATATTCATGTATAACAAACTAGTAAGCAAATGCCTTTTTATTTTATTTTATTTTCTATCTGATTTATTTGTGGGGATGGTGATGGAATTTGGTGGATCTGTTGCTCTTTTGATATCATTGCTCTATAGAAAATATTTGCTATTCTTTTTTTTTTCTATATAGATATAAAAAAAAATAAAGAAAAGGTACCTCATTGCAGGTAAAGCACACCAAGCAGATGACACAGGCATTGGAGCGTATAGGAAGAGGTTCGATTCCATAATAATTTTCATCACAATAGCCAATATTTCTGTCTTGAACTTGATTGAACATTTAAATGTATATATGAATTATTATTTTTAATAAAGAAAGAGGAATAAGAGTAATGATGATGATAGAAGAAGAGAAGAAGTATACAATTATATATATCTTGCTTGGTTGATTTTTTTAGGGATAAGAGAATTAGAATTAAACGATTGAGTATAAATATCAATATCAATATATCAATATATCAATATATATATATGTAAAGGAAAGAGCAGTAAATTTAAGCGTATATGTTGCCCATTGTTCTTTTCGTACTAATGTAGAGAGTAAACAGTAGTACACACAAAGTGCTACATACACACATATATAAATATGTGTATAAATGTATATATATGACATGATCATGTCTTCTTGGGGAAAATAAATAAATAAATAGCCAGCAGTAATTATTCTTTTTTTTTTTGGTTGTTTTTTGTGTGTGTGTGTTGATCTGCACCCAGGAAGTGCAATAACTTTGTTTTGGTATTACCATTTTCTAACCAAAATACAAAGCAAGCACTGACTGGCTGATGTTAAACCCAAAAAGAGAAGCTGCGAACAATATGATACAAATGATGATCGGATACAAAAAGAGCTCAGTGTGCTCCAGAAAAGGGAGAGCTAAAGAACAATATGATGCACACCCACCCACAAAAAGAAATAAGTAAGTAATTAAATACATACATACACACACACACACTTATATATATACGCAGATAAAGAGAGTAATCCAGATAGTGAACAAGAGAGAGAGAGAGAGAGAGAGAGAGAGAGAGAGAGAAAATCCATTTTGAGCCTAGTTTCTCCTCTTTACTCTTTGCTCTTTTTCTCTTTAATCTATCTCTATCTCCATTCCCTCCTCTTCCTTATTATTATTATTGCTGTTGTTTTTACCCTTCATTGTCTTTATATATTTTTTTCTTTTTCCTTTTTTTTTTAATACTAAATCATAATAATAATAATAATAATACTATGTTTAAAGACGTACCATTGTATCCCAAAAAGGTTCCGTAGACATACCACACCGCAGACACAAAGTACATGGTATTGCCGACTACGATGGATATCCAGCTAGATCGCTGGAGCAGGGGTACAAAGAAGAATTGGACGACATAGAGGACCAGAAAGACAGGAAAGAAAGAGTTACAGTGGACATCGAATGCATAGGCCCACTCAACCTTTTGCTCTACCGCATGAGCCATTGCATTGTGTGCCAAGAAGCGGTTGGTGACAAACCTGTACCAAAAGAAGAAGAACATATGTTTAGTTATTTATTTTGATCGTTCAATTTGTTCAATCATGCAAAGCACGACACCTTATCTTAAGTTATCTTACCAAGAGAACGTAGCCACCAATGATCCAACCAAGAGAAAATCCACAAGAACCATAAAGAGCATTGCTCTCAAAATTCCCACAAAGCCTAGTCCATACGCAAAGCCCCATGCCACAGCGGACACTACACGATAATGGATATTGATAATTATTGGTAATTGGTAATTGGCAATTGGTAATTTGTGCATTGTGCACTGTGCATTGATAATAATAATCCAATTGTTATTCTAAAGTAGTTCCCAATAAGAGTAACAATAATAATAATAATAATAATAACCCCCCCCCCTTTTTTTTTTTAATTGTTCCTTTTCTCTCAGCACGCCTTTTACTACTATTATCAGCATTCTTAGTATTACTGTTACCGTTAATGCTACCGTTTTATTGCTGTTGGTGTTGTTTTTGTTGTTGTTGTTTTTTGTTGTTGTTGCTATTTTTCTTTACTTACGCGATAACAAAGATGCTAATAATACCAAAAAGGCTGGATCATCTCGTGCCCATTGATTCTTGGTTTCTGTCCAATCCTGTTACTTCAAAGTCCACCTTACCAGCATAATTTTACTTGCTTTTCTTACTTACGTTTATGGTAATATATGTTTCGATATCTAAATAATAATTTTTGATATTCATCAGCATCATCAGCATCATTAGAAAATAATAATTAGATTAGGTTAGGTTAAATTAAATTAGATTAACCATTGTCTTGATGCTCATTACACATTATCATCTCTTTCTCTTTTTTTTTCTTCCTCTTCTTCTTTCTTATATGTTTATACCTACACTCTTCTGGGAGCAATTAACAAATAGCACATCTGCCACATCGCAAACTAATCCGGATTCAATCAGTCAATCAATTCTTAACACATTCATTCCCTTTAATTTCATTTCATTTCATTTCATTTTGTTTCATATTTTCCTTTCTTGAAATTATACGAGATGATATTTCATTTAATTTTTTTTTGTAAATTCAATTGCATGTAATGTATGTATGTATATATGCATGTAGATATATATGTGTGTGTGTGATTTTTTTCTGGGTTGACATACTTCAAAGTCCATTTGAGGGAATCGAAAGATTCTCCGAATAATTAGTGGAATAGAACGTGATGAACGTCGCTGTCGATGAGAACTTGAGGCATATTCATTGGTAGTTGGGAGTAATGACATGGTTGGCAGGTAATATATATATATATATATATATGTAATATACAATGTTGCTACTATCTATCTATCTATTTATTTATTTATTTTATATATAAATATAAAATATGTGTGTGGGTTCGTATGAATGTATATAGGCGTGCGTATGTGCGTTTATGTATATATATATATAAGAAGGTGGTAGTGGTAGTAATAGAGAAAGAGAGAGAAAGCGAAACAGAAAGATAGATGAGGAGTAACCTGACTGCTTTCGTCACGCGCACTATGGAGAGGGGGGGGAAGGCGGGAGGAGGAGGAGGAGTGGATATGGTGCTTAATTTTTTAATTCTTTTTTTTTTTGGTGGTTACTTTTTTAATACGGAGTGACAAATATTGATCTATACATACAAAAAGGTAAATCTAATTCAATTGATGAGCAAAAGAAAAGCTCAACCAGTACAGTATGAATTGTATTATGTAGGAATTGATGTCAAATTACAAAAAAAAGCAATTTTATTAGTATATTTTTGTATTCAATTCAACAGCCACAATTATTCAAAAAGAAGTAAAAGAGAGAAAGTTAAATATTAAGCGGTTTATTGCACAACTTACCTGAATTCAGGTAAATTCTTTTGAATTCATTTTTTTTAGTTTCAGTTCTATTGCAGTACATTACCCCCTCTCTCTCTTTCAATATAAGTTAAGATTGTATAGTTTATTAAAGTAATACTGTAAATTATGTATGTGTATATGTGTGTGTGTGTGTGTGAGTGAGTTATCGGACAAATGAATGGCCAACCCGGACTATCAATAATAAAAAACATTACAAGTCACAAAAGTTAGTTTTTTTTGCGGGACTGTTATTTTCAAAATTTAAAAAAAAAAAATTATTAAACGTATAAATAGAGAAGCTGATTGCGTTCCTTTTTCAAACCATATATCTCACGAAATTATTCGAAAGTAGGAATGTTGTAGCTCAGTTGAAAATATTCTGAACCTGCACCCAACTACATTTCCAGAATGTGAAGTCGCAGTAAAACCTTTGTCGGAGATTTCGATCCTTGATTGGCAATTGACCATAAGCGTCCTACATTTTTTTCTTCTTTTTTGAAACAAAATAAAATAAATGAAAATAAAAATATCGAAACAATATTTATGATAGAAATCATATCCTTTTCCTTGTAAGAATTGATCTTCTTTTTTTACAAAAAGGCATATGAATTATATTGTATTTTCATGAAGCCAAGTATTATTTTATTTTTTTAATGATTGATTTATTTAATGCTATTTCTTTTTTTAAAAAAAAAACATGAGAAAATATACTCTTGTACTGTACAGTATTGTAATAGAAGAAGAAGAATTATGATGATTATGATTATGATGATGATTATTGACTATTGACTATAATCATTTGTTTCCCGCCTTTATGCCTTTTATATGTATATATCCCTTTTTTACTTCTTCTTGCGTCCTTTCTTGGCAGTCTTTGAAGCAGTGTCTTCGGCACCACGCTTCTTGGGAGCTGCTGTGGATGGAGATGCCTTGAAAAAGTCCAACATTCTACTCTGAGAAGCAGTCTTCAAGTTCTTTTCCAACTTTTCACATCCCTTTCTAATTCTCTCTTCACTATGAATGAAATAAAGCAGAATAGGATAAATACAAGGATAAACATATATAGCACTTAAAACCAACTTTTACTTACTTGAATCCCTTTTCATTGACCATAAACTGAACAACTGCATCGATATTAGGGGTTTCCCACTTTAACTAATGCATTAAAATATATATGATTAATACCAACACAATCCACTAAAATAAAATAATAATCATTACTCACGTCAACCTCAGATCCAGGAAGTACATCTGGTTTAACAAACAATTCTCTTGCTTCATCATACTTCCAGTTCTCGGGTACATTAGCCTTCAACTTCTCTGGCAGGTGTTCAATTACAGCCTCGATTGTCTTGTGTTCTTTGATCATTGCAAATGCACGCTGGGGTCCAACACCCTTGATTGTCTCCACATAATCACATCCCATCATAATACACAGATCAATAAACTACACATTAAATGCAACATCAGTATATATTCATATGGTCATTTGAAAATATAAAGATATATAGTATGTGTTTTTTATTGTTTGTTTTTTACCTGAGGCATATCCAACTCCATACCTTTCAATGCAGCATCGAGATTGATTTCATCAATAAGCATCTTTCTTTGTTCAGAGAATGTCAAGTGACGGAGCAATACAGGAGATCCAAATGTAACTGTATCCATGTCCTCGGATGCAGCAGCAAATACTTTTCCAGCTTTTGCAAGTTCAGCACATTGAGCCTCTGCTTCAGTAGGTGCCTAATATTAATTATTATTATTTATTACTTTAATCATCTCTCTTGATTTCCCTTTTTTTGCTTTACTCACCTCAACATAGGGAATACCCATAGTCTTTAATAATCTCTTGCATTCTTGGTTGTGTTCCTTTGTCACACGCACTGTTCTCTTTTCAAAGCGTGCAACATCCTCAGTAGTACCTTTTTTTTATTATTATTATTAATAATAATAATCATAATAATATCGATCAATTGATTAATTAATTAATTTAATTTCTTGCTTGCTTGTAAAAAAAAAGTTTACTTACCAACTTCATTGGCTTCTTCCATTTTGTTTAAAGCATCTTCCTTACGAGCCTTACGTTTTGCAAGCTAAGAATTATAAATTTATATAATTGAATTTTAGTTTGTGAATATTGAATATACATAAAAAAAAAGACTATTTGTTGTTGTTGTTTTCTTTACCTCACCAGATTTCATGGTAGGAGGCTTTCCATCAAATACATAGACTGGTTTGATACCGTTTTCTACCATACGGATAGTACGATAGAACATACCCATAAGATGACTTTTTTTATTATTATTATTATTATTTTTATTGTACATGTCAGTCAGATTCAATATTAATTTCTTATTTGTATTTTATTTTATAATGTACCTGGTCGTTTCACCATCCTCATTGGTCAATACTCGGCCATCCTGTTGTCTGACTGCAATCATAAACTGGTAAATGCACATTGACGCGTCAATTGCTACCTTGCGACCAAAGTAACTTTTGAATTCATGACTCTTGATTGCTGCTGGAGCCTGCTCGGAAATCAGTTTTGTGAGACCTTGGATTCCCATTGTTTATAAAGTGTTTATAATATTGTGTATATTTTTTTTTTGAAAGTAAAAATTAATAAGATAAAGGGAATCACTTGTCAAAAATGGAAACAAAAAAAAAATAGAATAAAGAGTTGAATGAGCTGTAAATGAGTTTATTGCTTGTTCAAAGCAAGTTTTCTGTGACATTCGTGACACTGTTTTTTTTATTGTTATTATTATTTTATATTGAATGACAGTTGTCTACTTTGAGTACACATTTAAATATATATGTAGATATATATAAAAATTTAGATAAAGAGAGGGAAGAAGTATAGACAAAAAAGGTAATATTGGGTGCTGTATAGTAATAGTCAAAGGATGTTAATGTACTCTAGAAATCTCACCAAAGAATTTAAAATAAATAAATTATACATGTTCTTTCTTTAATTGCCCTGAATATAACGAGTCTCTAACGCATTATATCTCTGATTGTGCGTATGTTGGTGTAGTACTGGTCTTGGGAGATCCAAGTTAAACTGGAATCAATAGAAACCTGATCAGCTTTATTGTTCTTGCTGTGGGAAGAAAACGATTTTATTTTACTTTTTAAGAGAAAAAATACTAGGAAAACAGGCTTATTATTCTGTCGTCAAAATATCGTCTTTGATATTTCTTGGTAGGATTTTTGGTATGATTTTATAGCACTTTTGAAGGAAAGAAAGGTATATCAAGTAAGCAAAAGAAGAAATAGAGTGAAATGATGATAAAAGTAATATTGATAAGGATAGATGATTAGTTGGTCATTGTGATTCTAATGAAAATCCAATTCCTTTTTGTGTGTTTAAAAGAATACGTGTATATCTTGTATATATTTGTGCATTTGTGTTTGTGTTTGTGTTTGTATTCTTCTCCTTTTTTTTTGCTTTCTTATGGTACTGCCTAAAAGACAGCTAAATAGTGTGTGTTTTTCTTTTTTGTGACCAAAGTTTCCTTGTTTATTTAACAATCAAGGTGGAGGCGTCCTTTATATATATATAAGAATATTGGGCTGTTCCACGAAAATTTCATATCAACAGTTTCATCTTGCGCCATCGTGTCTAGTATACATTGTAGTATCTATATAAAAAGTATAAAATAGAGAATTGTGGGAAATGTTATCAAGATAATAATAAATAGACTTGTAGAATTCACAAGGATCTTCAAGCCTTGATATCTAGAATCTCATTGGATGTCAATCTATACAAAAAAAAAAAGAGAGAAAACAAATGATTAAAGATGATGAGGATGATGAGCAGTCAATAGACTTCAAGGGACTCGCATAAAATAACAGCAAAAATAAAAACATGTTATCAAAGGAATGTTGATATCTATACTCCTTTTGTTCTTTGATGTGCAGCAAGTAAACAATAATGTGTGCATGCTTGCAGTCTAATATTCAGGGTCTGTTATTTTCTTAAAGTTCTTTAATGCATTCTAACTATAGGCTAGTACAATGTTGATAATCAATTGATAATAAAGATATCTATCTATTCTATCTACTCTATATATCTATGTATGTAGACGTGTTCCACAAGATAGGGCTTATTTGAGAGGTTGCAAAAGTATAATTGATATATGTATATATAGATCAGTGGAATATTGCAACTCAAATCATTAAAAGACAAAAGTAAAGATTGATGAGTAATTCAATAGTCAAAGCATTGAAATACTAATGATAATACAGGCTTGATTTCTCTTGATGCACTCTAAATGTACACATACCATTCTAGTTACATTCTCATTCGACGTTGATATAAATAAAAAGCAAATAAAGATTCAAACATTTATACATATATGTATATTGTTTGTGTAGCCATTAAAGAAGTATTCATAGGCACAAGTACTCTGGAAAGAAGAGTTATATAGAGTGAATTGTACTTGTATACATTTCTATAAGAATATCAAGGATACTTTATCTATTATTCAATACATGCTCATGTACACTGACATACAAATACAGATATAATTGATTAATTGATCCAAGAATTGCAGAATTGCAGAATTGAAGAATGGAGGGGAATTTCTTATTCTATTATTGCCGTTTTTTATCTGTACAGAGAACAATACTTCTTAAAGATGTCCTTGACTTCTGGACTTCTTCCACGAATTGGAGATGTTGCAAATGCAGTGACGATGTTCTCTGGTTGCTCAGTCCATTTTAACAATGGGATTTGATGAGGTTCAAGTGCTGTCACTAGTTTTTCGAGAGAATCCAAGTTTTTTGTCTAATTTATAATTTATAATTTATAATTTATTATTTATTTATTTTTTTAAAAAAAAAGATATATTACATTGAATTGATTCTTAAATTGTACTTTTTATTTTTATTTAATATACCTCGAGCACTACTTTATGCATTGAATGGAGATCTTTGAGATATTCCTTTGTATTTGGTTCATCGCGTGTAGTATGTAATACAGCTGTAGAAGCATGACAAGCCTGAGCAATTACACTATAGAATCGATCATGATGATAATTATTAATCAATTATTAATTATTAATAATAATTATAATGATAATTTTTTTTTAAAAAAATATATTTTTTTTTTTTAAAAAAAAAACGCGTTTAATAAATAATAATAATTGATAGTAAAAAAAAAAAATTGTAAAAAAAAAAAAAAATTAAAAAAAAAAAGTAAAAGGAAATAGCGTGTTTCCCCCGTCAATTTTTTTTTAATCATTTTTTTTTATAACTATTATTGAGTTACCTGCCAGTTGGCCATTTCAAGGTCTAAAAATAATAAAATAAAAACTGTAAATCAATACATATGTATTACCTTATAATACAATAATGATAATTGGCTTGCCTTTGAAAGATCTTTTCTGACTACAATAAACATCGTCAAAGGTTCGACAATGGCTGTAAGAGAAGAAGCCATTTCACTAGTAGATTCCATTAAGCAATCTATAACTAGATGACAAGAGTAATGATGTTGATGATGATGATGATGATGATGAAAATAATAAGAACATAAAAACAAGTCACACGTGTTAATAAGATATACACATAATAAGCATACAGTGCAGCTAGTAAGTTTTGTCAGTTTTCCAAAAATAAATGACGCTATGAAAAAAATGATTGGCCATTTGTTATTTGAATTATTGTTGGTAGATATAACCAATTGCGATCTTTCTAAATAAACTTCTTATTTTGTACTTAAATATTGTCGAGGAGGGATTCAGCATCAATATATTTGACAAGTTCTGAACAGAATTGATCTTTTTTTTTTCAGGAGGATAATAACCTTACTTGTTAGTACTTGATGAATTTTAGTTTGCAAGTTAAATCTATGTTTATTTGCTTTGTCTTTGCACATCTCAATGTATTCGTTCAATTTTGCTTTAGTTGTTCTTGGAGCAGATAAAGAAGGTGAGATTGAAGATGTATCATTAAGATCACGATCAGGAGATGAGGACGAAGCAGTTGTAGAGCCAGCAGGTGCAGTCTACATTATTAAAGGTGTTCTTAATCAGTATATCTTTTTGTAAATAGTTTTGCTAATACTATACCTGCGGCGGCAATTTCAATCTGACTACGAGACTTTTTTTTTCTTGTGGTGTTAATTGATTCATTTAATACTATTGTAATTCGGATTGAGTAAATAAGGACCTCAAGTCTGGAATTGTTTTAGACTTGTAAATTGCTTTTGTAGAGTCCTTGTATACTGTTTTGAACTTTCTCATCAAATTATTCATAGTATCTTTGTAAGTGTGGCATATTTCGAACCAAGTAATTATGCGCTCTTTATGGTATAACTCTATCTGGTCCCTAAAGATCCATTCTTATTATAATAATTAATACCAGTTAGGGTACAAAATATTCATAAATATTGTCTTTTGTGCTTTGCAAAAAAAAGTGGATGATAATTACTTACCAGTTTGTGCTGTCAGACTCTGGAAATATAAGTTGGTGAAAGAAAGAGAAAGACATGATACGCGTAAGGCTAATAAATAGTAAACTATCCAACAAGTCTGCATCACACTCTAATGATAACAACTCATACTGTGGCTCTTAAAGTAATGAGAGTTAGGGGCCTGAGAAGAGATGCATAAACTCAAAGTAGTAAAGCTAATGCACACAATGAATATGTCATGTTTTTTTCAAGACACACCACTTTACCCTGAAGGCTTAGAGAAAGACACCAGGCTGTCCTTCCGGGCTGTCAATAAGGTTTCCCTTTGATATCTGATTATAGAAGGGTCAACGTAATGACGAAGGAATCCTCTCACACCTGCCATGTTGCTCTGTTAGTGGTACTGACTTCAGTTAATCTGGGTGGGTCCTTAATGATACTTTTTTTTTGTTTCTTTGAAAGGTAGTAATTGCTCCCTTTATCAATTCTTCAATCTTGAGTGATCTAATTGAAAATACAATGTAGGTAGATTACCCCCATATAACAAGTTCTGGGTCATTCATGTCACGATATGGTGGTTGGCTACCAGAATATTGAGTAAAGTTGCTCGGTGTTGTGGGAATCGAGGTCTTATTCCCCAGTCCATCACTTCATCATTTTTGTCAACAATATCTTCTCGCCCATTAACGAACACAATTTTTTCCAGTGTTTAAGCACATAATAAGAAGTTTATTTAGAAAGGTCGTAATTGGTTATATCTACCGACAATAATTCAAATAACAAATGGCCAATCATTTTTTTCATAGCGTCATTTATTTTTGGAAAACTGACTTTTTTTTTTTTGTTTTTTGTTTTTAATAAACTCATTTCAATCAATTCATTTTTTGAGAAAGACATCATGAGAACATTGGAAGATGCAATTGTTAGTGAAATACAATTACTAGTTGATAATATTGCAAAGGTTTGTTTTGAGATAAATTTTGATAAAAATAAAATCAATAATGAAACAATATCCACCAAATGAAATGAAATGAAAAAAAAAAATTATATATGAAGTTGAATGAGATTGTAGCCGATGCAAATGAGAGAAATGTCGTTCAGTTGATTGATCAGTTACGACGGACAGAGACAAAGATGTCACTGGTGTACACGTTTTTCAAGACAGCAATGTATTCTAATAGTCAATGGAATACCGACCAGCAGCAGCAGCAACAAAAGGATTCAATTGAACCTAAAGATGATGTTCAAACCAATAGACCAGCATTTACATAAATTTAATATTTAAATATTTAATTAATTAATTAATTAATTAATAAATAAATAAATTAAATAAGTATCTTTTACGTGTATGTATATATATATATATATATATATATAAGACAGGCCAATGAACAGACAGACAGACAGTAAAATAGAGAGAAGAATAAGATGGGCAAAAAAGACTAAAAAGATAATAATAATAATAATAATAATAATAAAAAAAAAATATATATAAAGCTAAATCATTGTTATTTTTTGATATTTTTTTTTGGTGTAAAAAAAAAATAATAATATTATATAATTTATTTCTCAGCAGGTGCAGCCTCCTTGTTCTTGGGGTTGTCGGAGGACTTGCTCCAGTTTTGAGCCTAAAAAAATCAAAAAAAAAGAATAAAAAAAGTATAACATTTCTTAGTTAATTCTCAGCCACTCCCAAATTTTATATATATATTTTTTATACTTACAGCCTGCTTGAAAGCCTGGAAACGCACACGCAAACAGATAATTAAATAAATACACGTACACGCAACGGAGAGAGGGATTGAAAAAAAAAATCGCGAAAAAAAAATTATAAGAGAAATTTGTTTTAGTATATAAACACACAAAATCACATATTAAACTATATATATACACATAATAATCGGATGATCTACACATATAACACACATATAACACATAACACATAACACACTATATATATATATATATATAGATATAGATTGTGTGTATATATATGTAGGAGTGGGTTGGGCGTGGGTATGGGGTGCGGGTATGTTTTGAGTGTATTTGTTTTGAGTGCGTGTATGTGTTTTGTGTATATGGTATGTACGTGTGTAGTCAAACACCAAAAAAAAAAAAATAGAAAAAAAAAGGCGCGTCGGAAGACGGAAATAATAATAATCATAATAATGAAAATAATCATAATCATAATGAAAATGAAAAAATAATAATAAGAATGGTCAATAACGTTACCTCCTTGTGGGCAATACCGGGCTGGGCTTCCTTTACTTTGGCAAGTTCAGTCTAGAGATAATAAAAGAGTATTAATAAGCATGTCTATACTTCTTTAAAAGATTGTATCTTTTTCTCTTTTTTTTTTGTTGTTGTTGAACAAAACATGTATTTATCAACAAAAACAAAAAACAAAAAAAAGATATCTTACCTTCATGAACTTGTTGTAAGGAGAGAGCTTCTTGGCTAAGAAGTTAAAGATAAAGATAAAGATAGTGGTTAGTTGATAGTACTACAGAGTTAAAGTGACGTCCAATAGCAATAATTTTATATATATATATATATATTATAGTATACAATGTCTTGCGTGTATGGGTGTATGGGTGTATGGGTGTATAGAATCATATAGGGCATATAGGGCATATAGGAATCATATAGGATCATATAGAACATATAGAGCATATAGGTGGTATGTTGTTTGGTCAACTTACTGACGGTCTTCTTGGTGGTTTTTTCCTTGGCCATTATGAAAAGTTGTAGAGGAGGTGAATAAGAACTGAAGAGCGAAACAAGAGAAAGAAAACCGGCGAGGTTTCTTAAGTCGGTTACTAAGGGGAAAAAAGAGAAAAAGTAATAAGAGTGATGCTCAAAACTCGGCCGCCCTTCTTATGGCGTCTATTAGCAGGCCCACTTACTATGAAATTTTTTTTTCTCTTCACTATACTCTGTCCGAATAATAAATAGACCAATCAGACCCTACCACTCACTTGAGTGACGTGAGTGATGCTCTGTGTCTCATCACATGCCAGTCACTAATGAAGGAAAAAAAAATATGGCGGAGAAACAAATATTTCTCTGTCTCTCTCTCTCTTTCTTCAAGAACAAAAAGAAATTATGGGTCTCTTATTATTATTTTCTATTATATAATTAAGATACATACACGCGGGTATTATATATATATATAAAAAAGCACTTTTATTATTTTACTATATGCACTAATAAAAATAATAATCACTATTATTAAGTGCGTTATCTATATACACACGCACAAATACAATCATTCATTCACTCACTCAATTTGTTGAATTTTATTATTCTCTTTTTTTTTTTCTTTTTTTTTTTTTACTTGGCAAAATATAGCTCACATTCTTTAAATTAATAATAAAATTAAAATTAAAATTAAAATAAAATAAAATAAATATTCAAATATAATATTTGTATAATCGTATACAATGCAGGAATCTAATGTCGACTTGCGTTCTCTCAATTACTCTGAACCAAACCCAAACCTCATCTGCTGTGTGTGCCAAACCCCATTTATTGATCCAGTAATCTCACCTTGTGGGTAAGGTGCACAATTATCTTCTATATATACATCTATATATTATTATTGCTCTTTTTTCATAACCTGCCATTCTTTTCTTTTCCTTCTTTATCGTCCTTTGTCTCTATTCTTCCTCTTCTTCTTATACTATTATTATTATTAATAAAAACAATGCAAAAAAATAAAAATAAAGTCATACATTCTGTCAATCATGCATCTATCAAGCAATCGAAACCTCTCCACATTGTCCAATCGATAGAGCACCTCTAGAAATATCAAACCTCATTCCGGCCGTCAAGATAATCACCAACATGGTCAACGAACTCATCGTCCAATGCCCTCGTCTAGAAGCAGGCTGCGACTTTGAAGGCCAGCGTCAGTTCATACAGAATCATCTAGACCACGACTGTCTCTATAGCTCAACTGCCTGTCAAATGGAAGAATGCAAAGAACTCTTTTACAAGAAAGATTTGGATTGCCATACCGCAACATGCCAGTATCGTACCATAGAATGTTTGATGTGTAAAAAGATGCTACGAGCAATCCAATTACAAGTAAGCATATAATTATTATTGTTATATATATATATATATATAACTTATATATTTATATAGGAACATCATGATGTTTGCCCGGCAGAATTGATCCAATGTTCACATTGCTCAACTTCTCATACTCGCTCAGAATACACAAAACATATCAACACATGTCCATTACACCCAGCTACTTGTACTCACACTCAGTTCGGATGTACTTGGGCAGGAAAACGACATGAACAAGACGACCACGCTCAAACATGCGCCTATGAAGCTATCAAACATTTCTTGTTCAAACAGCAGCATACCGAACGATCCCTACGACATGATCTGGACCAACTCCAACAAGAGAACCAGCGGTTAAGAAACCAACAAGACTATCTTCGGGAACATGTCCAGCTCACAGTTGACCAACTCTCGCTATTCTTTCCATCCCATTTCCCGTCCCAGATCTCAACCTTAGCTACCGATAACACATACACCCATACAGCCACCACAGACACCACGACTCCAACTGTGGCTAACAACTCGACTACCTCAACTACCTCGACTTCCATCTCTTCCATCTCGTCTTCTCCATATTCGTATCTACAAAACGGTTTACCAAACTCTAGCTCGTCGTCCTCGTCTTCTTCTGCCGTGCCCACATCTTCATCGACTTTGCAAAATCCAATCCGACCAATCCTGCTGGCAGACTCCGAACGACTGGAAACAGAGCTCGAGACTCTTAATGCAAATCTGATTTCTCTGGAACTCAAGCAGAACATGGCGCTGATGACAGAGACCTTTAGACTCCAGGAAGAGATGCAGAGTCTGAGGGCCGTGTGTCATGGAATAAGGATGCAGATGCACTATGTAATGATGGAAAGAAGAGAGTCGATGATGGCTAATGCGTCCAGTACGGTTGCGAACACAAACGCCAGCGCAAATACAAGCAGTAGTACTACAGTTGCAGGCACCAATAGCACACCTGGAGCATTACCTGCCCTACAACGAATGCGCCAGTGGTTAGGTAAGCTATAATATCCTTGGTTTTGATTTTGATTTTGACTTTGACTTTTATTTCTAGAAACATCTGGGCCAAGACAAGATACTAAATTATAATTATAAAATAAATGAATATACCCTATCTATCTATCTATCTATCTATCTATCTATCACTCTATCTGTCTTTATTACTTGTATAAAATAATATAACAACAATGCCCTTTTCTTCTTCTTCTTCTTCTTCTTCTTTGAGGACAATACATATATATCTTATAGATAAACACAAAAATCTTTATTAACCTGTTTGTATGCATGTTCTACTATTCTTTCTTATGCCACAATTCTATATTATCAACTCCAAGCCACTACAACCATCTTTTTTTTATTTTAGTTTTTTGTTCTCTATCCAATCTGTCTTATACAAGGCGGACAACGAACATAAAGAAACACACGCTAATTTCAGACTACTTTGTGTCAAAATAGAATATAATAAAGAAGTTCTCTGAAGATATTTATAAAACACAAAATATTCTATTGTAACCATTTATTTATTATTAATCATTAAATGGCTGTACCAAGATCAAGCAAGCAATCAATCGAAAAGAAAAATAAGCACGATAGATCTATTGGAAAAAGTGAAAAAGACTACACGTCAGTACTTCCTCTTTCTTTTATTCTTTTTTTTTTCAGTAGTACCATTTTGATATCATTTATATATAAGATATAGACTAGACTAGATTAGACTAGCTTACCAATTTTTCTTTTTTTTTTCTTTTCTTCCTTTTGAACTTACTATAGTCTTAGTCTCAGCCTTAGTCTTGGTCTTGGTCTTGGTCTTGGTCTAATCCAGTTGAGCGGACTCTTTCTCCCTTTCTTCTTCTTTTTTTTTTTTGGAAGGAAGAGAAGAAGAAAGAGCTTATATATAGATAGGTTTCGGATGATTTTTCTTTATCCATACTTTTATATATCTTTATATATTGAATTCATGAGTATGAACATAAATGTTTTTTAGAGGCCATCATTTTGCCTATAGTCTATCAGTCATTTACCACAAAAAATCAATACATACATACATACAAAAATAGGAAAAAAAAGAAGTGCATGTTGATGACATCACGAGTATATTAGCCAATAGGTTTCATTACATCTATTTTATATATATATATCTATATTTACATTCTATTATTCTATAGATTTTTATTTATTTATTTATATTTTTCTTGCTCAATATTTTCTTCAACCGACTTGGCCTTTTAGCTTTTGTTCCTTCTCTTTCCCCTTCCCCTTTCACTTGCTAGGATCTTTACAGTATGTCTTTGTGTAGAAGTTTCGCTTTTATTTTTATATTAAAAACTATTTATAAAAATAAATCTAATATCTAATTGTAAAATAATTTAAAAAAAAAAGCAACTCTATATAAGCAAATCAAAGCAAATAAGATCAAATCAAATCATATCAAATCAGATCAAATCTTAATTTTACTTTCACAGTGAATTTTTTATTTATTTTATTGAAATAATTTGTACTGATCCTAATCTTATTCTTATTCTTATTCTTGTTCTTGCATTGAAATTATTTCTATGTATTTAAAATTTACCTGTTGTAGAAATGCCTCACTCTTTCGGTCGTAAGTTGGAAATCAAATCATCATTTATACTTCCTTGATACGAAAAAAAAAGAAAAGAAATACAACAAAATTTGAACATATAAAAAACACGCCACACCCGACACAGATACCAATACCAATACGAATAGACCAAAAAAAATGAATATTATGACTTCTTTTTTTTGTACAAATTCAATTCAATTCAATTCAATTATATGCGCATATATATATATCACTTGTCTATTTGTATATGCTCATATTTCAATTCAATTCAATTCAATTGCATTGAATTTGTACAAAAAAAAGAAATCATAATATTCATTTTTTTTGGAGGGTATTTGTTAAGATGACTTAAAAATTGGTTATTAAGAAAGAAAGAGAGTATAATTACATACAATATACGCACATACATACACATCTGTGAATCTGCATATTATATATATATATATATATGTAATATTCTCTTTGTTGAAAAGAAGATAAAAAAAAGCATGTATAATAATAAGAAGAAGTGAGAAATACCAATATGTATAAATACATGTATACATTTATACGCTTTTTGTTGTTGTTGTATAAAATCGAATAAATAAATCCATACATGTATAAATGTATAAATGTGTCTATAAATATGTAGTCCGTGCTCGCACCCGTCACATGTTCTCGCGCAAGTTCCGCGACCATGGTGCTATCCCCTTGTCGACTTACTTGACCATCTACAAGACCGGTGACATCGTTGACATCAAGGCCAACGCCGCTGTACAGAAGGGCATGCCTCACAAGTTCTACCACGGTCGCACTGGTGTCGTCTACAATGTCACCAAGTCTGCTGTCGGTGTCATCATCAACAAGCGTGTCGGCAACCGCTACATCGAGAAGCGTGTCAACATCCGTGTTGAGCACATCAAGCACTCCAAGTGCCGTCAGGAGTTCTTGGACCGCGTCAAGGACAACGCCCAGAAGAAGCAGGCTGCTAAGGATGCTGGTGGTAAGTCAACCATTACAATATAGTTTATTTTATTTCTTTTTAAAAATATATTGATTTTTCTTTTTGTTCTGCTTAAATAGTCATCGTCAGCATGAAGAGAGCTCCAATCCAGCCCCGTACTGCCCGTTACGTCTCTACTGTCAAGAACGTTCCCCAGACCATCACTGCAATCCCTTATGAGACCCTCTTGTAAATAAATATATATATATATATATATATATATAAAGTTCAGTTTCTTTTGATTTATTACTCTTATTGTTACCATCATTGCTTTTACTGTGGGCTACTGTACTAGACTCTTTCCTTTATATAAGTTAGTATATCATGTGTAAGGAAGTCCTGTCGATAACAAAAAAAAATGGTCAAAAATATAATCTGATTTGGCCACTTTGTTCAAATACCTTTGGTTATCAAAACGTATAAGCGCGTAGTGTATGCGTACCTGTTATGTAACAGTTTTGGATATTGTTAACTTGCCAGATTCATTAGCAAAAAGGGACCAACTTTTTTAACTGTGGGGTCTGTACTTTGCTCAATTTTTGTGTCTATACCACACATACAAAATATATTCTTTATCACCTTTCGTTCATTTTTCTTTTAATTTTTGCTATAAGAAAAGAAGAGAAAATAAATTTAATTACATGACATTAAAGAAAAAGTAGGAAAACGTTTATATTAACTGTGTAGGATAAAGAAACCCTCAAAAAATATAGAACACCAAAAAAAAAAAGAGTGGTGGGAAAAAGTACAGCTTACTTGATTTTATTTAGTGTATAAAATTTTTATAATACAAAAAATTTTCTGAAAAATATTAGAAACCCACAACTTTTGTAAAGCGGCAAATAAATGCATATATCTAGTGTTTTGGGACATTTATTTTAGTCGACAAGTGCTTGCACCTCTGTCACATATTAAAATTGGAACGATACAGAGAAGATTAGCATGGCCCCTGCACAAGGATGACACTAAACTTCTGAGATGGAACGCTCTACGGAGCATATTTTTTTTTCGTTTTGTCACCACCTAATATTATTTTTATTTTATTTTATTTTTTGTGTCAAATCTTGAAATTACTTATAAAATGATACCATACTGAAGAGCATGTCATTTTCACATATAATGTACACCATTTGCAAACATCCCTCAAAGTTCAATCCTTAGCCCTCATCTCCATTCAATATATATACATACTTCAGCTTCTTGTTACATTTTCATACAATTGCACCATCTCTTTTATCTAATGTACATTCAATTCTTGCTCCTCCTGGTGTCCATAGCTTTTATTATGCAGTTCCATTAACACCCATTATCACTCTCCTTTTCACTAGAGACGTGGCAATCTTTTTTTTTGCTCAGCTTTAGATGCGTACATGTTCAGCTAGAACTACACAAAACTCCATATAACTTTGGCTATCATTTGGATTCCTTCTAAATGTGCTGTCATCTATATATCCACCTTTTATGTTCTCTCAGAAATCCTCATCTGTCTCTATGATATGGTTCCTGCCGTTGATACAATCTATATACTTAATTATTTCTACGTTTGAGCTCACGTCTATATAGGACCTTCATTCACTTGTCCTAAATTTTAATATATATAGCTTTTCTATCTCTCGTATATATATACTATGATTGTACAGAATGTTCGTATTAGAATAACCTTTGTGACCTACAGTTAGACTTGGCCGCAAAAGTACATAATCGTGAATACAATATCGAAAGAGCTACAACAAGTTGAAAGCCCTAACTAAAGTCATCAAAGAGCTCAACATTCCTCTGCCCAACAGTTGACGAGATCATCAAAGAAAGAAAGAAAGAAAGATTCAAGACAACAGGCAACACAAGCTACAAGTTTGTGGGTGAGTGATAAGAGAATTTATCATACAAGCCTACCACAAGGAGTTGTTGTTTTTTTTTGGATATATATTATTTATAACAACAGTACGACCACACTATCAGAATTGTGTAAAGAGACACTAAAGCAATTTGATGATATTGACACAAAAGTATTTATACTTTGTGTAAATAATTTCCATTATATTGCTGGAATCGTTCTCAAGAGAGCAACGCCTGCTAAAGGAGAAGAGGAACGATAGACACTCTTTTGAAAATATGCGAGTTCATCATGAGCCTAAAGCCTGCAGTCTGAAGCCCATTATTTACCACCAAAAAAATGTATCTTTGATTGATAAACCTGGACCTACCTTTTTTAATTTAAAAGACTGTGCTCTTGTGAAAAAGAGATTAGGGCAGGAAGGCAAGTCTAAGCCACCAATATATGTGGCGGGCTTGTCTTTATTCTCTCGATCATTATTTCAACTTTTAAATATCCTCTTTTGGGATATGATATTTCTGCTTTTTTTTTTTTTTTTTTGGTTTTAAAGCATATTTCTCTATAAATGACAGCTGGAGTCACGTGTAACAGGGACTTGATTCAAAGGTAGTTTTTTTTTTTACTTATATTCTTTTTAGTTACCCCTTTTTTTTATTTATATATTTTATATATATATATAATATTTGGCTCTGCCATGTCAGTCACCTCTCGCCATTATGCTACTCCAGAAGTGGTTCAGATTCCAGTTTTGACTCAGCCAATAAAAGACTCAAGGTCATTCATTCACTTCATTGCAGGAGGGTAAGTTTAAAGAAAGATAAGAAGAATAAAAAAAAATCTTGGTTATACAAACAAAACAACAACAACAACAATAACAACAATAGCTGTCAAAAATAAATTTCTTAAAACCCCAATGTACCTGATCAAATGTGCACATTCCTTGTAATTTTAATTCTCTTTTTCTTTTCTTCATTCTTTGTATTTTATCAGTGCAGCTGGCTTGGCAGGAGCAGTATGTACGTCTCCATTGGACGTAGTAAAGACTCGTCTTCAAGTATGTTTGCTTGTTTTTTTTAAAAAAAAAGATAGATAGTAAAGGATAAATATAAATATGTAATTATAAATATCTAGCTAGCTAGTCAGCTATCTATCTATATATTTATTCATGAGTTTTGGTGTATATATGCATGTATTTACATTTTTATATATGTGTTTTTTTACATAGTCTACATTTTATCAACAAAGCGCTCTCAAGCGTGCGGGGAAACAAACTTTTTTGTGGCACCATTTTGCAGAAACAGGTCGATTATTGATGTAAGCTACAACTAGAATAAAAAAATAAAAGGAAATGATTGATGGCTTACTAATTAATCACTGTAATTGATATAGCCGTATTCAACAAGTAGAAGGAGTACGAGGATATTTCAAAGGTCTTGGACCAAACCTAATTGGTGTTATTCCTGCAAAGTAAGATATATATATATATATAGGAATCCAATTCAATTAACAACCTTGTCCTTTTTTTCTTCTTTTTTTCTATTGCCATCATCATTAACATTATTGCTGTTATTGTTATTACTATTAGATCTATCAATTTCTTTGTGTACAGCAATGGTAAAAGGCTTTACAGTGAAATAAATCATGGAAAAGAAACTCCTGTCGTACATTTGGTTTCAGCAGCCACTGCTGGTGAGTAGAAAGAAAGAAAAAATATAAAGAAGAATAAAAGACAATTAATGCATATGCTTGGGTCCAAAGGTATTGTGACATCTACAGCTACGAATCCTATCTGGGTGGTCAAGACACGTCTTCAGTTACAGAGTACAACAACACGACAATACACCAGCTCCCTAGACTGTCTACTCCACATCTTTCGACAGGAAGGCATCAAAGGTTTCTACAAGGGTATGAGTGCATCCTATCTTGGTGTGGTGGAGGGTACGATCCAGTGGGTTACATATGAGCACCTGAAGAAAAGATGGGCAATTTCTGCTTCCGAAAAGGCACTACAGAGTAAAAAGAGGACAGTAGGAGGAAAGAACCTTCAAGGTAATATATATAAATATATAAGATAAAATGAAATGAAACGAAAATTAATCAATGAATTGGTTTGTAGAATGGATGGGTAATCTTGGAGCAGCGGCAATTTCAAAATTGGTTGCAGCCTGTATTTCATATCCCCACGAGGTGCTTCGTACTCGTTTGCGACAACCGGCAGAAGGAGGAATTCACAAGTACAAAGGCGTCTTTCAGACACTAAAACTCGTAGTCAAAGAAGAAGGAGTGGTTGCTTTGTATGGTGGTATGTCAGCACATTTGATGCGAGTTGTTCCCAATGCAGCCGTCATGTTCTTTTGCTATGAAGCCATAATCCACACATTTGGAAATCAAGCAACAGAATCACAAAAAGTACATCTTTAAGTCTTTCTTCTTCTCTCTATATCTACCTCCTACCTTACTTGCACACAAAACATCATCTTCCTACCCTTTACATTTCTTTTCTCCTTTTTCATCTTTAACATTAACCTTTCTTTATTCTTCCTTCATAATCGTCACCCATCTCTCTCTCTCTCTCTCTTACTATTTCTCTATTGTGTATTGTTTATTTTTTGTGTTCTTATTTTTTTTTATTCTTTAAAAATTATCTATATATCTCTTGCTTTCTTTTGCTTTCTATATATTTTATTTCCTTATTCATTGACTATACTACTATTACTTTACAACCTGCTTCTGATATTTTAGATCCTATAGAAAGAAACGAAAGAAGTCAACCAACCAACAATGAAACAAAACAAAAAATGACTCTTAATAAATATCAAATAATTAATATATTTCTATATGACCAGCCTTCAAATATGACTTTTGTTTTATTTCAAGACACACACCCACATACACACACACATACACACGATAACAAGTAGATAAAGACCATCAGACTCGCAACTGGTGAGGATGGTAGGAGGGAGAAGGAAAATAATAAATAAGAATAAGAAAAAAAAAAGGCTGAGACTCAACATTTAGACCACACAACAATATGTAGAATAATTTTTGTAACATATAACCTTCTCCTTTTTTTCTTCTTATTATTATTATCTTTTATATATATATATATAATTATTCGATAAAATCATAATGCCTGTTCCCGATGAGACCGATGTTGACCTTAATAAATGGCTTAAAGAAATCCAGGGTGCCGAATCCCTAATGAGTGATGTCGAAGCCAAGGCTGATTCTCTCCAAGTCAAGGTCGATGCTCTCTTGGCCGAAATGACTTCTATTGAACAAGAACGCAAAGCCAATCCTCCACAAATACCCTCATCAGAATCACCATCGAACTGATCAAATTCAAACTGAAATATATATATATATATATATATATATTTCTTACTATTACCACTACCTATGTTACTTCTATTTTTCTCCTTTTGTTTTTTGCTTTAACCGGACGAATGAAGAATCGACAAATAAAAGAAACGTAAAACTTTTATTATACAATCAATTTACATAAAGTCTACAGCAATGACATTCAAAAGAAATTGTTACCAAGTATTTCAAGACAAATATAAAAAAAAAATACACGCACACACACACACACACAGACGTATATATATTATATATATACGTGTGTGTGTGTGTGAGAGAGAGAGACGCGGTTTAATTTTTCTTTTTATTCCTATTCTTATTCTCTTATTTAATCAATTGCTTACTTGCTTATTTGAACCTATAGTCTATCTATCTATATACATATATATTGTTATTATTTTGGAATGTCTTCTTTGCAAAGAGATCTCTTCAAGAAAGGAAATTATGCTTTCGACAGACTGTCTGAGGATGAAGAACCAGTAGACCCAACCGCTCCTGCGCAAGTAGTTTCTTTTATTTCTTACCATTACAACATGAATTACTTGCACAAAAAACCATGATGTCTCTCTTCTTTTGTTGTTTTTGAGCGCATTACCTTTCTCGCAATTTAAATTTTTACTGTTCGGAATCCTGGCTTTCTTTTTTTTTTTGAAAATATATATATATTTATATATATTTATATATGCCTGTGTGTGTATTATATATTTACATTTATAGTTCGCGTGGAATGGCTTCTCATGTCAAACAAAAGTACAGCCCATTAGACTGGACTGAATGCTTTGATACTCGGGAAATCATCACTATTCCTGGTACACTTGACATATCCTTTTTATTCTTCTTAGGCTTACAAATTAACCCATGTCAAAAAGTTTAGTTATATATAACAAAAAAAACTTCCTTTTTTTGGTTTTCTTTAACAAACAATTCATAAACACACCTTTTGCGTTTACAAGATTGAGGCAACAGTAGATACACCAGGCCCGGTTTTCCTTCTCCATCATGGTGCAGGAAGCAGTGCGCTATCTTTTGGATTCACGGCCAAACACATTAAAGAATTCACTCACGGAAAATGCTCTATTGTAGCCTATGATTGTAGAGGCCATGGTAAGCTATTAATCGATACAGCAATAGGGAATAACAGCAGTAAATATTTATATTAATAGCCGAAATTTAATTTCTAATACCTTGGTTGTGTGTTCGTGGGGTGAACTTTGATAATTTGCATATGTCTCTTCTTTAAATAAAATAAAATCAAATACTGTCTACAGGAAACACAAAGACAGAAGAAGACACTGATTTCTCTCAGGCACGCCTAAGTGATGATTTGGTACTTGTAGCAGAAACATTGTACCAAGGCAATGTGCCTGACATAATCTTAGTAGGTCACAGGTAAATTTAACTTGGTGTTGATAACAGTGATACGGTCTCTTTACTATTATTATTACCATTTGCGTGTTTGTGGTCGACTAAAATATATATATAAACTAAAAATAGTATGGGTGGTCCTATTGTGGTTGATGTGACCCAACGAAAAAGACTGCCGCACATCCTGGGTGTCTCGGTATTGGATGTGGTTGAAGGATCGGCTATAGAAGCATTGGTGTCTATGAATAGTTACTTGGCTACACGTCCCACATTTTTTACTTCGGTAGAGCAAGCAATCCAATGGAGGTTAGTCAGAGTGTTTTCTTTGATATAAAATATGAAGGGTGAAGATGAATATAAAGATAGATGAGAGGTAGAGAGTAGAAGACTTGTTTAAAGATGTACTAATCATGTAATCTGGTAACTTTAATTACATAATATAATATAATATGAATTGAATTGAATTGGATTTTGATTTGTTTTCTCTGCTGGTGGATAAAACAAACTTAGTGTCAAATCACACACTGTTCGCAATGTCGAGTCTGCTAGGCTTTCAATTCCTCCTCTTCTTAAACCACAGGAAGATCATCCCTCTCAATATGTGTGGAGAACAGATTTGAGAAACACCGAACTCTACTGGACAGGTAAACACAATAAAGACATTATCTTTCTGGACAGACAATTGATTAATGTGTTTTTGGTATGTAGATTGGTTTACAGGACTTTCGACCAAATTCTTGGCTTGTGCGGCTGCAAAGCAGCTCATTTTGGCAGGTAAAATAAAATACAAAGAAATATACAAAGAAATATATATATATATATTTTACATATTTTTTTTAAAAAAAAAACAGGCACAGATCGATTGGACAAGACTCTTATCATAGGTCAGATGCAAGGTAAAGAAATAATAATACAATGATCAAAAGAGATTGAAATTCACGATTTGATATGATTTTATCATTATTTTTTCTAGGTAAATTTCAATTGCATATCTTCCCTGAGGCCGGTCATTTCTTGCAAGAAGATGCTCCCTCAAAGACAGCCCACTGTTTGGTTGAATTCTGGGAAAGAAACCAACGCCTTGTTCTACCTCCAAAAGTCAAGATATAATCTCAAAAATAAATAAATCATATAATTATTTGTGTGTATGCTACTCCAGTAGTGTAACGTGCGAAACGTCGCCTAATAAGATGGTACAATAGTCTGATGAAATGCATTTACTTTTGGTTAGAATACTATTCATCTAATAGAAATGAGAAACCCTCGTTTATTTTTTTTCTAAAAAAAAGAAATAACGAGTATTGAATAAGTTTTACTAGAAAAAAATCTCGACTGCTAACTAGTTTACATTTTTTATACTATAGAATCGTTACAAACCACTGTTAAAACTGTAACAAAATACAGGACTTGACATGTTCCAGATTTTGCCTTTTTTTTTGGCGGTCTATACAAAGTTTACGCAGTTAGAAAGCCTAAAAAGAACAAAAGAAGAAGAGATACACTTTGCATATTATTATTTTTTGCAATTCTTAAGTTTTATATTGAGTGACTGTTCACTGGTGAATCAAAAGAAGAAAAGAAAAAAGTCGATTTATTCAGGAACATCGGTGACACGGATAAGTTTGCAGTAACGTGCCTTACTTCCAATTTGGCTCCACAATTTACAAAATGCTCTACAAAAGTTATGGAACGGTTTTCTCTTCACACACACACACACACACACACAGCAGTAGTAGCAGTAGTAGCAGCAGCCACTCAGTCAATTAACTAGAAATACAGAAGAAAAAGAGAGATAAAAAAAAGTTTAATAAATTTGATTAATTTTCCTCCTTCTCAAAAGCACTCAAAGTGCTACAATTCTTAATCCAAAAAAAGAAAAAAAAAGAATAGAAAAAAAAAGTGCCTTGTATCTCTTTTTTTTCTTTTTTTTTTTTGCTTAAAGAAAAAGAAGAGCTAACAGTTGCTAACGAAAGAGAAGGAGAAGAAACCTTAACAAACGTCACTTTGTATTCCTTCATTTATACGATAACCCACAATGAGATCTCAATCAACTCATGTCTACAATTACCCACCAGACGATCTGCATGACTGGGACGAACTCAACCTCCAAAACTACTCACATACATCCGCCCATTACGCTCCTTACCCAAAGTTGGTTCAACTGAGTGATTTCAATGCAATCTTTAGTGATGACGAGGATGATTCTCCCGGTCTGCCTCCTCATCAGGGCAAACGGACTGATTCAGGCAACTCTCTACCTTATCCTCACCCCGCACTTTCAAGTGGATATTCCGATACGCCGCTGAGTTCGTCTTCCTACTACATCCATCAAGCCGATACTGCATTGGCAACCCTAAAACAAGTTGTCCGAGAAGACGGCTGGAAAAAGGCATTAAAACACAAGAGTGGTGTTGTTGTTCACATGAAAAGTGGTGTGTTCAAAGGAGACAAGGCGCCTATATTCAAAGGCGAATCTATAATCCAAGGATTCTCTCCTCAGTCAGTGTTTTATGTTATTGGCCTAAGACGCCTGTGGGATGAACAGTAAGTCCAATATATGATCAGTTCAATTCCATTCGCTAATCACGTTCTCTGAATAATTAATAATTGTCGTGTTTGTGAAATAAAAGATATGAAGATGGTAACCTTGTCGACAACCTCAATGATACGACATCATTGACATATGAAGTCAATAAACCTACTTCTTCTTCAAAGTAAGAATGGATAGTATTGGTTATATCTTGAGATTAATCTTGGATTTGCACTCTGTTAGAGCACGAGATTTATCTCTCGTCGAAAGAATTGAGTGTACATCAACAGGTGCTATTATATTTGCATGTACAAGTGTAGAAACTCCACGGATACCTCGTATACAAGGACGTACTCGTACACAGATAAAGGTAAATTTGTGTTTCAATAAATCACAATTAATACAACATAATATATTTGATATTTAGTATTTAGTATTTAATAATTAATATTTATTTATAAGATTATATATACTTTTCATGTATTTTCAGCGTATTAAAAAGGTCGTGCTTTCTTCTTGTTTTGCTTTAATTAAATATATACTGATAGTTACAAGGCTGGATTTTGGAACCTGTACATTTCAGCTCACAGCCTGCAACAAAAGTTACATATATCATTCAAGAGAGCATGAAAGGATGGGTTCCGGGATTTGCAAAAAAGTCATTGGCTCGGCGCCCTCTTGTGATTGCTCTAGTAAATGATTATCTTCAGAAAAAGGCAGAACGTGCTCGGGCACAGAAAAGGTCTTCTAGTTCGTTCCTAGGTAACATATCCCAATATAACCAAAGGCCCTCTGTTATGAATCCTACTCTGGATCCAATGTCTATCGATCAAAATAAAAAGTAAGTATTTAATGAGAAATCAATTGAGATTATATCTCGTACATTCATATAAAAGTCAATAAATCAATAAAATAAAATAAAAAAGTGGTATACGACGACCTTCTGGCCAATCTTCGGGATCAAGAAATGGATCCAGGCAAGCACCTTCCCCAACACCCTCTCAGAAACCCATTCTGGTTGGATCCGGAAATACACTGGACCAGTCGGTAGTAAAGAGACACATCAAGTTTGCCGACAACGACCTGACATATTCATCCGACTCACCCTCTGCAACCTCACTTGACTCCGAACGACCGTCTGTCGATTCCGTTCCGAGAAGACCATTACCGGACCCGCCTAAACCTATGGGGTTGAGACCTATGCCTTCTCGCCATCTTTATCCATCGCATCGACATGTCTCTAAAAGGTCTGACAGCGTGGCATTATTAAAACGACTTTCGTCTCATTCTCTGGACGAATGGACACTCAAAGACAACACAGATGGTGTCAGTACATACCAACTCACCAGAAATGTGGATGAAATCTCTTTTATTCGTGCTGATTACACTATTCAAGGAAAATGGACTGCAGAGCAACTATGCTCGGTAATACATTGCTATGGCGCCCGTCATGTTTGTAAGCTTTGATATGTAAACATACTACATGTATGAACTGTAATTAATAATGGTTTTATTATATCCCCAAAAAATAAGGGGATGAATTCTTTGGCAATGGACATATTGTAGAGCGTTTCAGTCAGAAAGAATATCTCGTACATTGGTTCTTAAAAAACAAAGAGATAGCAGAAGATATATCAGCAATTACTAGTATTGATACTGATGTTACAAGTGGAGCGGTGTACACGGCAACAACTAGTGTGCTTGATACTCAGGTTCCAGAAGATGGTTCAGGGAAATATAAACGTGTACATATGCATTTATATGGCTGGAAATTCCTCCCACATGTTAACGAGCGTGGAAGAACACAATCAGTTACGGTCACACTGGTCTATAGCACCAATGCAGCTGCTCTTCTTAATTCCCCAATAGACACATATCCTCGTACGTGCGTTAGGAATGCATGTAATTATATCGAGCAAAAAGGGTTCCCGCCTTACATTCGAAGGGTTGCTGGAAAGGTTATTGAAGAGGTATTTGTGTCCGATACGAAGGTGTACAAGATCTGTTATATCGCCAAACATGAACCATCAAGTTCATATCGTGCCCGCAAAGGTAATACTCCCGGAACTTGGTGCACGGAGATCCGGTTTCACAACTCCATGTACCCCGATGGAGTGCAGATCCAGGCAGAACCAGCAAATGAAACTCGAGTTGAGCTTGTTAAAGAGACCAGTGTAGTTAAAATATACACAACCCAGCCTACAATCGAAGGAAAGAATGTCACGATTACAATACGCCCTACTGCTCCTGTCATCACATATGCTGCATCTATTGATGAGTACGATATGGCCAAGGAAGTTCAAGAGACAGAAGTTGCTTCTACGGAAAAGATACCTGAACGCCCTGCTCTTTTAGACTCTTTTAATAATGAGAAGTGTACAATTAAATCTAGTAAGAAAACTGAGTAGTAGTAGTAGTAGTAGTAGTAGTAGTAGTTTTTACTTTGATATATTATTTATTTATTTATTTATTTAAAATGTCTCTGATTAATACTGACATATTGTGTGTGTTATTGTAGACGATGATCAACAGAAAGACATGTCATCCCCTGCTCCTCTCACACACCCACTACATCCCCTTCAAATAGCCGAACAGTCACCAAACCCTCCAGGCGCGTACATAGAGCCCAAATCCACATCATATTTTACTTCTCTTAATACGGACATTACATCAGCTTCTTTGCGTGTTCCTAAAGGGTACATGCTTGTTCCTGAACACCAGGTAAATTATTGCTATTAGTTAGTGTTCTTTTTCTTCTTCAGCTAATATGAAATTCCTATTAATAGAACAACAATATAATTATTATTACGGATGAGCTCTCATTCAATGGCCAACAGCTGGCTGTAGTGTTCATTGCAATGGTTCTCTGCTATTACATTGGAAAATTTGCTTCTGTGTGTTAGAATTCTCTTATTTATTATTAAACTCTTAATATTGCATACACACATAATACACATGCACACATTTGATAAAAATGTCAAACTATTGGATTCATTTTGTTGCGGTTGATATAGAATTTTATTATAAAAACAGTTAAAAAATACACAGGGAATTATCTTTTAAAAATGTAACTGCTAGGGATGTCCTTTATATCTTTTAATAGTTGGTTAAACTTTTTTTTCTTGTATATATATAAAAAGGTATCCGGGTATTTATTTATTTTGTGATAAATGTTAAATTTTATATGTTTTCTTTTCAAAGCTTACTATTCTTGACTTCAGATAATTCGATCACCAAATCACCACCTTCTACAAGCTCGCTAGGTTTACCGTAAATATGCTTTACACGGCCATAGATTGGAGATTTAATTACTGTCTCCATTTTCATGGCATTTACAACAAAAAGCTCTTGTCCTTCCTTCACAACATCTCCTTCCTCGACACTAATCTCAACTAACATGCCTGTGACAGGACACCCAACATCAGTCAGTGTGCGTGCAACAGCCTTTCTACGGAGTTTTGTGCCAGCCGAGGTGATAGCGGATTTTCGTGTGATGGTCATTGCGAAAGGATTGCTTGGGAAACCAGGTGCTTCAGACGATGCTGATTGTACGTGTGCTGAAAACTCATCTGGAAAGTTATTGACTGAGATGGAATCTATCTGGAAGGTGTGTATATTTGATGTGGTGTCTTTGTTATTTGGATCACTGGTTTCGATATTAAATGCGTCGCCAGGCTTAAACTGTAAAGAAGATGCTGAAGTGGGTGCTGCTGTGACCTTAGTGGATGTTTTCTCATTAATGAGTCGGAGTCGTCTCTCTTCCGAAAGTACAGCGGTAATCTTTAGGTGGACATCCATCTTGTTTTCGAGTGATTTGATATTAACATTAGACATGGAATTTTCAAAGAAATCAGCGTCTGATAATAATGCGCGTAAGAAATCAATGTTGGTATTAACTCCGGTAATTACTGTGTTCTTGAGAGCATTATCCAGCTTGGAAAGGGCATCGTCAAAAGATTGTCCAGTGACAATAACCTTGGCTAGTAATGAATCAAAAGTCTATATCAAGGTATATTTTAAAGGTATCACTTAGAGATCCATTACATTACACTTTTTCTTCTTCTTTATCTCTCTCTTACTGTTCAATATTGCTTTACCGGAATTACTGTAGCTCCAGATTTGACCCAAGTATCAACACGGATACCATGACCGGTTGGGAAACGAAGGTCGGTTATCTTTCCAACCGAGAGCATATTATTATGCATAGGATTCTCGGCTACTACTCGAGCTTGGATTGCTACTAAGCGACTCGGCTGGATAGTATCTTGATTTAATCCCATCTGTACAAGACTTTGGCCAAGTGCAATTTTGATTTGAGTCTGGACAATATCAACATGTGTAATCTGTTCGCTGATGGTGTGCTCGACTTGGATGCGAGGGTTGACCTCAAGAAAATAAAAACTATTGGAATCTGGATGAACGAGAAATTCAACTGTTCCCACTGAATCGTATTTGATGTGTCTACAAATTCGAATTGCAGCAGCATGGATTTCTTTGGCTAGGTCCTTGTTAAGTGATGGGCAAGGGGCCACCTAAGTAATTTTAGTGTAAATAACAAGAAATGTTCAAACTATAATAATGAATCTTATTTTATTTTATTTTTGACATACCTCTAAAACCTTTTGGTAGCGTCTTTGGGCCGAACAGTCTCTTTCGAATAAATGGATGACATTTCCGTGTCGATCACCCATTACCTGAACTTCGATGTGTTTTGCACCTTGTATTGCTTTTTCAGAGAACACTTGCTTGGAAGGTGACTCGTTGATACACCTCTTCAATGCATCCTCGACATCTTCACGCCCAAGACACATTCGGATACCACGCCCACCTCCACCATCGCGCGCCTTCAACATCACTGGATAGCCAACTCTTTCTGCAAATGTGTAAACTTCAGCTGGAGTGGATAACGAGTGCTCGGTTCCAGGTATAACAGGAACATGTGCTGCAATTGCGACTTGCCGAGCTGATATCTTATCACCTACTGCTTTAATACAGCCTGGGGATGGACCAATAAAAAGTATTCCTTGTGATTGGCATTGGTTAGCAAATTCGGCCGATTCTGACAAAAACCCATATCCTGGATGGATGGCATAGGCATTTACACTGATATAAAAAAGAACCGAGTAAGCAAATTGATGTGTAGGGTACATATAGATGCTCAAAACACATTAATCTATTTAGACAACCTTTTGGCGGCTTCTATTATCTCTTTTGGGTCAAGGAAGGAGGCGGCACTACGAATCCTTATAGAGATATGTGCTGCATCGCAGTGGGATGTATCTTGAGGGTCTGAGAATACAGCGACAGTCTCGAATCCAAGCTCTGTGGCTGCAGTTAATATTCTGATGGCGATTTCACCTCTGTTGGCAACCAATATCTTTTTGGCTTGGTATCCAGCCATGATATAAGTAAAGAATGAAGAAGAAAGAACTGAATCTGTAAGAAAAGAAAATCCATTTTGAGGGAAATTTCCTTACTCAGCAGAAAAAGAAAAACTTGTCCACCCTGAAAGTATTTTGTGGAGAACGATTGGCTCTTCCTGGTTTGTGTTCATCTTTTTTTTTTAAAAAAAAAATACACACTACCACAAATATCACTCATACACTGAGGCACAACCAAGCAAGAGAAATATAGACGTCAAAGAGGTTCTTTTTCAGAGGTATCATCGTTTATTTTGCCTAAAAACCAAAGCACGCCTTTTAACCATAGATATATATAGTTCTTCTAAATCAACTTGAAAAAATACAGTATGTGCTGAAATTACAACTTTAAATGATTAACCGGTGGTGCTTTTTAAATAATAAATAAAAAAAAAATTTATTTCTTGATTCAAAAGCTTATTTTCATTTATTTTATTAATAAAAAAAGTTATCAGAAAACAGCTCCTTCCATGTCATGCCCTGGAATAGAGACAGACGAGATCATCAACTGCTGAAAGTAAATTCCGAAGAAAAAACAATCAACACACTTCACTCTTTAGAAGGTCTGCTAGTATTCATCTACTAACTTGAATATTGTGTCTAGTTTGAAAAACGTAGAACGGTTATGTACTGCATACAGATCCTGTAGAGTACGGTCACTAAAGAAAAAATAGGTTTCCAGTTTAGAGGGGGTTTATATAGTTTTTCGAAAAAAAAAATCGGTAATTTAAAATAAATAATTTTTCTTTAGCAGTCATAATTTAGAATAAATCTCAGCGACAGTACTTGCAGGAAAACAATTTTCTTTAACAAAATGTCAAATCCCTTTGCCAAGTTATTTGTCACATTTGTTACTTTCATAGTGTTACCCAGTTCTCTAGTTCTCTAGATTTATATATATACATATATACATCTTGAGTGATTCCTCTGTCAGGGAGCTTGTATTTTATTTTAGCTCTTTTTCCTCAAGGTTCTAAATACCTAGAAAACACTATGAAGTCAACAAATGTGTCAAACTAATTTGGCGAAAGGATTTGACATTTTGTCGAAGAAAATTGTTTTCCAGATTTATGAGGTGGTATATATATATATATTCATAAATAACACCATATTTAAATAAAATGTATAGTTTATTATTTAACTTAGTGTTTTTTATATTAAATATTATGAAACTGATTTTTGTAATGATAAATATATATATATATGATTAAATGGTATATAAATTAATATTTACGCACTTGCTGTCGGTATACTCTCTTGATAAACAAGTATATATCAGTCAAGTATGTTGCTAGTAATGTGTTTCTATTTACAAGCTTCATATTTTATGTTGTAATAAAACAAGATTGAATTACTATTACGAAATACGGTTAGCATTGTTCTGATTAGGCAAAAGAGAGTATTGAGAGGGTAGTGATCCTATAGTCGATACGGTCTCAATGTGTACATCATCCTTTGTTTCATTTGACGTATTTCGCTGTAGGCGGCTTAATAGACCACTCCACCACTTAAAACGGTTGTGATAAGATACGGGTGCACCCTGATCGGTTACTCTGACAGATGAATCTCTTCGCACTTTTGGCAGTGTATACATTGGCTCTCGAGAAGGTGGTGGGGTTGGAAAATACTTGTAGTACGCATTTGAAATGGAAAATAAACCATATATTACCAAGCATATTCCAGTCAACATCAAGAAGAACTGTCCTCCACTTGATGTTGCGAGTTTACTCATAGCTGCTCCGATAACATTATGTGATCCTGACTCGTTTCGTTTGGCAAGAGAATCCCAAAAGAATCCTGACAAAGTACCAAACACTGCCGCTCTACCCGCAAATCCAATACGTCCAGCTGTATTGACAATTGCCGCTTCCCATTGTCGTGCATTCGGATCTGATGTACGTAGATCATGGCGAAAATTACATGTGACAGAATTAACAATCTGCGTGATGGTTGCGATCATAAAAGCAATTCCGAGAAGACTAATTCCAGCTTTTCCGAGGCTTGAGCCTGTCCATGAGCCTGGAAATGCTTTACTGGATGTCAATTCTTGTTGCTCCTCTGGTGTTTGGTATATCATTCTAATCACATAGTATGTGTATGCGACATAAACACAGCCGCTTACAAAAGGTGAAAGTCTGTAGCGAAAAAAATTGGCGGCTTTACTCATTTTGGCATCCGCTCCCTGGCTGGTTATAGCTTCCCAGAATCTATAGTCCATGATAAAACACATATCAGCTTACTCCATAATTCACCACATGGTACCATATGTCTGTTATTACCGCCATATAATGTAGGTTATAAGTCCTATTGCCAGGATAACAAGAATTGGTCGACCAATATAGGGTATTCCACCCAACAAAAGAAATGCTCCCTTGAAAAATATGAATGAGAAATGGAATAATGGAATAGTTAAATGAACTGAGAGCATCGATAGCTTGTAAGTACACAAGTACCTGTGGTGATTCGTTATTCTGGCTCCCGTTTGGCGTCCAATCGCCGGTGACATTAGTACATGATAAGACACCAATTATACCATACACTACTCCTTTGGCAATAAACCCACACCGACCAACAAAAGTAAGGACTTTTTTATGACCTTCCTTGATCCCACCTAAATAAAATGGGAGGGACATGCTTGTATCTTCTTGATCTTGATCTTGTTTTGGAGGAGGTTCTTCGCCGGGTATTGGAAGTATATCAACTGAAGTGATGTCAATAGGTCTGTGTGGGGGCGTCAGCATCGAATCTTCGACCTGGTCATTTGGCTGGCTATGTAGGTTGATTGTTTCTGATAACCCTGGGCTTAACTCAAAGTTTACTTGATCTTTAATTGACTTTTCTTGGCTTTCATCAAAGTGTATGTGTTGCCCATTTTTCTCTGAATATTCAGTCTCCATACCTGGTAGGACATTTGTCTTGAATTCTTGTGTAGTATTGGTATAGGGAATTGATATTTTTTGGTAATTGTCAATTTGGTTTAAGTTCATAGTTTGTCAAAAAGGGAAAGTAAAAGAACATTATGCAATTCACCGCCAAATAAAATACTAATAATCATGCTAATTCAAGAGTTTTCGCCGAAGAAATCCGATAAACACTTCAGTTATTTGTTATATTTTAAATGACGTAGAATCAATTGATTTGTGAATTGTCTATTTATCAGAAGAAAAAATCAATTATATTTCAAAAAGAAATTTGTTGCATAAAGTGTTTTATCTTTTCTCTCTCTCTTAAAATATACTCACGCTCATACCAACATGTAATTATAAAAAGGTACAACTATTACAAGAGTATTTTCTGTTAAAAAAAAGAGAGTATGAGATTCAATTAATATACCACTATGAAATAAATAGAAAACACCCGCATATATGTATCTTTATCTGTATGTATAAATGTGTGTGTTGATACTTATTAAAAACAAAACCTTTTTCTTTTCATTTATTGAGTTAGAGATGAATTTAGAAATATAAGATTATGTACGTAATATATTTTTTTTATATTATTTTCTAAAATAGAATTGAGGATTATATACGTGTAACCACTATATAATAAATAAATAAAAAAGAATCATTAAATTATGGCTATTTTCTAAGAATATCGCATGGTGCATAAAGAAGTATTACAGTTAACAATTTTCAAAATAATGCCCGCCATTATTATGTCGGACATTATTTTGATGAATCCGTAAAATCTGAAGATAGTTAACCGCAGTACTTCTTTATGCGCAGTAATATCTTCCTGAGCATTAACCGCAGTATAATGACTATTTCTTTAATTAAATATAAATAATAACTACTGCGGATAATGCGCAGTATTAGTTTAGAAAACTATATAAGACAATTCAATTCATATTAATAAAAGGTATCTTTTATCCTCTCTTTGATTTTACGTATACTCCTTGATCCCCAGTGGGTTTGACCTTTTGACTTTGTTATAGTAAAAGGAAGACCAACCCAGATCGGGAACGACAACTAAAAATGACCACAAAAGCAAAACGTCAGCTACAGGGTTCGAACCTGTGCGGGCGAGCCCATTAGATTTCAAGTCTAACTCCTTAACCACTCGGACAAACTGACTTAGTTGAAATGAAACGTGGTGTAATAATTTTGTCGGCCTTAGTTCAAAAACCAAATTTTACCAAGTTCAGACTTTCTTTTGACAACCCCTTTTTATTTTTCTTCAAAATTTTAATTTTAATTTTAATTTCTTTCTTCCATTTTCACAAAATCGCCCTTTTCCAAAAACCGATTTTCTGAAAATTAAAATCTTTCCCCTTTATTTTTCCCGAAATTGTTTTCTCCCTTTTCTTTTTTATTTCACTCCTGCACACTAAATGTGACGCTTCCTCTCAAACACTACTTTACCAAAATTGTTAACTGAATAGTTTTTCCCTTTATTTATAACATACTTCTTTCTGATATTTTCCTTTTCTTGTAGTTATATATTATAACTTCATCTATTTCTTCTTTCATGACGAAATATTTATATAGTTATTTTTCTTTATATTTTTATTTATGATTATCTCATCGAGTGTGGTGATTTAGACACTCGGATGTTGAATTTATCACATATAAGAACATATTCATATTGGGATAGCGTAGTAGCTATCATCTTGTCAGTATAAAATTTATATAAATGATTAAGTAATCAGCCCAATAATTATTACAGTTAGTACTGTAGATAATATCTTAAAGATTGTTAAAATAATTATATCATACTGCTGGGTAAACTGTGTCAGATCGATATGGAGCTAATTTAGTAGGAAGTCTTAAAGCTCTAGTGTAAAAGAGAAAAGAATAGCTAAGAGCTAAAGAAGTATAATTTATGACTTGATGTCATAATTGTAACACCGACACTAGTTAAGCAGTAAATACACTCTAATAACCAAATATAGTAAAGGAAGAAAGCCTTAAGAAACTAAGATGTAATGACAAGAGCAGATTGTGTTTTCTTATAAAAAGGGACACTTTTTATTTATGAATAAAGACAACTTATATACAGTCTCAAAGTATTTCTATACGTCTCTATTATCAAATATTTTATTTTTCTATTGTTTCGTACCTGAAATACCACATCGAGTTTTATCTAGCCTATTTTTGCCATATATTTTATCCATAAAATAGTATAAATATCTTTCTAAAATTAATCAATAAACAATGGTCGAATTTTTCTGATACAAGTTTTCTTCAAGACGCTGTCTATTATCTCTGATCTTTCTTGTGAAATTTCTTCCGTTTTATTTTATTTTTCTGTCAAGTCTTCATGGAAGATTGACCATCCCCTTTTATTTTATTATTTTGTCCCGATTTCTTCTTTTATTTATCTCTTAGTAAATTTACCATAGTAAATTTCCCTTTAGCTAAATCCTTTACTCTATTAAACATTTCTTTCTCATAGTTAACTCTTTAGGATTAGTATTATTTACTTCACTTCTTTTAGTTTAACTATTTCTCTAATCATTCAAATTATTTAAACTCTTACCTTAGTGTTAGTTTCCCTTTTTATTTCTTTAACTGGTCTATTTGGTAACAAAGAGACTATTTTATTATCTCAATTTATCCGATATCAAACGCAAACCTTCAATTCCTCTTTTAAATTCCTCTTCTTATATACAATTATCTTTTCTTGTACATCTTCTACATACAACAACATACCACATGCAACAGAAAGTTTAAACTATTTAATATATATAACCCTATACATAAAATATATACAAATGAGTAATGTGTTATATATTATTTCAAACTATAAAAATATTGTATTTATCATTTTAATCATATATATTATGAAAAAAAACTAAAGATACTCTGTATGTGACTTAAGATTGTACTTTAAAACAATTAAAAAGAATGTGAGATACTTTGCATATGATTTATATTCATTTTTTATATTATTAAAATAAGTTCATAAATTACTTATATATATATAATCTATGATAGTAATTATTTACTAATTTTAAATGAATAATACAGATAAATAAACTTTTCACTTTGAATGGAAGTTTTGGACACTATGAATGAAATTAGTGTGGCTGCCACTAATGGTAGTGGATATGCCACTAATTTATTTTAATTAACCAATCAAATTGGTTCTAGAGTTTGGTAAAAATATTAAAAAAAGTTGAAAAATATAGTTGTATTTAAGAGCAAAATAACATAATAGAAATGTCTTTTTTTTACATTTATATCATATAGAGAGTATAGCAATTTGATTTATTTATTTTTTATTTGAAATCGTAAAACTTTTTTTTTTGTCTCATTGTCAAGATTGTTGTATTTTGACAATACCACTAATCAATATGACAGACCAACTATCTTTTCCACTAATTTACCAAAAGTGCGGGATTTAAATTGATTTTTTTTTATATTTTATTTTGCTCAAATTTTTACTTTGCATTAATTTTTTCCTTTCTATGTAAATGAACATCATCTTGAAGTTATTTTTTAAGATGATGGTAAATCTCTATAACTACTTTATACATCTAATTTACATGACTTGCTCTCTATTTTATTTTCACCTGTTTTAATTTACTAAAATAAAAGTATATTTTAATTATTGAAAAAACAAAAAGTTACTTTTTATTGCTTGTGAGAGGAGTAAGACATATTCCTGTTACAATGACAGAGACTCGTGTTGACTTTATCCCAATAAGAACAAATAAGATACCAAGTGCAACTGCAAGGATAAATGCACTGATCAACTATCTGTGGAAAAAGAAACAGGAGACGGATATCAGCGTATTCTTAGAAGAGCAAAAGCTCATTCAACTGCAGTTCCACATGTCTACAAGGCAATGCCAACATATTATGCATAAAGACAGCATTGTAGAGACAAACTGAGGAAGATTGAGTAGTCAACAAAAGTTGTACTACTCCTTGAGACTCAAGGAGTTAATTTTGAAATACCAATTTGCTTTACACAAATTCAGAGGTCAATGAGTTACTGTTCTTCTCCTTCAAGAAGTGATGAAGGCTGAACACCAAATGGAGAAGTGACAAATCATACATATTAAATTTAGTGTCATGCAAGATATTTCATTAATACTTTTCTTTATTAAAAAATATGCTGGCAAAGTTAAGTAGAGAAGTTCAAGAAGAAGAGTTGAGGTATGTATAGATTGTTCAAATGTAAAACTTAATATAATGACTAAACTATATTTTTAAAAGTAGCATTGGTGAGGCAGAAAGTAGTGTGGCAGCCTCACCACCAAGAAAAAACATGCAGAGCCATCGAATTTATTTATTTTTTGAACTCCCTGTTATTTCCGTCTTCCAGAACAACAACAAAAAATTCTCTTTACAATCTCTCTTTTTTTTTAATCAATGACAAATGGACTCATTTCCTCTACTTTCTTCCATTACTTTTCCTGTAATCACATTCAAACAACATGCACCACTCAAAATTTAAGACACGTTTGATATAAAATCACTACAATTGTGTTTTGATTTTTAAAAAAAGACTAATGCAACTAGAAAAACACATTTTTTTGCAGTTTTTTTTTTCAAGCAGCTACTATATAATATACTCTTGACTTCCTTTCACAAAATACAGCCAATGTAAGTTACAGTCTTACTAAAGTGATATTGTATAGGGTATATTAAACAATCTGGCTAGCTATCAATCAGTAGGTGCATCTAATTACTTGGGGCTTGTGCTGCAGTATGGTAGCTACCAGACAATCTTCGAATGCAAACAAATTATAAAGGTAAGCTTACTGGGCTATGTGTATTTACTTTGTATATTAACTTATTTTTGTAGACTTCGTCTTTAATCACAATTACTTGAAGCTGTTAATGAATATACTTGGGGTAATTACAAAAAAAATACTTTTAAGCACATATATTCATAGTATTCTTTACTTTAGCTTTACACAACACTGGAACAGAATTGCTTGAACGTTATTTTAATAGAAAAGCATCAACAATTATAATTCATAAAGAAGAGTCCCGCCATCCATAGCTGATATATCTAAAGGTATGTATTACTCGTATAACTAATATATGAGTTAGTATATGTGCAAGATATATTGCTAGTATTATTATTAAGCTTGTATATGAATATGCATTATTATATGTCATGTAAAAGACATAGTCTACCATATATTATATTGTATAGTCCATTGTATAGTCTATAGTATAGGGCATTGCATAGTACATTGTGAGGTATTCGGGGTTGTTTATGGGTTAGTATCTCAATAATGGGAAAAGTAGATACTGTGAGAGTGTTATTTTTTAAAGAGACAAAATAATATTGTTTATATCTGCTACTATTCAAATCCCTGTAATTCAAATCCCTGTTGTGTAATGGTTGGTTTACACTGTATGAGTGTGTAGTGTACGTGTGCCTGGTGTGTAACAGTTCCGGAGATTGTTAACTTGCCAGGTTCATTAGCAAGAAGGAACCAGTGTTTGGTTGTGGGGTATGTTCTTCACTCAATTGTGGTGTGTATACCACACATTGTATGGTACATCATATAATACATCGTATAGTATATCATATAGTACATTGTACAGCCTATTATATATTTCTATTGTATATCCTACTGCGCAGCAAGCGTATGAATAAAAATAAAATCCACCAATTTTACTACCAATTTTTCTATATATGGATTTCTATCATACTTCTACTACCAATATGTTTGAAACTAAGCCAATCAAGCATGCTGCCTTACTATTCAGTAAATTAGTGGCAATACCACTATGATTAGTGGCAAGCATAGCTCATTTACCACCAATTTTCCCTGCTTTAGCGTAGTGTGGCCAGCCACCAAATTTCATGCAAATTAGTAGTATTGTCACACCAATTTCATTCATAGTGCGCGCGATCTCTTTAATAAATAACACTCTCACAGTATCTACTTTTCTCATTATTGAGATACTAACCCACAAACAATCCCAAATACCTCATATATAAGTTATATATAAAGTATCTCTCTTTTTTTAAAGATATAAAGATTTTTTTAAATGTATATTAAGATATATAATTTTATATTTACTGTTATATTTGTATATGGAAAGATGGAACGATAAGTACTTTGAGACCCTTTTTTATTGTGTTTATTAAAAGTTCAAGTCAAATCGAATTGTCTTCATAAAAGTTATTTTATCTATGGTATTTATATTTATTGAAATATATTCAGTCACTCTGGATATGAGTTATCGTAATGGCTTTGCGATAATAGTTTAAGTACTTCTTGAAGATGATCCAATGCTGGATCTGTCACATTGCTCTTATGTTTCAGATAGGACTTCATATTGAATAATCATTTATAACAATCTCTTTGACAGGTACTTCTGTCTGGGTTCGTATATGATATTGGATATTAAAGTATCCCAAATACAACATTTACTAAGACAATATTTTTGAGCAATTCTTTTCATTGATATAAAATAAAGAAAAAAGTTTTTTTTTACAGAAATTTTGTCTTAATAAAGAATTCTTGTTACTTCAAATATAGGCTATTTTTTTTTGAAAAAAAAATTAAAAAGAATAAAACTTTAATAGTATATATAGTATATATCTTGATTATTTACTGAAAAATATACAAAAAATGTTATAATAGAGTGTACGGTAAATATATTGAAGAAATACTTGCTATAATCAGTGATAAAGTCTATTATCTTGTAAATATAAATATAAATTTATATATATATGTTTTGAAAACACAGCATACCTTTGATAATTATAATAAACTTACTTAAAAAACATACTTACTATCATTATAATAATATAGATTTTGATATCAAATGATTATTGATTATAATTCATAGATGCTTTTTATAAGTATAAAATTTCTTATTATATCCATCAATATTAAATACTAGAAATTATAAGGTAGTATTAATTAAAGTATAATATTAAATGCTTTTATATTCTGTTTTTGCAAGGATACACTTACATTAACTTTTTTGCTTGTTTTTCTCACATATTTATAAACCCATATTTGTTAAAATAACTGTCTCTCCTTTTTCTTTTCTTTTAATTTTTCTTTGCCCAATTTAAATACTTTGATAAGTCTATTATTTATAATTATACTTTTACTAATATACTAACATACTTTTAACTTTTATACTCTTTTCTTACTATATAATATATACATCTTTCATGAAAATATGCAATACTAACAAGTATCCAAGAAAGTGCGTGACAATAAAAAATATCCTTTCAAATATATTCCAAATATCTTGATGACTCGTTATATATATATTCAAAAAATCTCAAAACTAGCTTTAATAGAATATCACATCTTTTTATTCTTTGAATAAAATATTTGAAAGTATCCACGATTCAGGCAAAGGTAATATCAACTAATTAGCAAAATTTGAGTCCCTTAATAACCTTCTTTTTAAGCAAAATATACCTTTATTTTAAAGAATACTTGACTACCTATTTTATAAACGTACATCTATAATATGTAAATAAAACACACATTCTTATTTTATACTTTGGCTTTATTTTTATTTAGTACTTATTAATCAAAGTATTATTATTATTCTATTGTCAATTCCATTGCAGATATTTCAAAGGGACATTACCTGTTAAGCATAAATATACATGTTTTTGCAAAGCAATAAAAATTAATAATAATAACTTTTTTATTTAAAATATACAAAATATAACTTCAACAAAAGAAGTCTAAAAAATGGTAAGGATATTATTTTTGGTCAAAGGAGTATAAGCCAGAAAAAATATGTTGAATACACGAAACTAATCAGATGGAAAAGTACAGTACATATTAGGCCACCAAAGTTGTCTAGCCTATCCAAGAAATCAAAGTGTAGTATGTATACAAGCTACTACCCATATATGTATGCTTTAATAAGTATTAGTGATCAACGTTAAATAACTAAATAGTTTTTTTTTTTCAATTCAAAAATCAATATTTTTTTCATCATTGATATGCTGTTTCTAGTGCCATCTTTTGATGCTATCAAAAAGCTTTTCGAAAGTTAGCGAGAATCTTCATCTGCTAGAAATTTTATAGAAATCCTATATTATAGAAATTTCTACTTTTAATAAAGATCGACCCAAGTTTATATTGATTTTACGAGGTGACTATTTTAAAGAGACATATTTATATAAAGATCTATTTGAGCAGGGCTCGTAACTATGAATAAATATATAGCCCAAATGCTAATGGATTATAGAATCTCAATTCCACATTAATGTAATTGTTAATTATAATTTATTGTTTAATAATATGTAAGATATTATCATTATAAAATCCAGTAGTCCGTTATTATAACCTGTTATTGGATTAATATTGGACTATTTCATTATATAAAAGCTAGCTATTGTAAATATTGTGGATACTCTCATAGGATGTTTTTTTCAAGTGACATCAACCAATGCAAAGCTGATAGACGTCTAGCCAAAACTCTTGTTGCTAAGTTTGGCTCAGATTGTGTCTCAGTCATACGAAGCCGGTATTACTCTCACAATAGGGGGTACTCAGCCAGATTGATCGATCAAATTTTGAATTCATAACGCGATATTATTGGACTAAAATTGTAATAGCGACGATCAAAATTTGATCGAAAAACGTACGGCTCTCTGATTAACCTAATCTTTACTTTTTTATATGCAATACGATACTGTTTTTATCTTTCTCCTTAATAAATCATAGAATTTATTGCCAACAGTCATATAATACTTCTTTATCTCCATCTTACATGCCAAAATATAGTACAAAGCAACAAGCAATTGATGCCTTGAAGAAATCGCATAAAATAGGGAGTTTATTGTGAAAAAAAACACTGGTAGAGTCTTTAGCAGCAAGTACAGACGAGCTTATTAAAAATATTTTAGAAGTAATCAAAAAGGAAGTTAATATAAAGTTGGAGCAGATGGCTGCCGCGAAGGAGCTTAAACAAACACTTAAAGCCAATAAATACATACACAAGGTTGACAATGTATTGCCAGATGTTGAGTAAAGGGAAAGAGCACTTGACTTCTTCGAGAGTCTAGATGCCTACAGGTTCAAAGAAGAAATCAGAATGTGCAAAGATTATTCTATAAATGCTATAAAAATCTATGAATTTTGTACGAATTTTGTACTTTTGTCTTTTGGTGTCCTCAACTACAAATTGATACGATTGGCCAAGATTCACACAAGAATTTGATCGATCAATCTGGCTGAGTACCCCCAATAGATACCATGAACCAAAGAAAGATGTAGATATTAGGAGGTTACTTGTAAACACTGTCATTAGTGCTTCTAACCATTCCTTCCAACCTTCACGTAAATCGGAAACCCTCATCCATATCGCCAAACTCAAATACCAACTGAGACACCCCATAATTTCCTAAGGTGAATACTATATCCTGCCGCCAAATTTATCAATCTAAACTGTTTAGAGAACACGAATCCTTCACATGTTAAGCATTGTTTGTGGAATCGACATCTTGCCACTGTTTTAAACTGTAGCCATATACTCACCCAATTGAAACATGTTCGTAACATTCCTAAAAACTTCACCCGTGTCATTCAAGTTTAAAGCACTAGAAGATGCTTAGAAGGGTCATTATATGAGACAAAGTCTGGCTAGAATAAAAAGAAGATGAATATTCCGGCCTGTTCTCACTAGAAAATCCTGAAGATACACTCGGTGAGCCACAATTTTTTTGAATACTTTTTAGTAGGTTATTTTTCTATTATCTTTGTTTTTGTACTGCATTGGTGACGATGGAAAAGGTGCTTTATATTAGTTGAAAACATACAGTGGGATAAAAGTAGGATGCTTTAAAATGAAAGATTCCTTTTGGACTACATTAATAGCAGAAAAGACGATATTAATTAAATTGAAATATATTTATATGTAAATATAAAAAGTGAAGAAAAATAGCACTTAATCAAAATTCGACCTTAAAGCAACTCTCAAACCTCGAAAAACCTTATAAAAAAACTCGTACCAAAATGACTTTTTTTTTACCATAGCGTAGATAAGCCATGTAGTCATTATATGATAGCGACATTTATAAAGTCGTATAAGAATAAGCTAGACTACCATTACTTAGCTATGGTAATATATCCAAGCTCATTTCATAGTTCATGTTATAATATAATATTATTTAATACCTATACAAGCTCCTGTTGAACGTATAGCTTATGTAATTAGAAGCTTTAAATGAATTGACCTTTTTATATTTTACTTAATTCTTGGCTTGATTTAAAGAAGTGTCGGTATTTTCCCTATGTTACAAACTATTCAAAAGCTATTTAAAAGCTACGTACCAATTTTACTGAACAGAATATTGACTAAACTTTTATTTCTAAAGAAAAAAGTATAACTTATTGTAATACTACTTTGGATTTTCGCATTGAATTTTCCACTACAGTTAATTTATACAAAGTAGAGCATGTGCAGAAGTATATATATATACAAATTAATATTATTTGAAGCAATTGCTACCTGTCATTCTCAAAATGATCAATTTCCTGTTAATGCTTCAATGAAGAGCTCACAACATAGTGCTGTAATAGAAAACCGAATAATGATAGACACTACCTTTTGTCATATTATTTAGCTCAAAAAAATATAATATTTTCTAAGCATCTCAATTACATTATGTATATATAAACCAAGAAACCTTGCTTTATTTTATATATTATTAGATAAAGCAAATTATTAATAATAGATATCTGAAAATAATATCATATATAAAGCTTGTTGTAACTACTATCATGTTATACAGCACAATATCCAAGCTAGAAATAGTGGACTCTTTTATATATCTGGAAACTTGCATGAGTACACAAAAAATTGATTAAAAATGTTGATTAATTCTACCATGTTTGTACCAAGTACAAAAGTGTTTTGAAGGAAAATATACTTACTACTTGAGGTTGGCTGCAGATACTTTCTCACACATTGTACTGAAAACAGAGATCTACTTATTCCCTTTAATAGCCTACAAGAATTTTTATTGAAATGAAAGAAGATTATTAGTAAACGTATATACGCAATAATATACACAGTTTAAAGTATGTCATGAAAAAAAAGACGCTAGTATATACTTTGGGTCATAAACGTGGAGCTCTAAATAATGTATGTGTGTACGTGTATGTGCGTGTGTTTGGTTATATGAATGTGAAACAGCAATCCATGCTAAAAATTGAGAATTAATAAGATTACCAAAATTGTAAAAAAAAATGTCATAATGCGCACAAACGTTCCTCGAGGCATAGCCTTCTATTGGACCTCGAGTATTTTTATTTATATATACATAATAAAATTCTCTTGTGCACAAGATGGGGTATAGTCGTCTTGGTACCAGATTTGCACAGATAAAAGAGCTTTAGTTTTAGTTATATTTTAATTTTCATTTCTAGTATACAAAGAATGACTCCTTATTGGCATTGAGTGTTGTATTTAGTATTTCTCAAAATCAATATTTGGGTTTCTTAGGTACAAAGTCAAAACATCTCGATGGTTTAACGGGGCTGAATCCTTGTGCTTTCTGTTTGAGATAGCATTTTTCGAAGCGCAAGTTAATTGGGATGATCCAAATATTCTGTTTAATTTCTCTATTCATGATGAAAGAGTGTTACCTAAACACGGATAATCCGGAGTTTTGACTTGTCGATCCATCCCGTGTCGACTGTGACAGCAGAACTTTACTACAATAGTGCCGAGTTGGGTATATTCCTAGTATAATACATTCTTGTGTATAAAAACATTTAAGATGATTAGATTAAAGTCCATATATATTACAGAAGACCAAGAAGAGTCTACTAGTGAATTTATATATAATGTGGATGGTCTGATGTAAAGTTAATATACAGAAGGATAATCTCAAAAATCAGGGGGTTCCTCTCATCTTTGGTTTCATTTGTATAGTGTCTTTAAGCCTTGTACAATGCTTGCTTACTACAGTATTCGTCTCAGATCAGTTACACATATACTCCATTATAATGTACCAAAAAACCTTGGATAGCATACATTTAAGACAGGAAAGCGTGCCCTGGGCATTATTTTAGTACATCAAATTGTGTGTCCACTGAATATATTGTTTTCAATTTGATAGTGTAACATGATACCCAGCTATGGGTGAAAATATGAAAGCCAAAAAGGAAAATTCGCTTGCTGAGAAATGTCAGACAACAGCCGAAATAGACTTTAATGATCTTTAAAAGTTAGTATATAAGCATACATGTTTCCTAACGATAATCCATACACACTCTCATCTATCCTTTGTCTTGTCCTCCTTACCTTTCCTTTTCCACAATACCAGTGCCCATTCCTAATTCCTTTTCATTATGAAGTTTACTCTGATTGCTACTGCTACTATGGCCTTGGTCGGTATGGTGTCTGCTATCCACCCAATTCACTCTTGTACTCTTCTTCACACCGCTAGCTCTGGAGAATCTTGCAAGGCTCTCGCCCAGAAGTATAATGTCTCGGTTGAAGACCTACGCAGCTGGAACCACGGTCTGACCAACTCCAGTGAGGATAGATGCCTTAACCTTTTCCCTGGTGTCCCTTACTGTGTACTGGCTTCCGATCCAAAGGTCAAGCGTACTTTGTTTGCCAAGAGAGCTGCAAAGACTACCAAGAAGTCCGCGAAGAAGACTACAAAAAAAGCCAAAAAGACCACCAAGAAAGCCAAGAAGACCACAAAAAAAGCCGCCAAGAAGACCACCAAAAAAGCAAAGTCTCCCAAGAAGGCTAGTCTTAACATCGCCAACCGCACCGACCCCAACTGCAAAAAGTATCATGTTGTAAAGAGTACCGACAGCTGCTACAGCGTTGCAAAGGTCAACAACATCTCTCTAAACAAGTTCTACAGCCTCAACCTCGGTCTCCACCACCTTGGTGATCACATCTGTGACAACCTTGACACCGGCAAGGCTTATTGTGTTGCTGTTTAAATATCCATCAATATCACTTGTAAAAAATCCTCATTTTTGTAATAGTAAAATAAATAAAGATTCAAAAAATATAAAGCAAATGCCAAACATCATCATAAATACATCTCTTCTTCCCTCCTCCTTTTTTATAAGCGCATAGATTACATAAAATTATTATTATTATTTAATCTTCATCTTCGTCCTCATTTTCTCTATCAAGTTTCTCCTTCTCCAACCAATGATCCACATCTGCAATGCGCCACCTCCATTCGTTGATTGGTTCACCCATCTCATCGCGCCCAGATACCATATCATGTGCAGGTTCAAAGTATGGAGTCTCAAAACGCATAATTAACTCTCGTCTTCCTTGGTCTTTAACCAAGACCTTCTCCCCACGCGTAATACTAAATTCCACGTCGGCATCAATAAGTACATCCACAGCAACATGAGCACCCTCCATAAGTCCTTTTGAGACGCGTGCCCTGTAGTCCTTAAAGTTTTCATCAACATCGTCCACTACAGACCGTTTTAAGCCGAGCTGAAGAGTCATCCACTCAATAAGTTCATATTTTCGAGGGTTGGTGGTTGCATTGGAGTTTCCAAGTGTTACCCAGATGTCACCCACATTGACATCATACACCTGTGGTACGCTCAGCGACACCACGTCACCCTCCTGTAAAGTCTCTTTAGCTGCTTCTGTCAGTCTATAAAGAAGTTCAGGGCTCAACATTGATTGCAGCTCAGCTGGAACAGGATCATTAGGATGACTCAAGTGGTTGGACAGGACATCGAGTGCGCGGCGGGATGCCATGCTAGCTAAATATTTCCATCGTTAAGGACCACTTAAAATAATAAGCAAACTAGGAAGGAAGGTTGCTCTTTGTTGTCTGAATATAGTATATAACACACCTCCAACCAAAAATTGCTCGGGAAAATATGAGGATCCAGTATTCAATTCAAGCATTCTATTGCATAGAAACTGACTCATTGAGTGCTGGATACCCCTGGGTAGAATGTTGAGGAATGACCATGTATCAGGAGCAGATTTGTAAGGATAATCGGGAATACGAAGTGGGTCTGTGCTCAATTTCCAAGCTTGAAACAAAGGTTGTAGCGTAATAAGTACAATTATGTACAATTATAAAGGAAAACCATCAATAGTAACTCACGAAAGTTTTTATACTGGTTTTCATTTGAGGATTTATCGTTGCATGCACCCGATGTATTAAATCCACGTGCGTAGTTAAAGCTTGGAACGAGAATCTGGGATTGTCTTGAAAGAGCCCTTGGTGCCAAATGGCGAAGTGTGCGTTGCATGGTAATCGCACTTCCTTTTCCTCATTCTTTCAACCAGGTAGGAAGAGTATGAGGGAGGGGACGCGTGTGTGACGGCGCCTTTGGTAAGATGATTGCCATAACGGGATGCCGAGTTTGTAAAATGCTCCAGGTTTTAGCTTTTCAGATAATGACCACACCAGAGGGTCATGCCACAGGGCGGAAGACACAACCACGCGAACGGAACATTAACCTGAAGAAATACTATGGATTGACGGCATCGCAGGAGAAACCACGTCCTTTAGATATTGGTAGGCAACTTGCTTTAGAGACTAATTCTCATCTCATATACTTTATTTTTATATTCCCAAGATGGCAAGACATTCAATAGTGGAAAATACTTTACCAAGATTATGAAGGAAAAGACATTGAACGGTCTAATGGAAGAAGACAATGTGCTTACAGGAGGTAAGATTATATGAGAAAAAAGAAAGCTTTTACTATTCCTTGAGAAACGAAACCAATATATCCAATCATTAGAAATTAGAGAGATTGACGGAGACATGAAGACACTGGTTTACGAGAACTATAGCAAGTTCATCAGTGCAACGGATACTATTCGAAAGGTTTATTCTGAAACTAGAAAGTATAATATATTGATTACTTATCATATATTTATATATACGAATAATGGATTTTGGACTTTTATTACTATTGTTATATTATTGGATAGATGAAATCTAATGTAGAAAACATGGAATCTGAAATGGATCGTTTGAACGAGAGCATGAATAGTTTGACCCACCAAACTACTACAATTAATCAAGCACTTGGCCCAAATCGAGACAAGATTCAACAATTGTCGAGAGCTCACAACCAATTAAAGAGACTTCAATTTATCTTTAATTTACCAAGCCGATTAAGTCGATGCCTTTCTACAGATCAGCTTGCCAAGGCAGTTAAATATTATGCGAGGGCCGCACAATTGCTAGACCATTATAAACACATGCCTGCCTTTAAGGGTATCGAGCGAGACTGCCAAACAATTATAACCAAAGTCAAATCACAAATTGAAAGCAAAATGCGCAAAGAAGACAGCGTGGAGAAGATAGCAGAAAATATCCGACTTTTGATATTATTAAAGGAGGATGTACCAGAACTACGGCAAAAGTACCTTAAATTGTAAGCTTATATTTGACCACAAAAACAAAGGGGAAAAGTTCTTATTCGAGAATTTGGGCAAGGTTAGACAGCTTTTTGTAATAGAAAAAAAGCAAGCTGGACCAGTAACTTCCGCAGAGGAATTAGTTGATGTTTACATCGTACCTCTTGATACAGTTGTCCAATATTACAACACCTTATTCGTTGAAAACAGCGAAGATTTTCCTCCAAAAACCAAACAGGTAAGATAAAAAGGAGTTGTAGTAATACATCTATAAGATATTATATTCGAGAAAGAATACTATTTGACATGTTTTAATTTTTAGGAAATAAAAGACGCCAACCAAGATCTATCCGAAGCCATTCAGACCTGTATCAACAGCTTCTTCGAATCGGTGACTAAAATCATCGCCCTTCCTGTAAGGATACCAAATGAGCTGGTATATAATAGGCTGTTGGTGCATGTGCTTATAATGACATAATAGGACAATGTAATCGAAGAGAAACGCCCTTTGAAGCAGACCAGAGATCTTCAAATATTAAATGAAGCTCTTGCTGAGAAAGGCACGAATCTATCAATGGCAGTTGCATTAGATAAGCAAATGAGTCAGGTTATAGAGGTGTGGGAGAATGAACTTGTGAACCGATTTTTGTGCACAGTTGTTAGTGGAATGCGAGGTAAGTTCATACTATGAACATATACTAGTTTTCCTGAGAGCTAAAAGATTATATATATGTATAACATCATCTGTGGGTATACAAATGTCTGCTTCTTTAGATCGCATGAGTGAGCTTATTGAACCACCTTTCACTGAAGACACACCATATGATGCATTGAGTGAAACATTGGCTCAATTTATTGACATCTCAGAGACCTGGTGCAGAGAACATGTTTATAACAATTGCTTGATACCACTGAGAGAATGTTTGCAAGAAGACATCGAACAATCCTCTTTTACTGAACGTATATCGAATGGGCTCAATAGCATGTGGCATTCCTTGGCAGAACATCTTGGGGTAAGGTTTATAAACAGCCAGTGAAGACAATTCTCTTATTATAAACTTTCTTATAGACATTTCCTAATGGTGGTGAAGTGAGCCAGTTGAACAGACACATTGTTTGCTTAGTCAGTTCACGTCTCTGTTTCGACTTTGCAGATCATATAATTGCTCGAATCTATAGTGAATTCAGCAGCAAATCAGCTAATCCGTTGAGTCGCCATGAGTCTATTGATACCATATTTCTATCAGACTGTCAAGAGCTTACAGAGCTGTTTTCTCAGACAGGCCAAACTTTATTAAATAACCAGATAATGGAGGATGGTTACGCACTCTCAGCTAAAGTCCAGACCCATTACCTTTCTCTCCAATCGAAGCCACCTACTAAGCCGTCAGCCGTATGGAGAGAGGTTTTTACAAGGCTGCAATCAGTCGAACAGCTAGTAAATATTACATTTCCCCAACCTAGTTCACCTGAGGGTCGTGATGTCTCTGATTCAGAGCATGACTATCGTTTTGGATCACTAGCTTCTACCCTCGAAGCACCACCTATTCAGGCTACTCATTCTAGCCAAAGCTTGGCTACAATGTCTTCTGGAACAGGCGAGCCATTAGGAAATGTATCAAAGTTTGGTAACGACGTGACATTGAATATGATGCACACAATCAACAAGCTGTTTGAAGACCGTGTGGATGTTTACAGACCGATTGAGCCTTCTGCGGAGGGTGCATGTGGGGCGCTTGTCCGGGTTCTCTTAAAAACGCTCCAAGAAGTGGTCCGAGAGATGTGGGTGGACTGCAATATATACCAACAGCTGCAGGTCGACGTAGAATATCTTGGAATCGCACTACGTTCTTATGCTGGCGACGAAAAGTAAGAAACTGGTTTTATTGGATAAATTCAGATATTTATATATACATATTTAATCTAGAACAAGCTCTGCTCTCCGAGATATTGTTTCCGGAGCATATATGCGATGTTCTGACCCAGTATCTATAAATGCAGATGTAAGTGGAATTGCTTCTAAGCTTTCAAACAGTCTATTAATACTTTTATAGGATCTTGAGCGTATGTTGGCTCATTAAACTAAAGTAGTCACTGTCGCACAAACGTAATAAAAAAAAGTCGGACGGGGAAATAAAATGAAGGCACAGAAGGGCAGGGTGTGGCCCTTTCTTTCCTTTTCTTACTCTATTTTTCATTGACTGATGACAATAGCGTCTCCTCGACAGACGTCTATCGAAAGACTTGATTATCATTATGCAGTAATACATGCTACTATTCTGGCTAAACAGAATGCTGCTAGTGGCCTTATGCCTGCTTCTGTAGCCATCACAGTGAGTAAACAAAAACACACACATATATATTCTCTCCCCTTCATACTATTGTATATAAAAATATCTACGCTCGTACAGAAATAGCCTCGCTAAAAAGGCATCCACGTACTTTCTACTAGAGTCATGGAAATTATACCGATGCCTGGGTGCGGTAAGACCAAAGACCTGCTCTCAAGACGATCCTCATGGCCATCGAATAGCGATAATGTATATTCTATATATGCCGTCTATGGATTGGCATTGGCCTATCGACGTATAGACGACGACAGCGGAAGAGCATGTAATATATTTACACACGCATATTTATATATACGTCCAAATATGATTATCTGATATGTTTGGGTCTTCATAGTCGAGCTGGAGCATGCAGTTATCAAACTGATGCGAGGGCTTTTGTTTGCCATGATGCGCCAAGCCCACAAAGTAGAACAGTTCAAAAAGACGCAGACGCTAGATAATGCACTCCATGCCAAGTACAACACAGATACAGGTGAAACAGTCGTGGGTGACTTTGAATGGGGGCATTTGCAAATCGACGCCACAAGTATTTTCTTGGTAGCCCTAGCAGATATGACTACTAGCGGGTTGATGATAATTTATACGAGAGACGAAGTAGACTTTATCCAAAACTTGGTATTCTATATCGAGCGTACGTAATCCTTTATTATTATTTGTTTATCATCCAAATGGCCTCACCTGGAAATTTTAAGCTTAGGAGCCTACCGTACGCCAGATTACGGTATCTGGGAGCGAGGAAACAAGATCAATCATGGACAGCCAGAACTCAACTCTTCTTCTATTGGAATGGCCGTAGCTGCACTAAGAGCAATCAATGGTATAAATCTATTTGGTACTAGAGGCGGACCTTCCTCGGTAAGTTATAACTATTGCATAACGTACTTTTACAAAATCTTTATAGCTACTAATATTTAATCAAGATAATCCACGTTCTCCCGGACGAACTTACTCGGAACGTTACCACGCTCCACAGCTTCCTTCCAAGAGAATCAAATTCCAAAGAGATTGATGGTTCAGTGTTGTCCATCATAGGCTTTCCTGCTTTTGCTTGCTCCGACATAGATCTTATTAGGCGAACCAAGGAAGAAGCCCGTCTGAAGCTAGAAGGAAAATATGGATGGAAGCGATTCTTAAGGGACGGCCACCAGACCGAACTTGAAGATACATCGAGATTATATTACGATGCCAACGAACTCAAGCAATTTGAAAACATCGAATCCGAGTGGCCTCTCTTCTTTACATACCTAGTGTTGGATGGTTTATTTACGGGGAATGTTGAGCAGGTCGAGTATTATCGGCGGAAGCTAGAACCTCTGATCATTGATTCCAAGCTTCCCAGCTCGCTTGTGTCCAAAAACAAAGGCAGCACTCCTTCTTCCCCCGCCGCTTGGGCAACTCCTCTTACAGTTCCGCTGATTCCCGAGTTGTATTTTGTACCAAAAAATAAGATTGAAGCCGAAAAGAGCTCCCCACATTCACAGACGCGTGTTCCAAATGACAATCTCCCTCTTGTATGGGCTAATTCACTCTATTTCTTGGGAAATTTGATGTATGAAGGTCTCCTGTCTCCTTCCGAAGTCGATCCCTTGAATCGTAGTCTGAATTCAACTAGACCTCCTAAGGATAGTATTGTCCAGATAGTTCTGTTATCAGAAGATGAATCTTTGCAAAATACCTTATCGTTGTATGGGCTTGAGACTCAAACTATGGATCAAATATCATCTACACTGACTGTACTACCAGCACATGCTTTGGCAGATGTTTATGCTGGTCTAGGCATGAACAGTAAACTAAAAATGAGCGGAAGACCAAAAAGGTAAGACGATTAACTACCACTTCTGTAGATATTCGCCCAATAATTTTTTTAATTTTTTTTTGGTTCATATAAAATCAAATAGACCTATAGGTGTTCTAGGAACTTCTCGATTGTATCGTATTGAAGGCCATGTGTATGCATTCACACCTCATTTTATGGATAACGATGAATTTTATCTCAACTCTGATCCTGACTACTTGGTCTCTGCTTTTGAGAGTGAGCTCATTTTCACCAGTAAACATTGGTTCTATCCTGGCCGTCCCACCATAGTTGTCTTACTTTCACATGCCCTTCTGGGTACCATGCGTACACTCCAATTATTCGATTCTAGCTCAAGTCACAATACATCTACTCAGTTATCCCGCAAAAATCTTCTCAACTTCTTTATGCAATTGCGTGGAGGCACCTGCAACGGTGTACGAGTAAGACTCTCGCGTTTATCAGAAACCATCAATACTAGTAACATCGAATCTCTTGATTTCTTGATATCTAAGCCTGACATTGATTGGAAAAATATTCTTTTGAGTGCCCATGCTTCACGCCGAAAGACGCTACATCGAAAGCTGGGTTACAGTGAGACGATGACCCAGGCCAACACCCCTGGCCACAAGACTCCCAAACGCCAGAGCTCAACGTTTCAGCAAAAATCCTTCTCGTCCTCAATCAGTCCCCTTGATGATAGCCACTTCCAGGAACTTACCCATGCCCTTACTCGCCTAGCCTCTACAACTGAACCTCCTTTCCGCCTCAAGGATCATGAGACTGTGTCTGTCGCACGAAAGAACAATCACGATACAGCGTTTTAAACCTAAAATTAGATACTCTGTGAGGTGGGCATCAAGAATACTGCAGAATTTTTAGGCTGAAATCAGAAATTTACTGACTCGAGTTTATACAGAAAATGCATTTCCCGAGTTGGTAAATGCTACTGTCCTGTATATGTAGCCTAGTTTAAGCCATTATATATATATATAAGCCTTTTATATATCATTTAAATAAAACGGTTTCGAGTGGCATTAAAAAGTGCACCAGATTCTAACAGTTGCAGACACTTGTCTCATAAACTATTAGAGCATAAATAGCGGTTTATCTAAACCTGAAGTCCCATTTTTTATTATTATTGTTCGAATGGTTTGGTGAAGCGCTGAATATATATATATATCCGTGAAATAATTGTCTAAAAAATTGGTTAAAACATTTATTTAGACAAACCACTGTGGATGAAGAAATCTAAAATTTCTATTTAACTTTACATATTCGACGAGTTTACACAAACCGCTATGGATATTCTAACAGTTTTATTTTTCCATCACTCTATGAATAAGGCTCAATATGGTAGCTGGAACCATGTTTTTTTTTGAATGTAAAGCACGGTGTCATGTTCATAATTTTGGCTTGATCCTTGTCATTTTCTGGAAACATGAGTAGTAGTGTTATAAGAAAAGGTGAAAATAAATGTGGTCAAAATAAAGAAGAATGCGTTTCTGGAGGAGTAATACTGTCTTATTTTGCTGAATTGTAGGCTATTAAACTGATAGATTGTTCCAGGGCACGATAATGATAATGATTCGAGAAAACTAATGATGTCGCCTGAATTTCATTTTTATTCCGTCCAAAAAAGGTAACTAGAACATCTGAAAGTTAATTTTGATTCGCACAGAAAAAAAAACTAACATTGGTTCACTCTTAAGTAGAAACACTATAGTCTACCTAAGCCAGCCCCGACACAATCGTCTCCTGTCTCAGAGATGCTGGCTCTAATTCTTGGAGACCCAACTCAATTTCATCAGGCTATTCAGAGTTTGGAACAATCAGTCAATCTTTATGATCAGATTGGTAATAAAAACTTCATGACCCTAATGGTTGCTTTGTTTGGCATTCTTGAGTATAGCAACATATGTACTTACTGTCAATTCCAGATTTATTACAATACTTGGCATCTTGTGAATCAGCGGAAACCTATATAGAAGTGCTTGATGCTACAATCCGAGAACTACTTGAAGAAGTGTACCTTAAGTCAAGACGTCTTCAGTATTGGTCTATCGCTCGACAGGCAGCAGGCCTCTTGCACAAGAATGTGCCATCTCTTACTATTAATATCACAGATCTTATCATTCGTCAGAAGCAGATTAGTATTGGTTCGGGTGCAGGGGAATACTTGATTTCAACTCCAGTGGGACCCGACGCCTTGAATGCTATGCTAGCAGAACATTGGTAAAGACACCACAGCAAATTATCAAAATAGTTTCTTATTAATTGGTTTCGATTCCCATAAGCACTGAAGATGTCCGTGAAGGACCATTAGTCCAAGAAATTTTGATATATCTTGGTAGCTTTATCCGTACTCAGCCCGACATGTTTGACGGAATCCTTCGCCTTCGCACACATCATATTATAATTGCTTTGCGCGAAGAGGTACGCCGTATGAATCACTGTGATGAGGAAGAAGCGGTAGAGCAGCTATTGCAACTATCCCCATTTGAGCTCAAGTCCCTACTGGCTACTATTCTTTCACCTCATCTGTGTGATGTTCCAGCCATTTCGAGACCAGAGCGTCGACGTTTGTCAATTGCTAGTCTCCAGGCACCAGAATCATCAAGTTCGATTCCAATCCCTGTTCAAGAAGATGTGATTGTGGTCCGTGCACAGTCGGGTGGATATCTGGACGGCAACTTGGCTCGTGCTGATATCAATGGCATGGTTCTTACAGCCGAGGGCCGTGGTGTTCATGTTTGGTGCATCGATCCGGAAGAAAGAATGCTTACTGAGCACGCCTCATTTGATACACATATCTCAGAAGATGCCAGTGAATCGTTTAGCAAATGCTTGGAGGCTGTGAAGCCAGGATTTATCGTAATCGTTGCTTGCAAGGATGATATGGCTGAGCATATTACTTCCTCTGCTCTCTTTTCACTAGAAGCTCTTGGAAGCGAAAAAGCCCGTGATATACGCCATCGCGATTCGTTTGTTTTTATCAACAAAAAGGGTAATAGTTGGACCTTTAAATCCCACAGAAATAATATATATACTTATATATTAATTGTATTTATTTTAATAGGTGGTAGCAGAAAGGATATGATTGAGGTTCATGCCCCTGCTGGGAAAGGGCCAACAATTTGGGTAGAGAAACGTATCAATACCACAGTAGACACAAGTAATATCACTGAAGACAACATCAACAGCTGTTTCCCTAATTCTAATGGCAAATGGCATCATCGCCGGAAGAACGACGGTGCCTTGAATCGTGTTCCACCACATTTCTTTCCCGATACTTGGAAGCTGCTTGACCGCTCTCAGGGACTAAAGATCCATGAACATCGGCTATTGCGTGATCCTACTGTACTTGAAATGACAGCAGAAGAATTCAACTTTGCACTGGCTGTCGAAGGTTTCTTGGGATGGTACGCTGACCCAGCAGAGCGCCAAATTGCAGTTGAGACGTTGACTGTGATGGCCAAAGTGCAACAACGAAATCCAGAGATGAAGACCATGGAAGCAATGATTGATTTACCGCTGATTATGAATACAGCTATTCGTATATTTTGGGAGAAATGGGTCTACAGTAATCATCGCCTACATAAGTGTCCACTTCTATCACAAGGACCTGAATATGACAGACACCGAGAATTAGCGGGAAAATTATTCTACGATCTACCTCAACAGGGCACTGAAAGTACCTTTTCTTATCTTGCCAGAGCTATTCTTAAAACTCTTCCATTTGAATTTGACTATAACGAAAGCAACTTTTTATAATGAACTAAAAGAATAAAAAAAAAAGTTAATTTTCTATCTGTTGCATTTGTTCTTTCTTCAGTACCAAATTCTCTAGCGAATGACTGTTATTATGTGACAGTGTTTTATAGCATTTCTGAACTGACAGTTGCTTCTAAGAGTTGGTAGTTTTTTTTTCTCTGCTCAATCATGGTAATCAACAGTGTCAAAATCAATTTTTACAGTCGATGCTTAATTTAGTTTTTCTTAGCAGGATAGCAGCGATTATGAAAAGCAGCGTGAAGCCCGCATCCTTGAGAATCAGTTACTTCTGGCCAGCTTAGGCTTGGACATGTTAGATACAGTTGGTGTCATTTTAAGAACAAACGAATACACGCATCTAACATAACTTCATAGTTTTCGGGACCAGAGCAAGGAAAGAAGCGCAGCTCACCTAGTCAATCTTCCAAAAAAAGAGAAACAATTACCGAACTACGAGTAATATATTATCAGTATTATTAGAGTTTTTCTTGTTCACTAACCAATATCATGTTTTATCAGCGCTCTCTCAGGGCTGAAGGTTCCCCAGTTTCATATGAATTTTATACCTCTTTCAAAGATATAACATTTCGAAACTACATTAAAAAAGGTCGCTCAGAGTTTGCAGACTCATGCCATCAATGCAGGTAACACATTCTAAAACAGACAATACTTCTTTGTGATAGATTGCTGATTGATGGATGGATGCTGGCCAAATAGAACAAAGTCTGATTTGAAAAAGGTATACAATATACATCATATAGACATATGCTATTTCATTAGAATATGTATTAAATCGATAAGCTTGGCTATTTAGGTGCAATGTACAGCGATTAGGAAATACACAGGAATGCGTTGCAGTTTTAAGTGGGATAAATCATGCCTGCTAAAGTACAGTAGGTAGATAAGCCTGTATATCTGGGCATATTAACCAACTGTAACGTGTTACTATGATCTCAATAGACCAAAAGCTCAATGTTGCATTAAATAATCCTAAATGGCGTTGTCCAGTGTAAATATCGAATTATTGAATTACGCTTAAAGCCAGATAAGCATGATATTTATACAATTTGTAGCTGTGAAGGTCGATGTGATTGTTCTCGATGCCGAATCAAGCGAGGCCTTAGACCTTATGGTAATTCCTGGCGAATTATCAGGTGTACGGACACAGACGATGAAGATGAAGATATTAGTGGTGATAAAAGTGTCTCTATTGAATGTAACGAAGACGGTAATAAAGGTAACATGAATTCTTATAATAATGATTTGGATGTTATTTGTACTGAGCTTGTGGATTTTAATATTTAAACTTTAAAGCTCAAGCTGCGCTGTTTGTGGTAAGTTTATCCATATATTTCTTGACCGTTATTCTAATTTTGCTTCATGCTAATAATCGGTGACATTTATTCTAGACAAAACCAATTGTCCGTGAACGACGAAAGACTGCTATTTATAACCGCAAATATAACTTTTCTAGATCGATTGAAGTTCCAAAAGAAAACAGTATGGATCATTCAAAGAAGGCTACGTATTCATTAAAAAAGGAGACACGTCCCTTAAAGATCTTAATTAAGAATTCTTTAAAGTTAGATTCTATATTAGATCAAAAGATGAAAGATTTGACAATGAAGATATCTCAATAGACAATATTCTCGTATGCATAATTTAAAGATAGCATTGAAAATGAAACTTTATATGAAAATAAAATAAAAAATAAATAAATAAAAAATCATTATGAAGCGTGGTGTCCAAACTCTATCCATAATTTAGGTACATTTAAGGAATAATAGACGCCCCGCTTTGGCCTATCCGGGTACCTGTAATAGGATATCCGAGTAACAATCTTAGCTCCGAAGGATATACGGAAGAAGTTTGGGTAGATCTTTTGAAAGGAGGTTGGAATATGAAAGCATGGAACATTGGTGAAATGAAGGCTATATAGATCTCACGAATAGAACACTACATAATTACTAATATAATATAGTATAATATCTATGTACATATACATAGAAAACTGTACAGCCTTGACATTTTTTTTTTTAATAATTATACACCAAGCAATTTGCAATTGCATGTGGAGTTCCGATTTTATAGTTATAGATACCTTGTCGCAACCTACAGATATTTTGCTCAATAAAATTACTTGCTAATTAGAATCAAAACGGAAGGGTGCTCAATGGCCATAGCTAATTTACATTAAAGAGTATTCTCCTTTGGATTTGTAGCCAATACATAAGGAATACGTTTACTTTCTTACAGTGAGTGGCTTTACCTCCTCATGTAGATTATTTGAAAAACAAGAGTCGTTCCTTAAATGAAATTTGATTGGATTAGCTTTGTAGTTATTTACCATACCAATAAAAAAAAAGCGTGGTTTCTGTGTGACACACTCATCCAATTTTGCTTTAGTTGTCTTTTGTTGTGTTTCAATGTGCTACAGTGATTTTCGGTCAATCCTAGAGTATCAAGAAGCACTATTTTCTACCTTGGCACCTCTAAGATCGGCACTATTTTAACCGATACCGCTAGACCTCATATTAGTGTCGGAGAACGTAATTGAACCTGGAGTTCCTTCTCTCAATCTCTTAACTCTCTTCCACCCCTTCTCTGGTCTTTGAAATGACTATTTTTGGTAATAATCGTCAACTCAGTCCGGTTTATCCAAGATACGGAGGACCCGCCACACCTAATCAAACGGCCACTTTATTACTAGCAGAATCGGAGCTGCACCTACGTCCCCGGTCTCAATTTGTTTGAAACCAAGGTATCTGCAAAAGACAAAGCTTACCGGAGCCTATTGTTTATATCTGATTATTGTAATAAGAAAATCTACAGACACATTGTGCTCGATTCAGAGGTAAAGAAGGCCATTTTTAAAAGAGATAAGACGTAATTAAGATAGTACAAGAGTCCAAAAAAGAGTTAGTAGAGTAGTAAATAATAACTGTATGTTCCGATATATATATCTATATAAATATTTTACAGCATGATAGCACGTCGTAACATCGAGAAAGCCGTACACAAATCTCGCTGAAATCAGAGACTTATTAGATTTTATCTGTACCGATAAGGATACAATAAACTCTATTACGGCTGGGTGATCAGCAATTCACTTATTTTTAAGTATCGGCTTTGTATTTCCAGCTTCATTCATTGGTAGACAATGTTAAAATATAAGAACAAACATTAAATATTATTTTTTTGTTCCAAGTTTATATACACACACGCTCTCTCATTTATGTATGTCATTTGGTATCCAACTAGTATAAGAAGACATGGATCAGAATTATGTAATTGGCATGATCAATTTTTTGTACATTGAAGACTGACAAGTTACTTACATAAATGTCAAAAAAATAGACACAAGATACCTTTGACAGGAAAGGCACCCGGACCGTATGACTCTCTCCGGTGCGGTAGTTCTCGGCCCGTTGGTAGTGGCGAATGAGTCTGAGCGCGAACATTAGAAAATTAGATAGTAAAAGCTTGAAGCGCACATGGAATATAGGATTCAGAAATCATATATATATAAACCCCCTAATTTGTTGCCTATTACTTCTCCAAAAACCCTTTCTCTTCTCATCTCTTACTATAGCTCATTAAAAATTTCAACCTTATATATTTCAAGCATACTAAGAGATGGGAGAAGAGTACCATATGGACTCGGTGCCATTAAATCACCGAAAACAAACAACCAACCGACACTCCTACACTAATTCAGGGGATACTGTAATTGAAGGTCTTGCTGGAGTGCAAGGAAACTACGGAGAAACTGAAGTAAATGCTGTAAACATCGAAGGTAAAAAAAAATCAAAATAAACAAATTATCATTTCATCATCAGCAAATCAAGATTTTTTTATTAACCTTGATTTTATAGATGCCATTGGGGAATACGAGACTCTCAAAAGGGAGTTAACCACACTCAGTCGCAAAACAACAAACACTGGAAAACTCGAAGAAGGTGTTGCACAATCAGAAGAATTTAACCTTGACGAGTTCTTGCACGGTGTGTCTGACGAGTCTGACAAGGCCGGACACACCAAGAAGCATCTTGGTGTTATATGGAGAGACCTTACTGTTAAGGTATATTTATAAATATATAAATATACATTTCAGCCCACATTAACATCTTATTATTTGCTTCCTTTAGGGTGTCGCTGCCGAGGCTCACACGATTTTCACTGTCGCCAGTTTCCCTATAGCAATCTTCAATATGTGGAAGCTTTTGTTAAAAAAGCCTGAGGTCCCTCAAAAGGTCATTCTCCGCAACAACACTGGCTTTTGTAAAGATGGCGAGATGTTGCTCGTTCTTGGGCGCCCTGGTGCCGGTTGTACCACCCTTCTCAAAATCATCTCTAACTTGCGCGGATCATACACAAGTATCGACGGCGACGTCTCTTACGGAGGTATCGATCCTGGAACTTTCTTCAACAAATACAGAGGCCAAGTTTGCTACAACGAAGAAGAAGATCAGCATTACCCCACTCTCACTGCCAAGCAGACCCTTCAATTTGCTTTACGTACAAAGATCCCCGGATCCCGCCTTCCTGACGAAACTAGACATGATTTTGTTAACCGCGTTCTCTACATGCTCGGAAACATGCTCGGTTTGACCAAGCAGATGAACACTATGGTCGGCAATGCCTTTGTCCGTGGTCTCTCTGGTGGTGAGCGTAAGCGTCTCTCTATCGCAGAACAAATGACAACATCTAGCTCCATCAACTGTTGGGATTGCTCTACTCGTGGTCTCGATGCCGCATCTGCTCTCGATTTCGTTCGTTCCCTTCGTATCATGACAGATGTTCTCAACAAGACTACCGTCGCCACCCTTTACCAGGCTTCCAACAGCATCTTTAACCTCTTCGACAAGATTATCCTTCTTGATGATGGTTACTGTCTTTACTTCGGTCCAGTTGAACAGGCCAAGCCATACTTTGAACAAATGGGTTTCTTCTGCCCCGCTCGTAAATCAACCCCCGATTTCTTGACTGGTATCTGTAACCCATTGGAGCGTGAGTTCCAGCCTGGATGTGAGAACACCGTTCCACAGTTTGCCCACGAGTTTCAAGAACGTTACCTTGGATCCAACATCTACAGGTCTATGATGACCGAGTTGGATCAGTATGAAAACTCCCTCAAGGCCGACAACCAGGCTGATGCCTTCAAGCAAGCCATGGACGAAGAACACCAGAAACGTGCCCCAACAAAGAGTCCTTATATTGCTTCCTTTTATCAGCAAGTCAGAGCTCTCCTAATCCGTCAATACTATCTCCTAATCAAGGATAAGGGTGCCTTGATATCTCGCTATGGTACCATTCTCATACAATCTCTTATCACATCCTCCTGCTTCTACAATCTTCCCTTGAACGGTACTGGTGCTTTCTCTCGTGGAGGTGCCATTTTCTTTGCTGTCCTATTCAATGCTTTCATTGCTCAAACCGAACTTGTCCGATTCTTGATGGGTCGTCCTGTCCTGGAGAAACATAAGCAATATGCTCTCTATCGTCCTTCTGCGTTCTACATTGCTCAAGTTATCATGGATGTTCCATATGCACTTGTTCAGGGTAAGCAGTCTTTACTAAACTATTCTACTGAATATTGATTTTTACTTACTTATTTAATTTTATGTATTTTAGTTGCACTTTATTCCGTATGCTCCTACTTCATGACAGGTCTTAACTTGACAGCTGGAAAGTTCTTTACTTTCTTCGTTCTTTTGTTCTTCATCAACATGACCATGAATGGTTTCTTCCGTATCTTCGGTGCTATTACCAGCAGTTTCTTCCTTGCCTCCCAGCTTGCTGGTTTTATGCTTGTCGCTGTTGTTGCTTATGTCGGATATTGTAAGTTTAACATTTACACTTCAAAAGTATAGCGTATTGATTTTATTTTGGTTACTTTAAATAGCTATTCCATACCCCAAGATGCACCCATGGCTTTACTGGATTTACTGGGCCAATCCCCTGTCCTATGGCTACAAGGCTCTTTTGATTAACGAGATGAACGGACAGACCTACTCCTGCGATAGTCCCGGAAACTCTGTTCCTTATGGCCCTGGCTACGACAACTGGGAAAACAAGGTGTGCACTATGGTCGGCGGTATTCCAGGTGAAAGCTTCGTCAAGGGTGAATCCTATCTCCTCCAGGCATTGACTTACAGACCCTGGGAAGCCTGGGCGCCTGATTTTATTGTCGTCGTTGCCTTCTTCTTGTTGTTCACTGCCATTTGTGCTCTTGCTATGGAATACGTTGATTCCAGCAATGGCGGAAACACTACCAAGTTCTACATCCCCGGAAAAGCCCCCAAGCCCCGTACCGACGAGGAAGAAAACGAACGTCGTAGACGACTTGCCAAGATCACCGATGAAATGGATGGTATCTCTACTGGAACCACTTTCTCATGGCAAGATATCAAGTATACCGTCCCCGTCAAGGGTGGCAAGCTTCAACTTCTGAACGGTATTAACGGTATTGTCAAGCCCGGCCATCTTACTGCTCTCATGGGATCTTCTGGTGCAGGAAAGACCACTCTCTTGGATGTTCTCGCTCGCAGAAAGACCACTGGTGTTGTCGAGGGCGATGTTTTCCTCAACGGCGAAGCACTTATGAACGATTTTGAACGTATTACTGGTTACTGTGAACAAATGGATATCCATCAGCCCGCTGTCACTGTCCGCGAAGCCCTCCGTTTCTCTGCTTACCTTCGTCAGGATGAGTCTGTGCCCAAGGCCGAGAAGGATGAATATGTCGAGAAGATTATCCAATTGCTCGAGATGGAAGATATTTCTGACGCTCAGATTGGTATGGTCGAATACGGTATCGGTATCTCTGTCGAAGAACGCAAGCGTCTCACCATTGGTATGGAATTGGTCGGTAAACCCCAATTGTTGTTCTTGGATGAGCCCACTTCCGGTCTTGATGCCCAAAGTTCCTTCAACATTATTCGTTTCATTCGCAAGCTCGCTGATGCTGGTTGGCCCGTTCTCTGCACAATCCATCAACCTTCGGCAATTCTGTTTGGCCATTTCGATCATCTCTTGTTGCTTGTCCGTGGTGGCAAAACTGCTTACTATGGTGAGATTGGTCCCGATGCCCGCACAATGATCAACTACTTTGAGTCCAACGGTGGCCCCGCCTGTCATCCCGAAGCCAATCCTGCTGAGTACATTCTTGAGGTTGTTGGTGCCGGTACTGCTGGAAAGGCTACCCGTGACTGGTCTGATGTCTGGGCTGAATCCAAGGAATCCAAGGAGCTCAATGATGAACTTTCAGAAATCAACAAAACTGCTAACAAGAACCCTACTCGGGAAGCACGTACTTATGCCACCTCTGCCTGGACACAGTTCAAGTTGGTTCACAACAGAATGGCCTTGGCTTACTGGCGTGCCCCCGATTACAATTTTGGCCGTTTCCTCAACCTTGTCTTGACTGCCCTGATTAACGGTTTTACTTACTGGAAACTTGGATCTTCTTCTTCAGACATGCAAAACAAGCTTTTCGCTTTGTTCAGTACTTTCATCATGGCGATGACTCTTATTATTCTTGCCCAACCCAAGTTCATGACTGAGCGTCTCTTCTTCCGCAGAGAATATGCATCTCGTTACTACAGTTGGTTCCCATGGGGTATTTCTACTGTCCTTGTTGAAATTCCATATGTTTTCGTATTTTCCGCTTTCTTCATGTTCTGCTTCTACTGGACTGCTGGTATGAGCACCGCATCCGAGGCAGGTGGTTACTTCTACATCATGTTTGTTTTCCTCGTTCTCTGGGCCGTCTCTCTTGGTTTCGTCATTGCTGCTGCTTCCGAGCTCCCAACTATGGCCGCTGTTATCAACCCTCTGATTATGTCTTTGCTTATTCTTTTCTGTGGCCTTATGCAGCCCGAATCTGCTATGCCTACATTCTGGAGAAAGTGGATGTACTGGGTTGATCCTTTCCACTACTACATCGAAGGTCTTGCGGTGAATGAACTTGAGCATCTCAAGGTTACATGTACAGACAACGATCTTCTCAGATTCTCTCCTCCCGCTGGTCAGACCTGTGGCGAGTACATGACCAACTATTTCTCCTACGGTGGTTTCGGATACATCGCCAACCCCGATGCCATGCTGCCTGAACAGTGCGGCTATTGTACTTATAGCTCTGGTGCCGAGTATTACTCTGGCGTTTACGGCTGGGATGCCGCCCACAAGTGGCGCAACGTCGGTATCATTGCCGCTTACTTTGTCTTCAACGTCCTTGCCTTCCTTGGCTTGGTTTACTGGAACAGAAAGGGCAGACGATAAATTAATACTTCCTATACTTCCTATATTTCATATACTTGTTAAGCTTGTTTGATTTTTTTTCTTTCGTATCATACTACCCATACTCATGTCTACTTTATATCTGCTTAATTCAGTATATTATAATATTATTTTTATCAACTTTCTTCCTATTAAAAAGAAGATAATCTGCATTGTTCTTTTTATTTGTACATACTAGAGAAACATATTATAATAAAAAGAATCATTTATTTTTATCAATTAAAGTCACCCGGAACTGTTGAATATTCATTAATTCATTCATACGCGCCAACATGCAAGCAGCAGTTAGCATATTTGTAGATCTGAATTTGGTAAAATTGTATTCGTACAACTACAACCAGCTAGTTCTGGCTTATACGTCTCATAAAAAAATTCGTCTTGCTAAACACTTCTTCATTTATTTAATACACTATTTCCTAAAGTCAATGTGACACACTTGATGAAAAGAACAATAGAATAGAATGAAAATAATTTGAGACATTTGCTAATTTATGTATAATTTGTATTATAAAATTGAGATACCTAAATTATTTTTGCTATTTTGTTTTTCAGAGTGTCTCGATATTAATCAAGTAAATATGATTACTGTATCGCACATAAAATCAAGCAGTAAATTAAGTATTGACGGAGAATTGTTTTGTCAAGAATTTAATGCTGTTCATTATAGTCAACACACAGATAAAAGTAGTATTGCAGTGATAAAAAAGAAAAAAAAAAGAATAGATAGACAGAACATGGATCAGGTTTCTCGAATTAGTTGTTAGCCAATAGATACTCTACGGCAGAGTTGACATTTCCTCCAGTGGCCAACAAGGCCCGTATATTAGCTTGTTTGTCTCCAAATCCCATGTCTTCAAGCTGAACAATTTGTGATCTAAAGCGTACTTCCGGGGGTTCTGCATTTTCAGCAGCTGGTTGTGGTGGTTGGAAAGAAGGAAATCCACTTTTAAAATAAAATAAAAGCAATCAAGTACGTAAGTAAGTATATAGTTATTCAATAAATATTAACTCCCAATTATATTTTATTTTTATTTTCTTACCCCATATTCCACAAGCCTTGACCACCAAAACCCATGGGTTGCTGTTGGCCTTGACCTTGGCCCTGGCCCTGTCCTTGAGCATTCAACATTGCCTGGTGCATTCGCATTCCAGCTTGTAAAATATTAGGGTCGGCCCACAAGGGCATCTGTCCGTTGGCATTATTGGCAGGGTTTGCTTGGTTGGGTGTGTTCTCCTAATTAATATATAGATATAGATATAGATATAGATATAAATACAGGCACAAGAATTAGCTTTTACTTTATTTTTATTTTTAAACAGAGAGAGGGTCTATATCAAATAAAGCTCGTTTTTTTTTACTTACGGGAGATTGCTGGTTTCCACCAAAAGGAAACATGGGAGCTGATAATCCAAAAAGACCTTTTATAGATAAATTTATTTAATACTTACTTTGTCCTCTTTACTCTGAAATTAATTGATATATATTCTCCTTTGATACTCACTTGCGAATGGGTTTGCTCCAGGTGACGCAGAAGAAGGATTACTAGAAGCGGCAGAAGTATTGTTGGAAGCAGGAGTACCAGTTGCCCAAGGGTTTGGCAGAGCTTGTGTGTTGAGTTGGTTCTCTAAAAGACATGATGATATTAGGTTGTTATAAATCTCTTTATTTCTTTCTTTCTTCTTAATAATCATACCTGGTACACTGGTTACATTAAGCTCTCTAGCCATTCTTTGATTAGCTTCTTCAGAAGAAGGTGCTCCTGGTTGCATCGCAGATCCCAATGGCCCTTGAATAGTACTGTACATTCGTTGCAAATGGTTAAACCCTCCGGGCAATGCCTACATATTTAATTCATTAATTAATTTCCAATTTGTTTAAAGTATTTCGATGGTCATAAACTAACCTCAATATTTGACAAGGCTCGGTCGTTGTTTCTTTGCATCTCTCGTAGCAACTCTGGATTTCTATGCACATATATTAATTAGGTTCCCAAAATCAAATAAAAAAATACAATATATATATATAAAACACTCGGCATTTCAATAACTTCTTGTATTTGGTCTTACCGCATCATTTCCATTGATTGTTGTAAAAAGGCAGGATCGTTGATCATATGACCAACTTCTGGGTTCTGTTCAACCAAGCTCTGCATCTGAGGGTTACTCATCAGAATAGAACGTACAAATTCTGTGTTTTGAGAGTTAGTGTAAGAGTTGTATACTCAAAGGAACAGTCTTTATTTCTCTCGTCCCTGCATGTATACATATACTTCTATTTTCTTCTTCTGTTTTATTGAATTCTCACCTGGGTTGCTCAGTATTCCTTGCATCATGGGCGAGTTCATCATCTGGCGCATGGCTTCTGGATCCATCATTAATGAAGGATCGGCATCGAACATGCTTCCTGCTCCACCAAAGGGAGAGAAGCTTGCGCTGGCCGAGTTGTTAGGTCTTGGAGTAGAGGTAGTGGATCCACTCATAGAAGTAGCGGTAGCAGTTGTGGTTGTGGTTGTGGTTGTTGCGTTGGATGGTGATGTTGTGGAGGCATTGGTAGAGTGTGTTGCGGGTGTTTTAGTTGTCGAGTCTGAGGTCTTCTTGGCAGAAGAACGAACCATGTAGATGGTATGGCCTTCCTTGATGCCTATAAACAGAACTAATGAGCACCATTTTCTAAACTATAATATATAAATATTATCTATTTATTTATCTATTTATTTATTTATTTATTTATTTAGTTAATTATTTATTTATTTATTTTACCATAAGTGCCGCAGTTATCTTCATCCTTTAGTATCCGACCAGAGTAAACGAGTTTTATGTCCCCAGCTCCCAGTCCACCCATCTTCTGTCCTATCGTAGTCTTGAACTGAAGAACAGTAGTTGCCTCAGGGTCCAACTCGACTTGCAAGACATCGCCTGTAAAGGGCTTGATTTTTACAGTGATCGTCATTATGAATCGTCCTTTCTTTCTAGTTTTTTTTTTGTCTTTTTTTTTATTTTTCGCTTTTTTTTCCTGCTTCAGAAGGACCTCAAATGGCTGACGTCGGCAAAGATCCAAAAAAAATAAAAAATAAAAAATAAAATAAAAAAGAGGGGATAGAGAAAAGGGATAGAAAAATAAAATAAAAGACACAAGGCTACACAGACGTTCTCAACAATCTGCGCTTATTAAAATAATGGTTTACTTTCTATGTCTATTATGTTAGCATACAATCTATTGGAATTTTGTAGAATAATCGTACAAAAGTTTATATATACATACATATATTGGTTGATTGTATCCATATTTACAGGTAGTAGCTAGTTAATATGTATGTATGCAAGTACAATATTTTGGTAAAATGTTATCAATATCAACCACACAAATCAACAAGTATCTAGTACTATTTATTCGAATTCAAATAGTTAGACGAGCCCCTTTTTTTTAATAATGAACATAATTCGATTTGATTTCTGTTTGATTTGGTTCTATTATTTTAAGGTAGTATTTTTTTTATTTATTTCTTTCTTAGTAGAGTGTAAAATGAACAATTTAGACAGGGGCTAAGATCCATTGAAATTTAGAACTTACTACAAGAAAGACACGATACATTAAACTTATGATTTATTATGAAAGAACAAACAAAGAGACACTTTAGTAGAAGTCTTTCCCAAGCTTTCTCAAGCTTTCTTATTCTTCTTTTTCGGGGATTTAAGGGATGTTTTAAGGTTGAGATTCTGATTAAGAACCACTTTCCCTCTTATGTTTCAATTTCTATTGTTCTTTTCGAAATTGTGGCATTATATCCCAAATGATGAAATGATATTCCTAAATTTCAAAACAGAAGCAAGTTCCCTCCCTCTATTTCACAAATAATCCTCAAGCTGTAATGTAGTCATGATCTCCAAAACGATCTGAACTGGTACAACTAGAATGCTTCATAAGAAAATTAAGAATGTAAAAGAAAAAAAAACTTTTAAAAGCTAATTTGAATATTATCTCAAAAGACAATGACAGACTAGACTTGGCATTCGAAAGCAGCAATATGGGCAAAGAGCCGAGGAGTAAAGGATAATTTCTTGAACTTTTCAAGATATTATTTGGAGCACGAAGGACATTGTTTGGTTTTACTTAATTAATCAATCAAAAGAAGAAGAAGACATTTAATGCATGTTTCCAAAGTAGTTTTTTTTAATACTACAGCGCTCATTGTCTCATAGTATATGCTATGAGGTAGAAGACTGGCTTTACATGACCAAGAGATAAGTTGGGTAAAATTCGGTGAGTAGAAACAAAGCCTGTGGGTTAAAGGTTGATGATAGGTTTGATTTTAAGATTAAAAATAAGTAAAATGAACTATAAAATCTGTTTATTTTGTTTTGAGTTGATATGTGTATCAGTAACATCTTTGTTTTGTTACAGTAGAACCCTTGTGCACCTATTATATCATATTTATCCTTCTAAGATCAACAAAGACACAAAGGCCAACGGATTCTTTTATGCTGCTCTGGTAAAAACACTCATTTCTATAAGGAGTGGTTCCCAAATCAATGGCTTTAGGTTTCTTGATAGTAATATCCTTTGGAAACTATGGTAGGTTTACCTTTGAGCTAGAGATTCTGACACCAGATGTCTATATTGCTTCTCTGAACTTTATTGGACCATCTTGTTGACCTCTAAAAAAGAGAACTTGTTGCTTATGTTCATTACCCTCTTGCATACCTAACTTGCTCATAAATACTTTCCAGAATCGACTAAAAGGAAAAAAATTGATGTATCGATGTCCAAGCTGTTTTTTCTTTTAGTAGCTGGGGGCACCTGAAAGGATGAGATGAAGTGAATGCAAGAAAAAGGATTTAAAATTATTATTTTTCTAGGTAGTTTGCCAAGATTATATAGCCAAATAAAAATCTTGATCAAGTGACCAGAGATGAAGAAGCAACTATTTTTTTATAATTCTTTACATAATTAATTTACTACTACTTGGCTCTTTTCCTCTCTCTTCCCTTTTTTTTTATATTGAAGCTGTGATATTTGGACTATGATTTAATATCACTAAGAAACAACTGGTTTGTATTTTTAGACTTGTAACGATCTTCAAGAGAAATAACATTGTTTATCAGATCTTACGAAAGCAAGCTGCCTATATCAAGCAACATATAACTTTACAGCTAAAGAAGACAAGAACCACACAATAAAGTTAATATAATGACATATTTTTCTTTATTAGAGAACGTACCAGCTTTAATATTTATAGCTAGCAGTATCCACCCTAGGTTATAGTAACCTTGGTTGAAGCAATTACAATATAAAGAGCGAGATAGGTATAAAAGAGGAGGTATGATGTAAGATGAAATCAACAGCTTGAAACCTTTTGATTGAGGATTCTTCATAATAAAAGAACATTGATTGTGTGGAATAAACTACCACAAGGACCTTTTTTTTTTTCAAAGAAAAAAAATATGCAGGAGAAAGTGTATGAGAAAGAAAATGGCAGACAAGATAACCCGCCAAAATTGGACTACTCTAAGTAATGATCGCCAACCATCAATCGGCCAAAATTCTTCAATTGGGCATAAAAGTTATGGACCTTGATCTCAACTAGAGATTCCTCTATTCAGTATGCATATAAACTTTGCATTTGCGAGCTTTCATCCAAATGTTAGTGAATTACATATTTTGTTAAAATTCCGGGTTCTTACTTACAGTTTATTTAGTACGGATGGTATAGCATACATATGAATATGGGCCTCCAATATACCGATATAGCTGCTATATAATTCTGGCTTGATTATATGCTTAAAGTCTGTGGAAAACGAAGTATCCTCCTGCCTATTTGAAAGTACGTGTCAACTAATACACTTTACACGACAAAATTTTGGCAATTGCCACTTGTAGTGTTATTTCCAGTTACGGGTACAAATTCATATTTCTTCTTGGAGAACAAGTTTGAATTATATGAGATAGTGCTTAAAAAATGGATATATTATATTTGATTTATTATAATCATATGTCAATATCTCTAATGCGTGTAGAATTTACATGTTTATTTATCTATCTATACTGCTTACTGCAGCAACCAAACCCCTACCCCCTTCCCTTTTTCCTCACTGAAATAATTAGAATTTAGACTCAGTATATAGAAAATCAAGGGATTGCTCTCATTTTGTTCGTTTGCAAAGTTTTATTGATACAAAAAAATTGAAACAAATCCAAAGGATGATAATAATATTGATATGTATATGTATATTTATAGTTTTGTATTATATTATATGTATAAATTTATTTATATTTTTTGAAACAATTGATGAATTAAATAGAAATGTTATGTGTATGCGTATAGTGCTGATATAATAAAATGTAAGGAGCATGTTAATAATTATGCTAATGATGAAATAATTGCGTTTGTTTGGTTGCTTGGTTGCTTGGTTGCTTGGTTGCTTGTTTGTTTGTAATCTTTCTTCTTTGTTATCTGTCTATCTATTTACCTATCTATTGATTGACTGATTTATCTATCAATTTGTGTATCTATTTTTTTGTACGAATGCAGGAGGGCTCGTGTATTGCTTTGTGGGAAACTAGACAACGGGCGCTGCAATATGCCTGTGTTTTACATTTTGCACAAATGGGCATTGCACGTTTTTCGACACCACAGTTGGCACATGAAGAAGATGATGATGAAGATACGCTCGAAAAAGACGAGGACGAAGAACCTGTACCTGGGCGACCCGTCGCTAAGCTGTTATCCTCATAGACGCCGTGGGCCTGCAGAGATGCTCTAACGTTGTCCTGGATGTTCTCCTGATCTTCAAAGGGCGCAGAGATTGCGAGACACTTGCGGTAGTATATCATTGCTCTTGGAGTTTCTTTGGCTTGCTCATAGATTTGTGCACGACAGCTGTAGATTGTGATCCGGATAGCACGTCTGTAGTCGTCGTGACCACACAGTGCGCTCTGATAAGGACCATTGAGTGTGGTGGGATAAAGAAATGCTTCGTGTGACTCGTCTTTGAGCTGTTTTCCGAAATCCCAAAGGTCTTGTAGCATAATCTCCGACCAGTTTAGGTATCCATGGAGATGGTCTTGGGTATGGGATAATGCGAGATCGACTACCTTGGAAACCAGCTGGAGGAGGTCGGCAGAGCACTCGACTGGCTCACTCTGACGAACATAGCGAATGGCATTGAGGTACTGGTTTGCTACTGCATCACAGCCACGGCACACAAAAGAGGTGTGGCGAGTGGGGATTCTTGAAGCGGCCTGGAGAGCATGCTGGATAGAAGAATGTTCCTGGGTTTTAGCGGGAGCAACTACCTGCTTAGGAGAGTCCTTGTAAGATTCAAACGAATTTTGGGTTGTGAACATTGGAATTTATTTGGTTGGTTGGTTGATGTGTAAATGTAAGTAAATGCAAGTGCAAGCGCAAGTGTGAAATACAGCAAAAGAAGAAGATGATGAAAACAAACAAACAAGTGATAGACTTCAAAAGCGAGGCACGGACGACAAAGGCTTTATAAATCCATACGACCCCACGTGAGGACACGGATTGACCAATGGTTAGCTTATGTCGATGGGCTTTTTATTTGATCTGTCCAACGTTGGTTTGCTTATTTTCGTTCCGCTCAAGCTGCGACTCGATTTCGTACAAGACATATATGAACTCCACTTCACCCCCCTTTCCCCCCTTACTTTCTCCCTCTTTCACACTCACTAGTGTTTCCTTGAGTTTATTCAATAATGAATTTATTTATTTATTTATATATAGAGACAAAAAAGCAATACTATGGACTGGTGTGCAGTATATCTCGGATTACAAAGGCAGGAATAATGAAACAGAAACAGAAAAATAACAAGAAGAAGAAGAAAATAAAATATCCGGGATTAATTAGAGTTCCCCAAACTTTGCTCGTCTATAGGTCTTATAAAATGAGATAAAATATATAAAAAAAATGAGCCCTTCATACTACCATTCTGTAGTGACAGGTGGAGAGCACAGTAAAAGACTTGGTGCTCAGAGACGATTAGAGTTTGACTTTGGGTCAGACAAAGGACTGCTTTCGTATATCGGAAATCTATTGTGTATATAAAATAAATAGAATACGAAAGAGTTGATGGTTACTATTGCACAAACAATCTTATTTTTATCTCGCAGAATATGCTCACCGTAACCACTCATGTGAGGCCAATGTGTAGCGTGGAGTAAAACTGGGTATCTGACTGGACACCACCTTTTCGGTACAATATTTTCTTTTGTACTTTGCCTTTATTTAATTATTTTGACCGCCGGCTCATGTTAAATACTGTAGTAAATGTCTGTGCTTAACTGAGAAGAAAATAAGCAAAAGACTTCAATAAAGACTATATAAATTGCATATAAATTACATTATTATTTCTAAAATAATGTAATATTTGCACACCTTTTTTTCACTCATCTTTAGTCTTGCTCTCACTTTAATCGGAACGCGGATTACTCTCGGGATATTTATTTTTTTACGATATAATTCATCTTGTACAATAAACAAGAAGCAAGAAGCAAGAACAAGATGTAATTATTAGTCAAGATGTTAAAAGAGTAATATAAGATCTTGATAGAAAGATAAATATCTCCGGCCTTGGATCAAACAAGTAAATTAGAATTTGAGCCTAGACAATCATATATTCTTTCTTTTTATAGTATGTAAGAACCTCGCTACCTGTTTATTCCATTTTTATACACTATTCTAGTCAAGCCATTTGGTGTCTATGTGCAACGCTATGTACATGAAGATGAACATTAACGTGTATATATAGATATAGATACGGGTACAGATGCTTGTAAGAAATACAAAACATTAATAATAGTAATTCTATCTTTACACACACATATATATTATTTGTATCATGGAAAACACATTGGTTCTTTCTTTTACTTCTTTTGTCTATATTAGAAAATGAAAATATAGCATTATTTTTTTGAAGATATTATTACTGCCCAAAGGTATTAATTATGTATAAGCAATAAGTATCCAATTCGTATCACAGTATTCAATATATATATATATATAAAAGATAAAAAGCAAGATAATAGAACAAAAGAAAGTGTATCGAGCCATACTTGCTTATGTCAAGTAGAACTCTTATTAAACCTGCCTACCACATTTTCAGTATCATCACTAACAAAAAAACATATTTCTTTTATATAATAGTCGCTTGCATAAAGCCTCTAAGTTTAAGCTTAGCTTTTAAAGACCCTTGAATGATTCGCCTTTTTCTTTGCATAGCACATAATCGCTATCAGATGGTATTATACAATCATTTGTAGCCCCAAAAAGAAACACTATTGCCTCAACAACAAAAGTATTTTCTTCTTATATATTGTAACCTTTTTAAAGATAATATAATCCTGTTTCACATGTGCGCTACCTGCTTGCTTGCCTATCTACCTGCTGGCAGACTTGTATTGATGTTGTCTGGGCTCGCACTGTCCACCAAATCCAGTCATTCTCAACTCTTTATATGTATATGCGTGTTATTATTAGTACAGTGTTGTGGAAGTATCATAGACTAGACCCCGCTCAAACCAAACAGAGAGCTTTTCTCCTCCTTTGGACATCTTGGTATTATATCTATCTGCACTCCTAAACCAAAAGACCTGATTAGACAAGACCAGTATTGCTATTAATATTTATTATTATTATTATTATTACTGCTGTTGTTTCTATTACAAAGGCAAACTACACCAAGTAAACAGGCCTATAAGGATATCAGCTTTTTTTCTCCTAATCTAGTCTTTTAGTATCACCAAAGGTTTAACTGTACGACCATTCCAAAAGAAAAAAAGAATTTTCATGGAAAGTAGATCGTCAAAAAAAAACCTTTTTTTTTGTCTTCTTCTTTGGTTTGACGATTTCAAACCTTGCCGAGAGGGAAATACCAATTCACTTGGAATATTCATAACACTTTACTTTGAATTAATTATGTGTCTGTAGTGAATACCTACTTTACATTCACTAATCATATATGAACCAGTTGGTTCTCATTATTTATCTCACTATATATAAATATGCATTGGAGTGGAGATCAATTTCAAAATATAAATGTAAAAATAAAATATATGTATGAATGTTCCAATGTTTTCTCACCTTAATCAGCTCAAAATCAGTTCGCATTATATAATACTCTAACAGACTCATCTTCCTTTGCCTTAAACTTGTCAAGTACAAGTCTCGTAATGGAGGATATGTTTAAAGTTGAGGAGTAACAAGATAACATTGTTACTAAGCATAATATATATATCATTGGATATTCATAGTCAAAGCAGAACCATATGACAAATCAGAGTGTACAATACTTGTATATATCAAATAATGAAATATTAAAAATCAATTCAACATTTAGCTTGGATTAGATTGGATTAGATTGCTAATGCTTATGTAAACCTGCTATTGTGTATATATACATATATTGAAGAAGCCAAAGGTTGGGGGGGGGGGGGGGTATTGATGCTATTATTTTTATATAACTAGTTCGGACTAGCTATAAAGCTCACTGTCAAATAATATACATTTATAATAATAATAAAAGTAAAATGTGATTAAAATCATGCTTTTATCCACAGAACAATAAGTTTAAGAGTATTAGTATTTTTAAGCATAATTAACGCAAGTACCAACCAGACTCACTGTATAATTATTATTTTTGGGTTTTGTTTAACCAAGCTTTTCTAATGCACTTCTTCATTTTTTATGTTCAAAAGAGGAAATAATATATATACATAGAATATATCTACCAATACAACAATAACCATAGTAACTAATGAGAGTAACGCTAAGCAGTACAAATGTTGTGTTTCATATGTCTGTTAACTTAATTGACACTGTCCATTTAATTCTTCTTATTTATTTGTGGTATACATGTATGAAATGTATTGAGAATTTTGCCGTCTTATTTTAAGCTTTTATTTTTATATACACATAAATAGATATTTTAAAATAGCATATTCTGGTCTTTCACACACACACATATATATATATATGGTAACTACTTATTAGTAAAGAAATAGAAGACAAAAAAGAAAACAGAAAAGAAAGAAGAACAAAGAAATGCCCCTACAACATGAGCAAATTATTTGAGGCAATTTTGTGAATAATCTCTCAAGTTGTGTTTGACAATCAATACCTTAAAAAAAAAGCCAATTTATCAGATCCGATTATCCAATCACTGACTACTGTATTATGTTCTTTTCTTAATTGGAAATAATATATATGGATGAAAACAACTTAGAATTATCTTAATAATTTACTAGAAAAAAGGTGAAAGCTGTGAAAAGAAATATAGGAAATATGCACGAAATTTGGGGAGAAGGGGGTTGGTAAAAGAAAGGACTTTGTATTTATTGTATTAAATCCAGAATACTCTGTCAAGTAGTTACGAGTGGCTTATTTGTAGAAACAAAATAAAAGAAATATATGTAACCAAAATGCGACATATATATATATATATATAAGCATGTTTAAAGACGAATATTGTGATTAAGATAAAAGAGAAACATATTTATATCTTTGCGCTATTGTCATAAAAGCAACCTTATGAGTAAGTGTCCAATGAGGATCAATGGATTACAAGATATCCATGCATGTGATATATAGCATAAACAATTTCTTGATAGTTTACAAACATAGCGATCTGTTCATTTAAGCTCCAATAACTTTAAACTATCAAATCCGCTATTTATTACTTGGCTCAATATTTGTAGCAAATAGCTCGCATTACTTTTTAATATTCTATTATTATTATTATTATTATTATTATTATTATTGTCATATTGTTTACATGTAAAAGTAAACATGTAACAAATAACATTGAATACCAAAGCCAGAATTTCCTTGGAATTGAGCTACTGTCAAATAGAAGGGGCACATTAGGTGATATTATTATTATTACTTTGCTGCTATTTACATTTTACAAGGTTACTTGTCATTACAGATTATAATATTAAGTATATTAAATGGCTCGCGAATCGTAAACTTTATCTACTCTTTCTGAAAATTATTGCTGTAAAAGTGGAATGCACCAAATGCACCAAAAAATATCAATTTAGCAGAGAAACGGATAGAAACTTGCACCAATAACTACCGGAAATAGTTTACTACAAAAGACAAAGGTTGTATTTTTTTAAGGAGAAAATCAATATACTATCTGTAGAGTCATTTCCATGACCTTTGACACTTCAATTACAGCAGCTGTATATAATAAGGAGAATCTTTAGGGAGCCAGAAGTTTTGAGGGTATAATACTGTCAAATAAGGGTTACAAGAACAAAAATCACATGTAAGTTATCATTATAAAAAACTTTATAGCGAGACAGCCTGTTATGGTTTATGTGATAGAGTGGCTCAAACAGCTAAAATAAAAAGAGAATACATATATATATATATATACTGATCTAATTTAACAAATTCCTTGCCAATTGGGAACCTGTTCTCTCGAGAAAGATTAAAAGAAAATACAAGTGGTATGTAGAAGTGGTCGTTATTGCTTTCATATTTTGATATTTATATAAATATTAAGATGCTGGTATAAACTATACTTCTTTGCATACTACCAATGAATAAGTAAAAGTAATGTAAATAGATAAACACCGTTGGAGTTCATTTTCACAGTTTTTTAGGCTTTTCTAAAGGTCATTACTTAAGTTCTTTACATTATTGATACAATAAATATTTGAAAAGATATTAGATGTTTAGATCAGCCGTAAGTTTCAAGACACATGCAACGTGCCAAGAGGAATACATTTTCTTTAACCAATATTCGTCCTTAAAGATTAGTATCTGCGGAAATTTGAATTATTATTTTTTGTTCACATCTTGCAAATCAATTATTCTACTTTGCTTTAGATTCAAATCGTAAGCTATTATCTATATAAGCTTGGGTTTATTTTATTTTACTTTCTTCTTTGAAAAGAGTTCAGCATATAAATTTTACTCAGAACTCATGATTTGTTTTGGTGAATATCAGTCCGTGGTATACTCTTCTATATCGCCACATCTGAATTCGCCGTACCCTTTGTAAAGTTCACCTATCCAACTAAAATGAGATGGTTTGTTGGATTCTAGAGTTTGAGTTTTGCTGAGCTGAAAGTCCTGATAGTATTTTCGTGCGATATCAGCTCCCTCCTCATCGAGTATATCGGTTCTGTCTACTATGTATACCGAAGGTATCTCCTCGAATTCGTATGAGAAGATCCAAGCAATATTTTGAGGTGCTGCTATTTGGTACTTTGAACCAATCTCAACCTTTTCTATTTCGTCTTTTACATCTGATAGCGAAGGGTCGTTTAATCGAGACAGAAGTGTCATGCTGATAATATTTTCTTCGCTCCTTTGCATCTCTTGGTGTGATGTACCGTATTTAACCTTTTCAACGTGCAAAGTCTTTAAGAAAGTATGTGTCATATCGAGTAGCAAACATCCGTTCTTTTGAGAAAAAGATCCCGTGATCCACACTTCGCACAAACTCATATGCTGCAGGCTTCTACACCTCAAAGAGATGTGATTAAATACTTCGGAGGTTATAGAACATCTATGTAAGTCCAAAGTCTGTAGTCCATGCTGCTGTTTTAGTTCCCCGTTTTTCGTTTTTAGATTAACAAACATTTCTGAGCTAAGAAGTTTCAGATGCTTGAGGGCCACACATTTGTTCAATATATCATCCATATTAAAAGTCCCGCCACGGCCATAGATGCAAAGGTCCGTCAAAAATTGGCAGCAAGGAAATAGCTTTGGTGCCGGAATTTGGTGATTATCGTTATATGTAAACCCTGTAACCGAAAGAGTATTGAGTGTTCCCGAAAAGGATTGTAGAATTCTGCCGATATGCATTGTATATAAGTTACTGCTCTGATGATCTTGTCCTGTGCTTAACGTCAAATGTTTTATAGGAACTCGTAATGGATAAAGCAATTCCCATAAAATAAGGTCAAACGACTCAAAGGTTTTGTTGGCCACAAATTTGAATGTTTCTAAGTGCTTTAATGCGTTTGGATTGGAGTGAAAAAGAGATATGACCTTTTGTCTCTGATCAGGATCTATCGATTCATGACGTGCACCCAAGATATTCAGCTTTAGAGAACGCAGGTTTGGATACTTGTAGCCAAAATAGTATAACCACAAAGGATTCCATTTATTCGTATTTCCATTTCCATTTTCGTATTTGTATTTCTTCAAATTTATATCAATGGACGTCATGCTAAAAGCCGGTGTCGTATTTGGGATTATGTCCAGTGTAGCCAAAAAGTCGGGACAGAGAGATATTCCGGCCTTGAAAGAAGATAGTTCTTGCAAGCTTTGGTGCATACTATCAAAGTCAGTCACATCAAGAGCAATGTAATAATTCGGTTTATCCGCACGTATTTCTAACTTCTGGAGCATGGTACATGTATTTATAAACTCAAGGATGTATTTTCCCGAATGCATATCTTTATTTTCGTTTCTTCCAAGTGTTAGGCTTGCATTTTCCCTGGCTTTTGCCATCATCGCCCTTATGTCTTCCATTGTTATACGTGGATGTAAATCTTCATAGCTTACACTCTTTAGACACAGATACTTCAAATTTGGCATGCATCTAATCATGTCAATAACTTGAATATCTGACATGTCTGCCTCCACAAAACAGTCATATATGCATAGATTGTGAACCCAGGCGCCGGGTGATACGGATTCATTTTGGGTGGCTTTAATAATCGAGAACGTCCCTTTGAAACTTTCAAAGGAATAGGCATGCATGTCTTTCCACAGAGCCTTTTGAAATGGGTACACCCACCCCCTGCAAGCAATAGCACAAGAATACTTGTCCGTTCTCGATAGATAATCAGCAATTCGTGTAAGAATATCGGGTGGTAGATCGGAAGGGGTCATAATGCTAGCTGTAGAAAGAAAGAGCGAGGGAAAGAAAGGGTTGAAAGCAGATTGCTTGAAATGACTATTTAATACTAATAAAATAAAATAAATAGCTAGAAAAGAAGAAAGATAAAAAAAAACCAGAAGGCACTGATATTGTGAGTTTCAAGCTTGGGTACACTTGAATTATTGGAGTAACCATAAAGATGTACAGGGCGCAGTCTACCCTCTACACACAAAATAGCATAGGATAAAGATGAATATTGTACACATACAAGTATTGTTGGTAGATAATAGGCATACACTCATAAAGCTAATATAAGTCGTTATTCCCAGTTTAATTTTTCTTTTCTTTTGGATTTAATAAAGGATGTCTACTATGAAGCATAAGAAGCAAACGGCTTGTTAATTTGGTCTTTGTGACACATTCTCTCTTCTTGATAAGGGAAGATATATATAATAAGAGCAGCCAAAGAATTGGAAAGGAATTCCAGAAGGCTGATTGCTCTCAGCTTTTCCAAAAGTGATTGGATAAACACTCGCAGTCAAAAACGTTTCTACCCCTGTAAAAAATGCTTGAAAAAACAAGAAAAATTATCCTCATTTTATTAACTGTGTCCAATATGCAAAACATAGATTTCCCAGAAAACACCCACAGATTATATGAAAGAAAGATGATCACTAGGAGTGAGAGTGCATTATGTACATACATTTAACCAACTTAGGCGTACCCCAGATCTCGTTGGTATTTCTTCATGAGTCTCTCCACTGTAAAATACATAATTAAGAGAGTGGACAAAACAGAGTCCTCGGAGCCAAGACATTGATCCAAAAAACCTAGAAAGATAGATGAGATAATAGAAAGACACATCTGCCTCATATTTTGGGCTTCTAATTGTATATCGAATTACATAAGCTAACTGTAGCTAAATACCACAAGAGAAAAGAAGGCTTAGATTTTTCCGTAAGCATATTAATTAGCCTAATGAAAAGTAGAAAGATGTTTTATGGTCCAATGAACCAAGATTTATAGTCGAAGGTAATTATGGGGAGATCACAGCCATTAGGGAGCTTGGCGAAATATTCAAAGAAGACATAATCAAGAGAAAAAAAGGTGTAAAAAAGTAAAATGCGATGATCTACAGCTGTTTTTATTTTGAATTGCGGGTTTGGGTCTTTGATGTTCGTAAATGGCAATTAAAATCAATATCAATATGGGAACACTTTAGAAGTTCATCCCTTTGTTTCAATATATATATATATATCGTATGGGAACAAAACAGGAAAAAAACTTGTTCCAAGAATACAATGCCAACTGACATGCAACAATAATAGCAAATAATAAACGTTGAACTAGCACCAATTTTGACAAGCAGCATGCAACATCAATGTCGAGGAAGGCCATACATATTTGCTTATGAATACATGATTATAATAATTGTTTTTTCATAACAATGATATGTGTGTATTGATGTAGTTTGGCATTGGTTTATTTGCTGGTATAATAATTTCTCAAAGTTGCAGAAGGCTTGAACTGAACTGATAGATATGTTACTGTTGTTGTTTTAATGGTCTACATTCTACTGCCGAGGTATCTTGCCTATAAAGAAAGGAACACCGCTACGGTTTTAATTTCTTTGATACATTAATTGATACTGGTGCTTGATCTTGGATGTTTGATTACACACGGCTTCGCTTATATTTATGAACTTTTGGAAATAAGATTCTGATAGAATTTGAATTTGGATTGGTTGATATAAGCAAAAAAAAATGATGATTTATTATTTCTCTAAAGTGTATGGGTTTCTTGAGCTGTGTCACATTTCTTTTTTTGCATTTGGTAGGAAACGAAAGGATTTTTCAGAATTCAAAAAAAGAAAAGAAATAGAGAGAGCCAAAGTGGACCCTAGTCTTTCCTGATAAAATAGAGTCTCGGGTTTAGTTGGTACATTTTTTTTTGGAGGAATATAAGTCAAGAAAATACGTAGGTGTATCTTGTAAGTATTGGCACCAGGAATTAGTTATTTCGAGCTGTTACATAGAAATATATGTCTTTTGAACAAATACCATGTATTCATTAAAGAAGATCAATATACGGTACGATTAAATACACACCTTTTCTAGAATAGCAAAATACAAAAGGCGTATAAATAATAAGACTATTATTATGCAAAAATAATATTCATTTTGTGTGAGTAGTATTATTCATCCACATACATACACATATAAGCAACCATTTATTTTACAAGTATTTAGAAACTTTATTCATAGTTGAGGAATAATTGGTGAAAATACAGTATATCTCTGCTTTCGTTTTTTATTTATTTATATATAAAGCAACTATAGATAATTTTGCTGTAAAAAAAAAAGAAGAAGGGAAAATGCATATTTGTTCATTATTATTATTATTATTATTTTCAATAGCCATCAATCGCACTTAGCCCATTTGCATGAGAGAACAGCGGACGGCTTTGGAGATCCAAAGGACTGCCGGACCACACAACAAATTCATCCTTCAGAATACGATTCTGGAGCGTGTTGTCTCTGAGGCCGTATATTTCCTGGATATTCATCGTGATCATCTTGATTGCCTCAGACTCGGATATGTAATCTGGACTGCCTTTTACTCCTGGCGAGGTTACCGACAACCAGCCGGCATCCCAGGCTAGGTTACGGGTCCAACCATCAAACGAAACACCAACGCCCAATTTGACGCCATGACTAAACAGGACGTGGGCCGCAGTTCGATCCGTAAGAGGCGCTCCTGTCAGACAGTGTGCGGTGTCAAAGCTACTGGGTGTACAGAGTGCAGGTCGAAGAATCACACTGACGCCAGCCTCGGCAAGGTGCGATGCTACCAGGTGAGCCTCTGTGCCACCCAAGATAGCCAGGCGTAGCTTGGGAAATTGGTTTTGTTTGAGCCGAATCACGGACGCAATCTCATCCTTGTTGTGCACATTGACGATGGTCGGGATTTCTCCGCGCACGGCCTGGCCCACAAAATTTGGCTTGGCCTTGTTCTCCAAAAAGGTTTGCCGGATGTAAGCAATCTGAGAGGACACGGTTGGTAAAAAGTTGGATTTGAAGTTGTTACCGATCTGTAGATGGAGTGCAACAGTAGGTGCGATAAGAGCGCCTTCGGATAAGACTATCAAAAGAAGAAGAAAAAAGGAGAATCAAACCCCAAAAAGCAATTAGTACTTTGATACACACATTAACACATCTTTACATATTTACATCTGCATGAATGTCATTTTTTTTTTGGGGAGAAATACTTACGGCTGTCAGCAGAGGTCTTGAATGCAGCACTCACGCCAACCAGAACTTGGTTAGATAATGGTTCACTGATAATAGTCATCACGCCTCCCTTGTATGCTTCTTCCAGGTGGCGAGTTTGCAGCTTGATTCCATCAACAGCTTGTGGAAGAAGAGACATGTCACGAGTGGGTGACCGATTAACACCATCTCCAGTAGATCCCTCTGAAGGAATTTCTACCATTCCAATCTTTGTGCCTACACCGATAATACCCTATATACATGTATTCATTCAGTATTTTACTAATCACTACTATTCTTATTTATTGTGCAATAAATAATAAAGAGCCTCAATTATCAAGCATTGTATATATATATATATAACTTACGGGGAGCACATAGCCGCCTTGAATATCAATCGTCTCATAATCAGATGTTTGGAACACAGTTGCGGCCTGGTCAATACAGCTGATACCACTACACACAATCTTTCCATCCCTAACAGTGATCTGCAACGGTTGTTCGGATTGGTACTCGCTATTAGCCTTGAATGAATCTTCTTCTTTGTTGTCGCCTTCTTCCAAAAAGATACGTCCTACGTTGGTCAAGACAAAATTTTGAAGATTCTTTATGTCTTTGTATTCTGAGCTAACAGTAGATGTAGAAAAGGGTTTCTGTTGCTGTTGTTGCTTTTGCTGCTGCTGCTGTTTTTCGGTTGGTTTTATAGGGTTGATTGTGGGTTCGTCAAACAAGGCAATGCCGTCCACAAAGACCTGAAGAGGAGCAGCGCCAAGCAAAAGAGGTTCACGGTTCCAGATGACAACATCGGCATCGTATCCTACCTTGAGTGAGCCTACACGATGGCCTAGCCCAAGCGATTTAGCAGGTACCGAGGTGATGGCCTTGAAGGCGTCTTGGGGTGAAAGACCGTAGTGTGTGGCCTTGGCTGCCTCAAACACCAGGTGCTGGGAATTGATTACCGGGTGATCGGTCTTGAAAGCCACCGGAATGCCGGCTTCGTGCAGAATCCTAGGCGATTCAGGGATACCCCCGAACGCTTCCTTTTTGAATCCCCAATGGTCGGCAAAGGTAGCAACTGTGATGTTGTTTGGCGCACGTCGAAGGATTTCTGGGATCCGGTAGGCCTCTAGTGCATGATGGAAGGCACTGATGGTGAAGTTGAATTCAAGCGAGTGGCGCACCATGGCTTCGATGTCGTGGGTTTCATAGCAGTGGATGTTCAGCAGAACCTTGCCACGCAACAAGGCCACAAGAGATTCAAGTGACAGGTCGGTCGGGAAATGGCTGTCGAGTTTAGCACGAGTGTTGTGCTGAGAAAGTTCAGAGACTGCATAGCACCAATCGTCCTGTTGTTCCTTGAGTTTCTGAGCCTTTTGAATCCGTTGACGAAACAAAAATGCTTCTCCAAGACCTAGTTTTTATAAGAGAAACAGAACAAATTAGCAAAATAATACTTTTATTTATTTTTTTGCAGTAATAATACTAATAATAATAATAATAATAATAATAATAGTAGTAGTAGTAGTAGTAGTAGTAGTAGTAGTAACAGTATAACTTACGTGTCATTGGCATCTTTTTCTGTCTGCCATAGACATTCCTAGGGTTCTCTCCGCAAGCCATTTTCATCCAACGCCACTTTGAAGCTTCGTCTTGGCCTGCTTGAACCAACATGTCTTCGTTGCTTGAGGTAGGTACCGGTCTGAGCTTAAATGCATATGCTTCTCCGCCCATAATATTTCCCGATCCAGGCATAACCAAGGCAGTTGTGACGCCTCCAGAGGCCACAATGCGAATCGCCTTGTCAGAAGGATCAAATGCATCCAGAGCACGTACAAAGGGAGTCAATGGATTTGTTTCTTCATTTAAGTCCAAGTTTCCGACCAAAGTTGGCCAACCCATTACACCTAAATGGCTTTATATCCAGATATAATATATATATACATTTTGGATTAGTTGGTACCTGAAAATTACGATCCATAATTTTGTGTATTTATATTATCTTAGCTTACGTGTGCATATCTACCAGGCCAGGACTGACCACATGTCCTTGAACATTGATAATATTTGCTGAATTGGGAGCAACGATACCTTTGCGGATTTCCTGGATGATGCCATCAACCATCAAAATGTCTACATCTTCTTCGATGTTTCCTTCTCCGTCCCAGACAACCGCGTTGGTCAGCAGGACAGGCCGTACATCTTTAGGAGCTCTTGGATTCGTTGTTCGCTTTGAAGACCCAGACAGACCATGATTACCGTTCTGATTCCGGTCTTGGTCTTGGTTCTGATTGATTTGTGCTGGAGACGTGTTTAGTGTAGAGCAGTACTGCAGATGTTCGGCTTGGATGACGTGCCACGGAATACCAGGCTGGATAGGTGCTTTAAAGGTCGGGAGCGGGCGGTAATGGTCTTTGTTGCTGCCGTCGTCGGGTAAGAATGGCAGGATAATGAAGCCGAGGATAAGAAAGAAGCCGATCAGACAAGTCAGGACATATGCTAGATGTGTCTTGAGAAAGCGGGCGTATTCAAACTCTTTGACGCGTTCCCAAAAAGTGGGAGGAGGGGTTATGGGTACAGGGGGTGAGAGCCCGTCCGATGCAACCGAGATTGCATCGTAATGGGGGTCGGTTGATTCCATTTGATTAGCAGCAATTCAGTTTGAACAGAAAGAATATATATATATATATAGAGAAGAAATGGGTAAAGGTGTTTGGGGACAGTTCAAACGAGCCCGTATATGTTGTACGTCTATTGTTGTCTGAACAAATTGAAAGAAAAGAAGGTGTTTGAAGGGGAGGGAAAAGGAGGGGGGAGTTTGTATGCGTATCAGACACACTATACACACTATACACACTATACACACTACACACACTACACACACTACACACACATACACACACATGCACAGAGCAGTCCCGTAAGCATTGATTTTATAGAGTAAAAAAAAAACAGTAATATGTATATATTTATTTATATATATACATAAAAGGAAAAAAAAGGAAATATAAAGAAAAGTGAAAGGGTGGAAAAAAGAGGGTTCATCATTTGTCATGGTATACAAGAAAAGGAATAATAGTAATTGATTCAAATTTTACTATTAAGAGAAAGAGAGAAAAAAATGTATATATATATATATTGTTGTTGTTGCTGTCGTTGTTTTTTTTTGTTTGTTTGTTGAATGTAAACTAACAACAACCACCTCCTGCCTTTGCTTGTCCTCCTCGATCTGCCTGACCTTCGTCTTGGAAACCAGACGTTGGTGGCTTGAGTTTGATGGTGTTCTGAGCCGGACCATTAACACCAACGTTTCCATCCTGTGTCACTGATTTTGGAACGGTGTTGTAGATTTCTTCAAAGGCTGTGTAGAATGCCTGGCTGACATTGGTGGAATCCAGGGCACTGGTCTCAAAGAACAACATCTTTGAATCGGCTGCGTATTCCTTGGCTTCTTCCGTACTAACTGCACGCGAAGTTTCTTCCAGATCAGACTTATTTCCGACCAGCATCAGGGCAATGTTAGGGTCTGCATGATCACGGAGTTCCTTTAACCAGTGTTCTATATTCTGGAAAGAAGATTGTCGAGTGATATCTAAGAAAATTAAAAATGAGATTTGAATTGAATACAATTTGAATATACATTATATAGATCATATGTCCCTCCCCTTTTCTTCTTTTGTTGTTGCTTTCTGATCCCCCAATTTTGCCTTACCATAGACCAATAAGGCACCAACAGCACCACGGTAATAACTACACATAAGACACACACGCATATAAGTATAATGATTGATAGATAGATATATAAACAGGTTACTTACGCGCCAGTGATGGCTCTGTAGCGTTCTTGTCCACTGGTATCCCAGATCTGTGCCTTGATTGTGTGGTTTTTCTATAGATAAATATTCAAGAATAATATGTGTGCGTGTGTGTGTTAGAAGATCAGCCCAATTGTTTCTTTTTATTACTAATAATGTTTTTTTTTTTTTGCTGAGCCCATTTTTCTTTCTTTTCTTTCTTTTTTTGGGTGTTGTTGGCTTTGGTTGGCTTTGGTCGGCTTTGATGGCTTTTATGATGTGTGTGTGTGTGTATTTGTATCTATCTTGTCTTATATATTTGACATTTCTATTGGCTGATAATTACAATCTTTATATTCTTGGTAGCAAATTCGACACCTATCAAAGAAGGAAAGAAAGAAAGAAATGGAAATTATAGATAGAGTAGGGTTAGTATATAAATTTATATCTGCAAAAATAGTGTATGTAGTGGATATTTACCAATGGTACTTTTGGATTCCAAGTTAAACTCATCATTCTATTGAAGCATGCATCCTGTCAGCCGAGATTCCTCTTTTACATATATATATATGTATTGCTTGGAGTGTAAAATAAGAATAAGGAATAGTCTTACCGTAAAACGAGACAAGAGGTTGGACTTTCCAACACCAGAGTCACCAATGATGACAATCTTGAACAAGTAATCGTATTCGTCTTCGGACATGATGGGAAAGAAGAAAGAAGAATTAAAAAAAAAAAAGAAAAAAAAAAGTTCCGTTAGTTAGTCTTAATTATATATAAATAAAATAAAATAAGAAATTATATGATGATGATGATGATCTTGTACATATAAATAAATAATTAATAAGTTACAGGGACACGACGTTTTTGAAGGTAGACCCAAATTAATATAGTATTTTTTTTTGTCCGGACATTTGTTTGTTAGATTTGTGACTATTCTAGGGTCCGGTTTATTACACATACTTATTTCTGGTCCCTAACAATTCATTAGTAATTTTTCTAAAATAAGCTTTTTCTTGGTGAAATCTGATGGTTCTGAATCATAGTATAATTGAGATATTTATGTAATAATAATAATTAAAAAAAACAAAAACAAAAAGGTTATTGTGTTCTTCTTGGCTATTGGGCTTAGCCAGTTGTCTATAAAAGAAAATTATATTTGCAACAAGTTATTTGAAACAGAAAAATGATGGTATTATTAAAAGCCTGGTCAATGCATCAAAGTTACCATATCAATTGAAACTTGAATTTATAATTAAAATTTATTATTATTATTATTATTTGGTTTTTTGGTATTAATAAAAATATTATTAAGAGTAGAATAGAATAAAATAGAATAGAATGAGTCAAAGAAGATAAAGGATTATACAGTGTAAAGAAAATAAAATAAAAGAAAGGAGAAATTCAATATTAAAGAATATTTAAAGGAAACCATATGTAAAACGTAATGTGTAATGTGTAAATTTTTGTGAGAGAGTTAAAGATTAATATGAATTGAATTGGAAGTGATTGAGTAAGTAAGTGAGTGATTGAGTGAGCGAGTGAATGAATAATAATAATAATAAGAGGTAAGAAATAAAAAAAAAGAAGTAAGAAAAGGGAATTAGTTATGCATGGATCATATGTGCATAGAAATGAAGAGAGAAATAGAAAGAAATAATATGTACAGAAAAATATATAAAAAAAAAAAAGAAAATTAAAATCAAAAGAGCTTTTGCTCTTCTTCATCTGAACCATAACATGATGAAGCAGTAGAAGAAGAATTTGCGACCTGGTAAGAAGGGAAGAAACCAGCGTATGGGTCCAAGGTCTGGTTGCCGAGAAAGAAGTTTCCTGGGTGGACAAGACAACCGGGACAAGAGCACGAAGCACCACAATAGCATGTGACAATCCGGGTAGCTGCTATACCGCCACCACCACCACCACCACTACTGCTGCCACTACTACCGCCTCCTTTGTTACCACTAGTACTACCATTAACACTACTAGTAGTACTACTACTTGAGTCAGGCGAAGAAACCGTTTCGTGATGATGGTGACTACTTGAAGGACCGGAAAGAGGAGTGATGGTAATGACAACAGACTCACCGACCCATTGGTCAGAGGGTGGGCTACAGGACGGGTGGGGTGCAAAGCTGCCACAGTGGGGTAGAACAGGATCAAGGGAACCCGAGAGATGGTTGACGTGATCAAGTACGCCCGGAAGGGAGGCCGGCAGTGCGGGTCGGAGGTCGCTCGGGCCCCCGAAACGATCGACATTGTCGAGCAGTGCCTCAAACGGGAAGGAAGCCATGTCGATCGTCGGGTGCATGAGAAGACTGCTGTCCTGAATCAGGGCTGTGGTTGGTTCAAAATCCATCATGTCGTCGATCCGAGTATTTACACCATTAAGATTAAGATTATTGATATTATTGATATTATTATTATTGATATTATTTATCGTCGCTGTTGTGGTTGTGGTTGTATTTGTATTTGTGTTAGTACTGCTGCTGCTACTGGGAGAGTGTTGAGTGCCACCATAATCCGAAAGAACCGGAGGAGATGCTTGAGAGCGACGTCCGTTTGAACTGCTTGTGCGGGACAGGGCAGATCCTTTGCGAGACTTCCGGGGAAATCCTTCGAGGAAACGCAGGCTGGGGGCTGACGCCTGACGAGGTTTTTGAAAGACAAAGCCCAGGCTGACATTCTCGTGACTTTCGAGAGGGTGCTTATGATGAGAATGGTCAAAAAGGTTGGCGTTGGTGGTGTTGATACTATATGGGTGGGACGAATGGCCGGGAGTAACGAGAGCCCATGCGTACGGAACATCAGACGAAGTTGATGGGGTAGGGTTTTCATGCAGCGAGTCTGGGGGAGTTCCCGGGGTTGGGGTTTGAGTGGGGGTGGGAAAGGTGGACGAGGGCAAGAACGAGGACGAGGACGAGGACGAGGATGTGACTGCAGCGGTGGCAGCGGCAGTGATAGTGGGCTGAATCGAACAGTGGCCATCGGATTGTAGAGATGACACATGGCTCTGGTTTTGGTGCTTATTGTTGTTGTTGTTGTTGTTGTTATTGGACATGAACTCCAGTGGTTTCTGTTGGTCTGTCCTACCAGAGAGGGGCGCGGTGACTATCCTTGATGAACGTTGTTGTTGTTGTGGCTGTGGCTGTTGTAGCATGACGAGGGTCGCTTTTTGAGGACAGGTGCAGTGGGAGGGAGCATCGAGACGCCCAGTCTCTGGTTCTTCAGTAGTACTTCCGGGGCCACAGTACGGGAACTCGCCGTTTAGACCGCCAGTTGTTACTGTTGTTGCGGGTTGGTGAATATGGCCATCAGATAAAGAAGAGCGAAGATTTATATGGTCAACTGTAGATAGAGTTAGTTTATGAATAGAAATATAAGTTTAATAATGAAGAATATTATTATCTTACATTTACCCTTTTCTCCACAGGCACATTTTATGTGAGCTTGTTTTGTTTTTCGAAGATCGCGACAATAGGCGCACTGGGATATCGGACGGCCCTTTTTACGAATCTCAAACAGTGGACGTTCGGTGTGATAGCAGTGAGACGATCGATGACCCTTTTTTTTTTTGAATTTATATACATATATATATATAAATACACCTTTCTCAATTTTTATTAACAAATTTTCTTATTACCTTTATACATGTTGAACATGCAAATTTTGTACCGTTGATAAGCATAATATTTTTTTATTATTTTTATTTGGTTTGGTTTGGTTTGGTTTGGTTTGGTTTGGTTTGGTTTGGTTTGGTTTATTGTTATAAATAATATATTATATATAATTCATACATACATACATACATACATACATACATATATACATATATACATATATACTTCTTTAACTTTATTATATATATATATATTATATTATTTATTGTTATATTTGTTACAAATATTATTTATATATATTTTGTATTTTGTATTTTGTATGTAATATTTTTGTTATATAAAATTCAAAGGAGAAAAATAATTAAATAAATAAATAAATAATAATGGGAGCAGGAAGAGAAAAAAAATTAAATAAATAAATAAAAAAAAAAAAAAAAACAAGAAACTGCTCAAGAAGAAATAAAAAAAAAAGAAGAGAACTCAATAATGCAAATCCAAATAAATGGTGAAGTGAAAGCGGTGATTAAAATATCAAAGTTTTTTTTTTCTTTTTGTAAATTTGTTTCAATTTTTTTTTTCAAGTGGAAAAAAATAAATAAATAAACTTTTGGATCTCCGACAATTATAGACAAAAGGAATATAAAATAAAATATATATAAAAAAAAAGATGCTGTAATCACCTCAAAACTAAACCTTGCTTTAAACATCTCTTTAGGCTGTCCATATCACTTGCAAATACTCAAGTCACGGTCACGTGAATACCCTTATTTAGCTGTACACACACACACGTACATACACACACGTACGCACCACAAGAATCTGTTTCAATATCAAGGCACACATACAAAAAAGTGATATCTCCGCCATAAAAAAAAAAAAAGAAAAAAAAATGATCAGCCTTTTTGAAATCGAAAAATAAAGTGCACTTCTCGTTTAATAAGACTGTTAAATAAATAAAAGAAGAAAAAAAAACAATCATAGGCGTCACACTGATTTAACTGCTAATCTTGAACCATCTACCTAGATGACCTTTATATAAATAGCTACTGATAGATATCTTGCCATTACTGTCATTGTAGTAGTGCCAATATGTATCAACATATAAAATCTATACATTTTTTTTTGTCGTACAATAAGTTGAGAGATGTTAAAAGCAATAAAAAGAAAATCTGTGGCTTTAACATATGTTGTACATTTTGTTAGCACTAATAATAATGATGAAAATTCAATTCAATTCAATTCAAAATCGCTATAAATAATTTGAACTTTTTAATGATAAAAAATAAAGGTACATTTTATTTTCTTTTGTTTGATAAATTGTTTAATGAAATCTAACCAATAGACGGCCGTAAACACATCAATCTTGATTGATTTATATAAATAAAAACAATATAGAATTCATTAGCAAAATTTACTCAATGTATATAAAACACCAAAGAAAAGAAAAAGAAAAAGAGAAAGGGTTAGCAAAGAAGCAGTCATCTTTCAAAGCAGCCACACCCCCCATACAATAAGTAAAAATAAGTAAATAAATAAAAAATTGGTTCCTGTGCGTTCCGGGATGGACAAGTGATGAGATAAGCCGACAATCTTTCCTACCCTTTCGGTCTCTCTCTCTCTCTCTTATTGTAGGTAGGTACATTTGCTATAAGTATCTGGCTATTATAGGCAAGATAGTATGGCTAGTGAATATACAGTACAAAATTTTCTTCTTAAGCCTTTACTTGAATTTGCTGCTATTATGATTTATTTTATTTTATTTTATTATTATTTCTAATAACCTTGTGGCCCTCAGATCCCGTTCAATAGCGATTAGAGCGCAAGCGGATTTTATTTTATTTAGATTTTTGATAGTCTCGGTAGTACAGCCAAAATCAGTTTTTTACTCCATTGAGATCCACAACTATTGACCATTTTTACCAGATACTTGTGTCCCACTCACCAGCCACTGGCATTAGTAAAATTCAAAAGGAGACATAAATTCAATGAATTGTGTTCAACACCCACTGCAAATCTAATAGTGTACAACCAATGATTCATGTTAAGAAAAGAGTCAAGCAAACAAGCTTTTTCTTGGCATGTCGGCTATTTCCCGTTGTACTCTATTTTATTTTTATTTTGTGTGATGTACCCACTCATTTTACCTTTGAAAGGAATAGTCAATGTCTGGTAAAATAATTATAATATTCATTTGATTATAATCATAATTATTATATATATATATATATATATATAATATGCTTACAACTGGAACAACTGAGCAAATAAGCAAATGGTAACGCCCCCTTACCCTTACCCTTACCCTAACCCTAAACCCTAACCCATTTCCCCGGGACACATTGTGTATTATTCTTATTTCTTTTATATATATGTATTTGTGAGGTCTGGTGAAGGAATCTCAAACCAATAAAATAGCCAAAACTTATAAAGCTTGTATTCTATAAAATATATAATAATTACATGACTGTGACGCCCTTTACGTTTAATAGTAATCATTATTTTACTAGTTCAGGATCATAATGAGCGTCATTGGTAGCATAGAATGTCAAAGAAGTAAATATATATAAATATAAATTTGCACACACACACACACACACACACACACACATATATATATGAATAGATAGATTGAAAGATAGTAATTGTATATATATATATATTAGACAGCTGGTATTTTATGTAGCTCAATGTCTGTGCAGGGTTTATTTAGTTAATCTCAAATATAAGAACCGATTTCATTATTTTAAAAAAAAATTGCTCGGCAACAAAGGGTATCCAAGCCTTCTCTCTTTCTTTCTTTTATTGATTTATCTCTATGTAGGTTTTTAGTGCTCAGTAAAAAAAAAATACATCCCCATCTATCTGCACACAAGCGAGTTAGGCTAGTAGTGATTCGGAGCACCCAAATATAATCCTTATTATATAAAAGATGTCTAAACTTTATCGACCGGGTTATTCTGTTTCCAATATGTTATTTTGACTTTGGTTAGATTCAATTATTATATTATTATGTATATTTAACTCTCATAAATCAATTTGTCTTACATTCTCTCGGTCATCAGAATAATAATAATTTTTTTTTTCACTACACGCACTACACACGCACCTACTCTACTTCTCTCTAATTTGTATATCATCAGCAGGATCACAAACCACTCAATGCTCGGTGCTTGGTACTCGGACTTAATTATCTAATTACTCTTCTTTGCTAGAAACATAAACACGCACACACTACTGTACAACTGTCACCTTTTCACTGTCTTAATAACCTTAAATCAAACAAATCATAGTTCTTTCTCTCTCTTTTCTCTCCTTCACTATCTCTCCTTTCATTTCTCCTTCCTTCTCCTTCTCCTCCCCCTTTCTTCTTCTTCTTTTCACCTTGATAATATCTAATAATGATATTATTATTATTATTATTGTTGTTGTGTTAGCCATTCAATGAAAGCCTATTCAAAGTACTTCTTTTTAATAGCTAAAAATTATATATATATATATATATATATAGTGATTTAAGTAATAATAGGAATAATTATAGCCAACGTAGTAAGTAGCTGCAATAGTAACAATAAGAAGAAAAATAATAGTCGTTGCTGTAGCAACAATAAGTATTCAAGTAATAAAAGTAATATTAATAGATAGATAGGTAATAGAAATAACAAAATTTACAAGGCATAAAAATTTAAGCATTATTTTGCAGATCTTTTTTTTCTCTTTCTTTCTTTCTCTTATTCTGTCGTTTTATACACACATACATTTTATTATTATTTTTATAATATCAATAATAATATATATTCGTATGCTTTGGTGTAAAGATAGTGATCAAGAAAGTGACGTCATTAAAATAGACTCCAAATCAACCTCTATCATACAAACGTTCCTGTCCTATTTTTTTTTAGCCTTTTTTTTTGTATTGTAATATTAGTTAGTAATAGTAATAGTAATATCAGTAAAAGTAATACGTAAAACAAAAAGTAACAGCAACAGCAACCGCAACAGCAACAGCAACAGCAATAGCAATAGCAATAGCAATAGCAATAGCAATAGCAATAGCAATAGCAATAATAATTAGAACTTCATTCTTCTCTTCACAAAGAAAAAAAAAGAAAGATCATACATAATGCAATTGACCATTGACATCATCCAGTCATTCTTATTTGACCTTCCTTGGGTTTCCCAATTCTTTCTCGCCATCATTGGCGTTCTTATGGTCGCATTCTCTCTGGCACATACATTCGCCTTCAACAATGTCGGCTTCTGTGCGTCACTCGTAGACACATTTCTGATAATCAAAAAATGCCCACCAGATCTCGGTTTCCACATCCTCTGGCCACACGTATCGAATTCAGTCGGTCGATTGGCAGTCGACTATGGAAGTTTGATCTTCATGCGAGATTCTGCCATCTGGTCGGGTTATCTCTTGTCCTCATTGGCAGGCATGCGCAATAATATGGACTCTTCTCAGACAAGAGTCAATTTTTCAGACAAGTCGTCCACGTCTGCCTCGATCGGATCCTTGGGTGCCGAAAAGTCTTCGCTCTTTTTACCATTTGACGAAAACGATATCTGTCTACTCGCAAAGCACGACGATGGCATGCCAACCCAGCCGCTCGTTGCAGGTCTTGCCAACATTGGAAACTCATGTTTTCTAAACTCAGTTCTTCAGGTACATACATAATTCCCATCCATTCATCTATTTATTTATTTATTTATTTATTCATTTTCTTTAAAATACATATTATGTTCTACATTACACTACACTACACTACATTGCATTACACTACATTGCATTACGCTACGCTACGTTATGTTATGTTATGTTATATATTTTACTTAATATTTTATGCCTTGATTTCTGTGTGAATATTTGGCCTAAATCAATAATGTAATAATATGTAATAATGAATTTTTGTTGTTTTTATATGTTTTTATATACTGTATTAAATATGTTTATTATTATTATTATTATTACTATTATGTGTTGTTGTTCTTGGTCTTGTTCCTGTTAGGCATTGTCCTCCCTAACACGGCTTCAATCCCATTTGGATCGCATGAGTAGAATGCCATATGGAAAACCATTGCCGGTTACACGATCGCTGCTAAAGACTCTCCGCCTCTTGACTCGCCCGATTCACAAATCGCTGGTCCTCAAACCGACCGAGATCATCTCTGCGCTCGAATCCAAAAGTCTCCTGAACCGCGAGCAGCAGGACGCCGAAGAACTCTTTCAGCTGGTCTCAAGCCAGATCGACCATGAACGCCGACTGGTTGAAGCAACCGGCCGCACCGGGGGCGGACTCAAGGACATACTCAACAATTCGTTTTGGAAACCAGCCGTGGCAGGAAAAAGCATCTTTTCTGCAAAGAGATCGCTTACATCTACCGGAAATGGTTGCTCTGCAAAGATCGAAAATCCATTTACTGGTCTTTTGGCTAGTAGGTTATCGTGCATGCAATGCGGTTACACTGTAAGTCCTTTTTTTTATATTTCAAAGAAATAATAATAATAATTCATTGTTCTTTATTTGCTGATCTGTCTTTCTTTCTTATATATATATATATAATTGGTCTGTCTTTCTTTCTTTTTTGACAGGAAGCAGTGCGCCATTTTTCCTTTAATAATCTACAGCTCAACCTACCTGAAACTGTAAGTCCTTTTTTTTTTATCTTTTACTATTACTATTATTATTAAATTATTCCATTGGTCGGCATAACCCATATATATATATAAAATTATATGCATGTCTGTGTAATTGATCGAATATATTCTAGTGCAGCACCACACTCGAGTCATGCCTAGAACAGTTCACGGCGATGGAGTACTTGAGCGACGCCTCATGTCGTAAATGTTCACTTATTAATGCGATGCAGGAGATGTCTGTGGAAGCAGAGGCGTTGTCACAAAAACTTGTGACGATTGCTGACGACACGGTGGCCACAGAACAGATCCAGGCGCATGTGTATGAGCTCGACAAAGCCTGCCGCACACTTGAATCCCGGCTGAACGCCAACATCGTCGATGACGTCCAAGAAGTAGTACCAGCTGGCTTGAATGTACCACGGACGGTCAGCCGAGCATCGTCAAAGCAAGTCATGATTGCCAAACCGCCCAAGATTCTCTGTCTGCACATCAACCGTTCCTCGTTCCACCCAAGCGGCATGATTGTCAAGAACCCTTGTCAGGTCAAATTCCCTGAATATCTCACTCTCTCTCCTTACAGCACCACAAACACCCTAAACACTCAGCCTCAACTTCCAATCTCTACTCACAACAGTATTGTAAATCAGAATGAGGATTTCTTTTCTGGCGTTGGCGTTGGGGCTGGTGCTGGTGCTGGTGCTGGTTCCAGTACCAGTGCTGATAGTAATGCTACTCCGGGACCTCGGTACCGTTTGATGAGCATCATTGTTCACTATGGTAGTCACAACAGCGGGCATTTTATTGCACACAAGCGGCAGATCAGCCCGGTTAAATGTAATTGCAGTCGATGTGTGGCAACAGCAACCGCAACAACAGTAACTGCAACAGCTACAACGACTAGCACAAACACTACAGCCATCGGTAGTGGTATTAGTAGCCGGTCATTTGAGCCTTGTTTTGAAGCCCAAGATAGATGGTACAAGGTTTCGGATGAATCGGTTGAGCCAACGACCCTTCAGAATGTACTACAGGCAAACCCCTACATGCTTTTGTATGAAGAAATCGAAGAAAATGATGTGGATACTGAAACAAATTCGCAAACAATCGTGGCTGAATCGAGTTTTGCAGCAGCAACAACAGGAAAGGCAGCAGTGGTGGCAGCAACGACTTCTGATATTGATATTGATGTTGATATCGATACTGCTGAGCCATTTAGACCAAACAAGCAACAAGATTCAATCAAAGCTGCTGTTTCGTCTTCTTCGCCTTCTGCATCGTGGCCAGAACTTTATAATAGTAATAATAGTAGTAGTAATAAGAATAATAATGATCAGACATCTGAGTTGGCTTCACTTGAGGCTCTGAGGATAGCAAACACACTACTTTCAGACGATCAACAGCAACAGCCTGGTCCCAAAGACCAGCGACAATTGAAAAGGCCAAGCATGCCTTCGTTGCAATGGAATCATCACAGAGCAAAAGCAATGGTTCATTAATATGCATATCTATATATGTGTGTATATATGTATATCATAGACAAACCAACCAACCAACCAACCAACCAACCAACCAACAAAAAAACAACAACAAAAAAACATTCATGGTCTAGTACCCTCCCTCCCTTCCTTCCTTCCTTTTCATTCTTTTCATTCTTTATTTCATTCATTTCATTGTTTCTTTCGCTTGTTAGCTTCTCCCTCTGTCTTGTCAAACCCTCCCTCCCCTTTTCTTTTATATTTTACTATTATCATTCTTTTGTGTATTTTTATTATCAGAATTTCAACCTTAATATTGCATTGCATTTATTCTTTCTCTCTTTATTTTTATTTATTTCTTAAATGATCAACTTTTCATGTCAATCAAAAAATAGATATAGATAGACAGAGGTATAGATAGATAAATAGAGGGAAAGAAGAACAATTAAAATGTTTAGTAAAAAAAAAGAAGCAAACAAAGAAACAATACATAAGAACCATTTGGTTTGATTCGATTCGATTCGATTTGATCTTCTTCTTCTTAAATATTAAAGAAGTCCATGTCATTTCTATTGTGGGAAAAAAATGTGATGGTGGTGATTTTTTGTTTTTTGTTTTAAAAAAATAATAATCTTTAATTTCAGGGGGTGAGAAAGAGAACGAAAAGCTTATTAACTTTACTGTTGTTATTGTTATTGCTATTATTACTGTGGGAATATGCAAAACAAAAATCTTCTTCTTCTTCTTCTTCCTTTCTCTTTCTTTCTTTTTCTTTCTCCCTTTAATTCTGACAAGACAATAAAGAACGATGCCTAAAGGTTACAGTGTAGATGTCACCAAAGCAGTGGGTCACGTATTTGCAGCTGATACAGTGTGTATTAATACAAATAAATGAGCGAATGAATGAATGAAATAATCATAACTATAAATTTATATATACTATATTTTAAAAATAGGTTGCTTGTACAAAAAGAGACTATCTGCTTTATGCTCTTAGCGTAGGGGTACCTGAAGAAGACCTAAGATGGCTCTATGAATTAGGTAAAGTGTGTATATATATATCATTAAAAAAATCCATATAATGATTGTTTTGGGATTGACGACTGTTATCATAACATAGATATCGATTTTGGTCCGCTTCCAACCTATCCACTCTGCTTGTTATTAAAGGCAGACGACTGGGACGTGAATTCGTTTGTTGAGCGTTGGAGTGTTGGAGGACCTTTACCTGGTGTACCACCCTATGATCCAAATCAAATCCTACACGGCGGGCAGTCACTCGAGGTCATGGTGCCGTTTCCTGAAGAGGGTGGTCGTTTCAAATCACTCAAGAAATGTACAGGTGTCTATGACAAGGGATCGGGTATGGTACTCGAAATGACAGTAGACCTGTTTGGAGAACAAGATGATGTTCACTACTGCCGTATGATTACATCTATGTTTGTTCGTGGTTGCGGTGGCTGGGATGTAAGTCTTTCTCTTTTACTTCTTCTTCTTTTTTTTTATATATGTATATATATTAATTATTATAGTAAAGGGACCAAAAGGACCCAAACTTACACTCTATACTCCACCCGACCGTGTTCCTGATGCAGTAGATCATTTCTACACCTCTCGTAACCAAGCATTGCTCTATCGTCTTTCCGGGTAATATTCTTTTGAAAATATAATAACTAACTAACTAACTAGTTAGTTAATTAATTAATTAATTATCAAATCAACTTTAAAACAACCAATATATATAAATTACTATTGCTAATATTATTATTATATTATCACTATTAGGGATTTCAATCCTCTCCACGCAGATCCCAGTGTTGCCTTGTCTGTCGGGTTTCCTCGTCCCATTCTCCACGGCCTGTGCTCCTATGGTAAGAGTTCCCATGCCATATTGAAACATTTTGGCAACAGCGATCGGCTCCGCTTCAAGTCCATTTCGGCTCGATTTGCCCAGCCTGTGCTACCCGGAGAAACGGTTACAATAGATATGTGGCAAGTGGAAGAATTACCAAATTCTCAGACAGCTACGACCACAGCTACAGTTACAGCTACAGCTACAGCTACAGAAACTAAAACTCAAACTAAAACCAAAACTGCGGCAACTGCGGCAACTGCGGCAACAACATCAACTCTGGTGAGTGTAATTTTCCAAGCCAGGGTTGGAGATCGGATCGTATTAAACAACGGGTTTGCTGTCTTGACAAAATCTACAAACGAATCAAAGTTGTGAAAGAAAAAAAAAATATCGGCAACCATTTCTTTTCTTCTTCTGCTGCTTCTTCTTCTTCTTCTTTACACTCACGCTTACACATAAACTCAAACTCAAACTCAAACAGAAACACAGATGTATCAAAGGTATCAATAGTAGTCATATTAGTGTTTTATATTATCTGCTATGGCTATTTGTAATAAAGCTTGTTGGTGGTTTACAGTATATATTTTCTTTCTCCCTTTTTTCTTCTTCTTCTTTGTGTTATGTTTTAAACGAATAATAATATATATATATATATAAAATAAAACTATAATCGCGCTTGAATTTGAACCACAATCGATTGATATTCAAGGTTAGCCTGGCTGTGCTTCTGAATGAGGTGTAACAGTAGCATATTTTACTGCAAATAGTACAAAGTGCTCTGAAAAAAATAAAAGTACAAAAATAAAAATACAAAAAATACCAAAAAATACCAAAAAAATAAAGCTTTGACTGAGCGATATATTTTAAACACTATAGTATATATATACGTGTGTGTAATGATTTTCTGTGTATTGTGAGAACAAGTATATGGAGGAGAGAGAATATATATTTTTTGACTTCCTTCATGCATATACTATATTATGTATAATACGTATATACATTGCCTCGAATATTATTATATCATTGTTGTTGATTTTTTGAAAATAAAATATAGTAAGAATAATATTTGGATATCAGATTTTGATAATTTGCATTGACCTTGGTGTGCCACATTATCTATAATAACTCGAATAAGCAATATAGATATATAGATATAGACACTATGTAATGTAGGGAAATAGGGAAATAGGGATGTATCAAAGTAATGTGAGTGGATTAATGAGTGAGTGAGCTAGTCAGTCAGTTAGTCAGTAAGCAAGGGCCTGTGTTCGTGTGTGCGTGCGTAGGAATCATGTTTTATGACCGCAATATTGAATCAAGCGTGTCACCTTGCAAAAATAAATAAATAAGCTTTTTTTCCCTCTTTACTTTTGGTGCGGTATATGGAACAGGTTGTGAATTCTACTTTCAAAAATAAAAGTAATACAATAAAGGTTTTCTATTAGGATTTTCTTACTGTATTATTTATGTTTTGTTGCGATGGTAACCATCGAATGACAGGAATAATATATATCTATAGGGACACAAAGAAAAAGTAATTAAAGACAGAGCTTTCAATGCAACTCAGAATGTGTATCTGATTTCTTTCCTTTGTTTCTTAATCATCTTTACTGTCTTATTTATTTACTTATATTATAATATTCCTGGAGGCTTGTCTAGTCTTGTTTAGGATAAGCTTATTATCTTTATCCCCCCACTTTCTTTATCATTAAATGCAGTTCTGTACCGTACGAGTTGATTAACATCAAAATAGCTTGGCAAAGTAAAAACGGTATTTTATATTATATTGTATTATATATTTGCACGCAGATTTATGGTGTGTGGTATTAAAATGGGATACTTTTTCTTCTTCTTATTCTTCTTTTTGTGACCAACACTACACCAACAAAATGTATATATAGTAAATACAGTTTGTTACAAGAGACATAAATAAATAAATAGCGCAATTAACGCGCTATTTTAGCTATATGGTTAAAACAACAACCAAATAAAAGATAATACACCAAATATGCTTTCTATCTTTATCTATCTATCTATCTATCTATCTATCAATCTATCTATATCTCTTTTTAGTATCATTTTCCCTAAAGAATATATATTTATATATAATACACCTTGAGACACAGCCTAGCAAAAATGACCTTTTTCTTCTTCTATACATATATATATATAAAAGAAAGACATACGTACTATACAGTCAGCAACATCATCATTAGCATCACCTGGAGTAGAAAGAGAAGGATGCTGATCAAACACACTGTTGGTCAGCTCATCCGTTGTTTTATGTATGGATTAATAGACAAGAAATACATAGGGTACAATACTGAGGGGGAGGTCACATTCAAAACACCTTACCCTTTTATTGCTATTATTATTATTATTCTTATTATTATTATTATTTGTTTATTTTACACAAAAAAAAAGAAGTACTTTCAAAAAAGTATTTTGTCACTTTATCACTTTGTCTTTTGAAAGTTAAGTATTTTTAACCAAATATGTGTCAACAAATGCACAAGACTGTTTCGTAAACAATACCAGAAAAAAAAAGATCTCATCAAGGACACGACGTCTTTTATTGTCTTTTATTGTCTTGTATTGTCTTGTATTACATTTTGGATTTTGATTCTATTATTCGCGTTTGTCTAAAGTTCAAAGGGAGAGTATTGTGAAATTTTCATTTTTGTTATTATTTTTGACACAATTGTCTCTTTCTTTTTAAATTTTTGGAATCTAAATCTAAATCTACAAGCAAAAACAAGAAATACACTTTGTCTTGTCATTTTTTTTTATTCTTCATTTAGATATCTATAAAGATCATTTCTGCACTCTGCAATTGCCGTGTCTCTTCTCTCTCTCTTTTTGTTGAATCGATAATAAACCTAATTTGAAACGTAAAATTAACTTGAATAATAAAAAAAAGCTAGTGAATATGAGTACTAGTGCTACTGAAAAAATAAAGGTGATTATGATGGAAATTGACTATTATAACAAGACTTCCTTCCTTGAATTGATATATATATATAGACTTTTTCTTATTTTTGCCTGTTTATTGATTTGATTACAATATTATTTGTCTTGTACTTATATGTATACATAAAAATGTATGCCAGAGTTTCAAAAAACGCGCCTGCTTTTCTCTTGATCAAGTGTAATTTATCAGGTTATATTCAACGAGACAATAGATTTAAACAGATATTCAAAGGTAGATATAGGTAGATCAGAGGATTTTTTTCTTTATTTTTTACCTTGGATCAGACCCGTTCAATTTTATTAAGCCCCAAAGAATATGAAAGGTAAATAAATCTTGTGGCAGCTTAGCCAAACTAAACTTAAAAAAGAACAGGTGTTTTGAGTAAAAGTTTTCACAAAAAAAAAGAGCTATTTACCTATAGCTCGCATATTACTACCATTTACAGATCAGAAATATCTTCTACAACATTAGATGCTTTACTAGTTGTTAGAACAGAGAATGACAAAAGATCCGGCTCTGGATTCCCTTTTTGATCTTGTCTTAGTGTTAATTCCACGGATGGCTCGCGTAATAGTCATGAATTTTATCGCTTTTAGAGTCTGTCCTTTCAATCCGAACACTGAAAAATCTTGGTAATATAAGACAGTACAATGTAGATAGGCTGGAAACCTGGGGTTTGAGTACGCTATGTTTATTTGGTACTAAAAAAACTAGTTTTGGAAAGAGTTCAAAACATTCTGTAAGCTGTTTTGAGTATAAAATCTTGGAGTCGGTTATAAGATGCTTGTTTCTGGTATACTCAAAAGGAATGGGTAATGTTGATATTGTCAGCTTATCATGGAGATATCGGTTAATTAGATGAGAGGGTCGTTAGAGTTGACATTATTTTTTTTCGAAAAAAAGTCATGGATAATAACAGCAATAAATTTCTGGAAGCATTGATTATATTTTTGTGGCTGCTGGTATTGTATCTACTGGTTCAATTATGAGCAGTACTTGCTCCACCGCTTTAGCTTGCTTAAAGGGGTAGCTTTGGTGTGATATTCTAAATTATTTGCAGGAATAGTTCGATACCGCAACACGACATGAAGTATTGAAGATTGTATAACTTTGAAGGATTAGATAATAAATCCTCGGCTACTCCCAGTCTAATGGATTCAGAACTGCTTTCTTATACAATACATAGGCCCATTATAAACAAAAATGATTTTGTTTTGTACTATAATATAACCGCAATAAGGGTGCATATTAGCGTGTTATATCAATGGTATTAAAACATCTACAGCGGTTATATTTCATGTAAAGTGAAATATAATGCGAATGCATTTTTTTTAAAAAAGATATAAGTTTAATAATTTTAAGTCTGTTCGCTTCATAGTGAGCATAATTTGTAGAGAAATTTGCTGTTTATTGCTACAAACTATTATTTGTTTTAACAAAAAAATAGAAAAGAAAAATAATTTAAAACTTAAAGGTCGATTTAAATCATTGCATGCGACTCAGCGATCCTGAACTTAAAAGACCACCTTCGGTTTATTTAACGACGTCTGACAGGTAAGTACTATAGATGCTTTTTCGAAGAGCATTTCGTTATCTATATCTTAATCGACTGTAAAATTAAATCTAAGCGTAGCTGGTTCAGATAATTTTACATAAAGAAAAAATTGTGCCCGTATTATTTTGATACAAATTCTTTCCCAGGTTAAGAAGAAATACATATATTTTGTACAAAAAAATAAGAAAGTAAAGAAAACCCAACACAAAAATCTTTCTCCGTGCTCAATTATACTCATCTACCCATACACGGAAATAAGGTGCGTAAATAAATTCAATTGTACACATACATATATATATTATAAGCCGTTGATCCATTTATCAATGTACAACCCTTTTTTAGTATATCTGGTCTATCTTTCCTTCCACCTTGCTACACTCCACTTTACTCCACTTTACTCCACTTCACTCCGCTATTTTTTTTTGTTGTCTTCCGTTTTAGGCGCTTAATGTCTTGGCATTTTTTAAACATTTTTTTAAATGACTAACTTGATTGACTTGAATTGACCGGGTTGACCGGGCTGCCCGGGTTTCCCGGCTTACCCGAAGCGATTTGATTTAACTCGACTTGACCGATAGACAGACCGACAGACAGACCGACCAACCGACCAACCGAATGACTACTCGATTTGTCTAATCAGATAATAATATTTCATATTAGGTCTTGTTCGTGACAAATATAGTCAATAGTCGACTTGTCATAGTACTTACTCGATAGATTGTACATCAGTTAGCTGTCAGTATTTTATTTTATTTTATTTTACAAAATATTATAGTTAAATAGAAACATATATAATACAAGCTTTCTAATCGTATATTTGATTTGATTTAATTGATTGATTGGAATAAATAATATCAAGTAGCAGGGTATAAGTATTTTTGTATAAATATATAATATGTATATATGTGTATATATAAAGGTATAAAAATATATATAAAAGGGTATAATTGGTAGTTTAACATTAAAATACCATTAAAAAAATTATTACTCCTTATTGTTGAGCCATCGAACTTTCCTGATCCTACCTTCAATAAAGGGTTTGTTTTTCCCATTTTTTGAGATAGTAACCCAATAGAAATCCCGAATACCTCAATTGGTATCGCAGTTACGGCTTTTGCTTTTTGTAGTACAAATCAAAAGTATAATAATATAAATAAGTATTATAATTTTTTTCTTTATTATTGCTCATTTGTTATAGCTCTTGGATTTAATATCGAGGACCCTGGCTCAATTTTTACTTTTTTTGCATTCTCTTTTTCACAAAAAAAAGCTCTTTGTGTGTGTTTTTTTAAGAGAAACATCAAAGTTGAATTCAATATACGCTTTGAATATTCGATCAATTGTTTTGTTTTATTTGCTCTATTGACATGATTTTCTAATATTGCAAAAAAAAAGTAATTAAAATTCACAGTATGTTTATACAGAGCAATACTGTAATATGTTTTACACTTGGTGTGGACAGACTAAAAGTTCAAGAAAAAGGGCAAAAAAAGGGTAAAACAACTTCATCCAGAACTTAGTCAATCAGACTAATTTATGACTGTCCACACCTTTTTTTAAAAAAAAGTTCAAAATTAGTTCAAAATACATATTAGATAAAATTATGCATATAATCCCGTCTATGTCATTAAGTGAGAACCTTTTATTGCGAGTTTTTCTAGACTTCTCATCATATGAAACATCCTCTCCATAAAAAAATGCTTCTCTTCTCAATCCTAGTGGTAACGGAAGAAAACTAGCTGATTAGAGTTGATTAAAATTTTTGCCCCTTTTTTGCCCTTTTTTTTGAACTTTTAGTCTGTCCACACCAACTGTTTGCGAAACTAAGTTATTGACAAAATCCCAGTATCTGGATAATAATCACATGCATATATTAGAGAACCCGTTGTCGAGTGAAAATTTAGAATTTTCACTCACTTTTGCTTTACGCGGCGATTTAAATTCCAATGAAAAGATGTAATATTTTACTGAGGGAGGCCATTTAGTGATGAAATGGAGTAAAAAATTGGAGTTTTCTAGTTTTTCACTCCATTTTATCACCAAGTTTTTATTAAGAATTGAGCTTGTTTTTCCACCTTCAAACATAACCATAATATAGTCAAGAGTCGTCTCTATATATCTACTTAAGAGAATAAGTCTTGGAAAGCCAAGTTTATTAAGATGTATCTCTCATGTTTGTCACAGTACTTCTGTTTTCATCAACTGTGGTTGAGTTTTTCTTTTTTTTTGACTGGGTTTCACTAATAATTCTTTTTTAGCAGTCTTTGAAAATATCACATCCCAACGGGTTCTCTATTTATTTTATTTTATATGTCTGCTGCACTTGGCACAACTTCACCAAATTTAGCTTGATACGCCAATCGCTTGATGTCTTGAAGTACCTATATATCATTAAAGAACACCAAGAATAAATAAATAAATAAATAAAAATGAATTTCAATAATAAACTTATTAACATAAAATAGACAATATTTTATCTTCTTCTTTTGTAACTATCATTATCGTTATAGTTATAGTAATAACTTACACTGCCCTTGATGTAACTCTCGCATTGAGAGCACCAAACCGAAAGATCGCTGTAGCTCAAACAAACAGAATGACCTGCTTCAGTACTGTGCTCACTCATGTGGCCGTTAATGTATCTGGAACACAGAATAGATCCACAAGTCAAGCATTGCCAATTTTCCTTTTTATCTCCACAATTAGCACACACAGGCGCCTTTGAGACACTCAACGGAATCGTCTCTGGAATGTGGGGACAGTCTGAAATAGGTTCGACCGCGAATCCAATAGGCAACTTTGCTTTAGATGATGATTCCATAAGAGATGTTTATTCTTTGCTACGTTTGGTTATTATTATTAAACAGTTATAAAATAAATGAATACAAATTAAAAGTAAAGAATATATATATCTACATTATGCTGCGTCACTCTTTTTGATTAGATGGCGCAGTTCTCGAGATGAGTTAACCACACCTGGCTCATTCTATCAATTTTGGATTCATCTAACGAACCTGCCTGCCATGCAATTGTAGCATGCGCAGTTCCATCAAAAGTAATTGTGTTGAGACCCAATGCATTAGAAGAAGTATGTGCACTCTGACAGAACCACATGCCGTCAACTTTCCAGTCGCCACCAGATGGTAAGACATCGGCTCGGCCGAGATCAGACAGCTCAATTCCACCAACACGTCCCATTTCGTAGATATCACGCCTTTTACGATAAAATTCATAATAATCTTCCGGAAAGTTCTTGAGGTACTTTAGAAGCCATGCTTTCTTTGCCGAATTGATCTTGTTGGCTTGCAAAATTTTGTGATAAGACTTCGCCAAAGGCCATACCCCAATACCCAATTCACCTACGGTGAGGAAGTTTTCAAATGTACCAACAAAGTTTCCAATTTCATCGGACGGAGTGTCTTTGCAAAGAAATCGACAGTTGGTAGGCGTAAATGTCTTGAGAGAAGTATTAGGATAAAGTTCAGACCAAGCGAGCACAGCAGTTGCATACAGAGTCGCGTGTACCGTCACGCCATGTTCCTTTGATTTCTTTACAATCGATTGCCACGTTGGTCCGCCACACTTTAAAGTACGTAAAACAGTATTGTGTACAGCATCTGCAGGAGCAGGATAATCGCCCCCCCAAGACAACTGAGAGGGATCCAGGAAATTTTTCAAAGATTTAGGAAGAATCTTAACGGTCTCGCCGTACACCACTTGACACATATCCACAAAATCAAGCTCGGGTGGGTGACGCTGATCCATAGGGGAAGGCAAAGGTTCGGAGGAAATGATGGTTACAATGTTTGAAGCAAAACCAGTATGAGAAGGAGGGTTGCTTAGGTAAGCTAAAAGTCCTTTCCAGAAAATCACCAGACTACCACCATCGGCAATCAAATGTTGTACGGTAAGTGTGATTGAGCATTGATCAGGCCGATCGGGATGAGCACAAACCAACAGATGCCAAAGAGGTGATTCTGCATCGAGGTCGAATTCATATCGAGATTCGTTGGCAATTATCTGGTCTCGTTCTTCCCAGAATCGGGATTCTTCAAAAAGGATGATTTCTTCAAGATTAACAGACTCTAGGCGAATGAAATGAGCAGAAGGCTTGTACGAATCTTTGGTAGCTACTGACAATAATGGGTGGTCTTGAATAAGCTGAGCAAGTGCAGGAGACAACTTGTCAATGTAAAATTGTCTTGCGCTGGATTTGTCATCATGAATAGGACGAGGGGAATGGTGAAGGTCGACTGTAAGATTAACACTGCCATAGCATTTTACTAACTGCTTGGAGATTTGGAATTTTTCCAAGTGCCCAAGTTTACGATCGGGAGTATGCATTATGTAATAGTTTTATTATTATTATTATTATTATTATTATTATTATTAGAGTGTATATGTGTAGAGCATTAAGAATAATATAAGAGCAGTAATGATCTTAAATAAAATATAGCATTAAATGCCAAGAAATTATACGGGTATACATTTTCTTCTAATTCTTTTTTTTCTTTACTTTTATCCGTTCTCAATTTCCGAAAATGGTAATAGGAATCGAAAATGGCCAGTGTCTATTTTTTTTTATTTTATTTTTTTATTTTCTAATGATTTCTAATTTTGGAGAACAAAGTTGACTAATTCACCATTCTTTGCCACAATTGCTCTACGGATAGACTTTTCCCCAAGCCATTTTTGACCTACTGGAGATTCTCTTGCTCTCCGTTCAATCTCTTCTGTATTACCTACCAGAGCAGCAGGCAAATTGACACTAAGGCGGGTCTTACCGTTAATCTTTTTGGGTGTGTATGTGTATATGTGGGTGTTTGTATTTGTATATAGACAAAAGAAAGAAAAAGGAAGAAAGTAAAATCGTATGCTTGTTAGAATGATTTCATTTTATCAGATCTTAATTCAATAAAATATATACGTTACCTGGATCATGCATTCGACATTGTCTTTTGCCAAGGCTTTGTCTTCCCATTTGGGCCACTCTTGTTGGAACACACTTTCCTTCTCTCCAAGCTCTTCCCAGCACTCTTCACCGACAGTTGGAGTCATTGGAGCCATCATCTTGACGATGGACTGGACAGCATGTTGATAAACAGGAGACGATGCCTCAACCTTTGAGCCGCTCACACAGTTGCTGAGCTTAATAAGATCCGAGATGGCGGTATTGAAGCCAAACGAGGTTGACATGGACTCAGTTACTTGCTTGATAGTCAAGTGAGTCGTTCGGTACATGTCTCGTTCTTCGCCAGTCATGGCCTCGAGCTCGGGCAACTCAAGCTTCAGGCGAGATTCGCCAGCTGTGGAAGACAGTTTGAGAACCTTTGCAATCCAGCGCTGCATGCCGATAATACTAGCATCATCCCACTCGAGCACTTCGGATGGGGGAGCCTTGTAAAGAATATGGAGACGAGTAGGATCTACACCTTGTTCTTCTACGACACTCTAAATCTCAAATTGGGTTAAAACGCCAAAAAAAAGTAGAGGAATAGGAAGGCAGATTTTTTTCTTTTTTCTTTTTCTCTTCTTCGATATATTAGTTCGCAGAGTTGTAAGAGGTACTTACGGTAGGATCAACACCATTATATTTACTCTTTGACATCTTTTCATATGAAATAGAAGGAGATTCTCCTGTTGCGATTATCTTTGGTTTATTAAAGTCTATTTTTTTAAATATATATATTGTTAAAGTTGGGATTTGGTGGTTTGTTTTTGTATTTGTTACCCTACCTGTCAAATCAACCTCTTCTGGCTTCAGGAATCTCTGTGTGACTGGATCCTTAAAGGTACGTCCGTGTACCATACCCTTTTGTTGTTGTTTTAATAAATGTGATCATGTATATGTATATACATATATATTATTGATTTACTATTTATTTACCTGAGTCAAGAGAACATTGAATGGCTCTCCATTGCCAGGAAGTTTATTGGGAGAAGGTGCGATAGCTCCTTGCTTGTACAAGAATTTTGAAAAGAATCGAGAATACAGCAAATGAAGAATGGCATGCTCAACTCCACCAATATAAATATCGACAGGTAACCTCTCTGAAGCAATCTTGGGATCAAATGGTCTGTTTAAAGTACAAACGAGTGAGTGAGTGAGTGAGTGAGTGTATTTTGATTTTTTTTTCACATATCTATACTTACAAGGAGGTGTTGTGAGGATCAGTATAACGCATAAAGTACCAAGAAGAATCTACAAAGGTATCCATAGTGTCGGTTTCTCTGGTAGCAGGTCCATTGCACCTATTTAAAAAACATATAACTGATTAGCTTTATCGTATACATAAGCCAAAAAAAAGTCATTTACTTTGGACACTTGCAGTTGAGCCAGTCAGTAGCTCTTGCGAGAGGTGATCCACCCTTTCCAGTAAAAGTCACATCAAGGGGGAGAGGAACGGGCAAGTCCTCTTGAGGTACAGGAACGACCTAAATCACATTATTTCATTATCTAATTAGCAAAGAGTATACTATATTGCATCTTTAAAGCTTTTCTCCATTTTTCTTTTAGAAACTATTTATGTTATTTACCTTGCAAGTGGGACAGTGGACAATTGGGATAGGAGCACCCCAATAACGTTGACGTGACAAGAGCCAGTCTTTCAATCGATACTATGAAAGGTGACGTATATGATCGTGTAAACAAAACTGTGTCGGTTGGATAAATTAATAGTGGTTACCTGAGTGGCAGAGTGACCAAAGCCAGCTTGAATCGCCTTTTTCAGGATAGCCTTTCCAGCTTCTTTTGACTTCATGCCTTTGTAAGGTCCCGAGATGCCAGTGAGAATACCATGAGCAGTAAAAGGCTCAGTAGGCTCTTCAGTGACACCTACTTCTTTAATGGGGGATTCGATTACAAACTTGATCTTGTCAACAACATTGTTAGCACGACAAAAGTCCCAGTCACGCTTGTCGTGAGCAGGTACACCCATCACAGCGCCGGTTCCATAATCTGAGAGGACATAGGGAGCCACGTAAATTGGAATTTGTTCGCTTGTAACAGGATGGCTAGCGTAGAGACCAGTAAATACACCTGTAAGAAACAACAACCAAATTTGTCAGTCTTGTGTTTTCTTCTCTCTCTCTCTCTAATATATATGTATATACCCTTTTTGCTTTCTTCTGCTTCTTCCATGTTCTGGACTTTGCCGAGATCTTCTACAAATGTCAATACTTCATCTGCCTGACCAGCGGGAAGACGCCTACCAGAATTAAAATTAGACTAAGCTTTGAGAAACCAAGTGAAGTATACTTACTCTCTTTTAATCAACTCATGTTCGGGAGAGACAACCAGATATTGGACACCATATAGTGTATCAGGGCGACTTGTGAATACCTTGAGAGGTGACACATTTTCTGCCAACTAATAAAAAATCATCCTTTTCTTTAGTTACAATTTACTATTTTTTTATTATATGATCCATTACTACTACTGTTGTTATTACTCACCACAGAAAACTCAAATTCAGCTCCCTGAGACTTTCCAATCCAATGGCGTTGCATTTGTTTCACGCGTTCGGGCCAGTGGGTTAATAAATCGATATCATTCAGCAAATCCTTTTGGGTAATTACAAGAATAAATAAAGTTAAATATCACACCTTATTTTATTGAATTTTATTGAATTTTCCTTTTAAACATTCTGATTTGATTTTATCATGTAACTATTAAAATAATATATAAGCAAATAGCTAAATAAATACCTCTGCAAAGTCGGTAACTTTGAAAAACCATTGTCTCAATTTCTTGCGCTCAACCAAGGCACCAGACCTCCATGATTTTCCTTCAGCATCAACCTGTTCATTTGCCAATACGGTTTGATCCACAGGATCCCAATTGACAACGGCTTCTTTTTGATAGGCCAAGCCAGCCTTGTACATCTCCAAGAAGATATATTGGGTCCATCGATAATAATCAGGATCGCATGTTCTGACTTCCTAAATAATACATGTGTATTGAATATATTTATTTAATACGATATAACCATTCTGTTTCGATTATTCAAAAAAAAAACTACTTTATATATATATATCTTTCCTCCTTTATAGCTTTAATGTGACGTTTTTTTATTCTTATTATTCTTACCCTTGACCAGTCAAAATCAATTGTCAATTTGCTCATTTGTTCTTTCATAGCAGCAATGTTTTTTACTGTCCACTCTGCAGGGTGAATACCACGTTCAATAGCTGCATTTTCAGCAGGAAGTCCAAATGCATCCCAGCCCATTGGATGGAGGACCTGCCAAAATAGAGTAGTAATAATAATGATAAGATAATCAATGAATTTTTAAACTTTTTTTTAAAAAAAAGATAATTATTATATATGCTTATATTTCTTTCTTAAAATAAAAAAGGTAGTATGATCCCCTCCTTTCCCCTCCTTTCTCTTCCCTTCCACTTTTCCCTACATTGTAGCCTTGCATGCGTCTAAAGCGTTGCAATGTGTCAGAAATTGTGTACACACGGACATGACCCATGTGTAAAAGGCCACTTGGGTATGGGAACATGGAGAGAACATAGTAACTCGGCTTAGAGGGATCTGCTGTGGAAGAAGGAGCGTCTGCCCAGCGTGCCTTCCATTTGGTTTCCATTGCAGAAAAGTCAATGGCATTAGCCTTTTTGGCAGGGCTTGCATAAGAACGTAGAGTATTTGTGCCAAGAGGCCTAAGTAGGCCTCGTGCACGACCTAGCGAGGAATGACAGCTAAACATTGCCCTAAATTAAATTTGAAGGAAATAACAAAAATAATAAAATAAGAAAAAGGCGGGTAAGGGGTAGTTTAATAATACAAAAAGGCAGTAGTGAGACTGTCATGGCCATAAATGTACCATGACAAGTCACAGCCGAGACAAGTAGAAGTACAAGATAAGTCAAGGCATACAAACGTATTGGTTGGTTGTTTGTTTGTTTGTTTTCTTTTATCCATACAGCTAATAACCCGCCGTTTCTTCTCCTTAAGATAGGAAAATAGTTTCATTGCCTCAAAAGCCTATCAATAAAAAGGATTCAAATTAAATAAACGTTCAAAAATCAAAAGAAATTAACCTAATGGATTTTCATTAAATTTTCTTTTTTATTTTTATTTATTTTTTGAAGAAAAAACGAGGTAGAGCGGTTGACCCCATTGGGACAGTTTAATAAGCAATAACCATACTATTCCAAGAAAGATAAAGCTGCTTGTCTAAGGTTATTTAAATATTTGATACTAAAAAAAAAACGTGACTCACACAAAAATTATACTTGTTATTTAGTTTTTTTCTTTATTTCATACTTTGTATACTCACCTTCTAATATTTATAATAATACTTCTTGCTGAAGATACCTATATTCTTTTTATATTGTTATCAATTTCAAGTATTCACTACCTGTCTATACTACCCGTTTATCTAAATTTATAAAGGTCTTTCAAATTTCTATAACTATCTTGATAGCCAAAAGTTCTCTTGTGTAAATTCAACTGTTATATAGTGTGCCATTTGATCCTTAACTTTACCTATTTCTCTACTGTTTATTTAAGTTAGGCACAAAATTACTATCATATATATGATGATGACAAGAATGTTTCTGATACCATTGAATTATTTAAAATATATGATGTCTATGAAATATTTAAAGCACCTAGAGCCCTTAAATCCATTAGGGTCCTTGTAACCCTAATGCCCCTAACACCCCTAATAACCCTTAAAGCACCTAAAATCTTCAAAGGTTTTCAAAGCTACTAAATTCTTTGAATTATCTGATGTTTTTTGATATAGTCAAAGCTTTATTTAGTAGAGAAATAAGATTTTTATTTACTTTAAATTTAAACAGCAACCTAACTTTCAATGCTTATTATACATTTTTCTTAGTTGATGTGATTAAAGAAAAAAAAGTGGAAAAATTAGAAATTCTTTAGATTTCCTTGTTGTTAGACAACACGATTAGATTCTGCTCCAACAAAAACATATCCTAGTCAATAAATTACTTTCTTCATACCTTTCAAAAAGTCATCGATTTCTCCTTTTAAATATTGGGCTAGTTTAAAGAAGGTTCTTGCTACTTTGCCTATCCATATTATTCATTTAAGTTGGGCGCACATTTACTATTATCTATATTATATCCGATATTCAAAGCTTCCCTCCACAGCTAATTGTTTACTTGCTCTTATTGTTCATCTCAATTGGGAACACAAGTATATTGCGAGTTACCTATGCGAGAATAATTCATGAGCTTGCTTTAAAAATATAGAGGAACCAAATGTAAGTCATGCGCAGAGATATCTCCCTTTTTCTTTAATAATATGTATGCTTTTTATTATTGTCATATTGTTTACATATAAAAGTACACATGTAACGAGTAACATTGGATAGTAGACCCATATTTTCCTTGGAATTGAGCTACTGTCAAATAGAAGGGGCACATTAGGTGATATTATTATTATTACTTTGCTGCTATTTACATTTTACAAGGTTACTTGTCATTACAGATTATAATATTAAGTATATTAAATGGCTCGCGAATCGTAAACTTTATCTACTCTTTCTGAAAATTATTGCTGTAAAAGTGGAATGCACCAAATGCACCAAAAAATATCAATTTAGCAGAGAAATGGATAGAAACTTGCACCAATAACTACCGGAAATAGTTTACTGCAAAAGACAAAGGTTGTATTTTTTTAAGGAGAAAATCAATATACTATCTGTAGAGTGATTTCCATGCCCTTTGACACTTCAATTACAGCAGCTGTATATAATAAGGAGAATCTTTAGGGAGCCAGAAGTTTTGAGGGTATAATACTGTCAAATAAGGGTTACAAGAACAAAAATCACATGTAAGTCATCATTATAAAAATTTTTATAGCGAGACAGCCTGTTATGGTTTATGTGATAGAGTGGCTCAAACAGCTAAAATAAAAAGAGAATACATATATATATATATACTGATCTAATTTAACAAATTCCTTGCCAATTGGGAACCTGTTCTCTCGAGAAAGATTAAAAGAAAATACAAGTGGTATGTAGAAGTGATCGTTATTGCTTTCATATTTTGATATTTATATAAATATTAAGATGCTGGTATAAACTATACTTCTTTGCATACTACCAATGAATAAGTAAAAGTAATGTAAATAGATAAACACCGTTGGAGTTCATTTTCACAGTTTTTTAGGCTTTTCTAAAGGTCATTACTTAAGTTCTTTACATTATTGATACAATAAATATTTGAAAAGATATTAGATGTTTAGATCAGCCGTAAGTTTCAAGACACATGCAACGTGCCAAGAGGAATACATTTTCTTTAACCAATATTCGTCCTTAAAGATTAGTATCTGCGGAAATTTGAATTATTATTTTTTGTTCACATCTTGCAAATCAATTATTCTACTTTGCTTTAGATTCAAATCGTAAGCTATTATCTATATAAGCTTGGGTTTATTTTATTTTACTTTCTTCTTTGAAAAGAGTTCAGCATATAAATTTTACTCAGAACTCATGATTTGTTTTGGTGAATATCAGTCCGTGGTATACTCTTCTATATCGCCACATCTGAATTCGCCGTACCCTTTGTAAAGTTCACCTATCCAACTAAAATGAGATGGTTTGTTGGATTCTAGAGTTTGAGTTTTGCTGAGCTGAAAGTCCTGATAGTATTTTCGTGCGATATCAGCTCCCTCCTCATCGAGTATATCGGTTCTGTCTACTATGTATACCGAAGGTATCTCCTCGAATTCGTATGAGAAGATCCAAGCAATATTTTGAGGTGCTGCTATTTGGTACTTTGAACCAATCTCAACCTTTTCTATTTCGTCTTTTACATCTGATAGCGAAGGGTCGTTTAATCGAGACAGAAGTGTCATGCTGATAATATTTTCTTCGTTCCTTTGCATCTCTTGGTGTGATGTACCGTATTTAACCTTTTCAACGTGCAAAGTCTTTAAGAAAGTATGTGTCATATCGAGTAGCAAACATCCGTTCTTTTGAGAAAAAGATCCCGTGATCCACACTTCGCACAAACTCATATGCTGCAGGCTTCTACACCTCAAAGAGATGTGATTAAATACTTCGGAGGTTATAGAACATCTATGTAAGTCCAAAGTCTGTAGTCCATGCTGCTGTTTTAGTTCCCCGTTTTTCGTTTTTAGATTAACAAACATTTCTGAGCTAAGAAGTTTCAGATGCTTGAGGGCCACACATTTGTTCAATATATCATCCATATTAAAAGTCCCGCCACGGCCATAGATGCAAAGGTCCGTCAAAAATTGGCAGCAAGGAAATAGCTTTGGTGCCGGAATTTGGTGATTATCGTTATATGTAAACCCTGTAACCGAAAGAGTATTGAGTGTTCCCGAAAAGGATTGTAGAATTCTGCCGATATGCATTGTATATAAGTTACTGCTCTGATGATCTTGTCCTGTGCTTAACGTCAAATGTTTTATAGGAACTCGTAATGGATAAAGCAATTCCCATAAAATAAGGTCAAACGACTCAAAGGTTTTGTTGGCCACAAATTTGAATGTTTCTAAGTGCTTTAATGCGTTTGGATTGGAGTGAAAAAGAGATATGACCTTTTGTCTCTGATCAGGATCTATCGATTCATGACGTGCACCCAAGATATTCAGCTTTAGAGAACGCAGGTTTGGATACTTGTAGCCAAAATAGTATAACCACAAAGGATTCCATTTATTCGTATTTCCATTTCCATTTTCGTATTTGTATTTCTTCAAATTTATATCAATGGACGTCATGCTAAAAGCCGGTGTCGTATTTGGGATTATGTCCAGTGTAGCCAAAAAGTCGGGACAGAGAGATATTCCGGCCTTGAAAGAAGATAGTTCTTGCAAGCTTTGGTGCATACTATCAAAGTCAGTCACATCAAGAGCAATGTAATAATTCGGTTTATCCGCACGTATTTCTAACTTCTGGAGCATGGTACATGTATTTATAAACTCAAGGATGTATTTTCCCGAATGCATATCTTTATTTTCGTTTCTTCCAAGTGTTAGGCTTGCATTTTCCCTGGCTTTTGCCATCATCGCCCTTATGTCTTCCATTGTTATACGTGGATGTAAATCTTCATAGCTTACACTCTTTAGACACAGATACTTCAAATTTGGCATGCATCTAATCATGTCAATAACTTGAATATCTGACATGTCTGCCTCCACAAAACAGTCATATATGCATAGATTGTGAACCCAGGCGCCGGGTGATACGGATTCATTTTGGGTGGCTTTAATAATCGAGAACGTTTCTTTGAAGGTTTCAAATGAATAGGCATGCATGTCTTTCCACAGAGCCTTTTGGAATGGGTACACCCACCCCTTGCAAGAAATGGCACAAGAAGACTTGTCCGCCTCCGATAGATAATCAGCAATCCGTGTAAGAATATCGGGTGGTAGATCGGAAGGAGTCATAATGCTAGCTTTAGAAAGAAAAAGCGAGAGAAAGAAAAGACTGAAAGCAAATTGCTCGAAATGACTATTTAATCCCAATAAAAATAAAATAAAATAAAATAAAATAAAATAAATAGCTAGAAAAGGAGAAAGATAAAAAAACCAGAAGACACTGATAATGTGAGTTTCAAGCTTGGGTACACTTGAATTATTGGAGTAACCATAAAGATGTACAGGGCGCAGTCTACCCTCTACACACAAAATAGCATAGGATAAAGATGAATATTGTACACATACAAGTATTGTTGGTAGATAATAGGCATACACTCATAAAGCTAATATAAGTCGCTATTCCCAGTTTAATTTTTCTTTTCTTTTGGATTTAATAAAGGATGTCTACTATGAAGCATAAGAAGCAAACGGCTTGTTAATTTGGTCTTTGTGACACATTCTCTCTTCTTGATAAGGGAAGATATATATAATAAGAGCAGCCAAAGAATTGGAAAGGAATTCCAGAAGGCTGATTGCTCTCAGCTTTTCCAAAAGTGATTGGATAAACACTCGCAGTCAAAAACGTTTCTACCCCTGTAAAAAATGCTTGAAAAACAAGAAAAATTATCCTCATTTTATTAACTGTGTCCAATATGCAAAACATAGATTTCCCAGAAAACACCCACAGATTATATGAAAGAAAGATGATCACTAGGAGTGAGAGTGCATTATGTACATACATTTAACCAACTTAGGCGTACCCCAGATCTCGTTGGTATTTCTTCATGAGTCTCTCCACTGTAAAATACATAATTAAGAGAGTGGACAAAACAAAATCCTCGGAGCCAAGACATTGATCCAAAAAACCTAGAAAAATAGATGAGATAATAGAAAGACACACCTGCCTCATATTTTGGGCTGATATCCTCTTTTAAAAACATGAAATTATTTGACTGTGGAAAGAAAATAAAAGCATGAAAGAGAGTTGCCAACAAATTCAGAAGGTAATATATACAAATAAGGGACGGATCACTGTAATAAAACTCGGGTCTATCCAACAGTAAATATATGGGGTAAAGTATATATATATAGAAAAGACATATATTTCAAGAAATATGCTTATAATTATCGCAAAGAGTAGTTATAAGTCAGTGACGATGTAATAGATGTATAAGCAAAAATAATAAAGGATCGGATCAATAAAATAAGGATAGATAAGGATAAATATTTTATATCAGAACAATCTATACTACTTTGTTGTAAAGCTCTTCTAAAGCAGTAACAATGATGAGATACAATGCACAAGGGTATGTCTTGTGCAAGAGATTGAAGTAAATCCTGCAAAGAGCGTCGTACTTCTTTACAGGATGTTTGTAGCCTGAGCGGAATAAAAAAAAGCATACACACCGTGTCAGTTACTAGTCGTTTATTTGTAGAAACAAAATGAACTAATATATGTAACCTAAATGTGACATATATATATATGCATGTTTAAAGACGAATATTGTGATTAAGATAAAAGAGAAACATATTTATATCTTTGCACTATTGTTATAAAAGCACCCTTATGAGTAAGTGTCCAATGAATATCAATGGATTACAAGATATGCATGCATGTGATATATAGCATAAACAATTTCTCGATAGTTTACAAACATAGCGATCTGTTCATTTAAGCTTCAATAACTTTAAAATATAAAAGTCTCTATTTTTTACTTGGCTCAAAATTTGTAGCAAATAGCTCGCATTACTTTTTAATATTCTACGAGGTAGAGCGGTTGACCCCATTGAGACAGTTTAATAAGCAATAACCGTACTGTTCAAAGAAAGAGAAAACTGTTTGTCTAAGGTTATTTAAATACTTGATACCAAAACAAAAAACAAACATAACTCATACAAAAATTAAAACTTTGGGTTCAAATAAAATAGCAATAATTGCACTTGTTATTTAGTTTATTTTTTTCTTTATTTAATAATTTGAATATACTCATCTTCTAACATTAATGATAATACTTCTTCCTAAAGTTTCTTATGTGCTTTTTATACTGTTATCAATTTTAAGTATTCACTACCCATTTGCACTACCCATTTGTCTAAATTTATGAAAGCCTTTCAAATTTATATAACTGTCTTGATAGCCAAAAGTTCTCTTGTGTAAATTCAATTGCTATATAGTGTATCATTTGGTCCTTAACTTTACCTACTACTCTACTATTTATTTCAATTGGGGACACAATTGCAATTGTATATAGTATATGCATAATAATAATGTATATATGATGATGACAAGAATGTTTCTGATATCATTGAATTAGTTAAAATCTCTGATGTCTATGAAGTCTTTAAAACATCTAAAATCTTCCAAGTCTTTAAAGTCTCTTAAGTTTCCAAGGTTTTCAATGCTACTAAACTCTTTGAATTATCTGATGTTTTTGATATAATCAAAGCTTTATTTAGTAGAGAAATTAAGTTTCCATACTTATTATACATTTTTCTTAGTTGATGTGATTTAAGAAACAGAGAAAGTGAAAAATTAGAAAATCTTTAGATTTCCATGTTGCTAGACAATGCGATTAGATTCTTTTCATATGAAAAAAATATTTCAGTCAGTAAACTACTGTCTTCATACCTTTCAAAAAGTCATTGAGTAATCTCTTTTAAATATTGGGCTATTTTAAAGAAGATTCTTGCCACTTTGCTTGTCCCTATTGTTTATCTTAATTGGGCGCACATTTACCATTGTATATAGTACATGCAAGAGTAATTCATAAACTTGCTTTAAAAGTATAGAGAAGAAGATATAAGAAAAATTTAGAGCAGAAACACTTGTTGTTTTAGAGAGAGGTTTTTATCATTCTGGTGTATTGTGCAAACCAAGATAGTGAATAAGTGAGTATGTATGTATGCGTTTTTCTTAAATGATTTTTTAACTAATTAATTAAATCATTTTAAACAAATAGTATATGCATTTTTATGTAGGTTACTTTGAGTTTACCAAGTGCTATTAACCTTTTGAATAATAAAACCATGAAAATTAAATTTGCAGATGTCATAAAATATGAAAACCAAGGTGTAAAAATAATACGAGAAAATAAGAAGTCGGGAATTGAGTTACAGCGGCGACATTCCCGTATTGTGGGTTGTGCATGTTCCCCATTAAAACATAAAAACATAAACTAAAGAAAATATAAGCAGAAATATCCTTTGTATCTACTACTTTGGTTAAATTCTAAGCAAAAATGTAAATTCATAGACCATGTAACTAAGCTGATTATGTTTCAATAATAATCTTTAACCAATCAAATACAACATCCGTGCAACTTTCGATAGTTGAGGTTCTGTAACAGACCTCACATTTCTTCAAAATATATGCATTGTGTGTATGCGCATGCTGTATGAGATAAAGTGTGGCCTGTGCTTACCTGTAATATTAATTCCACCCCTTTATATATATAGTTTGTACAAATGAAATAAAACATGCATGGTATGATATGACAGATTCACACCATTCACAATAACTAATTTTTGCACATAAATTTACACTCTAATTATCAGATTATTCGATCCACAATCATCATCACTACATTCAAATACACATATTTCTAAATATTCATACAATTGGAAGCTTTGTTTCACGGCTTGTTTTTTTTATTCCAGAAAAACGCCATTTCAAGCACTGTGATCTTTGTACAGATACATATACAGATAAACATATCTTCAATTTCTGGTACAACATGTTATTAACGCGCATAAGAAACGAATGGCTGTATTTTCCATGGATTTATTCAAGAAATAGTGAAAATGATAAATAAATATATATCATTTAGAAGACAAGAGCGGCACCCTTGGTCTTCTTATCACCACCCAACTCGAAGTGCTTGCAACGCTTGATGGACAACTGCATCTTGTACTTGCAGGCGGTGCACTCAAGACGGAGGACGATCTTCTTGGTGGTCTTGGCCTAATGAAGTAACAAAAAAAATAATCTCAGCCATCCTGTTTCTCCCAATTCCAATTCAATTTCCCATGATAATGATACTACTACTAATCCACATTCTGATAGTTTCATTTGGCATGTTTCGTACCTTCTTGTGGAAGACGGGCTTGGTCTGACCACCATAACCGGACTGCTTACGGTCGTAACGTCTCTTACCCTGGGCGAAAAGAGAGGCCTTACCAGCCTTGTACTGGGTCACCTTGTGGGGGGTGTGCTTCTTGCACTTACCGCCCTTGCAGAAGGTGTTTCTGGTCTTGGGAATGTTGACCTAATCATCCACAAAGAAATAAATTTTCAAGACAAAAAAAAACGTCCATTCGGTCGTCTGAGGTCGTGCGTTTGGATGGATGGATTGATGGATATGTGTGTTTGTGTGTTTGTGTATATATGTATGTGCGTCTTCTTTTTTGGTGATTGATCCCATGGATCTATATACTCACCATGGTAATTCAACAGTATGCCAAAAGAGAGGGATCCAGTTTCGGTTGGCTAGGACCATTTTACCCCCGAAGCGTGCATTGATGGGCCGATCCACACTCGGTGACTGTCCGGTTAGTAGATTCACCGGACATGATAGACACACACACGCACACACAGACACACACACATACACATATCCTCAACTCCTTTGACAGCATTTTCTTTTCCCCCTTTATATTTCATTTCTTATTATTATTATTTTACTAAGGGTATTTATGTGTATATAAAAATACTTGCTTTTGAAGTAAGATAAATTGTTTCGTTTTGTTTTGTTTTTCATTAGTATTTTTTTATTTCAATATTTCTCAACTTCTTTATGTCTCATAGTCAGCTCAAAAGAGCCAAGAATTAGCTTATAATTATGGGATGATCTTGGCATACACACACACACACACATACCTTACAAAGGCAAAAATAAAAATAAAGGGTGAATAAACTTGCTGCCAAAATAGCCTGAGTTGCACTCGGGCGGTGTTAAAACCAAATGGAACTGAAGAAAGTAGCACAAGTCATCAATGCACTCGTTTGTCTCTAGTTCTCTCCCCGCAACAACAACAACATACACAGAAAACGTGTTGATTGTTGACATTATGTCTTTGCCATCAGCCATCCGTCTACCAGATGATGACAATAATGAACCTCCCCGTCGTCATCTCGGCTTCTCGGGTTGCTTTTCGTGCCTACCTTCATTCAACTCTCCCATCCGTCTACCCGATGACGATCCAAAACCTTCTAACATTGCCAATTACTCTCCAATAATTCCACCTCAACAAGATCAACCCGACCATGCTTTCCACCGACTCTCTGCAGAGCCCAACCGTTACTTATCCCGAAATCCCTTTGGAGCTCAGGAACAAGAACCACCTTCCGTCAAGTGTTTGACAGTGCAAGACTCTACACCAAATGTTGTCGAGGTTAGGGGCCATACCTTTCTCATAAAATAATAACAATCAAATATTATTATTCTTTTGCTAAAACAAAAGTAAAACCAAAAAAATCCAAAATTCTTGATTTTCTTTTTTTCTATTATTAACTCTTTAATAATGATCTTTCTTTTTTGTAGGCTGAAGAAGTATTTGGTGAACAAGAACTTATGGATGTACCAATATCTACAAACCGCCATGCGTATGATAATGAGCCAGACTGGACAGAAATGGACCAAGACCTCTTTAACAGCGAACCATCTTCACCGTTGGCCGCACCTGCAGCTCAACTGCAGTTCTCCGACAAAGGTTCAGCAAGAGAATTATCAGCTGTTGTCCCCTTGCCTGGTGTGATGTTTGAGCAAGTCGATCTAAGCACGTCCAGACAAAATGCCCAAATTGAGGCACTTGTTGACGAGACACCCGCTAAAGAAGCGGCACCGCCTCTTCCTCTGACCGAAGCATCACTGCCGATCTCAGTGCCTTTAAAAAAACAAGATGAACCTCTAGAAACACACCGCTCAACCGTGTCATCTGTGGCACATTCTATACTAGGAGACAAATTGGAAGATCTTACAGAAAAATTGGCTTATATCCGCAAGAATATCATAATGAAAGTAGAAGACGACGAAGACTGGGATGAACCCCAAGATAGTCCAGCCATTTCCCATTCATCTCCATTAGGGTATCCTGTCACACCAAGTATGAGTATACAGAAAAATACCCAGCCAAGAAGGTAAGAGAAATAATAATAATAATAGTAATTAAAGGGTTTAATATCGTGTATTTTAGTATTGTTGTTGTTCTGGTTGTTATTTATACATATGTGTGATTTTGGCCTTATTTTTTTGTTAGACCTTCATATGATCCCCTCACATCTTTCTTTAGTAAATCGCCCGATACCACAACGTCTAGATCAATAGACCCCGAGCCATCCGTACCACGCCCTCGTCTCCATCGTAGATCGAGTTCACTTCTCGATGAGGTTGGTCCCACAATTGCACGTTTTATGCACCAAATAGGTGGCGAAGAAGGACATTCATTTTCTCCATCCTCCTTCTTTGCTGCGCTGGCTGGTCCATCGCCATCAGAGGACACCGACAGAGAAGGAGACGAATCTAAACAGGCACACGGTCGACCACATATGAAATCAAGACCTTCAGATATGGCAGCTCATTACCCAACATTGGAAGAAGAGAGTGGAGCAGAAGACGATTTTGAAGACCTTTTTGACTTTAGCAAGGTTATTGAGATGGGAAAGAACGTCCGTACATTCACAGATGATGTTGTGGACAGTGGGATGCGTATTATAAATGATGTCACTAGCCGTATAAAACACCCAGAACAACATTCTGATTCTCAAGAAGATCATAACGCATGGATGCTTGAAAATGAATCATTCATATAGTTTTATTATTTTATTTATTTTTTGGTCATTTATTTCTATACTTTTTTTTTGTTCTTCTTCTTTTTCAGTTTATATAGCATATTCAATCTCTCTTTCTTCTTTTATCTTAATATACATTTATCATTTAGCCTATATGACTATGAGCTACACGAACACTTGAGATCCACACCCCACTACGAATAGACAATAGTATATTAATAACAAATCAAAGGGTTAAGAAGATATAAGAAGAAGAAGAAAATTTTACCTCTGGGACCCCAGTATTGATCCACTTTTCAATACGTTGGTCTTCATAATTATCCTCAAAAGGATCCACACAGGCTTTCAAGCAAGAGTCCAGAACGCCTCTTGCTTCTTCATCCGAAAGATCTTCGAACGCATTTACTACATCCTGGGCAATCCAATTACGCAACACGAACCGTGGATTTACACGGTTCATTCTCTTTCTCTTGTCACCGTATTTTTCTGGTCCTTCTTCCAAAAGTCTATGGCGATAGATCGAAAGCCAGGTCTTCAATTGGGACTTGCTGTCTTCCAACACACCTGGATCTTGAGTGACGATCGATAGGGTTTCCAAAGCCTTTTTGGTGTCTTGATCTTCGCCCGCATCTGTGATTGGATAATCGGCCAGAGATCTGAAGAAGCTATGGTAGTCTACCGCATATTCTGTCAGCCAATCCAAGAGAGGAATGACAATGTCATCCATGTCATCTTTATTCGAGTTCGTGAATCCAAGTTTGGATCTCATCTTCTCGGTCAGGTCGGCCATAAACCAATCCGAAAAGTCATTGGTCAGTATCTTGGTGACCTTCTCCCGGCCGGCCTCCCGGTAGGCATCCAGGGTTTCTTTGCTGGTTAATTCAAGGTCATCTCTGCCCTTGATTGGATACACAATGCTGTCTGCTGCATCTCCTGCTCCGATCAACTCAAATAATGGAATGGATAATTTGAAGAGGTTCAATACGCACACAGTAGGTTGTCGTTTAAATGAATACACTATAAAAGCACAGTAATACACACACAAAATAAATAAGTACAAAGACACACAAACAGATAAGCAAATACATACTCCCTGTGTGGTCAGAATGGTTACAAATATTTTCAGGATCGTAAAAATCGAGGATTTGAAATGGTCCATAGTCCAAAGTAAGACCTATCGAAGAGAAAATCTAAGTAAGGGGACATCGTTGACTACCTACAACAAAGTGGGTCAAATAAAACGTACCTAGAATTGACATATTATCTGATATATACACAGTTGATGAGTATTATAATACGTATAAATCACATTCCTATATCGTACACACCTGTATTCATAACGCCATGACAGAATCCTAAAGAAAATGATTTTCCATCAGTATATTTTTCTTATTTTTTTGCTGCTCGACATCGTATTATTATAAGGAATTAAATAAAATACGTACCAATCGATTGCCATTCTGCGACCATTTTGGCTGTTCTTTTTGTTACACGTGTAAAGAAGCGTTCATACTTGTTGCCTTCTTCTGTCCCTTTCTCTTCCGGGAGTACATTTTCAATGGCATAATCGGCCAAGTTTCTGACGTTCTCCATATCGCCACGAGAGAAGAATATTTCAAAGTTACCAAACCGAAGCCAAGAAGGTGCCATACGAGCAACTGTAGCTCCTCGTTCAGGTTGCTTTGCCTCTAAAAATATTATAATTATTATTATTTTATCACTTGTTGTTTACTACAATATTTTCTCTCCTCCTCATCCTCTTCGGTATTCTTAATTTGTACGAATATAAATAAATAGTTTTTTGTACCTGGAGGTGCATCTTGTCTATATACTCGTTTTCCAGTTGCTGTCAGTGCAAGAGATCGTGTGGTAGGTACACCCAAGGCATACATATGCTCCGAGACAAGAAATTCACGAATACTGGATCGTAGAACAGCAAGACCGTCACCAAATCGGGAAAAAGGAGTTCGGCCTGCTCCTTTCAGCTGAAGCTCAAATTTGTCACCTTTACTAGACACAGTTTCAAATAAAGATATCGCACGCCCGTCTCCCAATTGACCCGCAAATTGTCTATACTTTAAGTTAAGTCATTGGACATATATAAAGTTTTATAAATAAATCATTTACCCAAACTGATGACCAGCATAACAGAGAGCCCAAGGTCGGGTACCTTCTAGAATCTTATTTCCTGCAAATACATGAGCAAATGCCTCTGTTTTAGATTCTTCGGGATCAAGCTCAAGATCCTGTACTGCATAAGAGGACACAGCTAGTACTTTGGGATTTGGGCTGGTCTCTGGAGGAACATAAGCAAAGACAGCATTGTGTACTGGACGAGAAACTCTCAAAAGGCTTTCAGAATGCGATCCCTCGGTGGTAGAGGATGTATGGGAATCGGCTGGTAATGAGCGAGTAAATACACTGGGACGTATAGGAAGTGATTCTAGAGAACGAGCTGTAAAGGCACGCAAATACATTGCGAGGAATGGAATAACTTTTTTTAAAAAATAAATAAATAAAGTGAATAGAGACTAGTGTATGATTCTGTGTGTGTGTGTATGTGGTGGGGTTTTTTTAGTTATACTTTAAGCCAGTCATAATCTATGCGTGACAGGTATTACCCCACTACATCTCCACTCATCCATACATCCCATCCACATACAGAGTTTCGCATTCAAAGATGAGAAAATCAAATCAATTTTTTGAGGTAGTTTGAGGTTTGAAAAAAAATGTGATCAGTAACGTCCGAACAACGGCATAATGATGGTATATATTATATACATACAGTAAAGAGGATGTAAATTTGTATTCAGTGTCATTTGGGATCAGCACATTGATCCTTTAATTTTAATCACATTTTACTCTATCTATCTTTAGTATCTTGTCCTAAAATACAGTTTATTATCATTATTATCATTATTATTAGTATTAAACATTATTGAAAAGAGGTTCTCTTTTCCAATTTTACATAGTTTAAATTATATCATGGATTATAGATATAATAAATTTGACAAATATTACTGAAATATGTTTGTTTTTTTTTGTTTTATTGGGTCCACCCAGTAGAGTTATAGTTTTCTTGGTCAGGTTCATGGTGGGGAACACGTCCTTCGGCAATCAGGCGACGACGTTCTTCTTCTACAGAATTAAGGTAAAAGTCTGTTCGATCCCGATAGAGTATATAATGCTGGACGATAAACACCAAATCGAATGCAATTGCGACAAATCCCAGACCACTTTATACATTTTTTTTTTAGTTTTTGTTTGAATAATAGTTAGTTGGTTATAGTGCAATTTGACAATATATATATATATATATATACTTTGACTTTTTGAATACTTACAATTTTACGGGATCCTTTATTAAAGTAAAGGAGTACGTGAAAGAGATAGCAAAAGGTTGTATTAGTTTGTATATAATTTAGGACTATTATCATTTGCTTAAAAAAGATTAAGGCATGGTTTTATTTTCTTACCCCTGATACACCACTCCAGTCACCACTAATAGAAGCATCCAGTAAGAGCTGACCGATAGACAGTGCACCACCAGCAAAATCCTATTAATTGATTGATTAGTTGATCAATTAATTTAATTGTGTATATAGAAATATACATGTATCTAACAGATCATGGATTTCTCTCTCTCTCTCTCTCTCACTTACCAAAAGGATATTGTAGATACTCCAACCAACAGTAGATTTACGCTTGTAATTCAGCCAAACCTACAAAACAATTACCAATTGTGTGAATGGGTAAGTAAATGAATACGTTTTCCACCTCTTTCTTCCATTAATAATCAGGCTGCTTTTTATTTCCCAAATATTTATATATATAATATACTTTACTTGAGGAAGGTATTTGATAAAACTAATGGCCAGTTTAACATAGCTCAGGTAGTACATCAGGTCGATCCATAGTATGCCATTAAACTCGACTGCCAGCAATCCAATTCCAGCACCAACAATTGGAATGCTGATCAAGACTGTAGCGGTTGTCGATAATTTCTGAGCCTCTTCTTTCTAATAGACATGTATATGATATTCAAGTAATTAATTTATGAAATGAATGTACATATCTCTTTTTTATTATTATTATATATATATATAAGACTTGCCTTGTAAATAAACGTTTGTCCGAGTGTAAAGGATGAGATCAAGAAAGCATGGACAGCAAACATGACATCGTTGGCACGTACAAGATTACCGCTTGAATGATTCCTTTGTTTATCTGTTATATACATATAAATAAATTGGAATTTAGAATATCAATTAACTGACATTTAAGCTTCTTCTTTTAATATATATATATTGGAACTTGCATTGTTCTTGGATCGTTTCACTGAAGAAAAAGGCGACGTTGAATATCTTGAAGAATTTGTTGTCGTTTTATATGTTATATATATATATATTATTATTGATAAGCTTTATTTATATTAGATTTATAAATGTCATGGATTAATTTACCGAATAGCAAAGGAAACCAAGGACATTGTAATACAGGAAATCAATTGATAATCCTTGAACACTAAGTAAGATCAATTAATTATTTAAATTATTTTTGATTAAAGATATCGAACAATATTATTAACAATAAGTGTACATTTGTATTATTATATATTTATATAATAAAATACCTCTTGCGTTGCCAGTTGAGAATTGCTTGAGGATAGAAGCTAACCGACCAAGACAAGAAGTATGTCTATTGAAAGATAAGGCAACATTTTGTTTTATTCAAATCAATAAGTAAATAAAAAATAAAGTCGTGAATGTAATGGTGATTACCCAGCCAATGATGTTCGAAACTACATTCCATCCAACCGAGGAAGTTTCTCGAATTGCAGGCGCCATTCCTTAAAGTATATATAAGCAATTCTTTATAGAAAGTAAAAGTGAAAGAGAAGCAAGAAATGGTTGTCTGGAATAAAGATAAGCTCAAATATTTCAATAACCAAATATATACTTTATTTTACTTTATATTATATTATATTATATTATATTATATATTATATCATACTATATTATATACATAATTTTAAAATATAAAATAAAATAAAATAAAACATATACTTCTTTAGTAATAATAACAGCAACAACAACAAAAAAGGGGGTCATGAAAGACTTTAGTTTATTAGAAACAATCCTTTATGATCCGCAACAAGGTAAATTCAAAAAAGGCGTTTATATAGCTTAAATATAATTTTATAATAAATTTTACAGTCATTTTTTAATAAAACACATACATATAAAAGGATTCTACTTGCTCAATCTACACATTGCAAGATTACTACTTGCAATCAATGACATGAACAAGAATGGGCATGACTTTGGTTCTGTTGAATCTAAAGATATTATTAATGTACTACAGGAGAGTGTCAGAGGAAATGACAGATATCTGAGGGTAAATAAATAAATATATAATAATAATAATAATACTGGTTGCTCATTTCATTATCTTAGGTGCGTTTGCTATTATCCAAGGGTGGTGTACTTTCTACATCTCATACAGACTTGGACAGCCCCAAGCCTCCGTTGTCTTGCTCAAGTCTTGTTGAGGCTGCTAAAGGAGGAGCTGTGTTTTCTATTGTTCTGGACAATTGTCCTTCTGATGTCCTTGACAATCCTTTTGTGACACACAAGACCACCTGTCGAGATGTGTACGAAGACGCACGCCATCGCTCTCACTGCGAATGGAATCCTTTGAATGATCATACTCCGTTCGATGTCGTACTCTGGAATAAGCTTGGCCAAGTGACTGAGACCAGTATTGCTAATCTGGCTATTGGTACCTATTCAAACAACAAATGGCACTGGAAAACACCTCACCATTCATCTGGTAAATTTTTATTTTATTATTTGTATTAATAATATTAATAATCGCTTGATCAATCAATCAATGAAATAATTATTTATCATGTATCCAATTATCTATCTATGTACATATACACACATAAAAAGGGCTTTTACAAGGAGTATTTCGGCAGAAATTACTGGAAGAAAATGATGTTGAAGAAGTAATGATCACAAAAGAGGATCTTGTGAGTGCACACGAGGTAAAAATGATTCTTTTTTTGAATAAATAAACAAATAATTGTGTATGTGTCTCTAATATATCATTATTTATTATTTAAGAGGGGATATATTATTGTATGCTTTAACTCGGTGCGAAAGATTTATCGAGTACGGCTACTGCAGGATGTTGTAAAAGAAGCAATGGTGTAATTATTACAAATATTGCACCTTTTTTTTTCCTTTAATTTAATTTAATTTATTTTATTTTATTTTACAGTTATAGAATTTATATATATATAGCAGAATAGCATGGTCCTCTTTAAGCTGTTATTATTTTGTTTATTTTAGTTGCATAAAGAAGTATTTGTTGATTCTTGACATTACAATGTTTGTTACATAATTATTTTAATGGTTGTTCTCCAAAGCACAGAAACAAATTTCTTTTATAGAATTTCACAAATAAAGTAAAAGTTTCGAATATAAGCTTATCATAAATATCACTTTTACACATTTTATATTCAAGATACAAAAAATAAATAAAAACATAATACTTTGACTGTAACATACATTATTATTTGTCCGTTTAGTAAGCACAGTTTGAACATACTATTTAGGTAAATTGTTATATAAGCATTGTGATTTACAAGCCAATCATTTGGTTATTATGTACGACTTTACAAATTTGAGTCCACAAAGGTCTCTTGTTTTTTTAAAAAATTCCATCATATTCTTGTATCTGAAATTCTATCTCGAACATTTTCTCATTATATAGAGTAGTTAGTAGAACGATATGAGATGAGCAAAAGAGTATATTATATTTTTTATTGCTTCAATTATTCCTAAAACAATATATATATATATATATGTATGTATGTATATGCAAGCTTGTGGTCAGCGTCAACGGTAAGGCCATATAGCACTACCATATTTGGACGACGATAGAGTAGACGAAAAGAAGTGAATTTGGTTTTGTATTATTCGTACTTTCATTGCAAAGAGTGCAAAGTACAAGTCTTATGATGATATGCTGTAGAGTTATTGGAATGTATGAAGAATAAGAAAAGTATCGATTTGATTTACATTCGAATTTTTGCCAAACCTATTTTAAATTAATAATTAAGAGTAGCGTTAAAAGTGCACCAGACTCTGGCAGTTACAGACACTGGTCTCATAAACTATTGGATACTTTTTCTTGATCTTTTGATAATAAAAAAAAACTCATGCATTTATGCTGATTAGAATCCAAATAATTATAAGAATTTTAAGAATAAATAAATAGATAAATTGGTGTACTTTATAAGCCTGTAAAGAATGAAAGAAAGAACGTATAAATTGCTAGCTTTTTTGTCTTAATGAGCTTACTGTCACCAGTATCTGAAACAAACAAACAAACAAACAAATACAAATACAAATATAATATAAATAGATGAGTTTATTTCATTTGATACTGGTACCAAAGGCTTGCTTTTATTTGTATTTGTGTTCACTTGTAAAATACAGCCGATGTGTATGCAAGTATGTATGTTTTAGAGTCATTTCTTACTTTAATAAACCAGACAAGTATAGTTCTAGTGTCAAAATTAAATAAGAGCCATCATTATTTAACTGAAAAAGAAGTAAATAATCAGCTTCTAAAATATGTTGAATATCAAGTTCTTTAATTTGTTTGGAGGATTTGTCAATAAGTCAAATAAGGACCCAAGATTCTGTTTGGTTCCTTCTTGTCCTTCTTCTGTATTTTACTTATTTGTTTATGACGTTTGAAGGTTCTACCAAGATGAATCGAACCAAATCGTATGGAATACAGAATAATGATAGTTGTGGGTATGGGTGGCGGGGACTATTGGTTATTTATTTATTTATATAAACATTGAAGCGTCTATTTTATTTGCTTTTTGGGGTCTGTATTTTGTAATTTTATCCCCAGCGTCCTACAAACAGCGGCAAAAAGACATCCGCTCTACTCTCCCCTTCTTGATCTTGATTCTGATCTTAACTTTTAGCTTTAGCTTTGTGATGATACTTGATTACCCCTTATTACTTTTACTGTAATTTATATATTGGATTCCTTTCAAACAACTCATTCCAATATCTCAATATCTCAATATTTCAATCTTTATCAACAACTGATCGGGCCATCAAACACTAAGCATACATTATTATATATATATATATTTATTCAACCAATCTAGAAAAAAAATTAAAACAAAAAGCTTAATATTCTTACTTTCTTTCTCTTTCTCTTTCTCTTCCAAAATATACCCCCCTCCGTACATACTATCTACATAAAGTCAGAATCGAATCAATTTTAATACATTCAACACACAATCAATTGCGTAGTTTCAAACAACTTTCTCTCGCTCTCTTAAATATCATCTAAAGAATATAGCATAAAAGACGACAACGATAAATAAGCAGAACCAGAAAAAGCAACATACAATATAATAAAGTTTACTATGAAGTGGACATCCTTAATTATCTGTCTTATTGCCCTCGTCGACGCCGGCCCAACTTTTACACACCAACAGCAACAACAGCCATTTGGCTCCAATATATTAGACCTCCAGTCCTTCAAACTCAAGACAATCTACCATCATGCATCCATCAATGGTCCCATTCCTCACCTATTCCGCAGACTGGACGTATCGGAATCAATGTCAATGTCAATCCAAAACAACGCCTTTGAAATGAAACCCGTCATTGGAACATATATGCGGCCCTCCCAGAAGGATCTCGTCCCGCTTCATAGACAAAAAGAAACCGGCCAGAGAATGCGCATGGAGGCCAATGCCGATCTGGAATTCGAACCAATCTTGGGTCTCCAGCCTGATGTCACAAACCGCCAGACTGTAATGACTCTGGCTCAAATGACATACAATGCATATTCAGATATCATTAATGGTACAGCCGATTGGTATGAGCTAGAAGCACCGTGGGTAAAGGTAAGACATGTATAAGTTTGTTGCTATTACAAATAAACAGAAATCAAGATAATAATATAATTTTTTTTTGAGTAGAATTCATCTTTTGGCTGGGAATCGGACGGTATCCGAGGTCATATCTACAGTAATGCAGATGAGTCCTTAATAGTTATCAGCATAAAGGGTACAAGTGCTGGTCTCTTTACAGGAGGACCCACTGGTGACAAAGACAAGCTAAATGCAAGTTTCTTTTCTTTTTTCTTTAATAAAAAACACAAAAGGACTAAGTTTTTATTAACATTAATAACGTTTGTATATTTTTGTTTTTAGGATAACATGTTGTTCTCCTGTTGCTGTGCCCGTGTAAGTCGAGTATGGAGATCGGTGTGTGAATGCTACAAAGGAAACGAGTACATGTGTGAGAGCTCTTGTCTGGAAGGAAATATCAAGAACAGTGAGCTTTATTATGATAATGCCATGGTAAGTAAAGGATTATTAACTGGATATATACATGTATATATATATATATATATATTATCTTGAGCGTGTTGGTCTGATTACTTTATACTGATATATATACAAAATTAACAGGAACTTTACAAAGAAGTTGCCAATCAGTATCCCGAAGCAACCATCTGGCTGACCGGACATTCACTCGGAGGTGCGCTTGCCAGCATGGTAGGACAAACATTTGGTGTACCGACCGTCACTTTTGAGATCCCAGGAGATTTGCTGGCGTCTATTCGATTACATTTGCCACGTCTTCCAGTAGATATGATGCCTCTTTGGCACTTTGGTCACACCGGAGACCCTATTTTTGTTGGTGTTTGTACTGTAAGTATATATATATACATATAAAAGTAAAAAAAAGAGAGTAAAAAGAGTATTCTTGTCAACTATTATTAAAATATTTGTGTGCATGGACGTAGGGCCCTGTTAGCTCATGCTGGTACGGTGGGTTTGCCATGGAAACACGTTGTCATACTGGCAGAGTAAGTAAACAAAAAAGAAATTGGATATTATGATATCACTTTACTGTTCCAGTCCATTGTGTCTTACCATCATAATTATAATTATATATATATATATATAGGTGTGTACTTGGGATACAGTTAATGACCATGGTTGGAGGGTTGATATTCGATCACACCGTGTTGGTGATGTAATTGAGAACATCCTAAAGAAATCTGAGGAAGAATTCCCTCTTCCCCACTGCATACCCGAGGATCCAAAGTGTCAGGACTGCGGTTTGTGGGAATTCTTTGACAACCGAGATACTCCGTCTGATCCTGCAAGCCTTCAATCACACAATCCTCACAGTAATACGAATACTTCACAGCTACATAGAATAGGTGGCTGTGGTGGTTCCCATTAATAATTTTATAAATATAAAAATGTTACATAACATTATAATAAAGTATATAAACCAATTTTAAATTTGATATATAATATATATATATATATATTTGTGTGTGTGTGTGCCTTTTGTTATTGTGTTCAAAACCACGAGCAGTCCTTCGGTATCATATTATAGTGTATTGTACTATAGCGTAACATAGCATAATATTAATAATAATCCTAATATAAATAAATTAAAAGGTACCTTTTTTTTGTTGTTGGCTTTTTCTACTTGAACGCCAGTTTTTGGTGATTGTAATACATCTCTTGGAGGGACAAGATGATCAGCTGCCAAACTCCCCCTTTTTTTTTCTTTTGTATACACACATCTTCTTGTACTCTTTTTAAAACCTTTATAAACTTGAAACAAAATTTGCCCTGAACACGGCGGATCTCACCCGTACAAATTTGTGTATATAATTATATAAATAAATAAGAAATCAATTTTTGATCATTATTGTCAATAAATGTATACATATTAAACTTGGGATTCTACCTACCAAGTCATTTCTTGGCCACTTTGCTAGTATTACACAAGAGATACTATTATATCGTTATTGTAATCGAGAAGAAAACATACACCAGAAAAAAAAATGAATAAAAATTAGGTGATCTTCCTGACACAACCTTCAATATTTTTTCTTCCGATGCATATCCGACTCTTTTTCTTTTTTTCTTCTTTTGCTTTGCTTAGATGAAAATTGTCTCACAACAGCATCTAATCTTTGGTTCAATATACACACACCACAAGATGCATAAGAAACAGAGCCATACATGAGACTTGGTTAGAGCACTAAACGCTTTGTAATTAAACAAAAAAAGTATAATATTCAAAAAAGGAAAGAAACTTCCCTGTTGAAATTTGATTGTGGCTCTAAAATCTTGCTTGACTGAAAAAAAATATTCGTTTTTTTGACAGAAAAAATAAATAAATAGATTTATAGTTATGGTTATGGTTATGGTTATATATGCAATGACGCCTGATATTTAGCTATCTACGTAGATTACATTAATACCTCACAAATACAAACACAAACATATATATAGATTTATGTATCAATACGTTCAAATAAAGCGATAATTTAGCTATGGTGTAAAATACAACACATATAAGCCAAATGAGCTCAATAGCTACTATCCAATTTCTAGATTTCGTTAAATCGAAAAAATTCCAACTCTTTACAAAGTAGCTGTATTCTTATTCTCATAAAACCTGAGTGTTATATATCTACTATATATATATGTATACCCCCAAAACGCCTTTAATATGATTGAAATCAAGGCTGTTTTGTAGCCAGACTATCAAAAATGTACTCTGGTTGTCTAATTTGTCTGTTTGTCTTTAGAGGTATACTTGTTCTTCTCAGAGTTAATAAATTCATCCCATTTATAAACCACCGCATATTCATCAAATCTTTTTAAATCATTCCAATACTTCTTGTATTTGTTTTTGTGGCTGTTAAACATTATTTTTTATTGTTTATATTTGGTGAGGTTTATGGTGGGAATTTAATAGTAAATATATATAAAAAATAAATAAAAGTGCAATGTCCGTGCTTTAATTTAATAATTTAATTTAAATTTAAAGGAATTTTGATTGATTATTTATCATGATCATTTGTATATGTCTTTACATGATCGAGATAGTTTCTTTCAAAGAAAATGTATAGTATAGTATATACATATATAATGTGTTCTCTCGTTTCATCTTGGATTTGTATTTTTTACTTTGCTACAGCTCTTGATCTCTGGAGACCTTTTTTTTTTAATTAAATGAAAAATACAAGTCATGTAACACGAGTTTTTGACTTTCGTCCCTTTGTACTCCCTCTTGTACCCGTCTTAAAGTCTTCAAGCTTGAATACCATCAAGACACTCACACACACACTTCCCTAGAATATCCTTTTGAATATATATAAAACACTTAATGATTAATAAGCCAACAGAACCAGGTCTATCTTCATTAATGATGTAAAAAAAAAGTTCAATTTTTGTGAAGATATATATAATGAATAAAACAACTTGATTTTGAACAAGCAATAATATTTATAACCATTATCGTCTTGTTTAATGGTAATTTAGCTATGGGGTAATACACTTATAAAGTTCTTTCTGTATTGCCAGCCGAATCCCTGTATTTCTAAAGGAAGTCCACAAGTCCCTGATTATAACTAAAAATGCATCGTATCCATTACTTCTTTAGCTATTTTAAAACCTAGAATAGAAGCTAGAATACATGAAATGCATATGCTTACCTTTCTCTATAATATAATCCACACTCAAAAAATAAGAAGATAATCTCTTACATATAAGCAAATCAATATATTTACAGTTTAAATAAGCAGAGCACTCAAGTTTACTACTACAAGAAACCACCAAGTTTAAAATATTAGATTTTTGACAGTTAAGTAACACATCCTGTCAAAATTTCTTGTTGAAAGATGCACCTTTCTTTTTTGTTCAAAAATTATTCAGGCAAATTCCTGGAATTATATAATACATAATATACACATATGTGTCAAATTACTGAGTGGATAAATATTTATAAAAGAATCTGTATGTAACCGAAATCCTCCAATGAGCGCACAGATTCAACCTTTTTCTACCCCTCCTCTTCCCCCCTTCTTTTTCTTCCTATTCACTTGGGACTGCTTACTTGTCAATTGTTTCCCAAAAAAAAAGGTACTATATTATTTCACTTGACCTATTCTTTTTTCATTTATTTATTTATATATATTACCCAGAGAAGTTCACATGCAGTCTCAGATATCAAAACTTGCCATTGGCAACACTCGGTCATGGCATCAACAAGCCTACCTCAACCTCGTAAAAAATACCACTTGTTTGAACCAGCTGCGGAATCAATCCCGATCCTCTGTTAGATCATTCGTGACACTTAAATACCGCCCTGAACCTACCGATTACAATCGCCAACAGATCAGAGAAGAGCGACAGCCGACTGGAAGACTACAATATGTGAATGTAGGCGAGGATAAGCTCAATGGACCCAATAAGTATCTTTATACAATGCCAACAGATCCCTATATTGCCTCGAACAGAATCAACCAAATAATCAAAACCTCCACATTGGATGACGCTTTAAACTTTGTAAACTGTTTACCAAACCGCCTTCAGTCAACAATTCTCTGGAACCAATTGATAGCAGAATGTGCTTCCCAATCAAAAGCCAATATGGCCCATACACTTTTCGTAAGAGTAAGTCATCGATTTATTTATATTTATATGTATCTGGTATAAGTCGAATAAAAGTCTCACCTGTTATCACAAAATAAATAATAATAGATGCGTAAGAAGGGTTTGCCACCTAATGAACGCACATTTACACTCTTAATATCATGTTTCCGCAAAAGCACTTCACCCACAGCTGGAGAACGAGCAAAAGAGGTTTTGGTCCGGATGAGAGAATACAATTTTAAACCAACCACCATACACATCAATGCATTATTGGGAGTGTACGGAAAGCTAGGCCAAATCGACAACATCCTCCATAATCTCGAAGATATGAAGGACAATGATATCCAGCCAGACCATATCACTTACACCATTGCCCTCTCACATTGCCATCTCCTGCCCGAGGGAGACGCCGTGAAAACAGTCCAGCGACTGTGGAAAGAGATCGAAGATCGAGTAGAGTTATCCTCAGAGACATTTAAACAAAAAAGAACAAACTATTCACCATCACAAGAAGAGGAAAACGGCAACGGTAGCCCTGTGTCATTACTGGCACGCAAAGCAGCCAAAGTATCGGCGACAGAGCGATCGATGAAAAAGGACAGGTTTCGTTTGAGCCGAGAGACCAGAGAAATCCCACGTTTCTTACCAGATGACTCTTTGATCACCGCATTCTTACTGGCTCTTTCACGTACTGCCATAGACAGCTCAGACCTCTGGTTTGGTGTGCGTACTATTGAAAAGCTATACGGGATTCGTCCAACCCAAGTGACACGGATGATGGAGGAGCAAAAGATGGATACTGAAATTAAAGCAAACTACCACCTCAGAGTCACACCCAAGAGTCTGTATGGTATTATGCGCTTCTGTGGTGGGTTGGGGCAATACAAACTTGGCGAGGAGTATTGCCATTTGGCTCTCAGTGAGGACTCAGATCTGGAATTTGATAAAGACTGCTCGGTTGTGTACGAATGGCTAGAGAGAGAAGCCAAAAAAAAGGTTGCTACTGATTCAAAAAGATGGAGAACACGAAAAGAACCAGCAACAGGACCAATTCGTAAAAGCTATACATTTAATACTAGAAATCAATAATAATATCATCAAATTTTCTAAATTTATATTAAAAAAAATAAAAAATAAGCATACAATTAATTAGACAATAATAATAATAAATTCATTTTTCTTTTCTATACATATCATAATAGTATATGAAGGACGTATATTTATAAAAAGAGAGCACATTTCATTACCTGAAAATAAAAAGAATCCATAAGAACACATACACATACACACTTTTTTTTGGTCCGGTATGTGTCACGTGACCTCTCGGACCTAAAGACCGGCTTCTTTGGTGAGCGGGCGATCCGTTTCAAACAAGGCGTGGCATAGTGCAAATGATGGATCCGTCTCTTTTTCGTACATCTCCAACCAGAGGTTTGAAATCTATTGAAAATGGTGCGTAAATATCCCATCCACATGATACTTTTTGTTTGTTTATTTCGATGCAACATGTATTCATCCATCCAACCAAAAAATAAATAGGCCCCCGCCAAGAAGTCCACCGGAAAGAAGGTCGCTCCCGCTCCTTACCCCGTCAAGGGAAAGACTGCCTCCAAGTCTCCTGTCAACCCTCTCATTGAGAAGCGTCCCAAGAACTTTGGCATCGGTCAAGACATCCAGCCCAAGCGCGATGTCTCCCGTTTCGTCAAGTGGCCCGCATATGTCCGCCTCCAGCGTCAGAAGAAGATCATCTACCAGCGTCTCAAGGTCCCCCCGGCTCTGAACCAGTTCACCCAGGTTTTGGACAAGAACACTGCTACCCAGCTCTTCAAGTTGGCTAACAAGTACAGACCCGAGACCAAGGCCGAGAAGAAGGATCGTCTCCGTGCCGCTGCCGCTGCCAAGGCTGAGAAGAAGGAGGTTGCCAAGACCGACAAGCCCGTCGTTGTCAAGTACGGTATCAACCACATCGTTGCCTTGATCGAGGCCAAGAAGGCCCAGCTCGTCGTAATTGCCGATGATGTTGATCCCATTGAGCTCGTTCTCTACTTGCCCGCTCTCTGCCGCAAGATGGGTATCCCTTACTGCATTGTCAAGGGTAAGGCTCGTCTCGGTACCGTCGTCCACAAGAAGACCGCCACTGCTCTTGCCTTCACTGACCTCAAGGAGGCTGACAAGGCTGACTTTGCTAACCTCATCTCTGCCGTCAAGACCAACTTCGGTGACAAGTGGGAGGAGCACAGACGTGTCTGGGGTGGAGGAATCAACGGCCCCAAGTCCCAGGCCAAGATGGCCAAGCGTGCTGCTTTGGCTGCCAAGGAGATTGCTGCCCGTCAGTAATTTGTTTTTGTCCAACTTACCAATTTTTTTTCTTCTTTCCTTCCTGCGAAATATCGACAATAAAGATGACATTCTCTGGTCCATTAATTCACACGAAAAATCTTTGTATCAATTACAAAATCAAAACCAACCAAAAGAGAGTGAAGGGATGATATATATATATATATATCTCGCTGTGTGTGTGTGTATTGTGCGAAAACTGTATGGTAAAGAATAACCAAATCCAATTATTTATTGATGGGGGTTAAAGCCAGTGTTATTGCTTGTTTGCTGGTTTGACTTTGGGGATATTTTTAGTGTTGGGTGGGTTTCTTGGAGTATACACAACTGCATGGTGAATATATATATGTGTGAAATGAGTAACATAATCAAATGAAGATTCTTCTTATTTTATTTTCTCTGGTTTTTGGAGTTTTTTTTTTGGGTTTCTCCCTTGAGTTTGTGCAGTTTAAAAAAAACCCCCAAAGAGTTGGAAAAATATTAAGGAATTAAAAGGTGTAACATACATTATGTAGAATGATGAAAAATGCATTACCGATTCCTTCAAAAAAAAAATGCATTATTTTTTTTTCGAATCTTACACATTGGCAATATAATTAACTGAATAAATAACGTTGAAATAAAATAACCATTAATATTTTTTAATGCAATTATCAGTGGACAAAAATCGGCAAATAAGAGCATTTTAAACCATTTCTTTTTTAGAAAAAAAAAGAGAAGCTGTCTATACTTTTTATTTTTATAAGAAAAAGTAGTTGAATATAGCTAAATTGGTGAGAGTCTAATTAAACACATACATAGAAGAAGAATAGGAAGAAGAAAACATTCATATTAATATAATAAAATAAAATAAAATAAAATAAAATACATTCGAGAGGAAGGAGGGGGATTTTTCTTAAAAATAAAAGAGATGATTCTCAATTCATCTTCTACCCCTTCTATTCCAATAAACCAAACCAAGAAATACAATAACATTAAAGGCAACGTAGCAGGCAATAATACCAACGTTGCGCCACTTGTTGCTAGCACTCCAGCCATAGATAAGAGTATAATATTCAACACCAGACTTGTAATTACAGTAGCCACATTGCTCAGGCTGTGCAGCGTCAGGGTTAGAGATGTATCCAGGGCCCCCAAACGAAAAATAGTTGGCCATGTATTGTCCACAGGTTCTACCAGGAGGAGGAGAGAACCTGAGGAGATCTTCTTCTGCACACACAACCGTAAGGTACTCGAGTTCATTGACTGTCAGGCCTTCGATATAGTAATGAAAGGGATCGAGCCAGTACATCCATTTTCTCCAAAATGTGGGCATATAAGACGGGGGCTGCAGTAGACCGCAAAAAAGAATAAGCATAGCAACCACCAGGGGATTTAACACTGCAGCAACTGTGGGAAGCTCGGAAACCGCGGCAATGATAAACCCGAGAGTTACAGCCCATATGATAAGCAATGTAATCATTACATAAAAGTATCCTCCGGATTCAGTCGAATTACTCATACCAGTAGTCCAATAAAAACAAAAGACAATTGCAGCAGAGTATACAAGAACATACGGGATCTCAACAAGAACGGTTGATATACCCCATGGAATCCAACTATAGTAACGGGACGCGTGTTCCCGGCGGAAGAATAGTCTCTCATTCATGAACTTGGGCTGGGCAAGGATAACGAGGGTCATGGCCATTATAAAGGTGCTAAACAAAGCAAAGAGCTTGTTCTGTATATCCGAAGAAGACGTTCCTAGTTTCCAGTACGTGAATCCACAGGTAAGAGAAGACATTGAAAGGTTCAGGAAACGGCCAACGTTATAATCAGGTGAGCGCCAATATGTTAAGAAGGATCTATTGACAACCAGCTTGAATTGAGTCCAGAAGGAGGTAGCGTAAGTATGAGCTTTGCGGGCAGGCTTCTTATTGGCAGTTCTATTGATATCTGCAAGTTCAGCATCGAGTTCCTTGGATTTCTCAGATCCGGCCCAAACCTCAGACCAATCACGGGAAGCCTTTCCAGCAGTGCCTGCACCAACAACCTCGAGAATGTATTCTGCAGGATTGGCCTCGGGGGGACATACGGGACCACCATTCGATTGAAAATAGTCTATCATTGTACGAGCGTCGGGACCAATCTCACCATAATAAGCGGTCTTGCCACCACGAACAAGTAGTAGGAGGTGATCAAAGTGACTAAAGAGAATGGCAGACGGTTGGTGAATTGTACAGAGGACAGGCCAACCGGCATCAGCGAGCTTGCGAATGAAACGGATAATATTGAAACAACTTTGGGCGTCAAGGCCAGAAGTGGGTTCATCCAAGAACAGTAATTGGGGTTTACCGACTAGTTCCATACCAATGGTCAGGCGTTTGCGTTCTTCGATAGAAATTCCGACTCCTTCCTCGACCATGCCAATCTGAGCATCAGAGATATCTTCCATCTCAAGCAATTGGATGATCTTCTCAACATATGCATCCTTCTCGGCCTTCGGAACGGATTCATCCTGGCGAAGATAAGCAGAAAAACGAAGAGCTTCACGGACCGTGACAGCCGGCTGATGGACATCCATCTGTTCACAATAGCCAGTGATACGTTCAAAATCATTCATAAGAGCCTCGCCATTAAGGAAAACCTCTCCTTCGACAACACCAGCTGTTTTACGGCGAGCAAGAACATCCAATAAGGTCGTCTTTCCAGCGCCAGAAGAACCCATGAGAGCCGTAAGATGGCCGGGCTTGACAATACCATTTATTCCAGTGAGGAGCTGAAGGTTGCCACCCTTGACAGGAACGGTGTAGTTAACATTCTGCCATGAGAAGGTAGTACCGGTAGAGATACTATCCATTTCTTCAGTAATCTTGGCAAGACGCTTGCGCCGTTCATTCTCTTCCTGATCGTTGCGATGCTTAGGGGCTTTTCCAGGGAGGTAAAACTTGGTGGTATTTCCACCGTTATCAGAGTCAAGGTATTCCATAGAAAGGGCACAAGCGACAGTAAATAAAATGAAAAAGCCAACAACGGCAATAAAATCAGGCGCCCATGCTTCCCAAGGCTTGTAATCCAATGCTTTGAGAAGGTAGGATTCACCCTTGACAAAGTTTTCGCCAGGGACACCACCAAGCATTGTACAGATCTTGTAGTCCCAGTCTGTATATCCCAGACCAAAAGGAACAGCATTTCCAGGGCCATCGCATGAATACTTTTGGCCGTTCATTTCATTAACCAAGAGAGCCTTGTATCCATACGTCAGTGGATTAGCCCAGTAGATCCAGTAAAGCCAAGGGTGCATTTTAGAGTATGGAATGGCTTTTAGGGAAATGATAATAAAGAACAATTTTAGTAATAATCGAGGGGAGACATAAATACGTACTGAATCCGAGGTATGCAATAAAGCCAACGAGCGTAAGGCTAGATAATTGAGTCGCAAGAAAGAAATTACTGGTGATGGCGCCAAATATACGGAAGAAACCGTTCATGGTCATGTTAATGAAGAATAATATAATACAGAAGGTGAAAAATTTGCCGGCTGTCAGATTAAAGCCGGACATAAAGTAAGAGCAAACAGTGTACAGAAAAACTACCATCCAGACAACTAGGTTAGTATCATCCAATAAAACACATACGCTATATAGCTTTACCTTGGACAAGTGCATATGGAATGTCGATAATAACCTGAGCTATATAGAATGCAGAAGGCCGATATAGAGCATATTGTTTATGCTTCTTTAGAACAGGACGGCCCATAAGGAACTGAACAAGCTCACTTTGACATACAAAAGCGTTGAACATCACAGCAAAGAAAATTGCACCACAGCGAGTAAAGGCGCCAGTCCCGTTCAAAGGTAGATTGTAGAAGCAAGACGATGTGACAAGTGATTGGAGAATGATGGTGGCATAACGAGAAAATAGTGCACTCTTATCCTTGATTACTAAATGATATTGCCGAATTAATAGAGCTCTAACTTGCTGATAAAATGAGGCGATGAAAGGACTCGTTGTTGGGGCGCGTTTCTGATGTTCTTCATCCATTGCCTGCTTGAAGACGTCGGCTTGGTTATCAGCTCTAAATTTGCTTTCGTATTCATCCAGATCGACCATCATTGATTTATAAATGTGGGAATCCATGTAAATCTTTTGAAACTCATGTGCAAACTGTGGGACTCTATTTTCGTATCCAGGTTGGATCTCTCTCTCCAATGGATTACATATACCGGTCAAGAAATCAGGGGTAGATTTACGAGCGGGGCAGAAGAAACCCATTTGTTCAAAGTATGGCTTGGCCTGTTCGACAGGTCCAAAATAAAGACAATAGCCCTCATCAAGAAGAATGATGTTGTCAAAGAGATTAAAGATGCTATTTGAAGCCTGGTAAAGAGTTGCAACGGTAGTTTTGTGGAGAACATCTGTCATGATACGAAGGGAACGAACGAAATCAAGGGCAGATGCGGCATCGAGACCACGAGTAGAGCAATCCCAGCAGTTGATAGAACTAGATGTTGTCATTTGTTCTGCAATAGAGAGGCGTTTGCGCTCACCTCCGGAAAGACCACGGACAAAGGCATTGCCGACCATGGTATCCATTTGCTTGGTCAGACCGAGCATGTTCCCGAGCATATAAAGAACACGGTTCACAAAGTCGCGTCTAGTTTCGTCAGGAAGCCGGGATCCAGGAGTCTTTGTTCGTAAAGCAAATTGAAGTGTCTGTTTGGCAGTTAGGGTGGGGTAGTGCTGATCTTCTTCTTCGTTGTAGCACACTTGGCCGTGATAATGTGTTGCAAATGTCGCAGGGTCAATACCTCCATATGATACATCACCATCAATGCTTGTGTAGGATCCACGCATATTAGAGATAATTTTGAGAAGAGTGGTGCACCCAGCACCAGGACGGCCAAGAACAAGCAGCATCTGACCATCTTTACAGAACCCAGTATTGTTGTGAAGAATGACCTTTTGGGGAACGTCTTGTTTTTTTATCAAAAGCTTCATCATTTTGAAAATAGCTATTGGAAGACTTGCGACAGTGGATATAGTGTGAGCTTCGGCGGCGATACCCTTTGTTTAAAAAAAGAAGTAAAGATAGCAAAACACGTCAATAGAGTATAAAGCATAATTTTCTTTTCTTTTATATAGGATAATTTACTTTTACAGTAATATCTCTCCAGATAACGCCAATATGTTTCTTGGTATGGCCAATCCTGGCTGACTCGTTGGAAATACAATGCAAAAATTCATCAAGGTTAAAGTCTTCTGATGAAAGATTGCCTTCTTCAAGTTTGCTAGGATTTGTTGATTTGCGACTGAGTGAGGCTAATTTGGACTTTAGATCTTTATATTCACAAATGGCATCTATATACATATAGACATATGTAAAGAAGGTTAATACAAGCAAGTCTAATAGTTACATTATTTTCATTTCTATGTTTAAATATTGCATTCAAATATCTTAATTGCCTTTAATATTGACTGCATTGGCCTTTGTTTCTCCATAGTTTTCCAAGACACTGACTGGGTAGTCACTTATAGTTTCAGACTCGGATCTTGGAGAATGGTGATGGACTTCAACGATGTGATTATTCAGTGGCCTAGAATTCATGTAAGATATAGCTTTGAATCCTATTCTATGGGTGATTAAAGGGGATATATGTTTTTTTTTGAAAGAATAGGACGGAAAGAACAACAACAAAAAAAGAGGTTTTCTTTTTTAGATGATCCGAATATAAATAAGGATTTATATATAAATATTCAAGTTTATGTAAGACCTGAATACTGGTCCTACATTATTATTATTTCTATGTCTTGAATTCAATAAATACCCCTCAAACATAATACTCTTATATATATATATTTTTGTTTTCTTGTGTTTTCTTTATTGAACGCTTGTCACATAAAAGATACTACTCTTCAATATGTGCTTTCTCAATAAAACCTAACCACAATACTTTAAAATACTCTGGACTACTGTTAAGTACGTGACCAGCGGAAAGAAGTACCTGCTGAAGTAAAAATATGGCTCAAATTCTCTGATAGTGAGCCTGTGGAATAAAATGGAAGATTTTCGAAATAAATAGAAAGCGTGAATATTTCAATGTGTAATCTGCGAACCGATACACTTTTACATTTATGATACAATCAAGCAGTAAGAGTTTTCCTTTCCTTTTTCTTTCTTTATTTCTATGTGGTAGGGAAGTCATGTACATAGTCTTAAAATACTCTTCTGGGTATCATCTGCTCCTCCTGAAAGACTAGAATAATATATACTACTATTATAAATCGAGATAAGTATTTAACGAAAGAAAAAAAAAAGCACCCTACTTTATTATGTTCGATCTCAATTTCGATATATCAATACCGCAGATATTTCCCCTGCATGAATCCTATTTTGTAAAAGAAAAATAAACTTGCGCTAATAGAAAAAAAAAGGAAGTCCCACTTGCTCACACTCGTATACACCTTGTATAAAGTCAACTTTCTCAAAAGATATTCAACTAAAGGACCAAGGTCAGAGATTAAAGGTATTGTTTTGTAGTATGAATCTCTGGTATAAAAGAAACTACAAGATCTTGGCAAAATGACATCTTTTTCCCTTTTATATATATATATATATATATATATATATATATACTTGTTTGATAATAAGTATTGAGCAATTTATAGATACTTTTTCTTTTTAAAAATAAATAAATAAATAAGCATAAATATTTCTAGTAATAGAGAGGGTAACTACCTATTCATTTTTGAAGATTACCATTTTTATCGAATATCTGAGTTTTAACTGCAAGAATTGAATCACAGAAACCCCTATTCAAATTTGAATTATGAAAAACGTACAAATATGGAGTGCTGTTTTATAATACAAATAGTGCTTAACTATACAGTACCATTTTTGGCCTATTCAAAATTGGGTTGAAAAATTACATCTTTTCCTTCAAAATCGAGCTCATTTATGAATAACAATCGAGTAAATTTGAAGCAATCCAAAATAGGATGTGCGGAATATTAAGAATTAAAACCTCATTTGGATGATTTTCATAAACATATTCAAAAATGAACAAGTAGTCACCCTCTCTAATATCCCAGGACGTTACTGTGTAGCATTAGAAAAGACAAATTGGAGACGGCCGTTAGTTGGAATTTAGATCTCCTGAACAGGAGATACAAATCTATTAGGAAACAAGATCGACACCAGCCTTAAAAAAAGTGTGATAACATACAGTGTTAACTTTCCAAACAACAGCTTTTAAATATGGGCACATAATAAACATAACCAATATTTTTTTTCGAAATACGGTCAGTAAATGCATTACTCACGAACTAGATTTAACTACTTGAGGCTTAACATACTTCTTTAATAATTTAATACTCGGCTTAAAAATACTTTATAGTAATAAAAGAAGGTTTGAAAATTCTATTTAGCTCATAGACTAAAATTATTTATATGACCTAATATTCACATTGATAAAATCTGGGAATGGTTCTCACTTAATAGACGGCCAAGCCCTTAAAGTGTGTTTGTCACAAATGCACGTATTATTCTTTCAGAAAAAAGAAAACATAACCGCATATCTGGAGAAAGTTGGTATTAAGCGCATAAAGTCCAAGACCTGACAAGACTTGCCTTTAAAAATATTTATGGGGGAAACTAGACTATCTATCTATCTATCTATCTATATATTTAAATATAAAGCCAAGTGAGCTATGTTTAGGTATGCAGGGTTAAAGTATGACAATAGATCCAGGGAATAATAATAATGATTTGGATATTTGATTCTTGATCTATAGTGTACGGTACACAAATTAATTAAAAGGTATAACACTAGATGCATTTTCAGTCAACTATATCACCAGCACTTTAGCTTCGTTCCTAGAGCATTTCTCGAAAATTGGCATTCACCCCTTCTACCTAAATACATCATCGAATCGCACTAGATAAAGTTTCTGGCATATACTGATGCTATTGTACATTTTCTAATTATACTTTATATATGCATATACATTTTGACATGCTGACGGATCAGGTCCGGATGTACGGACCAGAATTGAACGCTCACATGAGTTGACACAATAGACGTGACTCTAAAACTATATCATATCCGATCTTATATATATATATTCATTATCTCAACGTTTATTTTTAGTGACTGTAGGCATTATAATACATAATATCTGCATATATGCACAGCTGAAGAACTCAGTACAGCTTACATATATGTTTGAATAAAGGTTGTTTTCTAATAGTATTATCATTAATATAAAGACATCTTGGCCAAGTCAATGCCAAGTCAGCCTGTTGTTTGGCACATAGAAATACAAGAAAATATATCAAGAGGCTATAGGAAATTATCTGCATTATACATGTGATATCTTTATTATCGCATTTGACTGGTAAAGTATTTAGCTACATGATTGGTGAACAATGTAACCTCTGATCGGTTTACTATCACTATCTTTTAGTAATACTATTTACCGACTTCATGTTTTGTCTATGCATACTTTCTGTGGCAAACTAAAATCTACAGACGCCTACACACATTATCATGCTATAGGATGCAATCCACAGATATATAAAGGTCTTATACAAGTCAGTTCAAGATCCCGACCTATGATCTGTCCGATCTTCGCACCTATAAGAAACCAGGCTTTATTAAACGGCCTTTTTCTTTTATCTTTTTTTTACCCCTCGACGATCTAACTCACTGACCAATTGAAGTCTTCGATAACATGGTTCTGTTCTAATAATTTATCTGCCATTTACAAGGTGTACCGTACCATGCTTTCCGACACAGATAAGACTTCATATACCAAAATCCTTTACGTCTAAAATAATTTGTAAATACATATATTAATGTTTATGAACAATGAATTTCACCCTAATTTTCTGAGGCTGACCAGAAAATCGGCAGTGGGAGGGAGATTTGTATCTCCGACTTCCAAGTAATACAGCAACCTATTATATTCATGAGCCACAGACTATAATAAGTACCAGCGCCACTTTGATCACAACAATCAGGATATTGGGAGTTCAAACTGCATATTTTTTTATTTTTGTTTTGCTTGGCATAATCTATAAAATAATCTATCTAGAAATGTCTGAAGAGTTAAATCCACATATTTCAGTACTTAATAATAATAATAATAATAATAAAAGGAAAAGCTTAGATGATATTGATAGCGTTTAAAAGTCGAACTATGTGGCTCACCTCTTCATCTATTGCCTGCCACGAAAGCACAGACATTCTGTTTCTGAGAGTAATTGGCCCAAGACAGATCAAGAGGTTAAAGATCATTATTGGATTATAAACCTTAAGACAGAAATTAAAGGAAGGTTCAGACTACTTTGATTGATCAATTTTTGTATATTGCTCAAAACTACATGCTATGAAAATACCAGTGCTTATGATGTAAACTGTATAACATAGTGAGCGTCTATTCTTTGTTGTATTGCTTGTTATCAAACTCAAAACCAAGCCAAACAAAATACAAAATATTAATAAAAAAAAAATAAGCAGCAGTGCCAATCAAAGCAAGCGAGTCATCAATACTCCAAAAAGGAAAAGAAGCTATCTGAATCACTTATTTTACGCTTTTATGTAAACTTAATTTTATTAATAAAAATATGTTATATAGCATTTGAATTTCTTTGTTATAGCGTCTAAACAGTGGCCTAGGTTTTCAAATTATATATTGTTATTTTTTTGTACCTTTATGTACCCAGTCAAGACGTACTTGAATTTTTCTTTCTTTAGCCTTTCTATGGATATTTACAAGCTTAGTTATGGATCATTTGAATGGAACGGTCAGGATTTATGTGTGTGAGAGAGAAATAGAAAGATTAACTTTTAAATGGATTTATAAAAATGCTATTTTAAATAGCCCAAGTTCCAGATCCTTACATTGGTTGATTTATCAAATATTCGATCGAAACTGGAGAATTTATATATACAGTCTCCAAAAGAAAAAAAAAATACCGCTGTGATGTTTAAAAGAGGAAATATCGATCGAGGGTATAAAATGGAGAACCAGACCAACTTACTTTATATAAATATTGATCATTAAGTTAATTCTCGAGTGGGTAGGTTGCGAGTAACATAGTTGGCTCCAACAAAATCAGAATAATCGATAATTTCTTATATCCTTTTTTTTTTTGATACATATGATGTGTGCCAATAATCTGCCTTTGACCTTGGAGACAAGAAAGAATCTAATCTAATTTAATATGCGTATATACTTGTGTATCAAATTTTAAACAAAATTGCACTTGATACTAATTTGTACTATTGACCTCTTTTTTCTTTTCCTTTGGTTAGAAGCAAAAAAAATCATGCAAAATCTATTGAGGGCGAGATGGGATATTGGAAACTTGGCTCATAAGTTATTTTGTTTTTACTGGATCAAACCAAGATCCACACAAATGAAGGTTGTTTTTTTATTCTTTATATCAAAATAAGAAATATATTTTGGAGAATAAAATTAAATCCAAAAAAAAGAGCAATTTGATCAAAAACTAGGAGATTAGAAGCACAGATGTTTTTTTTTGTGGTAATTTTAAGTAAGTGATCTACGAAAGACAACGTTGTAATGTACTTGATATAGCTTATTTAATTGAACTGTGCATATTTTGCAGTAAAATGTATAGTCATTAAATAGGTTTAATTATTTTACAATTAATTAAATAAATAAATCCATGTATCTATCCAAGATTCAACTCAAAATATAAAGAAAGAAGAAACTACCTTGAAAAGAGTACAATTTTTTTGTACTTAAAGATGATTTGTTATTTAAGCAGAAAAGTCTTTTAGAATCATAAGTTTGCTTGGCCTATTTTATTACTTGACATTGTTCTTGTACAGGAAATGAAAAGCATATAATAAAAATGGATATTGGACAATAACTTACCTACACTTGTTACTTTAATCCAAAGAACTCGGACAAAGCATATCAATATTTGTCTCTACTCATCCCTTGCCCCTTTATTTCTTTATTTTCCTACTAAGGGGTGGTTACAAAGAAAGGGGTGGTTACAAAGAAAGGGGTGGTTGAGGAAGAAGAAGAGGAGGAGGAGGTACAGAAAGAGAAATTGTGTTCTTTTTAGTATCACATTCAATCTTCTGGATAAATGCAAATTAGTAATACCCGTGGTGACCGGATACAAAAGTGTACCAGGGTCACGTGAATAGTCTACAAAAGACATACTGTAGTTGAGGTTTCCAGAAGTAAGGCGTGTGAATATGCGAGTTATTCTAGGGTTGTTACTGTTACTGTTACTGTCACTGTTACTGTTATTTTCTTTCTTTTTTTTCTTTTGGCTTGATTATTGATTATATTCTATTTTTCTTCTTGTTCACTTTTTCTTGACAATGTTTGCAGGCCGATTTATTAAGCCTTTGATGGCCGTAACGCGCGTACCTCTTGCACGTCAGACCATCACTACCATTGCACCACGCGTCAATACATTCTGGATTCAATCGGCCTCTCGTGCATATTCGACATCAAACCTTGAAGGAAATAAGAATGGCTTTATTGTATTTGAAGATATTCAAAAGCTCATAAAGGAGAATGACAAGGTAGATTTATTATAATAATAATTATCCTTTCTTTTTTTTTTCTTTTTTACTCCTAATTTATTATTATTATTATTATTATTATTGCCTATTTCTCTTCTAATAGTCACGACATTTGAGCTTATCTTCTATTATGTGTATTATATCTCTGTATTGTTTCCCTTTGTAGAACTGTCATATCATTGACGTACGTGAACCCTCTGAAGTTATTCAGGGCAGTATTCCTACATCAAATAACGTTCCCTTGGTATGAAATTAAAGCCCAACCAACCAACCAACCAAAAAAAAAAAAAAAAAAAAAAGACAAAGACAAAGCAGGGGATGATCGATCGGGGAAAAAATAAATAGAAAAGGTTGTTTCTGAATATGTTTTTATTTATTTTTAATAGAGTCAATTTGTGGACGCATGGCAGAGTTCTGATGATTCATTTGAAAAGAAGTTTGGGTTCAAGAAGCCTAGTGAAAAGGAAACATTGGTAGTGTATTGTATGGCTGGTATCCGTAGTGCAAGAGCTGCTGATTATTTGAGACAGAGTGGTTTTGAAGAGTAAGTCTGTTTTTTTTTCTGCTTGAGATTTGTTCAAACTTTAATGTTAACAATAATGATTTTCGTGTGTTACAAGTGTCCGTAATTATGCTGGTAGCTGGGCTGATTATGCCGAGAAGTCTCGGGCGTGAGATGTGATACGACTTTGAAGCAGTCTAGATTGATTGCAGCCAACTTCTCTCCTTGATTGACATCCCTGGAGAACTAAAAGAAAAAAAAGAAAAGTTTTTTTAGAAAAATAAATAATTTAGTGTGATCACACACTGACACACACAAACACACACAAATGGGCCTTACACACATACACAACCCCTTCTCTTTCTCTTCTTATTTTCTTTCCTTCTTTCATTTCAGTTCATTTCTCTTGCTTTCTCTCTCTCTCTCTGTGTGTGTGTCTTTATATACATATACATATATTCTTTCCTTTCTCTACTTTGGAGTCTATTGGCAGACCCTTATTTGGAATCATCTATCTTACTTGTCTTTACCGTCATCATCACAACTACTACTACAAACTAATAATAATAATAACAATATCATCATCAATGGGGCTTTGTTTATCGTCCGAAGAAAGAGCTGAACGTAATCACAGCAAATCAATTGATCGGACGATCAAGAAAGACGGTGTGAAACTAAGAATGGAGTGCAAGATCTTGCTTCTAGGTACTTTTCGGCCCCCCCAGCCTCTCCCATATATTATCCTTAAAAAAATTATTATTATAAAATAAGGCTACATTTATTTATTTATTTATTTATTTATTTGTCTATAATTCAACACTCTGTAACTAGGCAGTGGAGAATCAGGCAAATCAACCATCGTTAAACAAATGAAAGTAATTCACCAGAACGGATACACTGAAGACGAGCTTTACACCTGGCGATCAACAGTTTACAAAAACATCATAGAATCTGCTCAGGCAATTGTGGCAGCTATCAACAAGTACGAATACGAATACCAAAACGAGAAGAATAAGGCAAGTCGAGTTGTGCTTTTTTTTTTTATTTATTTTTTATTATTATTATTTGGAGGCTCCTTGCTCATATATACAAAAGAACGAGCCCCTCTCTATTAATGCTATCAGCCTTTTTTATTTTTTTTTATATATATAATGATAATGATGATAATAATAATAATAAGTTCTATTTATTTAATACAGTGTCATGCAGAACGCATTGCAAGCTACTTGTTAGGAAATAACACAAATGTCGTTCTTGATAAAGAAATTGTGATTGCTATCAATTGCATATGGACAGATGAAGCAGTTGCAAAGTTACTGGACCAGGAGTCTAGTGGCTTTTATCTTATGGATTCTGCATCTTAGTAAGTAATCTGTAAAGAATATATACAAAGATACAATACAATGCAATACAATACAATTATTTAACTAACTAATAATACTCATCAACAACAACAAAAAAAAAGTTTCTTTGATGAAATTAAGCGGATAGGAGAATCAGATTATCTTCCAACCACACAAGACGTCTTGCAGGCAAGATCAAAGACTACAGGAATAACAGAAACCCGCTTCTCGGCAGACACCTTTAATATTCAGTAAGGTCACACTGCATAAAATAGAAAAAGGAAGGAAGAGAAAGAAAGACAGACAGAAAGAAAGAAAGAAAGAAAGAAGCCCGATATTCAACCCGTTCCTTATTATTACTATTATTATATTTTATAGCATGTTTGATGTTGGTGGACAACGATCAGAACGTAAAAAATGGATCCATTGTTTCGAGGCAGTAACTACAATCATATTCTGTGTATCGCTGAGCGAATATGACCAGACACTTCTTGAAGAATCTCGACAAGTAAAGTGGCTTTTGATAATTTTTGTATATATGTATATTAACCTCAACCTCAACCTCAACCTTTACTATTATATTATATTATATTATATTATATTATATTATTTTATTTTAGAATCGCATGATGGAAAGTCTGGTGCTATTTGAATCAGTGATTAATAGCCGTTGGTTTATCCATACATCCATTGTTCTCCTTCTAAACAAGGTCGATGTACTAAAGGCTAAACTTCCAAAAGTTCCTCTTGAGCGATACTTCCCTGACTATAAAGGTGGGTTGTATTTGCCTATTATATCTATATTTTTATTTTTATTTTTATTTAACTTGTTTATTTATCTATTAATGCTTATAGGTGGTAAAGATTATCTGAGCGCAGCAAGGTACTTTGACTGGCGGTTTAAACAAACGAACCGGGCCAACTTGAGGATCTATACCCAGTAAGTCAAGTCAAGTCAAGTCAAGCCAAGACAAGTCGAGTCGAGTCGAGTCGAATCGAGTCTTCTCTCCCTCTATTCATTAACATGTTAATATGTATATATCTGTAAAAACTCATGTTGCGATATTTCTCCTCTTTAGTTGTACTCAGGCGACCAGTACATCAAACGTATGTTGAATAAAAAACCCCCCCCCCCCCCCCCCCAAAAAAAATAGAAATCTACAGAGCCTAACACACAAATACACAAATACCTCTTTCTCTCTTTTGACTATAGATCCGCGTTGTATTTCATGCTATCAAAGAGACAACATTAAGAAATTCACTTCGAGAGTCTGGCATGTTGTAACGTATACAGGCAGACACATACACATACACATACATATATACATACACATTATTGCTTTACATCACATTACATACATACATATACATACAGAAAGAAAAATCAAGCTTTTCTCTCATTCTCTCTCTCTACGACAGAAAGCTATGGTCAGCTCGGCCAAGCTGCATGCATATTATGCACCCTTTGTACCAAATTTAACTTTCCACTACATTTCATTGCTCCTATTTCTCGATAATATTGGTGAACAGGCCCTCTCTATACTCCCCCCCAACCCCTTTTGATCTCTCCTTCCTTTCCTCCATATCTATCAATCTATCAATCTATTCTCTCACTCTTTCCATTTACTTCACCCCCCATTTTCCATTTTTCTTTTGTATAAAATAAAAAGCCACAACCAAGCAACAATTAAAATATACATACACATATATATATATATATTTGCAACAGCAAAAGACGGTCTTGTTTTTTTATTACACATCCGAAAAATACATAAAGCTAGTTTAGGAGTGGTCTGTCTGTTTAGGCAGAGGCAGCAGCAACGGCCTTCTTGGGGGCCTGGGAACCTAATATAATTTTTTTTTGTTAATTCACATGTAGTTTGCTTTGATAAACTGTTATTCATCACTTACCCTCACGGAAACCGTTCTTGAAGCGGCGGTGAACCTCCTTCAAGTGACGCATGCGACCGGTACCGGTGGTCTTTCTGCGCTGACCCTTCTCGGACCAGTTGACTAATTGTTATATATATATAAAAATAAAGAGAAAAAAAGTAATATTCAATTTGGTTAAAATAATAATAAAGTAAACATTTGATATACAGATTATGTACACGCAGTTTCTTGTTTAAATGCATTTAATTTAATTAAACCAACAATAATATAATAATACTTACAAGATCTGATCTTAGCAGCGGGGTAGCCGCACTGAGCACAGGTCTTCTTCTGGTTGTGGAAGGAGCGTCTGCCACAACGACGGCAGAGAGTGTGCGACTTGGTGTGACGCTTACCAAACGAAGAGGTACCCTTGGACTATATAAAAAATTTTCTACCGTTAAAATTCTGGTCTTGGATAACGGAAGTTTAGGCTTTGGGTTCCAGATGAATGCGAGTCGTTGAGGATGGTTTGTTGATGTCGTGGATGCATTGTATTGTCTCTTTATTAGGGAAGTTGGTATTCACATTGTTGTTGATGATGATGGTGTAATCGTTTATTCTTCAATGCCGTATTTGGTAAACAAAATGCTTTGTATTTTTTTCTCGTTTTGTTCAGCATTCGTAAGGATTTATATAAATATAAAACCACTAATCCGCGAAATAACTTTGGATTGTAACTCCATATTCAAATCACGCAAGAGTATATATATACACATGCATGCATGTAATTTCTTTTGTTTCTACAGGTTGTAACAAAGAGATCTCAAGCTCCAAAAAAAAAAGATAGTTGAACTTTGCTCTTCTTTTTTTTCCATTTCTTTCTTTATTGTTGTGGCTGTGGGTTGTGGTTTGTTTTCGGTCGATTTTTTTTGTTGAAAAAAAAAGAATATCCATCTGTTCATCCATTCATCCATTTACTCTGATCATTCATCTGGTACTGTCGTATTGCCCTGGTGGTATTAGGAAGAAGGGGAGGGGTAGTTCACACATACCATTCTGGTTGATGAAGATGGACCACGTAGAAGGAGGGATGTCGGATGAATGCAAGGCCCCGCCGTATAAGCTTGGCCGCCCGCAACGTGCGGTGGCTGAACACTTGGCCAATCATTATTGCGTGTCGATTGACGTCAAGCGAAAAAAATCAATTGCTCTCCAACTGACTGGTTTATCCAAAAAAAAAAATATACACACACCCACACAGAGAGAGTAAAAAAAAAAAAAAGAAAAAAAAAAGACCCAGTCCATCCTCTCCCCCCTCTCCTCCACTTCACCTCACCCTTCTCACCCTCCCTTTTTATATGTATATAGTTTTCCTTTCAACTATTTTCTATACTCACCCCAAACACCCTCTTTAGTTTTAGTAGTCTTTTTATATCAGATTATTAGGTGGTGTATATTATGCCCTGCAAAATATATAGTGTATAAAACCATATTTATATATATTTCCTTTGAGAGAGAGAAAAGTATTGCAATTAAAGAAGTATAAATTATAAATCTAGACTTGATTTGGGTGGTAAAAATGTGCTCTTTATTCTTTTTTTTTCTGAGAGTATTTGTAAAGCAGAAGCAAAAGTTGAAAAGAACAAGAAAAGACAGTGTCTTGATTATATCGCTGTTGTAAGATGTAATGTACACTTGGTTACATACTTCAGATTGTTGCATGCAGATATACGTAGATACATGTATGCACGCCTAGAATTGATGAATATATATTTCTGTATTCTATTGATTTTAGACAGGTGTCTTTATTAGAAAGGAGGAGGAGGAGGAGGAGTAGGAGTTGAGACCCTTCATGAATAATAGGCTTCCAGAATAATATATCGTTTAGGTGAGGTTAGTTGCGCCATACATTTGCCCCTCCTCCCCTTTTACTCACTCACTTACTCACTCACTCACTCAATCTTGATGAAAAGGTTTCTTGTTGAAAAAATCTTTGATGGTTTTAACCACTCTGTCAAGAATAATCATAATAATCATAAAACACTTTAGTTAGCCCCTTCTACCTTTCTCCTTTTTCTATATTTCTTCTCCTTTGGTGCGTGTGTATGATTATGAGATTTCATAATATAAGTTTCTTTGATAGTTTCGTGCTTAAATGTACCCAAAATAGTTAACATTTTTTTTATTATTTATTTTTTACTTTCTTATCTTTATTATCAAATGTAGACTGTCATTTAAGCAAATATACCTTTTATATATCTCCTTGATCATTAACCTTTATACTTTCTCTTGGCATCCTACAAGCACAACAAATTGAGATTTCTTGTTGTTGTTTTGGAATAAGATATTAGTGAAAAAGCTTGGTATCATTGCTGAAATTATAAGATAATAATAATAAAAAAAAAAGTCAAAAAGGCCATGTATAAAACATCATTTGAGATAACAATTCTTTGTCAAATTCATGGATCTAATCCTAATTCCACCTACTAATATTATCTACCATGAGGCTTACTTATCCAGTCTTTGCACATACACACACATAGTTGCCATTTTTTTTCTCGTCTCTCCTTTCGTGTATGTGTGTGCATATATATTCATGCTTTATGGTCGCTATGTCCATATAAACCCAAGTGACACGGTCCAAATTACTTTATGGCGGGATGGTCTGACCGTACCAATTTGAATGTTCTTTAAAGAAAAAATAAAAATAAAAAATAAAGGGGAAATCAGGGTGACGAATTATCATCCAATATTAAGCAAAAACTCTTATTGTTCTTATGCATACATCTTTCTTGATTGATCGTGTACAACCCACTTGACTTTGATGATCGATGAATTAAAAGAGATATATATATATATATAATAAAAAGGAGAAAACAAAACTAAAAGAATCTCCCTTAATTATCACTTTTTATTATCATTGCTATGTACTTTGAAAGAAGGGATATGTTGTGAGTCTGTATTGAATATCATGGCTGATTTTTTTTTTAAGAAATAAATATGAATTGAAATGGTTTTAACAATTTGAAGCACAAAACAAGAATATTCTTTCTATAAATTAAGGTTTGTAGATCTTGGACAACTACAGAACAAAAGAATGCCATTGATCTTAAAGGTCAATATTAACATTAACAGTAAACTCAAAGCTCAATTTTAGTGGTATTATTGCCAAGATAGTAAACCCAAATACTTGTCATTACTGTTAGCATTAAATAACTTGCCCTATATTCCTTTTACCATGAGCTTTGTTCTCTCTTGTGTCATTAGTTGGTCAATACAAATGTGCTAATTGAACGGAAACACAAAAGGGTATTGTGAACAGAGCAAGCCGTCTTGACAGAAGCAGGATAATTTGTGATCTATTCAGATTGATCGAATATGGTGGTAAAGTTGTGAGTGTTGTCAGATGACGTTCTGTTCTTACACCCTAATAAAATAAAACAGTGTCACTTTCCCATAAATACACCTCTTCTATCTTTTGTTCTTATCACACTATTTAAAAGAGCCAAAATCATATTGAACATAAAATCATGTTTTGGATTCCAAGAGGATGGTGCTAGCTGTCATACTGGGACCCTTACACAACATGGTTGGAAACCCCTAAAGAAATCAAATGCTTTGACTAGTGGCTATCCCAAAATTCAAGAGACAAAAAGTTTAAATGGACAACTTTCAAGATATCAAGGCTCGTTGTGATCACACCTTGTAGTAATATTTCTTTTTTTTTTCTCTTTATTCTACAATATATATGTAAAAACATAAAAATTCATCCTATTCAACCGTGTTCTTTTCCCCCCTAGAATATGAAGTATAATAGAAACTGATGTGTAGTCTATTCGACACTAGAAATCAAAACGTCTGGCAATGATTTCTCTATGAGTGTATTGGCATGCCTTCCCTTCGCTGCCATATCAGACATGCCTGAACAAGGCACACAGTATCAGCAAAAAAGTTACCTACCAAAGCTGATAACATTTTGTAATGCATAATCTCTTCAGAATGAGTATTGTCAATTCACACCAAAAACTCCTTTCAGAATAATGAAAATAACATTGTCATCATGCCCTCACATGTTCGGCGTAATTGTCATTCACCTAGCAGCGTCATCTTTGATGTCACTAACTATAAGGCGATTACCCAAGAAGGGTTCATTGCACTAGTCCACGACCAATACCCATCTCGCTGCTGTATGTTTTTTTTTAACAAAAAAGACCCTCGTCACCTTCTAAAGATTAACTTTTTCGCTTAAGGATGATATGAGCATGTACGAGACCAGTGCCTTCGGAATCAATCCAAGAATTCGTGTCCTCGCAAAGAATACCACAATACCGACAGTTCCGTTCCAGAGATCGAGATGCCTGAGGCTCCCTCACACCCTGGCTACGACGCACCTAGTAACACAACTTGATTCTAAGAGTGCTCGTGTTGCCGCACAAGAGGTTGTGGTCAACGAACTCGCTGCGCAAGAAGCCGTGGCTAGAAAAAATGTTGCCCAAAATACTCAAAGAGCGAATGTCCGCCTAAAATAAAGCCACTGCACTCGTGGCCAACTATGCTGCTGGAATTTCCGCCAAACAGCTTGAAATATCCATCTTGGACGCTACCCTAGCACGCTTAGCATAGGCTGCGGCTCTAGCCACACAAAACAAAACGGAGGCTATCCTCGCTGCCCTTGCTGCACAAAACTCTTCTCCTGTTGACTTCACCGGTAATACAGCTCTCAATTCTGGTAAGCTTTTGATCTCCTCCTCCTCCCTGTTCCCACCAAGTATGCGCAAACTCTCAAAAACCTTCTACTTCCCCGTAAAAAGATAATGATATCCGGTGTCGCAATACAATGCTTTCATTGTTTCTCTTCTTTAGCATTATGACAGCGGAGATCTTTCTCGTACACTTTTGCCCTTATTGTCAGAACAATAAAAGCACATCGAATACGTTGAGAAAGCATTTAGAGAGCATTCACACTCTAAAGTGCAAATTCAAAAATGAACGTCGTAAATCAACAAAAGAAATTACTTTTGTGACAAATCATACAAACAAGTCTCGAACTTGTCTTGGTTGCTGCTACTGTAAGATGTATTTTGACGATGTAGCAGAATCCCAAAAGCATATCGAAAACGGCCATGTTATAATGACAACAGTAAGACATTTGAATGAAACGATCAATGCTTTGCCTGTCTTCACATCTTGACAACCAAACCTTCCGTTCTCGAAAATATAAGGTCGTGAATGTAAATGCAACCAGTACGCCCGATGTCAATAATACAAAAGTACGAGAGGAATAGATTAAAGAATTGTAAGCAAGAATCGAACCGATAAATATAGCTTCGACAATTACTTTCTTTGAGAGAAAAGAAGAAGAGATTATAAAATATTATTTTTTAATGAGAGTGAATAAAAGAGAAACTGATATTAAATTTATAAAAAATAAATAAATCATAGAAGAAATAGAAATGCAGTATATGGCTGTTTATGGTACTGTGTGTGAAGTAATATTTAATAGATTGACACAATCAAGAACTATTCAAGGGTGTCACTGACACTTAAAACAAAGGAATAGACCGAAAAGAAAGTAAAGGAAGTTTTGAAGATGAAGATTAAGTATCTTTTCGATGTGTATAAAAGAAGAATAATAAATGGAATCAAGTATCCAATTAAAATTTAAAGAATGTTCAGAAATAGAGGCTCCAAGTCAGTGTATGGGAATTAGAAGGATGATAGGTACATGATGAAAGAGAGGAAGAACTCGTATTAATTGGATACAATATTGTCACGTTTTCGGATGAGATCCCAGCAGAATGAAGGGGGATATTATATTATGGAAATAACAAACTGTACAAAGAGAGAGAGAGAGAGAGCGTGCATTTTCTATATATTTAGACTTGTGCAATTTAAGAAATATTAACATCGAGCTTCACATATCAGTTGTATTCCACATCAACTAATATTGATCTCTACCTAAATTCTGTATTTATAAGGTCATATTGGTGTTAGTAATAAATCAAGTCACCAAAAATATTCTTTAGTCGTTCTGGAGTTGGCTATATTATTATACACAGTCAATTTTTTTGTATTTGATTTGAATGACTTCTATCAATTCTTAAAAAATCATTTACTGAGAAACAGATCTTTTCTTCATCAAAACGTTTTATTGCTTATTTTCATAGAAAGTTTACTTAATTTCCAACTGGAAAGCTCTTTATTCAAGCAAGTAATAAAATTTAACCATTAAGGTATTGGATTAGATAAACATAATTAAGCAGAATAATGGTTGGGTTTATTAAAATAGTGTATTTGGTTTAGGAATTAATTATAGATGTATATTGTATTTTACACGACAGTTCTTACAACACTTGTAGCCATAGGCTTCAAATATCGCCGTTTAAAGAATTTGTAAGCTTCACCAAAAAGTATATAGACGAGAACTATGCCAACGTTAAGACCCCACTCCCAAGTAATTTCTTTCATCCGGAACCCTTCGATAGCAACCACCGGAATATTTAAGAAAATAAGAAGGCATACTATATCGAATATCAAAGTACCAGTAAAGGTCTTGGATCCAAATGTCTTTTTCAAACCAGCCCAGTTCCACTCAGATTCGCGGTAACTGCGGCAATGGACCATGATCAAAAGTGAGAAGAAGATGGTTGCAACTAATAGCGATGCACGAGCACGATAAAGAGAATCGCATGCCCCTTCCACATAGTGTGAATCACAGTTGACTCCTTCAATTCCATTCCCAATAGTATATAGAGGCACAAAGAATGCGACCGAAAAAGAGGCAGTAGACGACAAACCATAAACTAATGTGTCCATGATAATTTCTCGGTTAAACAAATTCTCTTTGGATGGTCGTGGAGGCTCAAGCATAATGTTTTTAGAAGCAGACTGGATACTAAGAGTACTTGCTGGAGGCGTAATTGCAACAAACAAGAAAATCATAGCAATTGTAGATAGCGGAGAAGCTTTGTGGCCTTCTGGATCATGTATTGCGAGACAAATCAGAACCAAAATAGCGAGAGAAGACAGTGTAATCCAGTAATAGAGTAAGAATCGTTGCATATTTTGATAAATGCGTCTTCCCTCACAGATTGCGCGAATAATTGTAGCAAAATTATCATCGGTCAAGATAATGTCAGATGCCTGCTTGGCTACATCACTGCCGTTTTTTCCCATAGAGATTCCAACATCGGCAATTCGGAGCGAAGGAGAGTCGTTCACGCCATCGCCCGTCATAGCAGAAACATTATGTCTCCGTGCAGAAGCTTCAATCATCTTGACCTTGGTCTCAGGCGAGCAGCGGGCTACCACCAATGGAAGTTCTTCAAGAGCATCAATTTGGTCATTTGTTAGGGCATCGAATTGGGTACCTGTCATAACAAGTCGACGGATTGTCTCAGCAGACATTGTGTTCTCGTTCAATATGTTAATCTCTTTAGCAATTGCTGTAGCAGTAATCTCATGATCACCAGTGAGCATGTGAACCTTGATACCAGCTTGATGGGCTTCTAAGACGGCTTGCCGTGACTCGGGACGTGGGGGATCATAAATGCCAGTAAGACCAAGGAAATCAAGATCGGACTCAACGTCTTCTCTTGCATATGACTCGTAATCATATTTGCCGGCAGGGAATTTGCGGTAAGCCAGAGACATGACACGAAGACCCTTAGCGGCCAGGATATCGACAGTCTGAAAAATCCGATCCTTTTCGGAATCCGTGAGATAAGCACAGAGAGGCAGTATTCTTTCTGTGGCGCCTTTGGTGAATACCACAAACTCGCCAGTCTGCTTATCATGATAAAGAGTAGACATGCGTTTGATAATAGAATCAAACTGATATTCAGACACCAATTCCCAGCCGGATTCTTCAAGCACAGGCTTTCCCATGTTGAATTTGTGAGCAAAAACTTGGAGAGCCACATCAGTTGGAGCACCATTTGAAACCCAGTCGTCTTCTTTCTCGGAATCATCGTCTAAAATCTGTGAAGACTTGTCGCTCATATTAACTTTGCGACGATATATACTTGACATATTGCAGAGTGCTGAACATTGAACCAGGCTTCTTATATCAGGAGAAATCTGTGTCTTGTCGATTAATACATCTTGGTCGATCTTTTCTTCGCCTTCTCTTGTCTGCACACTTGAAGTGCTGTAAACTTCGCCGTCAGGAGAAAGCCCATTAGGGGTTATGTAGAAATAACCTTCTTTTGGTGTCCAAAAACGAATTACAACCATTTTGGCCATAGTAAGGGTACCAGTTTTGTCCGAAAAAATATTGGTGACTGATCCAAGTGTCTCGAGTACCTTTAGCTTTCTTACAACTGCTTTCTGGCTAGTCATTTCTCTACCACCCATAACCAAAGTTACGGCCATGACGGTTGTCAAGCCGGCTGGAACTACAGACATAGCGGCTGTCATAGCGTACATGACAACTTCGTAAGTGACCTTGAATCTGGAGGAAGCAAAGACGATGATAATAAATAGGACAGAGAGAACAAGTAGGACGATGTACATCTTATTCATGCTTCTTTGGAGCTGAGTTTTATCGTCATCTTTAGACTCATTGAGCTTTGTAGCAATTCTTCCAATTTCTGTGTTCATTCCAGTTGCAGTGACAACGGCTCTACCCCGTCCTTTAGAAACAACTGTGGAGCTGTAAACCATATTGATACGATCGCCCAAGGGTTCATCTGTTTAGATATAAATAAAGAAATAATAATGATAAGTATTGAAGCTGTTGTTTGTGGATCAAGCGTAAAGAATACGATATTGACTGGATCTGCGTTTTTGTTTGTATGCAACTTACCAGGACTGGATAAGACAATAAGCTCTTTTTGAACGGGCATAGATTCACCAGTTAGGAGCGCTTCGTCAACCTCAAGGTTTGAAATGTTGACCAATCTTGCATCAGCACCGACAGAATCGCCTTCTTTGATCAACAATATATCACCAGGAACAATATCTCTGCTGGGTACATTTTGCTCTCTTTTGTCACGAATCACATTAGCCTGGGGTGAAGAAAGATTTCGGAGGGCGGAAAGAGTTTGTTCGGCTGCGTATTCTTGAGAGAACGTCAGGTAGAGGTTCACAAAAGCAAGTGCGATCAATAGTGAGCCGGTGACATAATCTTCGAGGACAAAGAATGCAACGCCTAGTCCAGCAAATATCCAGTTCATAACATCTATAAACTGTCGCAAGAGGACCTTGATCCACTGAGGACCTTCGTTGGATGACAATTCATTGTGACCATATTGATTAAGGCGCTTATTCGCCTCGGTTGTGGATAGACCGTCTGACGGAGATGTTCCCTGGAGATCAAAGGTATCCTCGACTGACAGGGTATGCCAATTATTGTAATTTTCTGGCTTGCTTGACATTAGAGCATGCGAGAAGAAATAAAATAAGAGATTTAGGAAGAGAAGATTGCTTGGTTTGATATATATATATTAAAATTTCTGATCTATCTTATATACTTTTTTGGAAAGCCGGAATTTAAACATATATAAATTTAACTCTCAGTAGCTATGTAAATATAGCCAAACATAGAAAGAGATTGTTGGATAATTACCTAAAATAAAGAAATGTAACGGTCGTTTAAAAAAGCGATCTGCGAAAATAAAAGGTAGGAAATATAGGGGAAGGGGGGGAAGGTTAAACTGTTGAAAATAGCTGGTTATACAGTTATATTTCTATTAAGTTTTGCCTTTACTTGTTTGTTTTAAAAAAATTATTATCTATATGTATATTTTCTACTAGCAGATTTTCGTGCATAAAAATACGCTTAAAAATAACGTTTATTCTTTTATAGCCACCTTTCTAGAGCAGAAACCTGGACATAAATGAAAGAGTAGGCTATGATGCAATAAAATAATGCTGTCCTAACAAAATTGTTTACTATAAAGCTAACTTAAATTCAATATTTCTGCAATTCAGTACTGTAATGAGACTGTGATATAATGAAATTTCAGTCTTAATAATATAGAAAAAAATACAAAATACATATTTATTTACTTTAGTATATTAGATCTGGAAGATATAATCATTTGACTATGACATGCTTGGAGCTATTATTTTAGTAACGAATCGAAAAAAAAGTATAAGGTTCCTATTGCATGTACCTGAATATCAGAACTCTAGCCTCTAGATATTTCCTTTTTCTTCTTCTTTATCATTAAGGGCCTGCAAATCAATGTTTAGACATGCTTCTATGAACTGCGTGGCCTTTCAATTAAATCCCCTAAAACTAGTAAACACATAAACACGAACAATATGATATTTTATAGCTAAGAAGATTCAATAAAACGGTACCATATCCTCGCAATTACTCTGATCCAATATGACACATTTTTTTCTCCAGACTTTCTGTCTCTCTTTATTCCCTTTTCTCTTTCCAAATTACCGTACTATTTGAATTTGAATAAAATATATCCTTTTTGATGTCTTTCTACCCATTTGTACACCAGCACTGAGATTTAATTTAATAATCCAGATCAAATCCTAAATCCAATAAAATGCATCAGTTTACTTCAAATGTCTACAAATGGGTATTTGGGTATTTGGATGTGGTTGATAATTTTGATACACTGGATCTGTAAAAAAAAAACTACAAATTATATTATCTTGATTTCGATGATCCATAAGCCGTCCAATACCATTGCTGACAAATATCTCGGTAAAAATTAGTACAACTACCGGTAGTAGCTGATAAGACATTGATGAATGGACGGCTTTTGCTTTTCTTAAAGAGTCCCAGCGTTCAACTATTCAAAAGCACCCAAGTTCCGAAAGAGTTTTCTATGAACCTATTCAGTGGAGCCTAGATTATATATAACGTGTCCATAAAAAATTAAACTTGATAATATTGATCTCCAAAACCACATGACTAAGACTGTTAGGCACACATCACAAAGGTAATACTTTTATATAAAGAGACACCCGAAACTTATTTTTGCTATTAACTAATAGCGTACGTTTATTATATAAGCTACTTGCAATATTTGATACTTTTTTTTTCTCATTTATTAAATTATAGATTAAATATAGTTTATAGAGTCACTATTACTAGATTTATACTGGCATAACTTGCTCAAAAACTTTTAAAAACTTGATCCCCTTGCAATAGTTATAGACTAAAGACATATAATTCAAAGCAATATATCAATCCAATATACATGGTGATATAATACTCTTTCTGTTTCAATTGGACTTAAATTTATATCAATATATGCCTATCTATTATATTCACCTGTCTAAACTATAAGGGTGTAACAGTGTATGTTATTGACATTTGAATTCTGTAAAAGAGTATTAAAATTAATATTAACATTTCAAACGAAGCCTTGAGTTCCCAAAATCAACCCAATTAGTACCAACGATTACTTGTAGCTTTCTTTTAAAAAAAACTACTACAATGAAAGTATGCAAAATAAAAATAAAAAGATATTATACTACATAACTTCAACCATTGACTATTTGTACTTCTCGATCCCGAAAAAAACTGATTGATTTGTAATTTCACGGAATTAAATCATCACATCAAAGATCAGCGTCAATTGATTTATAGCTTATCCAATACCACAGTATCCGGAGACCCAGGAATAAATATATTTTACTTGACTTGTTTGATTTTGGCTTTAAATCTTTTCTTTGATATACTATTTATGATGCGTGCTTTATGGATATGATATACCGACCTTTCTAGGGTTTAATGTACTACCTCATACTCTGGTCATAACTCTGGAATATATATACATAATCTTGACCGATCTTACTACCACAGACTAAAAAAAAAGGTAAGTTAAAGTGTCCAATGTAGGAATAAACTTTTACAGGACAGCATACTTTTGTCTTTTTGGTGCTCTGCTGTAGTCTTGACATGATATAGTCTCCCAATATAATATTCTTGGATGCGATCATCAAAATGATGAATGACTAAATTCTTTTAGAAATCAAAATCTACTTTTATCCCTTCTTTTTGAAGAGAATAAGACATTTTCTACGCTCTATTTACAAAATTATTTATTAATACTTGTATGATCCACCGTTATTATTTATTTTACATAGACTAATTTGTACCACTTTTTGGGATCGCTACTATTATTACAACTCTCTATGAAAAGATATAATAAATCGATATTTAGGGTCTTGTATTTAGCTTGAGCTGTTTGAATTGAGCCATATTATTGTATCAGATAAATCTGGTGGTCAGATTCCCTTTTTACCTTAAATTGCAACAGGACGTTTTGTAGCTTCCCTGGATCCATCCTGTTTTGAACGAAAATTTTATTCGCAGAGTTCAAGTAAGATTCTGGATACAATTACAGTGTTTATGTTATTTATTATTTATTCGCAATTACTGTTCTCTGGATTTCACTTCTCTTGGTCAATTCTTTGAGATAATTTGGCCATATATCTCGCCCTCAGGATTCCTATTTTTTTTCCTGTCACTTCCTAACTTGCTCTCACAGGGATACTATTTTGAATGTTTGTAGATAAAATGTATGAATCTTCCAAAATTCTGCTTATACTAAAGATATATAGTGTATCGGTCTCGAATACAATTAAAGAAGTATCCATTTATTATAAAGCGAAGAAATTGATCATCATAAAGCTAATATTAGTTATTTGTTTTTGACTCACCAACTGCGTAGGTCCGATTAGGTTTTGTGTTCTTGGAATGGCTATAAGTAATGTCGCCTTTTAGTACAACAGCTGTTTGGATCGAAAAACCCGATATTTCAATTGATACACACTATATCATTCAGTCAATTCGTGCAAGCGCATCAACAACAGCCAATAATGAATGCAAAGAATAAGTCAATTGTAAGCTTTTTTCGTTTCTTTACCCTTTTCTAATTTTATACGCACCCTTACCAAATATTTCTTAGCCGACTAGCAATATTTTGGTATAAAATTAATAGCACCTTACTGTCAGTTTTCTTGAAAATTGCTTCATAATCTAGTTGTATTTCTATAATAAACAAAGAGCCGTGCGTCAATTTCATATTACAGCTATCTATTCAAATTCGCGTACTAGAACTGTCTTCCGGAACTTCTAGATATTTGCCTATTGTACCACTTATAGCTTGAATAAATTGGCGCACAGGGGATAATGTCTTTACCAAATTTTGAAGTTGTTTTATAATCATTAAATATGACAGCGCTTATAATAATATAAACCTATATTTTTCTTTATAAAAATAAAATCCAAGGTCAATAAGTATCTTGTGTTTTCAGAATCATTGATAAGTACATATATAGTGGTTTGTTTCGACAGAATAATATCGCTTTAAAACTTAATACAAGATATATTTATTATATATAGTAGTCAAAGGAGACCCTTTTTTTTGAAACCTCAATTCGATAGACTTATGATTAATATGTAATGTATAATATAGTATGAAAATGTCCCTACTTTATTTTAAGTTTGGAATACAAAACATATAACCTGCAGTCATTCAGAATACAAAAGATCGAGTGATATCGAGTGATACTTGATCTGTTTTGGCAAATAAGAAAAAAATATGTATTCTAATTTGATAATAAGTGTGCCGTTAATATAATGTAGTTAGTATGGCTGTTTGAGACAATGCCTAAATTAATATAATATAAAATATGTTATTAAAATGTCGCAAACCTTTATAAAAAATGTTGTCTTGGAACAAACATAGTCTTCTATAAAAACAGGAACGATTATAATAAGCTGGTTTAAAGAAAGCATTGTATCAAAGTGTACATTATACTAATGGTCTAGTAATAATATTCTGTTCATTTTTTTTAAAAAAAAAAGAAAAGGTCGACATTATGAATATTAACACTGCTATTTTAACTGCAATGGTTCCTTTATAAATAAAGATCCACTATAAAAACACAGCAAAAACGCATGAACTTAGTTGAGGGTAGACTTATACCTATATATATCTTTAGCTGATACCCTTAAAAAATGTGTAGACTAGGCAGATACTTGTATAAAAGATTTGTATTAAACAAAGTCTCGGCAGCACCTGCTTTGTGGAGAAAAGTTTCATCTATACCAACTGTTGGATTTTGCAGCTTCGACTACGAGGTAAATTTATTAACATTAAACATATACTTTCTAGCTAAATCTTAAAAGAATAAATAAAACAAAAAAAAGAAATACACATGTTGGAGACGTAGCACCGAAGAAAATGGCGTAGTATTTTGCTTGTGCGATGTTGACGTTACTCTTGAAGAGCTAGCTGATGCTGTACGAGAGTTTTTTTCGGATGAGGGCTATCGTGGACTGAAAGATCTCAGTAAATGCAAGACAGCAGTATTAACAAAGCAAGATACATTGACATACGAGTTTGTCCTGTTTAGAAGTAAAGATTGCCAAGATTTGCGTGTAAAGGGAGTTGTCGTTGGAGAGTATAATATACAGCCAATGCCTATTCTCCCAGCAAACTACAATATAACCGTGGTTGAGGTTTCAAACGTTCCAATTATAGAAGAGGCTGTACTCTATGAGACACTAGCAATGTCTTTTCTTCCGTACGGACGCCTGTTGGATATAGATTTGAAGGTTAGACCGGACACAAAGACATTCCAAGGAGATGCAATTGTCACCATGGACTCTACTCCTGACAGCGATGGACCTTTTAAGAGTCTTCCTAAGTCTATTACCTGGCACACTGACAAAACCCGGAAACTAAAGCTGAAGCCGACTGTCATACCATAAACTTGTAATCTGGGCAGCAAAGTAGTTTAAGGATATACTTTGGAGAATTTTTGTACACTCTATTCAATGGCTTATTATTTGTAAGCTTGGCTTGGAGCATACACACATAGATATGTATATCCACTGGTATGCATGTACATTTAGATTTCCAGCAATAAAGAAATTAGTAAAGATAGATGTGTCAATTATAAATTGGTTTAATTGTACTTTTTTCTTTGTTAATATATAATCTATACGTTAATTATGCATTAACAAGTAAGCCTATATATAAACTCTGAATAAAACACATCTTGAAGCTCTTGAACATTGTTCATAAAAAATAGAGCGTTGTCTCCTAATAAAAGTACTTGCTTTAAGTCATATGTAATAAAAAAAAAAGGGCTATTCTGTGCTAGAGACGCCTTTATTAGTAGATGATTAACTTTACTATAAAAAAAAACTTTTAAATCTAAACTGATTTATCCACAATTTTTTATTTATGTAGGTATGTATACTTTCTGTCCTTTACTGGCCAGTTTAAGTGTTTAAGCAGCCCATTGTTTACATTGGATTGTTTCTAACAGACAAACTGTTAATTGATGGGAACATTGATGAAAGAAAAAGACTTGAATTATTAAAATCGACAGACTGTTCAAGTATTTAACTAAATCAGTCTACTATGGCTTTTAGTATTTAAAAATATTAATTCACATACACCCCACGAACAGAGAAATTCACTCTATCATAACCATGAAATCCTGGCCCATTTATAAGAAAAAGTCTAATGGTGTTGATAACTCTATCCGCGAAGAAGACTACGAGGTACTGTAGCTATAATACGTTTTGTGTAAAGCTTGGTCTAATAAATGGTTAAAGCGGATCCCCTGCTGGAAGCGCAGTACAAAGGAAAATAGTATTATATTCTGCCTTTGCTCTCCAAGAGTAAGCGATCGCCTTCTGTTAGATGCTATTAAGACCAAATTCCCAAATGAAAAAGTTATCAGTTCCAAGAAATTATCAAAATCATGCGCTCTTGACCACACATACTGCCCTTACAATGCCCATGAATATATTCTATCTTCAAAGGAGATATGTAAAGAACTATACACTAACGGGTTAGTTATTGATAACAAGACCATATATCCTATACCAAGTCTTCCATCCAAATCAGAAATTTATGTTGGTAGATTACTATGTGTACCCATCACGGATGAAGATTCGCCAGTGAAACAACTGGAGAAATTTCTAAAGAAATACGGAAATCCCTTACACATCCAACTAAAAAAAATATCAGATTTGGACGATATTAGTTGGAATGCTTTCGTAGTTTTGGACAGGACCGTTCCAACTATAAATAAAGCCCTCAGACTCAAATCTTTGCTTCCTTTTAATTTAGAAGAATATACCTTTGTTTTATGTGATTGGATAAAGATAGCGTAGATCATGATTTTTATTTTATTACTATTTCTAAATATGATTATTAGTCTCTGCTAAATACCAAGGAAATAATGAAATAAATAAAAGGTCAAATTTTATCAATCTCCACTATGTACTCGCTGTACTCAGCTGGCTGGATATGTTTAATGGTTAAAATTTTTTTAAAAAAAGAATATATAATTAATATGATATAGAAACCATAGATTCTTATCAATTGCTAAGTAAATAAGCTCAATGTTACATGAAACGCCAAAAATGTGTTTTCTAAGCATGACCGGGTATCTCAAAAAAGTAGGTAGTAGCGTGAAATGAACTTGAGCTGATTGAATCTTTATTCAATACCTGCTGTAGTAAAGCCAAAAGTCTATTCAAGGGCAAATTATATTTGGTGTGTGAGTGAATTACCAATGTAAATATAAGTTATACTTTATGTACAAGTTGTAGGCTTTCAATACAGTTTATAAAACAGGTGATTAAAAGGCTTAGATCAATTATTCAAATCATCTGCTCTCCATGTACACATTCTTTTATACTATTTATACCAATCATATTATGTATGTAGATATAAAATACATTTAACTTGGGTATGTAACCCGTTTTTTTATGAATAGAGTAGAAAAGTATAGATGTAATAAAAGGATAGACGGAGTAAAAAAAAATATGGGTCAAGTTTTGTAATAAGATGATAAAATAAATCACACCTTTTTAGAAGATAAGGGAAGTAGAAGATAGGGATATATACACACTCTTGTGAACAGCTCGCAAGAGTAAATATTGAACAAGTGGAAAGAGTGAAAGAAGAAAAGTATGACTAGATATGGCCATCTTACTTTAGGAGGACATTATGTTTTGGTTCTTTTGTGCTGTATGAAGATTCCGTCTCGTCACTTCATACTCACTCTCTCTTTCAGCACACTCCATTTTCAACATAATCAATGTCGACTCAACTTCGGACAGTTGTTCTTCCAGGGTTGAGTTGGCTTTTACCAAATTATCCTTGTCCTCTTGTAGACTCTGAATATGAGCCTCATAATTGTATGAGACCTCTTTTAACTTGGCTTCAGAATCAGCCTTGAGCTGTGCCATACTACGTCTGACTTCTTGATTTTGATTATCCATGCCGGCCATGGCCATCTTTGTCTCAATTGCCTGTTTAGTCACCTCTTGGTACTCGGTCTCAAGTGTCTTGTAAGCCTTTTCAAGGCGTCGCACATGCTCTGATAGCTCAGCATTTACTTTTCTCAAATGATCCTCTTGGGATTGAATTCTTGCTTCGCGTGCAGCTTCCACCACATATTGTTTGGCCAGTCGAGCAAGTAGGCGTGGAGGGATATCAATTTCACAAGCATCCTCTACAAATTGTTGTCGACCATCCTATATCAAGAAATAAATAAAGAAGTATACATCAAAAAAAAAGAAAACAAAGAAATGTTATTTTACTTACTCCATAAACATTGAATATCCCATTGACAAGAAACTCGACTAGGGGTTCAAAAGAAAGAGAGAGGATGGTGCCTTGGTTGCGATCGATCAAAGCAAGTGCAAACTGTAACACAACCTGAGTGCCCTCAGCAATAACCAAATCCATTACAGTGATGACCAATGTAAGGGGACATCGGTAGGCAAACAAAGTGAGAAGCCATTGAGACGCATACATACTCGGATTGACCCCTTGAAGTTCCATGTGGCGGTGAACTTCAGGATACTTTTGCTGTAATAAATTGTCAAATTGATACATGTGTTCATGTAAACTCTCCATTTGTGGTGTGAAATGGCCACGGAGTCCATATTGGCCCATTAATTTCACTAGTACACAGAATGCAGCATCATCCGACATCTGCAAAAGGTTTAATATTAATATCTGTTTCTTTTTCTTCTACTTCTTTTTTTCTGCGTAGATTAACAATAAAATTATTGACTTGCATAAAGCAGGAGGCACCCGACTATAAATGCCAGTCCTTGGCAGTAACCAACTTGCTGATCAAACAGGCTATAGGCTTTGATGACATTAAATAGCATTTGTTGGCCTTCTCCGTCTCTATCCTTAAAAAAGGCATGCGTAGGGAAAGTTCGGGCAAGATCACGCTTAATCATTTTCTCGTGAGGGCTGGTGCGGTTCAGCAATTCTCTGTATTCGTTCTCTAGATCTCCGTTGTTGTTTTGTGATTTAGAAAAGAGTTGCCAGAGATTTCCGCGCATAGAAGAAGGCACTCCACGCCCAATATTTTGTCTGAGAAGACGGAGTTCTGTACGGACCACTTTGTCAGGGTCAGCAATTACTCGTCTCCATAGATCTATATGGTTGATTATTGTTCCCCTTTTTTATTAGTCTCAAATTCTTGGTATAGTTTTTTTTTGTTTATCATTAAAAGTATATATATATATATATTTGTCTTTGTAATTGTGCTTACCCCAATCGTAAACCCCGGGTGGAGATGTTTCTTGAGCAAGCTCAAGTGCACCATATGTATCTTCTTTGAGTGCCATTTGTTTCAATGAATCATGCTGTTGAGTTTCTTGCGAAGTTCTACCGAATTTTGACAAGAGCATTTCATAGTAGCTATTGACAGGAGGAGGAACTGAGTGCACGTGCTGGAAATTCATGGACATAGTCTGCTGTGCAGGGCTCTTGCAGATTTCTGACATGCGTTTGCTCTGTCGTTCTCGGAAAGCCCGTGAAGGACGTTCGATGGATGACTGGCGAATACTGGTCATAGAAGATCGGGTAGAAGTTGCAGGAGAAGCAGGACGACGGAAAGGATTGAAAGCTGTGAAAGACATGGTGCTAGCATTACTGCTGGTACGTATATGACGTTGATTGTTCATTTCTTCGGATACGTTGGGTGGAAGAGCAGGCAATGCTTTGTTGTAACTATCCGGTCTAGGTTTTGTACGATGAGAGGGTTGTCGAGGACTAGTATCGAGACGAGGAAGAACAGGAGGTTGAGTTGCGGGAGGTTGATTTGTGGGAGCCTGTGTCGTGGGAGCCTGTGTTGTAGGAGGTCGCTCTTGAGTGGGGAGCGGGGAAGTAGAACCGAGAGTAATACCTTCTTCAAGAGAAGAGATGGAAAGAGAATGATTTTTAATGGTTGTAGGAGTAGTCATTGCAGTATCAATAGAGGCTTCGTCGTCATCGCTCGAGAAAAGAGATTTTTGCTGTACAGAAGAGTCGTTAGAGTGTCGACTGGGACCGGTTGGGTTGGGAGTGGAAGGTGGTTTTGAAGGAACGTCTTCAGGGTCGGAATCAGAGTCTGAAGAATCCTCGTCGTCTGTCCTGACATGGATATTGAATCCAAAATGGTCTTTAAATTCTGAGTTGCCTGGATTCAGTAATGCATCATCGACAACATCCAAATCATATTCGCAAAGGGAAAACTCGCCATCCGACGACATTGAGTCATTTTCAGAATCGTCTTTATTGGTAGACTTTAGAGGTTCATGCCTCTGAGTGGCCATGGATAAAATGAGATAAAAGAAGGAAGAAGTGGTTCCTGTACTCTTTTTTTTTTTGTTTCTTTTCTTCTTTTTTTTTTAGTGGAACAGGAATTAATGGCTTTTTTTTTATTGTATTTATAAAAAGAAAATATATTTGCGTTTTTTCAATTGAAATCTGCGTTTGGTAATTATAGGCTTTTGCGCTTGGAACGACAAAATAATATCGAACCTAATATCAGTTCAAAAGGCGTTTTAATCAAAACGATATGCTACTAAAGAATTCGTTGTTGTGAGATCTAGTAAGCAACTGGTTTGGATTATAAAATAAATTGGCATCAATGCTTTATATGTATTGACAGTTACAAGCGGCTAGGATAAGGATTGTAGTATATTTGTAGTATAGGTTTTGATAAAACATAATCTTATTTGTAACCAGGGTAACAAAATTGGCTTTCTACAATTACAAAGACTCGGCTTTCATATATATGTATATGTATATTGTCTTATACTAAAAATATAGTCCAGAGCACAAGTTTTATATACATTTGTGTAAATAGGTATATAATAAATAGGGCGATACAGTATTAATAAAATTAAATGAAATGAAACGAAATCTTATTTAATGCTGCAGAAACATTAATAAAAAAAAATTGTAGTCACAGTTATTAAAGTCAGTATCCATTGTCAACTAAGTTCATCGTACAGCATAATAACTGGTAGTATTGGGTGTCTAGAATAAATTGTCCTGAGGGTCTTTTGAATTATTCGCCATTCTACTGTCATTACAGCCAATAATCAGGTACCTCAGTTAATGGGATATGATGGGATATTGGTGACCAGACACCGCTCTAATTCAAATTCTTTTATTTAGTCTATCTAAGCTGAAAGTAGCTTATTAAAGAGGCTCATACTAGGAGTACCATTGTCAAGGTACGTAAGGGTGCATACTCTAAAAACAATAAAATATAGTGCTCATCTCGAGAATTTTTTTGGGTTTTTATCTTTTATTTCTTTTTAATACTCAAAGACTATAAACAAATTCGATACACATTAAGTGTATTAATTAAAGAAAAGGGTACATAAACTCAGTAGAACAAAGATAGAAATAAAAGGATTTATATCTAACCTAAAGAAATAAAGAAAATAACTGCAGCTTAAAAGTATATGTATATAAAAAAAAATACAATTTTGCCGATTTTACCAGACCTAAGAAACTAAGTAGTCGATTTGATGTGGGCATGATGTTTCTCTAAATTTGGTTGGATGTATTTGAAGACCGACCTTTGCTTCTTTACAGGAGCTCGTGAATTATTCTTGGCTTATAAGCAAATAGTACCATGGCCTCAAATCCATTCTTGCAATCTAATGGAGAATATTCTCAGAGAGGAAACAATGGCTATTACGCAGATGAAAGGAATAATTCAGACAGAATTGGTGACTTTTCAGAGATGGAAGGTAACGACAACCAGGCACACATTTATCCTACATTACATACTCATCGTGTCTCGATCGCGATGATAATACAGTTGTCCTGCGCGATATTCACAACAGCTGGGGATTCATGCTTGACGAAAATGTAAATATTGATTAGATAGTGAGACTTATAGCTAATTTTTCTGGATTCTGTTAGTTCGATCCCGTAACTTTGGCACTTGCATTGATGGATGACAGCTCGGTCGGCAAGGGGAAGGACTACGGGGCATTTCAAAGAATTCTCGGAAACCTTGATGCTGCACTAAAAACAATTGTGGATGGTAAAACTTGGATCTGAATTTACAACTATTAATTGGTTAATCTGAATCTTGGTGCCCTGTTAGATTACTACCAAGGGTTTAATAATTCCATCGGTACCTTTGGAGGCGTTTTGCAACACATCAATGGTAATACGGATATATATGCGGATAAAATAAAATAAATCTAGAACAGACTACAAGCCAATAATCAATGTATTAATGCTTTCTCTTTATCTTTTCTATCGAAGACTCACAGAATCGTGTCGCGCAGATGAAAATCAATTTAAAAAAGTGCAAAGAGGAATTGCTTGAGAAACGAACAGACTTGTTGAATATGTGGCACAAAAGCCAGCAATACAAAGAGATGATCAATCTTTTAGAGACAATGTGAGGGAACAGTGACGAGAAGAATTCATGTTGTTTGATCAGGAGAGTTGAACCGAGACTGATGGATTGTGTAGTGAAGAGACCCGTACCACACCAGAGAAATTGGAGAGTTTGATGAACAGCAAGCATGTTTATGCTGCTGCTAATATGCTTGTAGAGTCATGGAAAACAGTAAATAAGGACGACATGCTTCAAATTGGTGCCTTGGATGATATTAGACGTACACTTTCTACCCAAAAAAATGCAAGTATAATACTTTATGTTTTTTAGGAAATATTTTATACAGGATACTTATGCTCTTTATTATATTTTTACCAAATAGGTTCTCTATGATCTCTTAATTGAAGAGCTCCATAACCATTTGTATTTAAAGAACTCTTACTGTGATAATCGTTGGGCTGAGTACGTACACGATCAACAGAAATGTATGTTTTTGGGTCATCCACCTAGGCTTTGATCTTGATATCAATAAACTAACGTGTTAATATATAGTGCCAGATATTAAGATTCTTCCAAGAAGGTAAATATATATACATAAGGCTATGGTGTAGAATTGGGTAGACTTGTATCTGATTTATTATGCAAAAAGTTTTGATGACTTGGCAATGCGTAAACGATCTACGATAGGTAAGTATCAATAAATATCCAATTGTCTTTATCTCATATGTATATTTAGATGGAAATATCAAGGATGAGGATATGTTTGCTCTTGATGAAAATGATGTGGTAATATATAGTTTTATAAAGCTAGAAATATAAATATCCTAATAATATTACTTAATTGTGTGCGTGTGTTTTTTTTAGCTGGCAGAAGACCTTGAAATCAATCCAGAAACCGACTCGTATTATTACATGGAGATTATTATGGAAGCACTGGCAATGTTAGGCCAAGTACCCCCTGCACTAGAGGTGATTGCCTTTTTTTGTATATTTTTCATAAATCTATTTACTCACACTAGTCTGAAAAATATTTACATTGACATAATGTATAATTCGAAGACTATTCAAGAAAGACTTCCTCTCGAGATATATGCCTTGGTAGAAAAAACAATAGCGCAGGTAGAGGAAAGGTAAGCGTAGAACATTCCTACGATGGAGTATATTTTTATTCTTATTTGTATACAACCGTTTTATATCTATAGACACTCCGAACAATCAAACACCTCTAGCGTCAGAAGAGACACTGCTTCAGAGGACAGTGATATGTACTTTCTTGATAAAGCCAACACGGAAGCCAAAAATGAAATTTTGAAAGACTTGTTGTGGACTCTGTATTCAAAAATGGAAGCGGTACTTCGAGGCCAGCGGTTTTTGGAAACATGCGCACGAAGAATTAAAAAGGTTTGAGATTTAGATAAAAAATAATGTAAATGGATACATGTACTCGAACATATGTTTAATCTGTTGGCTTCTAGAGAGCTATCAGAAAAGGAGAATTCAATGGTAATATATCTGAGAAATGAAAAACCCGGAAACTTGTTTAATAATATCTCATAATAAAAACATAGGCTCTGAGGACGTCTTCAACATATACCACTTTCACGAGATCTGGAAACCAGTTCAGATTGAAGTAAGTTGATCTAAGGTTTAGACTCAAGTTATCTCATATACTTGTAGATTCGATCTCTTCTTCAAGACTACCTCACCAGTCGGGAACGCACACCAGCTTCACTCCAACACTCTGCCCTTACACCCGACAACGCATCTGGAAAGAGCGGATTTTCTAGCACACGCGAGAAAAACAAACTACTCTTCAAATTTACAGAATCTCCTGAAGATCAAGATCTTGAACAAGCATATCAAAGAGTTCGAACCAACCTTTATAGCTCTTTTAAGAAGCAGATTAGCGGGTTTTCATTTTCTGACACTGATAGATCCGAAAGCTTTCCTCATTCAAGTGTCATTGATAAATATGCCAGTGATATGGCCTCTAAAGGCCACAAGGTGCTGGTAAAACCAGATGCATACAATGTGAGTGTATTGTTGAAACCTACCATGGCTTTTCTTCAAAGATTGCACCAAGTGTTTCCGAACTAGTAAGTCAATTTGTGAACATGCTTTGATTGATTATAACAATAACAAATATTAAAAAAAAACACTTTTATATTCTTCAAATTTAGTGATGACCAGGGCTCAGAAGGGTTTGGTAGCTTCTTGGATGATTTTGCTATTAATGTCTTCCTGCCTCAAATTGAAGAGAAGGTTATGCAGCTTATTCATCATGCTACAGTGGGTAAGATATAAGAAATGGGGAGGGTCTACTATAATCTATCAGTGGTTAATATTACGATATAATAACCATAATAATTTATAGGCATGGATGCATTCCAAGACGATCGTAACTACAAGAATTACTCAAAACTTCCTATTGTAAAGGTAATAATACTCAAATATCTGTGGCATAAAAACAAGGCGATATGCTTACTTTAATACTACAGAGTGCTGTAGCATTGATTTCAGTTATTCAAAGTCTGTGTCGAACAATGCACAGCATGCCATTCCACACAGAAGAATACATACGAATGATTGAGGTGGTTCTTCTCAAGTACTATGAGAAGTGCTACCAGCGATTTTACTGTAAGTCATGTTTATATGTATATATAAAGAATTGTGATCACATATTAACAAATGATTACTTTCCTCTTTAGCTATGGTCGTGAGAGGAAGTACACATGGTAGCAAAGAAGTTAATGTTACTGAGATGAACATTAGCACCAGTGGTGATTGGGCACAGGATGAAAGTCTTGTTGGACTTCTTACTCAGAATCCCTTTTTTAATGAAGATAGTGTAAGTGCCGACACATGAAAATGGAGGCTACATTTCAAATATGTTAATCCACCACATTAGAAAATCGATGCTGAATTTATCAGGGCTCTTGGTCAAGCAGTAAGTATATAAACACTTAATATTAAGCTGGAATGGTTTATGGTATACTTACTGTTTACGCCCAGGAAATTACAATGGAGTTGAAGTTGAAGGATGGAAGACAACTGGAGGCGGATGAATTGATTTTTGATTCTAAGAGATTAATAGCCCTCGGAAGACTTTATCACAGTCTGGTAATTATATATCCTGAGCTTATTCTGCTCTTATGATATTCACAGGTATTCTTGGTTTTGTTTTGTTTTTGAATCTTATCTCTAGAAATGGTTTGTACGTGAAATTTGGGAATTACGTACTCCACGTCAAACTACAAAAGTGTCCATTGTTGACCCAGTGTCGGATAAGGATCCAAATGAAGAGGATCTTTCTGAAGAGCCTGAATCTTCGCAGGTAAGTTAGAAACCAACAAATCTGATGGTGGTATTTACATTATATTTCTTTTTACGTCTATCTATTTTAGGGAGCTAATTCGAGGCGTTGGTCTCAATCGGACGCAAAAGAGCCAGAAAATGAAGATCCTAACCCTGTCATGTTATCATTACGTGGAGAGACTGCTGTGTATGACAACTTGAAATTAAAATACGTGTAAAGCTAAATAAGAGACTCATGCTATTTTTTTTTTGAATTTCAGGCGCTTTGATACGTTACTCACAACATATCAGCAGCTGGCTGAAACTTGCTTGTTTACCTTGAGACTAGAAGCTAGATGTCATACCATGTATTATCTGGAGATGGTTATTCGCGAGGTAACTATAGACATTCATTCAGCAACACCAGCATAATCATCATCAAAAGAAATGAGTCGTAGTGTGTGTATACTCAAAATATATTTTTTATTTTAGGGCAATTATTATTTGGAAGATGAGACTTATGAGCCTGATCCGTATGTCATTACACTCAACTCTGACCTTATGGAAGTTGATGATTGTATTAATGCCTCCTTGCCTGCAAAAGACGAAATGTGAGTTATTTGATATATGCTACTATATAAAAAAAGAGAGACCTTAAAACATAAATGCTTACCTACTTCAATTTCTCTTTCTTCTAAAAATCAGGTTTGCTTTTGATGGACTACCCGCTCTCATTGTTCATCTTTTGATTTCTGAGGCAACTTATATCAAGAGAATGAACAAGAATGGTGTTCAGAAGATGGCTCGTAATATTCTTGCTTTACAACAGAACCTTAGTAACTTTGTACCATCTTCACAAAGCTCTACACTCGACCGTGCCTGTGATTATTACCAGCTGTATAATTTAGGAAGTGAAGTAAGTTTTATCTATTTGATTTTTTTTATAGAAAATACACTATAGTACATGAAGAATATCAAATTATTATTGCTCTTATCTAATGTATCTCTTTGTCTTTACAGGGACTTATACGTAGTATCCGCGAAAATGGTCCTGCTTTCACTTTTGATGAATATCTTGTTATACTTGGCTTGATTCATGATGTGAATAAGGGAGCAGATAGTGAGGCAAAGAGCGCTACTCCAGAGACACCTACTGGATCACCTGATCAAAGATCGAGCGCAAATTACAGCGAATGGCTCATGAAGCTAGATGAAGTTATGGCAGACTATGAATAAGCCATTTGCATAAAAAAAAGTTCTTTAATCTACTCTATTCTTATTCTTATTATTATTGTTATTATTGTTATTTCTTGAGAAGAATACATTTATATACCACTTTAAAACAAAACATAAAGTTTACTATCAGATCAATGGCGGGAGTCTCAAATCCAATAACCAAAAAAAATGCTGATAAAGCTACCAAAAATTATAAACGTGGTCATGTTTATAATAATTGTAAGAAACTTGCCATTTAGTATATTATCTAGATCCAGCTTTTGGCATTTTCTGTTACTTGTCAGGTCAATTAAACCCTTTGCCTTGACAGTGAAGCTCACCAAGTATCCGAATCTCTTTTCTAAAGATGCTCGCCGTTTTAAGTAAGCAAAAATTCAAGTAGAAACATCCTCTATATTTTTAAAACACATTTGTGAATTACTCTTGCACAGGTAACTCATGATGTACTTGTGTTTCCAATTGAGATGAACAATGAGAACAAGTAGAGTGCCAAGAATCTTCTTTAAAATAGCCCAATATTTAAAAGAGATGACTCAATGACTTTTTGAAAGGTATGAAGACAGTAGTTTACTGACTGAAATATTTTTTCATATGAAAAGAATCTAATCGCATTGTCTAGCAACATGGAAATCTAAAGATTTTCTAATTTTTCACTTTCTCTGTTTTTTAAATCACATCAACTAAGAAAAATGTATAATAAGTATGGAAACTTAATTTCTCTACTAAATAAAGCTTTGATTATATCAAAAACATCAGATAATTCAAAGAGTTTAGTAGCATTGAAAACCTTGGAAACTTAAGAGACTTTAAAGACTTGGAAGATTTTAGGTGCTTTAAGGGCTATAGGGGTTATTAGGGGTACGAGGGTTATAAGGGTTATAAGGGCCTTAATAGCTCTAAGGGCTCTAGATGTTTTAAAGACTTCATAGACATCAGAGATTTTAACTAATTCAATGATATCAGAAACATTCTTGTCATCATCATATATTATTATTATTATTATTATGCAAATACTATATACAATTGCAATTTTGTCCCCAATTGAAATAAATAGTAGAATAGTAGGTAAAGTTAAGGATCAAATGGCACACTATATAGCAATTGAATTTACACAGGAGAACTTTTGGTTATCAAGACAGTTATAGAAATTTGAAAGGCTTTCATAAATTTAGACAAATGGGTAGTGAAAATGGGTAGTGAATACTTAAAATTAATAACAGTATAAAAAGCACATAAGAAACCTTAGGAATAAATAATATTAGCCCACCTTAAATAATGTAGCTAAAAAAAACTTCAAGTTGAACAATTATATTAAGCGTATTAAAATTGAAATAAAGAGTAATAAACATAGAGAACAATAATAGTAATAATAAAAATTTAAAGAAAATGCTGATTGTGTAGGTGAATTATTCAAATATACTTGATATATATTTTATACATTTATCTCTACCAAAGTTGTCGTCATTGGTTTAAGGAATCGTCGCTTGAGCATCTTATAGACCTCACCAAATACAATATAAAACAAAGTTAGCCCGATGACCAATCCCCACTCCCATGTTATTGCCAACATTCTAAATCCCTTGACTGCGGCTGCGGGAATGTAGATAAAAAGAAGAAGACAGATGATATCAAATACCAGGGTACCCATGATAGTCTTGGACTTGAGTGTCTTTTTCAGTCCATCCCGGTTCCATTCATATTCACGGTAGCTTCGACAATGAATCATAATAACAAGAGGAATAAAGGTGACCGCCACCACCAGCGATGAACGACCACGATAAAGCGAATCGCAGGCACCTTCTACATAGTTTGAATCGCAGTTTACTCCACCTACTCCATTCCCGATGGTGTATAAAGGCACAAAGAAGGAGATAACAAAGCATATCGCAGCTGATTGTCCATAAACTAAAGTATCCAGAATAATTTCTCGGTTGAATAAACTCTCTTTGGGTGGTCTTGGAGGCTCAAGCATGATTGTTTTGGAGGCCGGTTGAATACTGAGAGCACTGGCTGGTGGTGTGATAGCAACATAAAGAAAAAGCATAGCAATAGTAGATAAAGGAGCAATACTCTTGCCTTCCGGGTCACGGACTGCCAAACACACCAAGACAACAACAGCAATTGAGGACAAGGAAATCCAGTAGTAAAGTAAGAACCGTTGTACATTCTGGTAAATACGTCTTCCCTCAGAAATTGCGCGGATGATTGTGGCAAAATTATCGTCAGTCAGGATAATATCAGACGCTTGCTTTGCTACATCACTGCCGTTCTTTCCCATAGCAATACCAACATCGGCAATTCGGAGCGAAGGAGAGTCGTTCACACCATCGCCTGTCATAGCAGAAACATTGTGTCGCCGTTCTGAAGCCTCGATCATCTTAACCTTGGTCTCAGGCGAGCAGCGGGCTACCACCAATGGAAGTTCTTCAAGAGCATCAATCTGTTCACTCGTCATGGCATCAAATTGAGTGCCTGTCATGACCAGTCTGCGGATCGTCTCGGCAGACATTGTATTCTCATTCAATATATTAATCTCTTTAGCAATTGCTGTAGCAGTAATTTCATGATCACCAGTGAGCATGTGAACCTTGATACCAGCTTTATGTGCTTCTAGGACGGCTTGCCGTGATTCGGGACGTGGAGGATCATAAATACCAGTCAAACCAAGAAAATCAAGATCAGACTCGGCATCTTCTCTTGTATAAGCTCCCAGATCATATTTGCCTGTAGAAATTTTGCGGTAAGCCAAAGTCATGACCCGAAGACCCTTTGCTGCCAAGATATCAACCGTCTGTAGGATCTGATCCTTTTCTGAATCTGATAGATGAGTACAGAGAGGTAATATTCTTTCGGTAGCACCTTTGGTGAATACCACATTTTGATCTGTTTGGTTGCTGTGATAGAGAGTTGACATGCGCTTAATAGTAGAGTCAAAATGGTATTCAGATATCAATTCCCAGCCGCTTTCTTCAAGAATAGGCTTTCCCATGTTGAATTTGTGAGCAAAAACTTGGAGAGCAACCTCGGTTGGGGCACCATTTGAAACCCAGTCATCTTCAGTTTCGGGTAATTCATCTAGGTTTGGAGAGATTTTCTCACTCATATCAACCTCACGACGATATATGCTCGACATATTACAGAGTGCTGAGCATTGAATCAAACTTGTAATATCAGGGGAGATCTGTGTCTTGTCGATCAGTTCGCCTTGATTTGTCTTTTCTTCGTCTTCTCTCGTTTGAATACCAGAAGTTCTATAAACTTCGCCTTCAGGAGAAAGTCCATTAGGTGTCACATAAAAGTATCCTTCCTTGAGAGTCCAGAAGCGAATTACAACCATCTTGGCCAAAGTGAGAGTACCGGTTTTGTCCGAAAAAATATTGGTGACTGATCCAAGCGTCTCGAGGACCTTTAGCTTTCGTACTACAACTTTCTGGCTTGTCATTTCTTTTCCACCCATAACCAATGTAACGGTCATAACGGTCGTTAAGCCAGCTGGCAAGACAGAAAGAGCGGCTGTCATGGCATACATTCCAACGTCATAGTTAACCTTGAACTTAACGGAAGCCAAGACAATGATAACGGATAGGACAGAGACAATAAGCAATGCAATGTACATTCTGTTCATGCTTTTTTGGAGCTGAGTTTTATCGTCATCTTTAGATTCATTAAGTTTTGCAGCAACTCTTCCGATCTCTGTGTTCATTCCTGTTGCGGTGACAACAGCTCTACCCCGTCCTTTAGACACGACTGTGGAGCTGTAAACCATATTGATACGATCGCCCAAGGGTTCATCTGTTTATATATAAGTAAAGTTATAGTTAGATGTATAAGTACTGATATTCGTTTTTATTTGTAAATTAATTATTAAATATACAATAAGACCTGGTCATCCATCCTTATTTTTTGTGTGTTACTTACCAGGGCTGGATAAAACAATAAGCTCTTTTTGGACGGGCATAGATTCACCGGTCAAAAGCGCTTCATCGACCTCAAGATCTGAAATACTAATCAATCTTGCATCTGCACTAACTGAATCGCCTTCTTTAATCAGCAATATGTCACCAGGAACAATGTCTCTGCTGGGCACATCTTGCTCTCTTCCGTCCCGAATTACATTAGCCTGAGGAGAAGAAAGGTTTCGGAGAGCAGCAAGAGTCTGCTCAGCTGCGTATTCTTGGGAAAATGTCATATAGAGGTTTGTGATTGCAAGAACGATCAAGAGGGAGCCAGTGATATAGTCTTTGAGTACGTAAAATGCAGCTCCCAATGCAAGAAAAATCCAGTTCATGACATCCACAAATTGCCTCAAGAGAACTTTGATCCACTGTGGCCCTTCATTAGATGTCAGCTCATTGTGACCATATTTCTTAATATGCTCATCCACTTTGGTTGACGCTAAACCATCTGATGTGGATGTCTCCAGAAGATCGACAGTATCTTCGATAGACTTGGTATGCCAATTATTGTGATTATCCGGCTTGCTTGGCATTATAGCAGGCAAAAGATAACAAAAGAAATAAGATAAGCGGGAAGAAGAAGTTACTTATTTGGATTTATGTAAATTGAATCAAATCATTTATAACTATTTTTTTTATATCTGATCTTAAAAGCATAGACCTGAAATATTACTATGAACACCTCGGTTGGATTATCGCTGTAATAATATGAAAATAATCTTACACATAACTATCTATTACTAGCTACTATTAGTTTACTCTGTACATAAAATAATTCTTCTGAATTCTATGAAAGTCTATAGATACTGTAACACCAGCGCTGTACGTTAAAAATATACATTATTTATGCAGTAAATGACACTTGAGCTACTCTTAACATTTGATATTTTTTTAAGTATATATATACGTCAATTACTACTATAATTTAACATTTATAAAGCTCAAATGATATATCCCAAGATGTAACGCAGAAGAGGTAAGACAAACACTTAGAGCCAATTATTATAAAGAAGAAGAAAAAATACTTTACATCAATACTTTCCAAAGCATTTGTTTTTTCTTTTGAAAGTTTTAAGCAGGCGCCTTATTGTTGGCAAGTACCTACTGTTGTTGCTATTTAAAATTAAAGGCGCCTATAAAAGTTACTATCCCTTTCATTTATGTCCTGTCATGCAAAGCTTATTGGTAAGCAGACACCCCTTTTGACTAGGACATTATTGTTATCTGGGTGGGTTCGATTATGTTTCTATAATATTGATTTTAAGAATCCTGTATCGATAACTTTGAAAATCAAGCGTGAGATACATGCAAATAATAATAAGGGTGATGGTATGTCGTTATAAGAACCAATTGGGGTTCACAGAATTACAAGTAAAGGTTAAATCAAAGTGGATATTGTGTAATGTACAAATATTTTAAGGAATACTTCTATATAAAGTATAATGCAACAGAGAGTGAAGTTTCACAGCTGCAATAAAAACGCTTTGATCTACAATCCTATATATCAGTGTGATCTTTCCGTTAAGACTTTAAATATGATCTTTTGTTTTCTAAAAGAAAAATTGATGTTCATCCAGCTGCGGTCGACAAGTTTTTTTTTTCGGTGGTCGACCGGTTTTAATTTCCATTTATAGACAGAAAATCTATTTCATAAAAGGGTAACACATTGAAGTGCAATACCAACGCCAGATACAGGTATGTGGTAGGCTATCACACATTAGTATAAGTGTCAAAGAAAGATTTAGGAGGTCAACCAGTTTTTACCTATCAATCACAACTAGGTGAGCGTCTAATAGCAAAGAAAATCAAGAGATCAATATTAAAACATACATATAAATATATAAAAAAGGGGAAGGGTAACTACAACTTAATCAAAGTCCAACCTTTAAAAAAAAAAGCTTGCAAAAATCGCCTACTAAAATCCTTTTTTTTTAATCATTGTGTACAACAGGTTGTAAAAGAAACCAATACAAACCACAAAAAGTAGCTAAAGAAGAAAAAAAGGCATTGAACCTACTTAAAGGATGTGTGATCTTGTATATTATGCTACCTCTTCTTGATAACAAGATCCTTTCTGATGCGCTATACTCTAATATCCAGCCTTCCTTAAGGACAAACCTCTTTTGTTGGGACCTGCAAATAATTTTACACTTCCATATCCAGATTATAATTCCTGGAATATTTATTCGTGAAAAAAACATTGTTTTGTGCGATACTGGCTGGTGGGCCGGAAGGCAAGAGTTGGATTACCTGAAGCGCAATACCCCATTCAACGGTGGTTGTATAGATGCTCAGGCATAATAAAAACGTTAACAAATGCTATTTAACATTTCCCACAAGATTAGACCATTTTGTATATGTCTTTTAAGAGTTGTTTTGAGGTTTGTGCTTTCAAGGACATGTCAAAGCAATCCAAAGAAATCTAGAAATCTCCATATTTAAAAATATCTATATAAATAAGTTGATCCTATTTCTTCAAGTTTGAGTCATTTATAATTATGCGGAACAATAAAATGCATTTTTACTTCTTGTGACTTGCTCTCCATATTCAGTATGTCGGGAGGTTCAGGTGAAAAGATTATATTTATTTAGCATACTTAAAGTCAGCAATATGAGATTGACACAAAACAATAAGAAAGGGTGAAAAAATGACGGCCAGATCCGCCGAATACATAACACAAATTGATCAGATAAATAACCAAGTTTTTGAGTATTGAGTATATGGACCATTGATACTGTATATAAGAAGCATAGCAAAAGGAGAATATGCTGCTAGGTTTAATTAATAGACAGCCATTTTGAAAAGTAAAGCTACCGTTTCAAAATATGGTATCGCCCGAAAATGAGATTCCATTCACATGTCAATTATTCTTTGGCATTTTTATTTTCTTTATAAAGAGAACTAATAAGTCTCTTACCCTCTTTTCTTTTCCTTTTCCTGATCCTAACTTGTTTTAAAGATATTCAAAATCAGTATCCGATTTCTTTACGAATATGGCCAAGGACATGTTGATGATGAATATGGAATTGTGTCTATGAATATTGCCGTTGACGAAGAGCTGTTTGATGTCGAAACAATAAGTTTACGTATTTAATTTTTACAGAACAAATATGCAGTAAGAGCTGATCCTGTAATGAATTGAACAGCATACCAGAGGGATAGCAAAGCTGTTAACAAGGAGTTATGCAATAAGCGACGCTATATATTTTACTCTAATGATGAGAAAGTAAGATTTTTTTTTACCTTTTTTTTTTTTTAAGAAAATTATATGTGAATCCTTTTTCAGCCGTGAGTTGGTTAGAAATTTATGTTCATGCACCCCAGATGTGAGCTAAACGTTATTAAAAGGACCCTGAAAGCATTTCCAAGAAAAAGCAAAAGACAGATCGACATTGCATTTCTTTTTTTTTGGGCTGCGAGCATCTCCTATGGTGTTAGGAGCATAAATGCCCACCACACCTTTTCTCAAATTTATTGAGCATGCTAATGAACTGAGGTGTAAATTACATTCAACAAATAATTGAATCTGATTCATAACGTACTTTACTTGCCCGGTTCAGTGACCTTATTAAGTGCTTGGTTTATAACTTTGTTCGGTATAAAAGTTATTTTGGCTCACAGCCCAGTCCAGCAGAGAGAAAGGTATATATGCAAGAAATTTGGCAATTTTTCATATATATATATATATATATATATTTTTCAAAGGCTGGTTCATTTAATTTTTCTACTCTAGATTGATGTTTTTTATTTCACACACATATACACCTCTAGAAAACCATCAAAGATTTTTAAAATTAAAAGGAAAATAAATGTGATATATATATGTGTTTTATTACTGCTTTATATAGTATCTATAGACCTTTTCATTCGAAACAAGTGGGATACTGTATAATTTGACTCTGTATTTGAATTTTATTTGTATTTTTCCAAGTAAATGCATAGATACATACATATAAATGAATATTTAATTATATCTTTTATGGATTCTTATAATATATTTCTTCCCTTCATCGTCTGAGTAAACTTCATTTTCATATTTAGCCTTGCGTTTTGTCCAGTAAATGCTATCACCATACAATATAACATCCGCTGTGCCTCCAAATAGTTCAGTCCCACTCGCATTATAAAATAATATGAAAACAATCTTCCCGTATTTGCTCATAATTTCTTGTATGTACTCCTTTAAAATTTCTTTTCTGATCAGAGGTAATCCAGTGAGATAAAATTTGTGAAATTTTTGTGGATACTGATGCGTAAATATAGGAAACACTGTCGAATCGCCAATGTCAATTCCGTTTTCTCTTAGAGAAATCACAGGTGTCTCACAATCGAAAGCAAACTCGATAGCATATTCTTGGGAGTTAAAGCGTGCCCGTGTGTATTTTATTCGACTTAATGCTCCGAGAATATTGTCTGGGAATTTGGCTTTAATTGCTGCCGACAATTCTTTTGAGTCATATATATAATAGCACGAACAGAATATAACACTGTATTTTTGAGTGGTTAGCTCCCAGCACTTGAATTTCTGAAGATTTTAAGATTAGTTAAAATGAGTGTATATTCTTTGAATGGATTATATGTACATCGATATCTCTCTCGTATATTTTAGGAAAACCAGTTTCATCCTGATTGTCTATTCCAGGTGAGCTATGCATATTTTTTTTCTATCTTTAAAATATAGGTGAAAGAAGTGTTTTCAAATAAGAACACTTGGTTTGTTCAAACTATATATATATCTAACTAATCATACACAAATGACTTTATCGTAAATTATCAATCGAAAAATAGTTTGATAACTTTGCCAAAGTACATGATATTGTTTTGTCAAGGTAAACTAATGATACAGCGATAAATACATCATACAATAAACGCTATACAAACAAGCATCTATCATTTGAAAAAATATATTATTAAACTCTTGTGCAAAGACTTGGGCTTCTTAAATATCTATATATCTTATATCACATTGACTTTAGTTCTGTCTTGAGATCCTTTTATTTTCGTACAAACACATATCTATAGAAATCCATAAAACAAAAAGGTTCCAAATCAAAGCTGACCCGAACTTTTCCTACCAATTCTTTAACTAATAAATAAAGATATAACTCACACTTTTAAACACGTCTTTAATGTAAAGAAAAAGGTAGCTTTATATATGTGTGTATACAAAATATAACGAAAGATTTACAATGGTTTGATAGTGCTTATATTATTTCGAGCTCTGTATATTCGACCTAAAAACTCGCACAGTTCTACGAATACATCTTATAATTGGTTTTGTTTTAGTAATCATATAGAAATAAACTATAAGAAAAATGCTAAATAGGTATTTGCGGATGTACTTTATTTATATCTTGTATAAATCATATTTTATAAAGTGTTTTCTTTACTTCTACTGAAATATTTTTTCCTTCATCATCTGAGTAGATTATTTCTTCAAGTAAATCATCGAGTTTCTTCCCATCAGTTTCATTGATATACACTATAATTAATGCTCTGCCTTCGAATAGATCACTTTTATATTCATCGTAATATCTTATATGAGAAACTTTTCCGTATTCTTTCATAAACTGTGTTATGTGTCTTTTCAAGGTATCTCTTTCGATAAGAGGTAATCCAGTTATTTGAACTTCATGAAATATGTGTATATGCGGACGTGTAAACAGAGGGAAAATAGTGGAAAATTTAACCTTTATCCCAGTTCTTCTTAGATGAGCTCTAGGCATATCAGAATTAAAGGCAAATTCAAGACAAGAGTTTTGGTTGGCTGACGGGCTATTAAGGTTCATGTTTTGCTCCAATACTCCAAGAATATTCTCGGGAAATTTGGATTTGATTTCTTTCGCAATTTGCCTTTTCTTTGGCCAGGAATTACATGTGCAGAATACAACACCGTTCTTTTGGGTTTTCGATACCCGGCATCCGAAGTTCTTGATAATTTGAAGCTAGTCAAAATGGCCGTATATTTTTTGAATGCATAATACATATTTATATATATATATATATATATTATAATTGAATATCTAAGCAAATAGTTCAGTGATGTTTACATATACTTCTTTTCCTTCATCATCCGAGTAGACTATATAGTTAGGTATAATGTTTGGTTCTTTCTTGTCAAGTGTGTGGATGTATAACATGATCCATGCGTTGCCTCCAAATAATTCACCGATAGGTCCATCTTCAAATTTTACAAAGATAACATTCCCGAATGGTCCCATGAATCTTTTTATGTGAGTCTTCAAAGTATCTTTCCTGATGATTGGTAGTTGAGTGATTCTGAATCGGCGAAATCTATGCACGAATGGATGCGTAAATAGAGGAAACCTTATCTTGTTTTTCGCTTGAATCCCTTCATTTTTCAGAATACTTCTTGGTATATCACTATCAAAAGCAAACTCAATGATGTATCTTTTTTCGTCTCGATCTCCTCGCCAAATTTTATGTCGAACTAATGCTCCAAGAGCATCATCAGGGAATTTTTCTTGAACTGCATTTGCCAAAGCATTGGCCAAAGGATATCCAAGATTATTCTTGTATGTTTCCTCGCACAAGCAAAATAAAACCCCATTTTTTAAATTTGATGTCTCCCAACACCCAAAGGTCTTAATATTTTAAGGTTAGTGAAATTATTATGTTTTAGTTGAATATCCTATATACCTTAATATCTTCTTCTGTAACTTCTGGAAGATCAGGTTCTTCTGGATGATCGGCTCCAGGTGTGTTTTGCATGGCTTTAATAAATTCGATAAATAAAGAGGAAGTTTTTTCTTTAGAAAGATGAATTATCCAGTTATTTTAACTACATATTTATGTAAAAATCAATTGTTGTCACTGACGCAAGTTTATCTAAATATTCAAACATACGTTCCTTCTAATGTGCGTGTATAGCTATAAAAGTCCTATGACATCTTTACCAAATTGTGTATCTGATAACATGTTTTACACTTGCAAAAGACAACAATATAACGAAGAAAAGAAGAGAAAACCTGTCTGGAGATGTAAAGTGATTATAAACTTGTTTTGTGTGCGCCTTGAGTGTCTTGAATACGCTGATTAAATATTTGACAAATAAACTTCAATAGCACTCTTTATATTGGTTTTTGGAAGACATAGTTTTCTTCTTCAAATCCAATGATGATCCATAAAAAGCTTATTTGGTTCTGTTTTGTTTTGTTTTTATACAAAGAAAGGATTGCAGAATATAAATAATAGGTTTCTTTAAGGATTGTCTTCTTTTAGAGAGAAAAAAAGAATGAAAAATACAGAAAGAAATCAATGATAACAATAACAATAAGAATAAATAATAGTAATGATAATAGAAATAATAATAATAATAAAAATAATAATAATAATAATAATAATAGAGCATCTAAAGAAAGAGAAAGAAAGACAATGGAAAAGAAATCAAAACTATGACGAAAGCTCATGGTGAGATTGTACATGTTGAGAAGAACTCAAACTGGAATGCAAGTAAGGAGATGGTGAAGAAGTCTCATCCAAGATATTCTTTGTGATACTTGAAGACCGGTGATATCTGTTCATGTTTGGAGTAAGGGATGTCGGTGATGTTTCGACCAATGTCTTTCCTGCCATACTAGACGACCGGTGATAATTTGGAGTTGGATTCAGGGCCGGTTGATTCGACATCTCATGGGTTTTGACATGAGGATGAGGATGAGAATGGGAGTTAAGATGGGGGTGTGAGTGAGGGTGCTGGTGTAGACTTGGAGGAGGAAGAGATTGCTGATGCGAGTACTGATGTGATGGCGAGGTATATGGGTCTGACAGAGGGTATCGATGCATATGAGATTGTTGTTGCTGTTGTTGCTGCTGTTGTTGGTGAGAGTAAGTTGGGGTTGAAGATGATTGATAAATGTCGGGTGGTCCATCAAATAATTGTAAATCTGCAGACAGAGATGGAGATGGAGAAGCAATACTGGGTGCATTCGATGCATTGGGCGAAGGCTTCTTGTATCTCATCATATTCTCTACCTTTTTCAAAAAATCTTTTGAAGATATTTCGATTGCTTTACCATCAGCAAGAGTTGGGTCTTCCAAGAATGGCTCAAGCTCTTCAGGTACCTAAATTATCATCAAATTCCACAAAAAAAAAAGGCATTCCACGTATTAGATATAAAGAAAGTAATACCAATGCCAATACGAATAAAAGTACGCACACACACAGGCACAGTAAATCAATCATGATATATAAAATAATAATCATATATAATCATAATCATAATCATGAAATTGAAAATCGGGTCTTACCAAACAAAAGTCCTCGTGGGTTTCTAAAAGAATCTCAACAGCCCGGATTGCGGAAAACGAGTCGTCTTTTGTAGGGTCCTTTGAATCGGTTGTCAAGATATTGGGTGCAATGACACGTGCAAGATTTCCAATGTCCATTCGACTACCCGCATCGTTCGATAAATTGGAGAAGGAAGCTGTCCATTTCAAGAACAGACAAAGGATTTCAAATGTGTCTCGATTGCATCGTGGAAGCATACAACAAGCCAAATGAAGTACATGCTTTCTTGCGACGGGGTTTTCAATTCCTACAATAATCAAATTTAATCAATTGATTTGATTAAGTGATTAATTTATTAATGAAATAAATTACAAAAAAATAAAGGTGAATACTTACTTTGAGCACAAGTAAATAAACCATGAAGCTTGAACGTTAATAGCGGGTCGGGCAATTCTCTCAAAAACTTCTTCAAAAGAGCAGCAATCTGGATCGCATTCTCTGAAGTAAGGTCAACATCGTGGGGGTGTTTGTCTAGTTGTTCTGTCAACTCCTTTAGTCTTCGAATATTGCCGTTCTTTCGGAACACGCCTTCTACTGACATATCTATAATTATAATAACATTAGAGTTAATAAAATTGTACTGTATTTGTAAGCTTATATTATATTTATATACCTTTCTGTCGCATGGCCGTAATAGAATCATCAATAAACCCAGCAATCTTAATTGGTGAGGGACCAACACCAAGATTGGACTCCACTCCGGTTCTCTCGGTCAATACATCCAGAGACACGCCAAATGTGCCTTCTTCCTTTCCTTTGTTTGGCTTTCTGGCTCCTCCTGCTCGAATAGACGTAAAGAATTTACCCCAAATAGACGCCTTCTTGAGCTCGATCATGTTCAGCAGCTCGCCCAGAGTGAAATATTCGCGCACATAAGGCTCAATGTGAACCACGGCAACGTGACGGATGATCATGTACTGTAAGGCGGAAAGCTCCGAAAGATATTTCCGTGGTTTTCCTTCAGGGGTTGTGTGATAGGTTCCTTTCAAAATCGGTGTCGGAGGGCCATTACCATTAACGTTGCCATTACCAGGTAAAAATGAGGTTGGCGAGGTGGGGAGTCCGGAGGGTTCATTTATACTTGGCAACGAGTTGGCCATGTTTTGGGTTGCGAGTTGCGGTAAACCCGAGAGCCCCAGACTACCCTGGGATCCGCTGCGTGGTGAATTGGGTGAACATTGACCAAGTGGCAGAGGCGGCAGGTTCTTTTGCTGGTCCAGTCGACGGACCAGACTGTCAAGCCGGGTTGGTGCAGTTCTGAATGGTATTTCTGAATCACCCGCTTCCTCTTGGATGGGTTTGCTTGTGTTTGCATTCGCATTTGCATTTCCTACCATCGTTGACCGCTTGGCAGTCTTGAATGACCGAGACATCTTTCTCTCGAGCTTTGTTGCAGACATCATGTTTGTGTCGGCAATATGGGTTGGATAGTGCAGCATCTTTTCATCGACATATTGGTTGATAACCTGTTGTTTTTCAACAGTATGGGTAACTACATCTTTTCCGAGTGCATCTTTTGGTGCCTGGATTTTTGTTTTACTGGAATAGTCAACGGCCGACAATTGCTGATCTATCATATATATATATATATCATACACGTACACGCATGACAAGAGAGTCTATCCTTTAGCCATCTATCACACACACACACACACTTTTGTTTTTCTTTATTCCTTTACCTGTGATTTGCAAAAGACTGCATAGTCGACTGAGTGCTACTCGAAGAAGGAACGCATATTGTACAAGTTTTGTGACGTATTCAAATAGAAATCCACCTTCCTTTGAACCTGAGCATTGGGAGCACAACACCGATTGTGATGCGGCGCTAAAAAAAGTTGATTCTAGCTGGTCTGAGAGCGGACGCTTACACTGTCGGCAGCCAAAGCATTTGATGTGCCATCGGAACTGTCCGTACTTGATGCACTGGTCCTCAATTGGCAATTTACACACATGGCAGCAGTCTGTGGCCTCTTTGGACCTTATCAGTCTCTGACTGTCTCGGCTGTGCCGCTCTCTGCCGGCCACTTCCATCAGTTTTGCCAGCAGGCGAGATACTGCCACAGGTTTTCCGATAGTTATGTCCAGTCTCAGGGCAGCCGTTAGTGCCACGCGGATGAGGATCTTGAGGTAGTGTGCCAGACCGGTGATAAGAGAGAGTAGTTCCTGAGAGATTCCTAATTTTCTCATCTCGGCTTCTTGGGTTTTCCACATTAATGAAAAGAAATTGATAATCTTTTTACAGAGCATCTTGGCTTCCCGAGTATATTTGAATTCTATACAAATGTTTATACATTAATAAAGATTATTGATAAAGATTATGTTTCTATAACTGGACACACTACAATTTAACTAATTAAATAACAATAGCGTCTGTACTTACCGGGTTGGTTGTAATCAGTGTAAATCTTGCAGAGTTCGTCAATACCAGCAAACAAAGCTTCTACATGGACTAGGAATCTTTCGGATATACATATGCCTTTGATGTAACTTCCATTTGATACATGTAATAACATTTCCGAGATACAAACAGCCGAAGATTCTATAATAGTTGTAGGATAAGCAAGAGATAATTTATCTATATTAAAATCACAGCAAGCCTAATACATCCGAATTTTTTTCTGCTCTTTTGTTCTTTTGCTCTTTCTTACCTTCAAATGCTGACAAAACTTGCCATATCCGAAACACCTTTTCTTCTGTGTCGTGTTGTCTTTCAAGTAATTGTCCTGGATTTTGTGGAGGACGATCTATTTATTTATTTAGTATTCAATAATACTTGTGTAACCAACCAATATATAGTAACCCTCTTAATGATAATAATATGACATTCTATCTTATTTTATTTTGCTATCATTTTTTTATATTCATTAATCAATTACCTTTTTGTGTAATAATATCACCATCTTCAATCGATGGTTGTGCGATGCGGACGTTCCAGTACTATATATATGAAAAAAACGTGGGTTTGTGTCAAACAGGAATTGGATAATGAATGGCGGAGATACTCCCGAAAACAGCCTCTTTCATATATATACTATTTCTCTCTTTTATATATATAATTGAGGGAAATTGGAGCAGTGGTAGTAGAGTAGCTAATGTGTAGCATAACATAACATATAGTAGCACAGCATAGTGTTTTTTTTTACCTTGTGAATCATGTAGCATTCGGGATGCCAGTGTTCGACATCATCTTTTCGGTCAATCTCTACATATTGTTTCAAGATTGCCATCTCGCAACCAGCGCACATGACTGCGAATTGGATTGAATAGTGAAAGTGGCAAAATACTTGACCATTGTGCTCATAATATGAATCCTCAGGACCAAAAGCAACCTCACATGCACTGCATGTGAAATGGTCGGTGTGGTATTTTTTATCCATTGCGATTGTGTAAGCGGCTCTCAGAGGTTCGTGGCATTTGTCGCAGACAAGTCCGAGTCTTCCAAAGTAATCGCGTTCGCACAGGGGTAGAGTTTGGCCATTTTCTGCTGTAAAAGGAAAGAATTTGGATGCTACGGGTGCATTACAATCCTGATGGTTGGGATGAGCTTCTTTGCACACGGTCCCTCCCCTCCTCCTCCTCCCCCTTTTTCTTTCTTTCTTTCTTTCTCCACCTCTACTCCCCCCCCCCCCCCCCCTCTTCCCCTCCTTCCTCTTCCTCTTTGTATTATTATTTTCTTTGCTTTTTTATGAGGAAGAGAAGAAGAGATGCCAAGGTAGCTTACCAGGCAAGTAAAGCATTCGGGATGAAAGTCTTCATCAAGAGCTTTTACAAGTTGACTTCCTAGTTGATCATGGCATCGAGCACAAGTTGGTGCTGCTGGTCTGGAAAGACTGTCAAAGTTTTGTTCCATTATACGAGGTGTGTGTGTGTGTGTGTGTGCGTGTGCGTGTGTGGCAGGCTTTGGACGAAGGAAATAAAAACACAGAGATATAGATATATATTTGTGTATATATCTATATATCTAATATGTGTGTATATGTATATGTGTATGTATGTATGTATGTATGTATGTATGTACTTATATATATATATATATATAATTTAAACAGTAGAGCGAGGAATTTGTTATGTTTCGTTTCTTCGTTTCTTCGTTTCTTCTTCTTCCTTCTTTTCTTGGATTTTAGGTTGTTGTTGCTGTTGATGATGAAGAGGATGATGTTGATGAAGCTGTGGATGCGATTCTTTTATTTTCCTTCTTCTTGATTCTCTTTCGTACTTTCAATTTGATTATGTATATATGTATATATGTATATATATATATATATCTCTGCGTGTGTTGCGTGTATGCGTGTTCTCTTTGGTTGACTATTTAATGTCTAATGAATATTATATTGTCTTCGTCTTTCCTTTTTTATTTTTTGCTTTGTAAATTTGACAAAGACTTTTTTTTTTCTTTCCCCCTTCTTTTTGTGTGTTTTGTTTTTCTTCTTCTTTTATGTGTTTAAAGAAGAATAAGAAGAAGAAGAATAGGGTGAATTGGTAGACAAGCAAAAAAAGGCTTGAAGAGATATAGAGAGGGAGGGAGAGGGAGAAAAGAAAGAAAGAAAGAAAGAACGAAGGAAAGAAAGAAAGAAAGAAAGAATTAATTAATAATTAGAAAGAAGAGAGGGAAAAAAAAGCTAAAAAGCAGAAAGCTAAAAAACCTAAAGAAAAATTTAGTAATGGAAGAAATTAACAGGCAAAGAAATATATATATATATAATAAAAATATATGAAAAGTAAAGGAGAGCAAAAAGTTCAGCTATAAAAGGATTGGAAACTCATGTCATTAGAAAATAGGAGGGTCTGTTTTTTTATATATTTTATTTTATATATGAAAATATATATATATATATTGTTGCTGTTAATCAGACACCGCACAACATGTGATTTGACTGTGTAGAAGTAACTCTCTCTATAGCCTCGAGAATTTTGCACATACACCATATTCTCATAGTGTACATACTACATTTATGTATTTCTATAAGTAAGTAATTAAACGCCTTGAAGAATTACCATCATTATAATCGCATTCTAGTGAGTAAATTTAAAGAGGGCAGAAAATCAAGAAATGGTGTGAATAAATTTAGTTTTGAATTTTTATTACAATTTATATGTGTGTATGTGTGGAAATTGAATTGAATTCAGAGAGGAAGGGTAGGAGAGACAAGTCAAGATAAACTCAAGTAATATATAAATTCCAAATTGACTCGTTGACTGCAACCCAATGTACATATATATATTATTGACTGTAATTCCAGAAAATTTAATTGGCACTTGAGAAGGGGAATAAGACATAGATTAAGGTTTTTGTTTTGCAAAGTATTGAGCTGAAATATTATTGTGACTTTTGTAGATCAATTGGTCAATATTATTAAAGAAAACTATACAGTAAGAAGAGAGAGAGAGAGTGTGTGTGTGTATATGTTTTTGTTCATAAAATACACTGGTTTGTAGGGACTCACTGTTTAAGGAAATCAAGAACAATGGTACCATTTAGATTCAATGGAATATTGCTAGGCAACCACATCTTCTATTATATATTGTTGAATGACAAATATATTTATATAAGTATATGTCGATCTTGTATATGAGATTATTGTTATTTTTGGATACAACACCTTCCATGCAGTGTAATGTAGATTAGATTCTATAGCCCAAACCATATATATATATATATGTATTGTGAAGCGCGCCAAGTATCAAGTATATTCTATATACATGTACATATACATATATATATTATTCTTACTACTATACTAAAGCCATTGATAATAGATATTAGCCAATTGACTGACTGTTCGATCGATTGATTGCTTGATTGCTTGATTGAACTATCAAAATAAATGACTGTGCAAGGTTCTTGCATAGATAATAATGATAATGATAATAATCATTTTATTTTATTTTAATAAATCGTGTCACTGTTGTATTTATAGGCTTGGGAGAAGCGAATGCTCATGTCACAAAAGTAGCATATTTCACATCCGCAACGTGGCAATTCAACAAGTATCTTGCACTGCATTTTGTTTGCACGTGGTTGTGGGGTCTGTGGTCGATACAGCTTAAACGAGTTTTTGTTTTTGCGTTTTGCGTTTTGCATTTTGCGCTTTGCGTTTTTTTTTGTCTTTTTGGTTTGGGAATCACAAATAAGAATACAACATGCCTATCAAACGTGTCAAGGGCTGTAAGAGGTAAAGGTCCGAGAATATTCCATTTCTTAATATATATATATACCTACTATGTATGTATGTATATCTGTACCTTGAAACTAATACATTACAGCTGTTACAAAATTTAGCATAAATCCCTCTGTAATTTTCTACATAAAAAAAAATGCTGTATAATACAGTGCGATCTGGTAGAATTCAAAGTTGAATATTTGAATATTGGATCCCATTAATATATATATATAGAAGAAAAGAAGGAGTATAAGTATCGATAATGAGCAATACAAATCTTATAATAAAGAAAAGGAGAATTAGAAATCTTCCAAAAGTGGGCTAAAATAAAATAATAGCTTATTCTTATAAATATGCTTTGGGTTATTTGATAGAAAGAAGAAATAACATGCACAAATAATTAAAGTAAGGGTCCAAACTTGATTCTGCAAAGTTGCTCTTACATGTTTGTTTTCAATACAACAATTCTAACATATATACATGTACAAGTACATGTATGTGTGTATAGATTTGATACATATAGTATTCATTCTTTCATTTCTTCTTGATTTCTTCAATTGGGGATATCCCTCTATTTTATTCATACCACATTATATTCTATCTCCTCTACTGATTCTCGATCAAGAAGTTCCCTCGAAATACACAACATAACATAACGTTATATGACTGTTCAATTGAGTTTGTTAATAAATAGATGGATAAAAACTCCTACAAAATCGACAACCGACTATGTATTTAAAAGTTAAATTCAAATGAGCACGGAAAATCCTTGTTAGTTATTCTCTTTTGGGGACCAAGCCAAGTACATCACAAGAAGCCCAGTTTAATTTCTTGAATACATATACAATATATATATATATATATATGTGTGTGTGTGTGTGTGTACATAAAAAAAAAAGCTATAAGGAAATCAAAAATCAAAACTAAAGAGAAAGAGCAAAAATAATATATGGCATGTTTGTAGCACAAGATGCTTATTATTATTTTATTTTTTTATTTTTAAAAAAGAAATAATACCTAATAATTCTATTGGCTGTGAGTGAGTTATAATGTTGTACAAATTACTATTAATGGGAATTGTATAATAATTTTTTTTTTTAAAAATAAAATAAAATAAAAAAAAATGAGCAGAAAAGATGGTGTTAAATTATTATTATTTTGTGTTGGTGTGCACACTATATATATATTTCTTTGGGGTTTGCTACACAGAGTGACAAAGGCAGTGCAATCGGAATGTTTTGCAAGCATGTGGGTATATGTGTGTGTAGAGTTGCAAATAGGCAGTAATCATTTGCAAGACACATGACAATTGTAGGTCCAACTCTAACTCTAGCTCTAGCTCTAGCTGTAGAGGTTGTAAGCTATTGATGTTTAGAAATAAGACCAAGTCACAAACAAATAAGAAAGTATATGTATTACATATTTGTTAAACATATGATTGTGAGAAAAGCAAAACATAGTTTCGATGATATTTTGAAGAAAACCTAGAGAATTACATATCTAGTATCTTGCCCACAAATAAACTCATATGTGTATATATAGAAATATTGAAATATAGAGACAAGAGGTTGGGCATTATCATTATCGTCCTGTTTATGTCCTAAAGATAAGAAAGGTTGAGGAACCTCAAAGAATTAAATATGTACGTGGCTCAACTGCCAATTCCTTTATTTATTTATTTATTTATTTATTTTGCCGTTTCAACTCTAATAATACGCAAATAGCCAAATGTCCAAATAAAGAGGTTGGTGGCCTAAGCCTTAGAAGTGTCCCCAATTAAAACAGAATAAAAGGAAAAATGAAATATACAAAACAAAAACGTTTCTTTTGGGTAACACATTTGCTTTGAGTTGCTTTGAGCTGCTTTATTGTGTTGTGCTTTGGTGAAATAAATAAATAAATAAATATTGTTATTTACAGCCCGCCAAAATTTGCACACACAGAAAGAGAGAGAGACAAATATGTTTTATAAACCTTCACAGCCACAGCTTAATATTGTTGTTACTATTATCATTATTTTAATTTGAAATGATATTGGGTATTGGAGTTGATCTTTTACATTTGCCTCGCCTGGCTAGTTTGGTGGCTAGAAGAGGTAGCGGTGGCCTGGCAAAAAGAATCTTGAGCAAGAATGAGCATGAGATGTTTACAAGAAAGTTTCCGACATCTGAATGTCGTGATCAGGTTGTTCAAGAGCAACAGTTGATGTTTCTTGCCAAACGGTAACTGTAATAATGTATATATCAGTAAGAAAAGAGTGGTTTAAATTAAATTAAGGTTCTGTATATATATGTGTGTGTGTTAAGTTGGTGCATAAAAGAGGCGATTTATAAAGCCTTGTTCCCGGTTCAAAAGCTAGAGTGGAAACAAGTTACAGTAACAAAGCTCAAAGGTAAAAATAAACTAAAGAAAAAAATAATATTATAAATTGTTTGTGTGTAAAATATGTAAAATGTGTTTTGTAGTGTGTTGCTGTTAGTGTTGTTGTGACCTCTTTTAAAAATTCATATTGTATATAAAATATATATATATACAAAAAACCTTCTTCTACTTCTTCTATTTTAACAAATCTGTTTGTAGGTAAACCTGTAGTTGAGGTTGATAATGCAAAGGCTTATGGGATCAAGGGTGTACATGTCTCACTGTCGCATGATGGTGATTATGTGATTGCTCAAATTCTATTGGAAGGATAAGTCTTTTGTTATAATTTTTATTTATTTATTTATTTTTACAAGGCTGTCACGAAACCAATATTTGAATATTTATATCTATATATTGTAACACAGAAATAGATCTCTCTTTCTCTCTCTATTGTATTTTATTATTATTTATATATGTTTTTTGTTGGATCAAAAAAAAATATATATATATATATATGTATTCACTAAATAAGCTTACAAGATATCTTTGTGGTATAATAATCATTTATCCTTATTTTACCAAGATGATGTAATTGCAATTGAGTCCCCCCTTTAAGATTTTTCAATTCAAGAGTGTTTCTTTTATACATATATACATATATTTTGACAGCCAAAACAAATATTTATTTTCTAGTCAATATAGATACAAAAAGAACTGTTTTTCTCTCTTTTGTATGAATACATTTACATACATATATACATATTTAAATATAATATATAATTATATAGACTCCGGGAAGCTAAAATAAATAAAATAAAGAATTGTACCTATTTTTGTACATGAGCTTATAATCCTTTTTTAGCAATATCAAGAAGATATAGATAGAGAAGTAGAAATATATATGTCTATGTCTATGTCTATGTCTATGTATATATATTTGGTCTCCTTTATGATCACATAATAATAATTTATTAAGTTTCTTCTTGTTCTTCCTTTTTATCTATACATTTATTATATATACATTTCGATTTTTGTCTGTTCTATCAATTCTTTTGATTTTCTAGATCTCTTGTCTGTAAGTATCATTTTTACTATAATATTTACATATATTACTTCCATTTAACTAAGCAAGTTACATACTACACCACATTACAAGGTACTAGATAGGCAATAAGAAATAAAGAAAGAAAGAAAGAAAGAAACAATGAATAAAACATATAATTAAATCCATATAACATACCCAATTCCACATGCACAAAAAAAACATACATACAAGAAACGTAAAATAAAAGATCCATAGATATTTTTCACCAAATCAAAAAAATCAAAATCAAAAAATATTGATAACAATTCAGTGCATTTAACTTAACAATTTACCATAGCTACAAAATCTACAGAATACACACAACCAAAAAAATAAAAATAAAAATAAAGTAACATTATATTTTTTATTTATATTTATATTTATAATTATAATAATTAACCAACCAACGTTTTTTGCCTTTCTTTTTTCTTTCTCTCTCTCTCTCTTTTCTTCCATCTCTTTTCTCTCTCTATTATATATATTTTATAATATATATATATATATATACTATATTTCAATACACCAGATTTGAAAGTTGCACAACCACCACTACCACTACCACCACATCATTATTATTATTACTATTATCAGTACACCTTTTTCTTTTTACTTCAATAGCAACAACAACAACTACAACAACAATTACAGCAACAATAAGACTATCTTAACCCCGTCTAATGGAACCAAACCCTGACGCAATCCAAAGCCAAATTACCTGTGCAAAATGTCATGATCTAGTAGGCAGTCGATTCATGAAAGCATTAGGCAAAGAATATCATCCCGAATGCTTCACTTGCCTAGTAAGCCAAGTTCCCAAAGTCTATCATATATATATAATCTTCATATTCATATTCACACTCTTTTGAACTAGGATTGTGGAGTACCGGTCGCATCAAAATTCTATACTTTCACATTAGATTCCAATCAGACTCTTCACCTTTGCGAGCGCGATTATTTTGCTAGACTCGACCTCATTTGCGACAATTGCCAAGATTTTCTCAAAGAATCATACATCATTGCCGCGAACAAAAAATACCACACCGACCATTTCACATGCAGTGCATGTCCAGTAGTCTTTGGTCCTGAGGATTCATATTATGAGCACAATGGTCAAGTATTTTGCCACTTTCACTATTCAATCCAATTCGCAGTCATGTGCGCTGGTTGCGAGATGGCAATCTTGAAACAATATGTAGAGATTGACCGAAAAGATGATGTCGAACACTGGCATCCCGAGTGCTATATGATTCACAAGGTAAAAAAAAAATCCAAAAGAAAAAAGCATACTATACTGTATCATACTGTATACATTGTACACTGTATACTGTACACCATACACCACGCACCGTACACCGTACACGGTACCCTTTATATTTCTCTTTCTTTCAATTTCCACACCTATAGACTACAAATAGTCCCAATCATTCTCACCATTTCCCTCCCTCACTTCAATGTACTCTATAATATCTTTACTGCTATTTCTATTGCTATTGCTATTGCTATTGCTATTGCTATTGCTATTGCTATTGCTATTGCTATTGCTATTGCTATTGCTATTGCTATTGCTATTGCTATATATCTTTGTATGACTTTATGTCTCTATTCTCCTTCTTTCTTCTCCCTTCTTCCACGAATTATTAGTTACCAAAAAAAGACAAAAAAAAGAACGAGAGGTCTTTTTTTTTTTCTTCCTCTCTCGTTTTTTTTTGGGGGAGTATCTCCGCCATTCGTTTATTCAGTTCCCGTTTGACGCAAACCCACGTTTTTTATATATATATAGTACTGGAACGTTCGCATCGCACAGCCGTCAATTGAAGATGGTGATATTATTACACAAAAAGGTAAAATAAAAATAAATGTAAAAATAACGATTTTGTCCAAAGAAAATCAAATTGTTATGTTATGTCTGATATTCATGCTTATATAATGATCGTAATCATGATTTTGATCGTATTAATAGCAGTAGATCGTTCCCCACAAACACCAAGTCAATTACTTGAAAAACACCAAGAGACAGAAGAAAAGGTTTTTCGGATATGGCAAGTCTTGTCTGCATTTGAAGGTAAATAAGAGAGAAAGAGAGAAAGAGAAACTAGATAATAGTTAATTAAATAAAGGAACGAGTGTGCAGAAGAAATATCTTGAGGTTAAAGGAAGGGGGAAGAAGGGGGGGTAAAGAGGAGAGAGTGAATATGTAATGTCCTTTCTTTTAAAAATAATAATACTAATCTTCAATTGAAAAATGGTATTGGTAAACAATGTAACTCACATATTGTTCTTATTATTATTATTTAAAAAAAAATGAACAATCAATTCAATTGATCAACCAATCAATCAATTGACCTATCGATATTCATATCTATAGAATCGTCGGCTTTATGTATATCTGAAATGCTGCTACACGTATCCAATGGAAGTTATATCAACGGCATTTGTATTTCAGAACGATTTCTAGTCCATGTAGAAGCCCTGTTTTCAGGAATAGACGAACTCTTGATGATCTACCATGAACATAAGCAGCAAGGTAAAATACATATCTATTAGTTGGCATAGTTACCTTTCAATATATATATATATATATATATATTCTCTCTTTGGTCTTACATATTAATTATATATAAACATTTGTATAGAATTCAAATACACTCGGGAAGCCAAGATGCTCTGCAAAAAGATCATCAACTTCTTTTCATTAATGTGGAAAACCCAAGAAGTCGAGATGAGAAAATTGGGAATCTCTCAAGAACTACTCTCTCTTATCACCGGTCTGGCACACTACCTCAAGATCCTCATTCGTGTAGCACTATCGGCTGCCCTACGTCTAGATTTGATTGTCGGAAAACCTGTAGCCGTCTCTCGTCTTTTGGCTAAACTAATGGAGGTCGCTGGAAAAGAAAGACACAGCAGAGACAGTCAGAGACTGGTGAAATCTAAAGAGGCCACTGACTGCTGCTGCTGTTGCAAATTATCAATTGAAGATCAGTGCATGAAATCCGGACAATTCCGATGGCATATACGATGCTTTGTATGCCACCAGTGCAAAAGATCCCTCGCAGATCACACCCATCTGGCTGTATTTAATGCATCATCGCACACTTTAATGTGTACCCGATGTTCGGGATCAAGAGACAGCACCACGAATTCTTTTGAATACGTTACAAAACTCGTGCAATATGCATTCCTCCTTCGAGTGGCACTCAGTCGATTGTGTAGTCTTTTGCACATCACAGGTACAAAATCATTATCATTATCATTATTAGTTTAGTTTAATTATTACTTTTATAATTTACTATTTATTTTGCTATTTTAGCAAGGTAATAGTAACAATAGTAATGATGATAATATAAAACAGCTTATTTAATACGTCGTATGTTAATACTTTTATATATACATATTATAATAATACTAATAATTGTTAGATCAGCAATTATCAGCAATTGATTATTCGACAAAGTCAAAGATCCAGGCCCCAAAAGACGCACTTGGAAAAGAAATTATCACCCACACTGTCGAAAAGCAGCAGGTTGTGAGCCAGCACGTTGACGAAAGAACCCATCACTACCCGACCTACATAACTGACACTAGCATGATCTCGGCCACTAAACCTGACCGAAAGATTTCTCGGTCATTCAAAACAGCCAAAAGATCAACCATCATCGGCAATGCCAACACATCCATAATTGATGATGTTGAACAGGGCACATCTGCTACTACTGCTAATATCAATAAAATCGATAACAATACTGGTACCAACACCGACAACTCTAACGACAACACCAATACAGCAGCAAATAGACCAGCGCCGGCGCGGTCAGATAGTTTGGTACGATTGTCGGACCAGAATAAGGAATTACCACCACTGCCAACACATGCTTTGGCAAATAAGACACGCCACAGACCCCAGAAAAGCATTGGACTCGACGACCTTCCACAATTTGCTGCCCTCACCGTAGCCGAACACCCGCCCTATTCTCTTGGCAGAGCCACCGCAACACCAACCACACTTCCCTCTACCCAGCTTTCTCCGCACCACCCCCCTACTCAACCTCAAACTCATAATCAAACCCACCCCTACACTCATCCTGTTGCTACAACGGCAATGGCAGGAAGAATGTTCGCTCCACATGCTGGGACCAGGTCTCGAATCTATCTCTCTGAACTATCTGCTCTGCAGTACATGATCATCCGTCATGTAGCCGTGGTTCATATTGAGCCATATGTGCGCGAGCATTTTACGCTTGGCGAGTTGTTAAACATGATTGAGCTCAAAAAGGCATCTATTTGGGGAAAATTCTTTACATCTTTTAGAACAGGGGGTGGAAGGAAGGCCCAGAAATGCAAAGAAGAGGGTACATTTGGCGTACCTATTGACGTTCTCACTGAAAAAACAGGAGTAGAATCTAACCTTGGAGCTGGTCCTTCACCGATAAAGATTGCTGGATTTTTAGACGATGCCATTACGGCTATGCGACAAAAAGGTAAAAGAGAAAAAAAAATCAATTCAAATGAAATATATATATATATACATATTATCATTAATATTATTATTATTTTTTCTTATTTCTTTAATGGTGTAGATATGTCGGTTGAAGGAGTTTTTCGAAAGAATGGCAACATTCGAAGGCTAAAGGAACTGACAGAGCAACTAGACAAACATCCTCATGATGTAGACTTGACATCAGAGAATGTAATTCAAATTGCTGCTCTTTTAAAAAGGTTTTTGAGAGAATTGCCGGACCCGTTATTGACATTTAAACTGCATGGATTGTTCACATGCGCTCAAAGTAAGTAATCTCTTTTCTTCTTCCTTTTTCTTCTTTTTCTTTGTCTTTTCCTTTCTTCTCCAACCACCTCTTTCTTATACTATTATTACTATTATTATGCATTTATAACACCACCACAACCACAACCGCCAATTTTACTACTACTACTACTACTACTACTACTACTACTACTACTACTACTACTACTACTACTACTTCTTCTTCTTCTTCTTCTGCTATCACTATTATCATTATAAATAAATAAAATAAATATTAAATAAAACAAAAAATGATCAATTCAAATATCTAATATGTATATGAATATATATATGTATATATAAACAGAAATTACAAATCCTTCTACACGAAGGCATGTCCTTCATCTGGCATGTTGCATGCTTCCGAGGTGTAATCGAGATACACTTGAGGTCCTTGTTCTGTTTTTACGATGGGTTGCTTCATTTTCTCATGTAACAACTGACGTCGGCAGTCGCATGGATATTCCCAATCTTGCCCGTGTAATCGCACCGAATATTCTGACAACCGATTCAAAAGATCCTGTAAAAGACGATTCATTTTCGGCTATTGGAGTAGTTGAGGTCTTATTGGAATCTTGTGAGGAATTATGCTTGGTAAGTAGAAATAAATAAAATAAAATCAAATTAAAATGAAAGGAAATGAAATGAAATGAAATGTGTCTTGTATCATTATCACTTTAATGCAATATATATTTATTACAATAAAAATGAGTCAGTCCATTAATCAATTAACCAATCATTTGCTTTTTTTTTAAACAATAATAATAACATCGATAGGTTCCTGAGGAATTAGAGCCGTTTTTGCAGGATCCTAGTTTAGCAGACGCATCGGCTATGATGGACATATCTTCAAAAGAATTCTTAAAAAAGGTAGAGCAGATGATGAAGCACAAGAAACACCAGCAACAGCAAAACCTGCATCAGCAGCATCCTTCCCAAAGCACTACCAGTATACCTCCATCATTCACATCATCTACCGACCTTCGACTGTTTGATGGATTAGTCGATGGACAGCACCCACCACCTACGTCTATCTATACACAACAGCAATTCTTACCTTACTCTAACCGACATCCTTCCTCTGACTTTTATCCTACAAATCTCTCACGCCAAGCCGTCAACCTCAGACCTCCAATTAACACCAGCCATTCCTCATTTTCATCCATGAATAGCTATCATCATCTTCATCAGCAGCAGCAACAGCATCAACAACAACAGCAGCAGCAACAGCAGCAGCAGTATTATCACCACCAACAGCAACAACAACAGCAACAACATCAACAACAATACCATCATCCTCATCCTCATCATCATCACCATAACAATTCTTCCTCTTCCTCTTCCTCTGGCCAACTTCCTCCTTCACCTTCCTCCCCATATGCACATTCCCCACTAAACTCGGCACAGCATGTAACTTCTCAATAGAAAATACAGGGTGTTTTGTTTTGTTTTGTTTTCTTCTTCTTCTTCTTCTTCTTCTTCTTCTTCTTCTTTTTCGCCTTTAGTTTTTAAGAGGGCACGTAATTATTTATACAATTTTCATTTATGTTTTCTTTTATTACTTTCATTCCTTCCTTTCTTTTGTTTCTTTCTTTCTTTTTTCATATTCTTATTTTATATTGATTTTTGGTTAATTGGTTGACATATTCACAGGAACAGGAACAGGAACAGGAACATGTAACATGTCTTGTATGCGCCTACCCAAGATACGTAAATATTTATATTTATATATATGAATATGTAGCCTACAATTAATCAATCAATTAAGAAAAGAAGAAGAAGAAAAAGAAGGAGAAAAAAAAGACAGCTAAATTAACATATATTCTTTTTGTCTTGCTACTACTACCATTATTATTTATTCGTATTATTACTATTACTATTACTATTACTATTACTATTACTATTACTATTATTATTACTATTACTATTACTATTATTATTATTATTTTGTTATATAAAGTTTTTATCTATTTTATTTTATTTTATTTTACTTCACACACACATATATATAGTCTGCTTTTATTTATTTAATTTATTTTCATTTTTGTTTCAAAAAAAATATTGTCGGATATTATTATTATTCTTAGGGGGAGTTCAACAATCTTTTACTTTTTTATTTTTTTTTATTCTATACTTGAGTTTAAAGTATTGTCCAATACAAACTATTTGTTATGATCGGCGTTTATATATTAAGATTTTTTAAAAAGACTTTTTATTATACTTTTAAAATTAATTACGACCAATGATATCGGTAATTAAAACTCAAGCATATAAATGTGAGAGTAAAAGAAAAAAATTATGGTTGTTGAATCCCCCCTTTATTGACTGAATAAGATTGACATTCGGAAATTTCATACTTGAAGATGTATTTCTCTTGTAATTTATATATATATAAGTATACATATATTTTTTGGTTTTTTTTTTGTTCGTCTCTAAGGTTGCGAGTAAGATCACATTCTGAAACTGTACAAGATATCAAATGTTAGAAACTCTGTACAACGTCCTGACATATATATATATTTCTGGCACCATGTTACTTTTTTTTTTTTTTTACAAAATCAAACAAAAAAAATCACCTTGCACATACACACATACACACTTACACATGGGTTTTGGACATAAAACCCTTATCCTTGGCCTTATATTTATTCTCGTCCTTCTTCTCTCCCCTCCCCTCCTCTCTTCTTCTCATTTCACCTGAAAGATAAGGGAAAGGGAAAGGGGAGGCGGGGAGTTAGAGTGAGATAGATAGATAGATAGATAGATAGGTGAAGAGAGTGAGAGAAATGGAAATGGGACGATAACCCTGTAAGAGATATAAAAGAAGAAGAAAACAAAAAAGTTTAATATATTTTTGTGAAACTGATTTATTTATTTTCACGTACTCGGTTCAATTGGACTTTATTGAGCTTACTCCTCACTTTTTGAGTTTGGCTTCTTTTCCTTTTAATGTTTACAAACATTGCCACCTTTTAGAACCAAGGGTTTCTATATAAAATAAATAAAATTAAAAATCAAAAAGAATTGAGTGAAAGACAGACATAGAGAGAGAGAGAGAGAGAGAGAGAGAGAGAGGCATTTATATAAAAGCCATAAGAAAAAGTGGCTCTCATTTCATCTCATCTTATATAATTACAATTACATGTGTATAGAATAGATTTACGGATTGTCGATTCAATTGAATATCTATTCATATACATGTCAGTTGGGTAGCTACCATTGAGGTCCCTGGATCACTCTTGAATGAGTTAGGCGTACCCTTCCCAATTTCCTGGCATTCTGACATCTTGTCATTATGTCATCCTTAAACCCTGTACTTCCTGAATATCTGCTTATCCTGAATTTTCGAAGTCCTGTCATCCTGAAGACCTTGCGTCCAAACGTCCTATGGTCCTGGAATACGGAGAATACTGACTATATATGTATATAACTTGCACTGTAGATACTTGAAATGTTTACTTTTGTGAATAAGAATAAAACAAACAAACGAACATGGAATCCCAACCTTTTTCTATTTATTTATTATAAAATGTTACAGCATAGAACACCACAATATAATAATATTAAATACTCAAATAATAATAAGGAAGTATATGTATCTCTTAGAGCTATTCGAAACAAAAACAATAACAACAATAACAACCTTTATTTAATACGCACTGTATTATCTTGAGAAACTATCCAAGGCAGGGTTTGGTTGCAAGACATTTGTATCGACTCCGTGTTAAAAGAAGAAGAAAAATGTACTCAACCGGCCTATCCCTGTGTATCCGCGCAGATAGATTAATAGTATACGCATATATTAATGGGTGTATGAATATTTGTTTTGTTTAGATTGAGAGAAAATTAGAGTAGAATAACATTGTTTGACACAGTTTATTAAGCCAAGACATATATTAAAGACATATATACCGAGATATAGAAAGGCCTAACATGTTGGATGTATAGGCCATATTTTTCTTTTATTGCTATTGCTATTTCTTTTTATTGGTGTGTAAACTGAAGGCACAGCTATGATATCTACAGACTATTCCTTTATATTTATTATGCCTATGCTAGCTTTATGCTGAAAACTATCGCCAATTTGTTGAAAAGATATGTAGCTAAGACAGAATTGGAGGATTTTACATGTCTTTATTTTACATGTCTTTATTTTATTTTTGCAATAACTTTTGAGTTAAATAATTTTATTCTATTGGTTCTCTCTATATCAATTGATAAGACAATCTTAATGAGTTCCAAGCTTCACCAATAGAGATACAGTAGTAATTTTACCTGCTGTTTTTCTTAAATCATTAATACTTTTTATTGAATAGCCAGCGTAGCCAAGGGTCCTGTCATCCTTCGTTATTTTCTTCTTCATTTTCTTCATTTTCTTCTTTTTCTTTGGTTTCCAAAATTTGTGCCTTTTAGTGCAACATTCAGTACCATATTAAATTATCGTACAACAATTCGTGACACAGAATTTTTTCATTCTCTTTCTCTCTCTCTCTTTTAGATTAAAGAAAGATGTGGCTTTGGCCCGTTAAACGTCTCTTGGGCGAAAGTTCAGGGGTGAGAACTAAACAACAACAAAAAATATCAAATATTTGAGTTTGTTGCTATTATTGCTGCTCTTTTTATGGCTGCTTGGCTAAAGTTATAGACTTTCAGAATTCACCGTCTGTCGTGGTATATGCATTGTACATATCTATCTTTTTTTTTTTTAAAAAAAAATGTTTCAACTTTAAATTAATCTTAATGCAATTATTCAACGCTCTAATTTGTATACATTATTATTACTATCGGATGCTCTGCAAGCTTAAATGAGGTCTGTATTTATGTGTGTATAATAGCCTATTTTTCAACTATTTTTTTCACGCTGCAAATACGCACATATGCACATATGCACACAAAGATAGGAAAACATTTTATTTTTGGATGATATTCATTGGTTACACATCTTCAAAAGATCAGCAACATATATATTTTAGTCAAAGCTTATACGGCAAAGTTTTTTTTTCTTTATGTATTCACAAGCAATCGAATTGAATATTCAGCTAGGAAGCAGATAAGATGGCATGTTTGGCATTACGGAAGCACAAACTCTCATGATCATGTCTAATTTGATGTTTATTTTCTCTTTTTCTTTCTTTCTTTCTTTACAGCATATGTATAATACTTATGTAATCTAAAAATGCATATTGCATAACAGTACGGCCAGTTTCCTTAAAGATAATAAAGTTAGAAATATATATTTGTAATAAGCTTTATTGATATTCAAGTATACTAGATTAGATTTGATCTTCATTTTTTTTGGATACAAAAACGAGAGAGAAATAGAGAAATAGAGACCCATCTATAAGGACACACTACCAAGTTGTCTAATACAAATTCAAGATGTGTTTTCCCTCTCATTTCTATTATAATTTAATTTAATTTTTACTCATCATTCCTTTCTTAGGGTATTGTTCTAAAAGGTCATAATGATAATAGAAGAAGCTTAATATACATACAGTCTTACTTAAAAGGAAAAAAAAAAGTCTTACTGATTTTCTATTTGAGTAACTATATTTGTATATGTGTGTGATTAGAGTTTACTACTTATTATCTAGGTATTTCTTATATTTATATTATTTGTTATCTTAAGCTGTATGCTTCAGGCAACTAATTAAATGTTAGAAAATGAAGCAAATATACTATTTTATATTTATTTATTTATTTTTGGTCACAGATCTTTGAATGTTTTAAAGGAGTTACAAGGAGAGGAGTGAGATAAAGAATATAGAGCATATCATAATTAAATGTATTTTTTATTTCCTAGTCTGATAAACTTTCATACATACATACATACATACGTACATACATATAATAATAGGAATAGTTATCTGCCAGACCAAGTAAATAAATAAAAACCTGTAATCTCAAGTATTCACAAGTATTTTGACTTTGAAGATCCCAAAAACACACACACACACACACACACACACAATATATATATATGAATGTGAGCACTAGTAAAGGTCTCCTAAAAGTAAATGAACAGATCAGACAAGTCTAGATGTTGATTTAGTTAAGCAAAAACTGAATTAATTTTGTTTAAATCGACCAAAGATAAAGAGACCGAGAAACTCAAAACACAATAAAGCCCAAAAGAAAGGCTCGATCCAGACTATATATTTATGTTTACTTAAAGAATAACATAATTAAGGGCAAAACTCAATTATCTAATGGTAATTAATTGACCGAAAGAATATACTTGAGATCTCTATTAGAATTATAAAGCAGATTCGATGTGAATAGTGTGGTTAATGTGTCTGTGCCAACCAGACTGTACTAGACTAGACTATACTAGACTAGACTATATCATTGTTAACCATTGTATAATAATTATGATAAATGGGAGTAGTTCTTATCAGTTCGAAAAAGATTCTTCAAGCAAATTTCAACAAGCACATTCAAAAGTAAGGGGAATTTTAGGAGGAGGAAAGGAGATATTATTATTGATTATTGATTTTTCTTTCAATCTTGTAGGAAATTGCTACTACTACTACTACTACTACTACTATTATTATTACTATCAAATGAGAGAATTACTAAATGTTATCTTATACTTGTATTTGTATTTTGTGATATTAATGAATTGATATAATGTAACGTATTGTAATGTAGATAGATAAAAGATTGTATTTAATTGCATCAAGTAAATAACTTACTCTATTATCTATTTAGGTTTATTCCTATTTATTTTTCTGCACAGATACGTTGGTGTTTTGTGTGTTTAGAATCAAACCAGGAAATTGCGTTTTTCACTGCACGAAATAAATCATATTAGGATTAGTATTATTTCTATAACTATTTGAATTGACAATATCTCAGAAAACGTGCATTTTCGACCGTTCCCTGCTTACCACGGAAACGAACAACGGTTCCCGGTTTTATCCTCTAGACATTGGAACAAGTCTTCCTTCGTTTCCTTCTCCCCTTTTTGACTCGAAATGGAAAAACCAGTGACCTTGAGCATATTCTCTTCTTCTTTAGAGAAAGAAAGAGATAAAGGAGTTTATTTAGTCATGCCTATTGCTTGATTTTGGGACACAATGCCTTTTTTTTGTAGTTGTTGCTATAGTTGTTGTTTTTTTGCTTATGATTTATATATATATATATATATATATATATATATATATATATCTTTTCAAATTCAAAGCATCTTTTTTTTTACAAGGGGGGAGAAGGGGGGAGAAGGAAACATACGGTTACTATATTCTGATAGGTAAATCTTGCTGTTCAATGTCTGTGTAATAAAACCGGAGTTATTTTAACTTTTGTATATTCCTACAAAAAAAACTTGTTTAAAAGACACTGGTTTAACCAAAGCTTTTCGTTTTTTATTTGTGTCTTTCATCCTTATATTATTTCTTATGTCGGATAACACTGAATCAATCAAGACAGAAAAGCAAGCACTCAATTTAGACGAGGCAATTGCCAAAGGATGGGAGATTCCGGATTTTACTATCAAGGAAATCCGTGATGCTATTCCTTCCCACTGCTTCCGTATTGACACTTTTCGGTCCTTTGGATATGTTTTACACGATTTCTTTTTTGTCGCACTACTAATGTACGGTGCCAGCAAGATTGACACTCTGTCATCTCCATATATTCGATTTGTCCTATGGGCTACCTACAGTGTCTTACAAGGAATTGTGGGTACTGGTCTTTGGGTTATCGGTCATGAATGTGGACATCAAGCATTCAGTCCTTCAAAGGTACATGGATCAATTATATATTTATAGTATGCGCTTTTTTCTTACTAACACTAACATTATTATTATTATTATATATAGACAATAAACAATAGCGTTGGTATAATTATCCACAGCCTATTGCTTGTTCCATACTACTCTTGGAAGATTTCTCATTCAAAGCATCACAAGTCTAATGGGCACTTGTACAATGATATGGTAACTATCTCTTCTATATAAAAGCTATATTATCGCAAACAGCCATATTATTAAACTATTACTTATATAAATACATGCCCATCTTTTTGCAGGTATATGTTCCTAGAACACGATCGCATAGAAAGCTAGGACCTAAAGAAGAGGACCATGAGCTCGACGGACCTCACAGTGCTCTTATGGAATCCCCTATTGTAGAAACAGCAAAGATCTTCAGACTGGTTGTGTTCGGGTGGGTTTGTTATGTCTTACTTGACGTAACCGGAAAGCGTCCAAAGAAAACCTGGACATCACATTTCAACTTCAATTGCCACATCTTTGAGGAACATAACTATGCAGACTTTGTCAAGTCAAACATTGGATTAGCTGTCGCAATCTCTGGCCTAGTCTGTGCTGGCCAAATTTACGGCTCGATGACTGTAATGAAGTATTATGTGTTCCCTTATCTTTTTGTCAACTGCTGGCTTGTCTTGATCACCTATCTCCAGCACACCGACTCAGCGATTCCCCGTTATAGTCCCAATGTGTGGAACTTCCAACGTGGCGCTGCTCTCACAGTTGATCGCTCATATGGGCCCATACTGAATCATTTCCACCACCACATTTCGGACACTCATGTAGCCCATCATTTCTTTTCTAATATGCCACACTATCATGCAGTAGAAGCCACTAAGCACATCAAGAAGGTTTTGGGAAAACATTATATGTCTGATGACACCCCTATTCTTCAGGCATTGTACAAATCATACAGAGAATGTAAATTTATTGAAGACGAAGGCGACGTTCGTTTCCTCAAGAATTAAAGAAGAAGAAAAAGAAAATAATCACACACACACACACACACACACATATATATATATATATATCCATTACACATACACACACGATATACACATCACAAATCACATATCATACATTAGATATCGCTTTTGTATTTCTATTATTATTATTCAATACATGTATTCAAAATAAAATAAACGGAAATATTTAACCACAAATCAAAAAGGCAGTTTTTCAACAATTTGATCCAAAAAAATATATATTTAAAGTTGTGTACAGGACTGTTCGAAGCACAAAAATGTTGGCCAACTTGCTGCTTATTTTATTTTTATTTTTCAAAATCACACACACACACATATATATATATAGAATATCCATATACTTCTTTTACCTTAAACATATATTTTAGTTTATATTATGCACTAATACAGCACCTAAAACAAAAGAATAAGAGAGATACTTTAATATTATTCTTAAAAAGTTAATATGTATTCTATGTAGTGTGTGGTATATTGTATGTTATGTGTTAAGATGTGCAGACATACAGCTAAATATTATAGAAGCTTCCTAGCTAGTGTCAAAAAATAACAACAGGATAAAATCCCAGATAATTAAAAAAAAGACATATTTGAATTAAGGATTTGTGTGTCACTAACGCCATGATCCACACACACAGAGAAGTAAAGAAATAAAGTTGGGCACAAGATCTTCTACTTTCCTCAACTTACTAAAAAAGAAACCAATATCTGGTAACTTGAATTGCACCCCATTCAAGGCTAAACATATTCCCCTTTACTCCCCCTTTTTTTATGTTAAGAACACTAATACATCTATAGATATATATTTCAACTTAAACGAGCATAAGCTAAATACAGCTAATATTTCAATAGTAAGAGAGAGAGAGAGGTATATATTCTGCCCAAAGTACTGATGATTTTATTACACTATGAGAAACGAGTGGTGATTAAAATGATGGTTTTGGAAAAACACTATGATACTTTCAAGGAACACTACAGGAATTACCAATTCTTTGTTTTTATTGATTACTTTAATATATAGAAAATGAAGATGCTAATATGTTTATATATTTTAATGTACTTTACAGCTACATTATTGAATCCAAAGTATGGCTCATTGTATAAATACGTACATACATACATAAGTCCACCTGTAAATAAGTGTGTGTGTGCATATTATGAAGCAGTAATTAAATTTCAGAATCTTGTTCATCTCTATGCTATGAGGAAAAGTGGCACCTTGATCCTTGCCTTGACTGTGAGTACTAGACGAAAACAAATTGCGTTATGTAAATTTCCAAATAGCACTGTATACTTTTAGCATATAATGGAGGCAAAAACTTGATTCTTGAAATTTATTGGAAATACACTACTGAAATGAAAACATTAATAAAAGAAAAGTTTAAAAAAGAATTTTATACCTTTAAACAATGATGGAGAGCAAAAAATTGCTACTTGATCCTTGATATGAAATACATGAAAAAATATGGGCGTTGGTAAATTTCTCAAAAGCCTTTTATACTTGTATCCAGTTTAAATTATTTTAATGGTAATTATTTGGTCTCGACTACACATATACTTCTTATATAAAACAAGTAGTATGGAGTGGTCCAAAATCATTGCATACCTATGATCCATATCTAGAGCTAAAGTTTAAATGTTTAGCATTAAATATGACCGTAAAGTACTATAGAAACAGCATAAAGTAGTTATTGAAACAAATGTATATGCAGGTATATGATGTTCGAACCTGAAATCTTGATCGTTGGGCTTGTCCGTTTAAAATAATATACAAAAATAATTTGTAGTAATATATTCAAAGAAACTGGTATACCAGTAACCCTTGATAGAGACTGGGATTTTCAGCGTTAGATTTGGCTGTCAAAATAATAAGGAAAAATTAATTAGGAGTAAATAAATAAATATAAAAGACAAATATAGCTGTAGTCCACAATAGAGAGTGGAATATTGATACCTGGCCTCGGCTGTAAAAACATTAGTAAATACAACTTTCAGTGAGAAAATTCCTAAATCCCTTCGTATGCCTTTAATCCTTAATAAAGAATAGAACCATGATAATTGACCTAAACTACGAAGAGAAAAAAAATAAGCAAATACAAGCATCATTCAAAGAAAAATGGGCAAACAATGTATACCTGTAACATATGAATAAGAGTTAAACAACGATCTTTGACACCAACTGTGAAATTATAAGTATTTATAGCCATCAGTGAATAGATTCACAAAGAGACTTGTATACCTACGGCCCATGATGTAGAGCAGAGCCATAAATTTTGGACTTGGCGATTAAAAGACTAGACAAATAAAAGCGACAGGTATTAACTGCTTAAAGAGTCATGTATACATATAGCCCAAAATGGGCAGCGGAATATTGATCGTTCGCCCTGGTGGTAAATAGACTAAAAAAAGAAATATATACCTGTGATCATGAATAAATATTCAAAACTTGATCGTTGGCTTAAAATATAAAAAAAAAAGCTAGACAAAATAATAGTTGATAGCTAAATACTAAACGAGACATGTGTATCTCATACCCTGGATGTATGATAGAGCATTACTCGTTGGTTTTGACTATGTCAAGATAACTAAAAACAACAACCAGTAAGTATATGCTCAATATATATATACTGGAGAACCTGGACGGGCAACAGAGGCTTTATAGTTTGGCTTTGACTGTGTAAACACTAGAATAATCTAATTGATAGTAAGAAAATGTTTAAAAAGATTTCTAAACCTATGACCTCAGATGGAGAGTAGATCCTTATTATTTAGCATAGACAGTAATGAAATTAGAAAAATCAAACAAGCGTTATGCAAAGGCTAAAAGAGAATTTTATACCTGTAACCGTGGATGGAGATGAAATCCTTGTTCTTCGACCTGGGCGGTGAAAACACTAGACAAAAAAAAACAAGCGATAAGTAGAAACCCAAAGAAAAGTGTATATCTGTCATACTGGATGGAGATCGGATCTTTGATGGTTGCCCTTGACAGTAAAAACAATAGACAAATAAAAAAAGCCAATAAGCAACGGCCCAACGAAAATATATATCTGCAAGTCTGGATGAATATCAAGTCCTAGTTCTTCAGCCTAAACCGTATAGGCACTAGACATATAAAACTAAAAGTTAGTAAAGACGCAAACATATTTGTATACCTGTCACTCTGGATAGGGCTCGGATTCGGAATCATTGGCATAGACAGTAAAGGCACTTGACAAAAAAAAAGACACATTAAATAAAAGCACTTGTCAGATTTGTATACCTGTAAAACTTGATGGAAACCGGATCCTTGAGCGTTGAATTTGACTGTAAAGTCACGAGAAAAATACAGCTTGCAGCAAGTCAAAAATCAAAGAGATGTGTAACACTATATCCCAATATTGAGACCGGGTTCTTGCTCGTTACCCTTGACTGCAAGGACACTAGAGAAACAAAAACAATTATAAGTAACGGCCCAAAAACATTTTTATATCTGTAATTCTAGGCGGATACCAGATGATTGGTCGCTGGCCTTGACTTTAAGGACAGTAGAAAATTAAAACCGACAGTAAGTAAAATCCCAAAGAGAAGTGTATACCTGTAACACTGGACGGATATAGGATCCATGATGGCTGGCTTGGACTGTGAAGCCAGTAGAGAAATAAAGCCAACAGTAACTAAAGGCCGAACTAGATGTATATACCTGTCGCACTGGAAGGAAAACAATTTTTTCATTGTGTAGCCGGATCGTAAACACACTAGGCCAATACGAAAGAAAGCATGTAAAGACAGAGAGAAAAGTGTGTACCCGTAACCTTGATTTGAAATCAGATCTTTGATATTTGAACTTTAAGGAAAAAAACACTAGAAATATATAAATGACAGTAAGTAAAAGCTCAAGAAGTCTTGTTTACCTGTAGCCCAAATTTGAGTTTTGATCCTTGCTGTTTGGCCTGGAGAGTAAAAACAATAGTCATATATACTTCTAGGTTAGTAATGGCCAAGAACGACTTGTATACCTTCCATAATGGATGTATATTTGATCATCGTTCTTTGCCATCAAAAGAAAGTATAAATAAAGAGTATAGTTTGTTTTAAGTAAAGGTTTAAAGGAAACTTGGTTAGCTATAACAATTCATGAAAATCGGATCCTGATAATTGCCGTGGATGAGTAGACACTAGAAATATATAAAATCCAATGAGTAATTGCTCATCGAGTTTTTGTATACCTATAGCCACGGACTGAATCCGGATCCGTGAAGCATGATCTTGGTGGATTCAACACTAGAAATAAATAAAACCGAGTGTGATTGCTCATCGATTTTTGTTATACCTATAACCATATAACGGGAGATCAGCACCTTGAAGCTCGACCTGGATGGCCGGAGACTAGAACTAGATTAAAATAATGAGTATATGCCCATAATGCTTTTTATACCTGTACCCATGGCGGGGAGATCGGAATCTTGATGCTTGACCTGGATAGCTGGAGACTGGAGATATATTAAATCTAGTGAGTATATGCCCATGATGTTTTTTTATACCTATAACCATGGCGGGGAGATCGGAATCTTGATGCTTGACCTGGATAGCTGGAGACTGGAGATATATTAAATCTAGTGAGTATATGCCCATAATGGTAGCCCTGAATGGATATTGGCTCCTTGATGTTTGACCTGGACGGAAGACACTAGAAGCATACAAAAGACAATGAGCATATGCTCCTCGAGTCTTGGTGTACCTGTGGCCCTGGATGGAAACCTGTTCTTGATTGCTTGACTTTGAAAAGTCCCTACAGAAATATCAAAGACAGTGAATGATTAATCAACGAGCCTTTATATACCTGTAGGCCTGGATGGAGATCTTATTTTTATCGTTGACCTTGTTTGTCAAAAGACTAGACAAAATAATCTTCACAATGTGTGTCTTTGATGAATATCATATACTCCTTGAAATATAGTAAGTCCTGTCAGTTTATCTCTTGTTTCTGAGTGTGAATAGGCTTTGGATGGATTGATGGTCAAACCAGTGTTGGACCTCAGTATTTCATTTTTGCTGTGTACTGGTTTTGACGTATTGTCTTATATCTTGCTACTGACTGTTTTACATATGATAAAAGCCTGAGATTTGACTAGCAAAATGGATTTTTATTGGTTATGATTTGTCCTTAACGTCTATGTTGATTAAAGCAGTTTGTGAGAGAGCAGTAAAGAAGTGTATAAAGTATTAATGGTATGTGGAAGAGAGTTGTTTTGACGCGTTCTGTTTGGATAGGTGTTTTTTTTTTATAAAACTCATGACGTCTCAATCATGAGTTGCTGTTCTTTTTTATTATTTTTATTATGATAGTTTGATAATATATTATAAAATTCGGTTTTTTTCTTATTCCTTTTTCGGTTTTCTTTTATCTTTTAGCCTTGACAACATGTATATATTATTACTATTTTACTTCTTTATTTAATATCTATGCTTAAAATATGGGTTTTGGGTTTTAAAGAAGTATCACTTATATTCTGAAGGACGTGCTGTGCAGGCACTTGTTTTACTTTTTGTTTTTTTCTTTTGCCTCTTTTTTTGTTTTTTTCTTTTGCCTCTTTTTTTGTTTTAGTTCTTTTTATGTCACATAAGGTCCGTGCTGTCCGTGCAGCATCACATGTGTCATGGGGCTTAGAGGAGCATAGTAGCAATAGTGGTCCAGACTTTACTTTAGCATGAAAACATTTAAATGATGTCTTCCGATTGGTGGACTATATGCATGTCAAATTATTCAGTTGCTATGGACCCCCATCCCCTTTTTTATTCTACTTTCTGTTGTGATTCTGTTAACAAGGCTTATGCTTTTGAACAGCCACTTGTCGAGACACTATATATGCCTCTGTGTTCATTTTAGCTGTACTACTGATATACAAAGTATTAATCGGCTAGACGTTAAACTACAATAAAGAAGTGTAAAGTTGTGTTGATTATAAAGCTTTAATTAAAGTCTTGTGTATATTTATTTGTTTGTTTTCTTGTTTGTTTGTTTCACATGCTGTGACTTTATTAGTTTAAGAAGCACCCCCGAAAAAAATTGCTGCTTATATCTTTTCTTTTCTTTCGTGTGAAAGACTTCCATTTTTCTTCTAGCTTTTTTACCAGTGTCTTGAGTTAATAAACACAAAGTGTAGGAATACTTTCTTGAAATAAAAGTACTTTCAGTGCTTCAGTATGAAGGGATTGACAGCCTGACTATTGAAAGTCGTTGGTACCTCAAGTTAAAGCATCGTTCTTAGAGTAAAATAAAAGTAAAAAGAAGAACAGGGTCTAGGCTAGTGTTTGTCAATCGACCTTGGTTTGTACTACTTTATAAACCAATCATAATCCAACCGAGAAATTAATACAGCATAACCCAACTGCCTGAAACACTTTACATTTATATGTGTTCAAATATACACCATTCTATCGATAATTATAATTATTTATATGTTACACTATACACCATGAAAAAGTAGTGGTGCTTGCAATTGTGCTAGCCTGGTCACAGATAGATCAAGCTAGTAAAATGGCTATTACATATATATAAATCACCTTTTAAAGGCTCTGCTTATTTACTATTTTTTTCTGTTATTGCTCAGACTGACTGACGGCACAATATGAAAGCAAAGAGACAATCTACTGCTACTGAACGTATAGGTTTTGTTTGGTCAGGAGTAAAATATTAAGGTGAGGGACAACTGTGTGCTATTTTTTTTTGAAGATATGGACCTTCCGGTCTTTCTGAGTGTAAATTACCCAAACTTTTGCTATTTTTACATTTATTCTAGAGCAATTTTTGAGTAATTCATGCTAGATTTACCCTCATCTATGTCAATTTCACTCCCAATTGACAACTTGCTAACTTTTTTTTTAAAAAAAACAAATTACCAAAAGTAGGAGTCATTTCGCATCTATTCAAATGGACAGACTAAAAAGTGCAAAAAAAAGGTTCAAGAAGCTTAGTCCATCAGAGCAATTCATGACTGTCCGAACTTTTGTTAGAAAAGTTCAAGATTAGTTCAGATGTATAGTATATAAAATTAAGTGCTCATTGTACCATATCCTTCATCATGTAAAAGTATTTTATTGTAGGGCTTTCTAGGTCTTGCATCCTATGGCACATGTCTTTCCTTAAAATCATACTCTTTCTCTCAATCCAAGTGGCAATTAGGGAAGACTGACCAATAAAAGGTGCTTGAACATTTTTTTTTTGAAATTTCAGTCTGTCCACCCCACGCGCTTAAATATTCGTAGGATTAAAATAGAGAAACGATCGTTAAGATGATAGAGAAAACAACCTTTCTGATTTTACTAACATATATCTGTATGAATGCTTAGACAATATAATATATAGTATCCTATTATCTATAAATATGCTCTTTCTTCTTCAGAAGTTTTACTATTATGAAAGATAAAAAATGATTTACGTTATATTTATCTGTATTTGAGCTTATTTTATTAAAACAAGCATATCCAAGAGAATCCCAATATATTTACTACCTCAATAACGGGTTTAAGAAAACGTATATGTAAGCCCTATCAGAAATGAGAGTTTACAGAGGTATGCAGAATAGGTTTTATCGTGTAGTCAAATGGTAAACACAGTGTGGCACACGAGCTTACCCTCTCGATGATCGTATAATAATATTCTGGGACATATCCTTTGTACAAAAAGGTATGGAGAGGCCTGTATACTTCTGTATCAAAGCAAGCTAACTCTCGACAGTTCAATTCTTACAATTTTTCTTTGACTTGGATATTATGCCATGCAACTTTCTCGCAATTTGTTACTTCTCTTTATCAGAAGAAGTAGTATATCTTTTGATGGCGAATTTTTTACTAGTAGTTATGAGAGTGTCTTTTGGAGCGATGGGAAAAATACTTGCTTGTATATAAAAGTGCAGTATATGAAATAGAATAAAATAAATGAGACAGCTCAAGGCAAATACTCATATTTGTACTGAACTATTTTATATGTTTTGTTAATAATTGGTATCAAGTTCCATACAATGAGTTTTACAAAAAAAACTAATTTATATTCGTGCCTGACATTGTTATACATGTTTGCCAGGAATGTCTTTACAGAACTTCTGTTGTAATATTTGAAAAAAAATTAGGCAGGTATGTCTCGAGGAATTTAGAGGATAAGGTTCAGCTTTAAGGGATTAGATAGCCGTTAAACCTTCAACGAATAGCTTTAAAACGAAATCAATGTCGGGATTAATTTTTTTTTGCAAATTTGATAATCCATTTAGCATATCCCTACGCCAATGGCTTAAAAGACTATATAGCAACCTATCTACTACATTCAACTGCATGAATTAGTACGGTATAAAAAGCGTCTAAAATAACTTCTAAAGTCAGCTTTTGCTCTTTGTTGATTCTGTCGCATTGGAATATACAGATATATAACGTCTTATAATGACTTTTTTTGACATTATTCTTTTAATTTACGCAAGTTTTATTAAGAGTATATTCGTTTAATACTAGTAAGTCATCAAAATAAAAGAAAATGAAGTATAAAAATACGTTAAATTACATAAAAATCAATAAACACGGAAGTCAATATTAATATTTTGAAACAAATCAAATAGTTTCTGCTATTTTATGCGTAAATTGATTCTGCGAAAGGAATTGAAATCCTACAAACTATCGATGATCCAAGCATTAATATTTTCTCAATCTAAAAAAAAAAAAGCCCATAAACTCCCAGGTGGTTTAGTACTTTGAAAAATACTACTACGTCTTCTCTTTTCCAATTCACAAAACATATACCCCTTTATACGATGGAGAGCGATACAGACGACACCGCAGATGTTTTTCAATCCAACAACCCAACCGCTCCAGTAATCCCACCATCCCATATTTCCCGGATTTTCAGTCGTCTAAAGCGAAAGAAGAAGAAGAAGAAGCCCGCTGTCCCGGTTTACAAGCTCTTTTCGTTTGCGAGCCCACTAGATATATTTCTTATCTGTATCGCATGTATTTGCTCTGCCGGTATCGGTGCAATTCAGCCAGCATCCATTATATTCTTTGGCAGTTTTGTGTCGAATCTGACTGAACAGCTCTCGAACCCCACAGATCTTTTAAACGCAACCATGCCAATGATCCTGACGTATGTCTATATTGGTACCGCTTCTCTTGTGGCGGCATACATTGCCAGAGCTTGCTGGATATTCACAGGCGAAAACCAGACCCGTAGAATTCGGCAAAAATATATGCACTCAATTCTTCGCCAAGACATGAGCTGGTTCGACAAGGCTGGAGATGGATCGCTCACAACTCGACTTGCATCAGATACACAATTAATCCAAGACGGAATCTCTGAAAGATTTGGTGATCTAATTACAGGCTTTGCCCAGTTTGTGAGTGGTATTGTGATTGCTTTCTCAAAAGGCTGGCAGCTTGCAGTAATCATCCTAGCTATACTTCCGCTTATGCTTGGATCTGTCATAGTCTTGGGTTACTACACAACCAAACTTACATTGGACGCTCAGGCTTCGTACGCTGATGCAGGCACAGTGGCCGAACAAGTATTTGCTGGAATCCGTACAGTCTATGCATTCTCATTACAGAAACGATTTTCGGAAAGATACGATGTCGAGCTTGACAAGGCTAAACACGCTGGTGTTAACCGAGGAAAAGTTGTTGGTTTCTTCTTCGGCTTGTTCGTGTTCATACTATTTTGTTCTTATGGACTTTCACTCTGGTACGGCTCACAGCTCGTCGTCCGAGGGACATTACAAGGGTCGACTGTCTTGGTTGTATTTTTCTCAATGATGATGGGATCAATGGCACTCATCCAGTTACCGACCAGCCTTGTATCAATATCTAGTGCATCTGGTGCGGCCTACAGTATATTTGAAACAATACATCGTGTTCCCAGTATTGACACTGACCAGAGTGATGGATTAGCTCCTGATAGTATAGTAGGAAAAGTTGAATTTCGGCATGTTCTGTTTCACTATCCTACTCGCCCAAATCAAACAATCTTAAGAGATTTGAGCCTAACCATTCGCCCAGGCATGACAGTTGCATTTGTGGGACCTTCTGGTTCCGGAAAATCTACATCTGTTCAGCTTCTCCAACGATTCTACGATCCAGTAGATGGTCAGATATTACTTGATGGAAATGATATTCGAGAATACAATCCAATGTGGCTCCGACAAAATATTGGCGTGGTCAGTCAAGAGCCGGTTCTATTTAACATGAGCATCCGCCAAAACCTGATAATGGGAACCTACAAGCAAGTAACGGATCAAGAACTCAAGGAGGCATGCATTAAAGCAAATTGTCACTCGTTTATTACACAATTATCACAAGGGTATGAAACATTAGTTGGAGAGCAAGGTGGTATGCTTTCTGGAGGCCAGAAGCAGCGAATTGCCATTGCTCGCGCAATTCTAAAAAATCCAACAATTTTATTACTAGATGAGGTGAGTAAAGGATAAATAGAAAGAGAGGAAGAAAGAGAGAGAGAGAGAGAGAGAGAGAGAGAGAGAGAGAGAAGGGGGATACTAATCCCATCCCCTTTACCCCTTCATCCTCCTCTATCTACCTATCTATTAATTTAGTCTGCATAAATATTTCGTAGTCTGCATAAGCCATTGTTATTGTTATTGCTTTTAAAAAAACTTTTATTAACACAATATTGATTCCAGGCAACCTCTGCACTAGATACACAATCTGAGAGATTAGTACAGCATGCTCTAGATGCAGTTTCAAAGGATCGCACTACTATAGTTATTGCTCACCGTCTATCGACCATTCGTAACTCTGACCTTATTGTTGTCATGGATCATGGCGAGTTAGCTGAACAGGGCACTCACGAGGAGTTACTTGACAAGGGTGGGATTTATGCCGACCTAGTTTCAAAACAGGCCATCGCCACAGAACGTGTGGATCAGCACCATCATCCTTCGGCCCTAGAAAAGGAGATTGAGGACCCTAATGAATTACTATACCAAGAAAAAAAGGAGGTTCATCAGCAGCAAGAGCAATACAAGCAACAACAGCAAGACTCGGCATTCCAGGTTACAATCCAGAAAGGCACCAGCATTTCACCTACTGCCACAGTTGTCCAAGCTGAAAACAAGGATGGTTATGCACCAATCTCAGATCAGCACAAGGAGATTGACGCTTATGAACTCAAACTCAAAAAAATGGCCGACAAAAAGAAGCAGATGAAGAAGCAACGGGCACCGATGCTCAAGGTCGTGCGACAGATGCGACCAGAGTGGCCCCTCTTGGGAGTCGGTCTCCTGTGCTCAGCCATTTCTGGGGCTACATCTCCGTGCTATGCGTTGGCGTTTTCGAAAGTCATCACCCTGATCACTTCTCCTAATAACGTAGCTGCCATAGCACCTGGTCCGTTCCAGGGAGCCAACCTGTTTGCCTTCTTCTTCTTTATTATTGGAATTGGTGCCTTTGTAGGCCATGGGGGTCAATTGGCTATATTCAACTTGGCAGGAGAAAGGTACACAAAACGTCTTCGGAGTGAGATATTTCGGGCCTACATGAAGCAAGAGATCGGGTTTTTTGATCAGAGTGACAATACAGTTGGTGCATTAACTTCCAAACTCTCTATCGATGCAAAGAATGTGAATGAAATGGTTACAATGGTGTGGGGAGATGTTACCCAGTTGATTGTAACTGCAATAGTTGGTAAGTAGTTTAAAGTAATTAAGTGTGTGTGTGTGTGTGTGTGTATGTGTAAGAGTGATATAGATTTATTAACTACAATTGATGTGTATGTGTATGTGTTTTGTTTTGTGGGAATAGGTCTTATTATTGCTTTTAGTAACAGCTGGCTCCTGACGTTAATTATTCTTTGCATGGCTCCGTTTATCATTTCTGCGACAAATTACGAATCCCTTATTCATCGTGGATTTGAAGACAAAACTAAGCGTGCAAACCAGGAGAGTGGCGAAGTAGCTGGTGAGGCTATTAAAGAAATCCGTACCGTGGTGTCTCTGAACCGACAAAAATACTTTGAGGACAAGTACTATAAAGCTACCGAACGACCTCATCGACTTGCCATGCGCAAGGCATATCTATCCTCCATCGGATATGCTCTCTTACAAGGGATCATGATTTACACTAACGCGGTGGCTTTTTACGCTGGCGTACGGCTAATCATGGGAAAATACATTGACTTTAACCAGATGTTTATTTCGATGACGGCAATTATGATTACAGCTCGGAGTGTAGGCCGCGGAAGCGTATTTGCATCTACATATGCCAAAGCCAAGTACTCAGCTATTGCATCTTTTGAGATTATTGAAAGGCACCCTACTATCGACCCGGACCTTGAAGGGATCGAACCTAGCCAGAGTACAATCAGAGGTGATGTTGGATTTGAGAATGTTGGGTTTAGTTACCCTACTCGCCCTGATCATCAGATATTCTCGGGTGAGTTTAACATGGATACCCTGGCCGGCCAGACGGTTGCCCTGGTGGGTCCTTCAGGATGTGGCAAGTCTACAACGATTGGATTACTGGAGCGATGGTATGATCCATTTTGTGGAAAAGTGAGTCTAGATGACAAAGATGTCCGAACCTTTGAACTCCACAACCTGCGCAGCCACATGGCTTTGGTTGGACAAGAGCCGGTGTTATTCGATTACTCGATTGGTGACAATATCAGGTTTGGTGTATGTGATGATGATAGTAGTAGTGGTAATAATAACAATGGTGGTGGGAATATCCCATCTCAAGCAGATGTTGAGGCTGCAGCCAAGGGATCAAATATCCATGATTTTATCAACGGACTTCCGGATGGGTATGCCACCCGAGTTGGGGACAAGGGATCCCAATTATCGGGTGGACAGAAGCAGCGGATTGCAATTGCTAGAGCTCTCATGAGACAACCTCGACTACTGTTATTGGACGAAGCAACATCTGCACTGGACAGCGACTCTGAAAAGGTTGTGCAGGAAGCCATTGATGCTATTCTGGTTCAGGGTGGCAGAACTACCATTACGATTGCTCACCGACTGTCAACAATTCAGGTATAAAAAAATATGTACATTGATGCAGTTGGCTTGAATAGATTGGTTTCTAAATCCTTTTTTTTTTTGGTTTTACAGAATGCTCATCTGATATGCGTTGTGAAAGATGGGCGTGTGGTTGAGCAGGGAACACACTGGGATTTGTTGGATTTGGGAGGCGTCTACAGCCAACTTGTTCGTGAACAATCTTTGCAGGCTCACTAAACAAGGGAGCTCACTGTTTCATAGTTGTTGTTTAAATCCTTGTTTGTCTCACACTTTGTATTCTCATTTATTTTATTTATTTATTTTATTATTTACGAATATTTGTACATATTAAACTAGTGAAAAGACTATCAAAAATCAACATCTATATTATAAGAACATTCGCAGCATGTTCTCTATCTCTATCAACCTATATGCCTGTATTTCGTTTGGTGTTTATATTTGTGTGTGAAGATGTACAATGGTGTTTGTCAGCTGATTCATTAGGGATAAGTTCAATTTCACCTTTTTATGGACAAGAAGCACAAGAAATCACGCACAATAAACACACACACATACACATACGCACACATACACACACACACACACACACAAACACACACAAACCCTTTCCCTTGCTCTTTGATATATTGTCACATCAGTTTCAGTTGTACTAGTCTCTTTACACTAACCGTTCTTTTGTCACAAAGCAGAAAGTACCCCTGTTTACGCCTCAATCTTACCTCATTTCACAACCAGCGTCATCCCTTCTTTTTTTTCAAGAAAAAAAAAAGATAAAACAAAATAAAACAATGGACATGAGAGTTGGAGACAAGTACCGGATTGGAAAAAAGATTGGATCAGGATCATTTGGCGACATTCATCTTGGTGAGATTCTTGATATTTAATTTACATTCTGCAAAATATTTACAGTAATGCATATACATATAAATATATATATTTATAAAGGCACCAATATAATTACTGATGAGAAGGTCGCAATCAAACTTGAGTCCGTCAAGGCTAAACATCCTCAACTGGAATACGAAGCCAAGGTGTACAAAGCCATTTCAGGGGGAGTTGGGATTCCGTTTGTACGATGGTTTGGAACAGAGTGTGACTACAATGCAATGGTAATCGATCTCTTGGGACGTAAGTGTGACATGAAACAATAGAAAATATATAAAACATTGTGCGAGTGTATGTGAATATGTATGTATACATTGACTAACCATGTATCTCTAAAAAAACACACCCAAACACACACACGTAATTATAACAACAACATCAAAAAAAATCTTAGCATCATTGGAAGACCTGTTTAATTTCTGCAACCGTAAATTCAGCCTCAAGACAGCTTTATTGTTAGCAGATCAAATGGTACAAGGTCAAATTAACCTTTTTTTTATTGTATATATATATATATATATATATATACCTACAGCTCTTGGTGCTGTTGCTTTTATTACTAATATAGAGTACAGATCTGCACAAATTAACCTCGGATATTTGATAGAAAATGAATTGTTTCAAATGAAATGTATAGTTTATTGACTGTTTTGTCTTATTTGTATCTTTTCTTTATATATATTCAAATTGTGTAGCTCTGTAGGATTGAATACATTCATCTGAAAAACTTCATCCACCGAGATATTAAGCCTGACAATTTCTTGATGGGAATTGGCACACGGGGAAATCAAGTGAATTTAATCGATTTTGGATTAGCTAAGAAGTATCGTGATCCTCGAAATCACCTACACATCCCATATCGAGATAACAAGAACCTGACAGGAACAGCCCGCTATGCAAGTATAAACACCCACCTGGGCGTAGGTAAATAATTATTTCTTATATTGACTGGCATGTGTATATACAATATTTATTTATTTATTTATTATTTATTTATTTTTCTTTTTAATTTTCTGTAAATTGAAGAGCAATCAAGAAGAGATGATTTGGAGTCATTAGGATATCTACTAGTCTATTTTTTGCGTGGATCATTACCCTGGCAAGGGCTCAAGGCGGCCACTAAAAAGCAGAAATATGAACAGATAATGGAAAAAAAGATGTCGACACCAACTGAACTCTTGTGCCGTAATTTCTCGAGTGAATTCTCCATATACCTCAATTACACTCGCTCCTTGAGATTTGATGACAAGCCAGATTATAGCTATTTGCGTAGACTTTTCCGGGATCTTTTTGTGAGAGAAGGCTTTACGTACGACTACGTATTTGACTGGACAGTAACCAAGCCAGTACGACTTTTGTTTGTTTGTTTTGGTTTTTAGTTTTGAAAAAGAAATGAATATTCACACTAACAAATCTTAAATTTTATATAATAATATAGCAATCCTTGTCACTTTCTTCAGGTGAATCCGTTAATGGAGTTAAATTAGAACCAAGAAAGAGAACTAATGGACTGCTTGGTGATATCCCGAATTCGCTTGGCCCAACAGAGTCCGCCGTTCGCAGCAATGGAGTTGATCCCTCACTTACCACACAAGGGTCAGAGCGCCGGGAAACCGTTCTTGCAACTCACCGTCGATCACAGACAAGAAATATTGCTCTCAATACGGGCACAACCAATAGACAGGCTGTCTTACCTAGTCTTCGTGCACTCACACCAAGGCAAGGCAATCCCAAACCTTGAATATCTTGATTATTCCGATTTGTCGTAAAGATACTATACCACAACCCCTTTTTCTCTTTCTTCTACTACTACTACTACTACTGCCTCTGTCTCTGCCTCTGCCTCTGCCTCTGTTTCTTCTTTCTTCATTATATACATATATACATATATATAAACATACACACACATGCATACATACATATATATTCTATTTTTACCAATTTTTTTTTACATCATCTCAGCTCAGCCCAACTTCAACTTCAACTCGAGAATCATTACAATCAGAGGTACTAAAACGTGGACGTGGCCTGGTTTGCCATGTGTACAAAGCCTTTTTGTCCACAATTGATAGGTTCTCTGTACTTCAAAAGTAAAAGGCGACGAGGGTTAATCCAAAGCGTCACAGCGGAAGAAAAATAAAATAATAATAATAATACTAATAATAATAAAAAAGGGTATGGAATCAAAGTGTTGACATGTACATCCGACATGCTTTCAATACTTCTTGGTTACGTCTTAGTAGCGAGTTTAGTGCTGGTCGAGCACAGATACGAATCTCCTCGGACAACTACAGGTCTTCAGCTTTCTGGAGATGATCGTGGCAGTACGCATCTGTTGTGGTTAACTTGGTTGGTTGTGTTGGCCATTGCTCCTCTTCTGTGCTTGATTACCCTAGCAAGTGCACCTCAGTGGATAGGTTGGATGGGACTTTGCTGGATTGTGAGTGGGATTGGATTGTTACGCTGGGCAATGCACGTGAATCCATTCTACTTGAGAGCAGTAGCAACAACTGATGATCAGTACATTTGTATTGATGGACCATACAAAGTAATCCGTCATCCCGGTTATATGGCCTTTTTGTTGGCCTGGGTTGGATTTGGCCTTGCAATCTCCAACTGGTTCTCTTTCGGAGTGGTGCTGATTGTGGCGGTGTATTCGTGTGTGCGACGGATTCAGGCTGAGGAACAAATGATGATGGACGTATTTGGCGTGGATTATCAGCAATATGCAGACGAAACCTACAAGTAAACCTACATCGAACCACAAGAATTTTATTTTTATTTTTATTCCTTTTTTTTTGGATTTTATAATTTAATTTATTTTAATTTAATGGATGAAAAAAGAAACTAATATCCCAAATATTTTCTTTATGTATATTTGTAGGTTGATTCCGTTCATTTATTAAGGAAACCCCTCACTGGTGGACAAACAAAGAGGCTTTATATATGTATATAGAATATATCTCTGTGTAGATTTTACACATACATCTTTACATTTCTATATATGTATATGTATATATGCACTATGCTTCAAATCCAAAAGAATCCTCTACAAAATTTTGAACTCAATTTTCATTTTATTACGAAAAGACATTTCTCACACTGTACATACTCATGTTTTGAAGTGCTTTAAAGACACAATTAAAATAGACAAATCTATTTACCAACTCTTTAAATACTTCTTTAAACAATCAAAGACTCTTGATTATATACGTATAAATAACGAATAGCTTTTATTTTTATTTATTTATTTTTTAAAAAAAAGCAAAAAAACAAAAGGGGTTGAAAAGAACAAAAAGTATAGATGTATGGACCAGAGCCAATCATTTTTCTTTTTTTTCTTCTTTTTTAACTAAAGTGAACTTTTCTGTGACGTAACATGTCTGCTTAAACGATAGAAAACGTACCTATTGGTTTATTATTTTTATTATTATTTTTTTGAATTTTGATTTGCTAGTCTCAAACACACAGTTTGCTATTTTTATTTTACTTTTTGTTCTTCTTCCGTCTTCTTCTTCTTATTTGTTCATTTAATCAAAAAGGAGATTATACACAATGGGTATTGTCTACGCACTCAAATACATATTAATACATATATCTTATCTTTGAGAAAGAAAAAAATAATTGCTCACAATCTAATCTTTAATCTTATAGCTGATTTCCAAAAAGCAATGCTCGAGGAGTTAATGTCCCAATACGTGGATGTTGACAATAAAGACTTTTGGGATGATAGTGTAAGAATAACGCGCAATTAAGTTACAAATCAAGAGATTTACTCATGGCGATCTTATGATTTATTAACAAAATAACAATTACAAATAATTTAGGTATGCAAACATTACCTTGTAGACTTTTGCCCATCACAATTGTTTACAAACACGAAGTCTGATCTAGGTAAAGAATATATATATATATATATATATAAATACAAATAAGTAAAAAGATACGATATGCAACATTAGCATTACAAAAAAAAGACAATAATAACATAAGCAAGACAACTATTATTATTACTACCTTCTATTAATGTTTCTTTGTACTTACTCTTTCTTTCTATTTATTTATGTTTCAAAAAAACCATATATACATACATGCATACCTGTACAATCAATTAATTAGGCCCATGTGACAAACATCACAATGATCGCTTAAAAGAACGGTACCAAAACGCGACTGACAAGCACAAGTATCCTTTCGAAGCGGAGTTTTACGATTATTTGAACAAATTGGTTAACGATCTTACTCGACGTATTCGTAACGGCAAAGGTCGCCTGAATATCCAGAGTGACGACAAGGTACGTAATGCTATATGTATATGTATATTTAAAACAAATGGATATGTCATCGGCATGTGTGCATATTTTATTTTATACTGTTCTTCTAAAGTTCATTTTTGTTTCCTGCTTTTAGTCAGCCGAGACACGAAAAGAAGAACGTGAGGAAAAGATTGTGCTGTTAGATGTTAAGATCAAAGAATTGCTCCAAAAGGTAAGAAATATTTAAACAAAATCAATTATTATTATTATTTGTTTGGTTTTTGTTTTTTTTTGACATGTTTTATGTGTTTACATAGATTGAGGAAGCCGGTGAAGAAGGCCGTGTCCAAGAAGCAGCTGATCTGACAGAAGAAGTTGAGAACCTTCAGGGTGAACTTCAGGCCACGAGAGATGTAAGTCGAATAGTAACTGTGAACATGGACTAACAGATATGCAGAACGAAGATTACAATAAATCGGAGAAGCGCATGGAGGTAATGACAATAAAGAAAATATAGAGAGAGAGAAATACGGCAAATGATATCTTGGTTTCATCGAAGGTAGAAAAAAGAATTGTATTTCTGACGTCTGTCTATCTATTTTAGGTTTGCCAAGTCTGTGGTGCTTTCCTGGTTACTAATGACTCGTCGGACCGTTTGGAGGCTCACTATCAGGGTAAGCAGCATCAAGGATATCTTAAGATTCGTGAAACGCTCGATCAAATGAAGGTACGTTTTATGAGATCTATTTTACTTTTTGTGACAAATAGATTTGTTCGAAGGGTGTTTTATCTTGCTTTGGATTGCTTTGTCTTGTTTTGTCTTGTCTTGTTTTACTTTGCTTTACTTTGTTATTTGGTACAATACAATGTAATGTGATACAAATCAATGCAATATAATACAATGCAATACAAAACGAAACAAAAGAAAGAAAGAAAGAAAGGTTGAAAGGTAAATGTATCTTTTTAAATATTAAACTCTTTTATGTTTTACAACCCAGCAGAACAAATCTTTTGGACGAGACAACAGAGACTTCTCTCGTGCACGCTTTGACTACCGAGATCGTCGAGACGTAGGTAGGGAAAGAGATCGTCGAAATTCTGATCGCGATCGAGGAGGCTACAGAGAGGACAACCGCCGTAGCCGAGACAGCAGACGGGGTAATGAGGATGATTGGGATCGTGAGGTGGAGAGATACAGTAGACGATCTCGCCGTGACTATGAAGACATGCCACCAAGACGATCTCGCTCTCGGTCTCCTCGACACGCGAGATATGTTTGAACAGAGCAAGTAGTAGTTCCATTTTTTTAAGAAACAAACAAAAATTATATGCAAATGGACGAAATGGATAAAACTCGTAAAAAAAATAAGAAAAAAAAAGCAATTATAAGAGGGAAATTGCAAATACAAATTACCTTTTAGAAATGATAGTGAAAGAAAGAGAGAATTGGCCCACGGTTGGAAGAAATGAGGTACTCAAATCCCCCCCCCCCCCCCCCCTTCTCCCCCTCCCCTTTACCCTTCCCTTCTCTGCTCTCTTTATCTCTTTTCCTTTACATTATATATATATATATATATATATATTTCACCTCCAAGAAAATTAAATGTGTATCTATCTACCTGTCTATCAATCTGCCTATCAATTTACCTACCTATCTACCTATCTACCTATCTATATATCTACAAACCCAGGTATATACATCTATCTCTTTATCTTCTTCTTTATCTTCTTCTTATTTATTTTTTAAATAGGAAATTTAAACAATAAAATGGTGATTGTAAAAAAGAGAGAGAGAGAGATAATTGAGGAGTTGTTTGACAATTGTATGAAACGTACCCCTCCTCCTTATTTTTTATTTTATTTTGATGTTCAGTAAATTCCACCAACCTATTATTGTTATCTGTTTTTTTTTTGATTTTTGTTTTTAGTAAATTAGATACATAGATACATAATATATACATATATACATATTTTCATGTCTTGTTTGCATTGTGCGGATAATCTGTTTATGTTTTTAGTTTATTATATTTATCAAGTATAATCTGGACATTGGATAATAACTCATATAATACACTATGTCTCTTTCTGTATCGTGTGTATGTGTATGTGTATATGTATGTATATCCGTATCTGTATGTGTATGTGTGTGTGTGTATATATACA